GATTAGTTATCTACTGTTCATTATAGACATACACCTAAATCTATTAATTATTAGCGTCTGGTGAAATGGATCATTCTAACATTGAAGTTGGAGAGCTGGTACGTATTGTCACAACATGTGTTAGCATAGCAATCGCGATTCATTGAAACGACGTCGTCTATCTTCCTTGTTGTCCAATTTGTGAGCGTCTTCTTTTTCATTTTTGATAAATTTGTAATTCTTACGCTAATAAATATGTTGCAAGTTGAAGTGTGTAGATGGATAGCTTTGTTAGAGGGAAAAAAACGTGTGGACAGTTATTACTCTAAATTCATGTATATGTTGTCCGGTCAATAAAAACAAAATATTAGAGTAAAATGCAATTCTTTGATTGACACGTGATCTACTATGCTATGTTACAGCTTTGTAGTTGTCAAACATAACACCCTTTTCTCAAAGATAGGGTATACGATACCAGAAATGAATTAAATGATTAATCAATAAAACATATGCGTCTTTGTATTAGCTTATCACAATAAAAAGAAAATCAGAGACAAGTCAACTTCGGACCTAAAACCCGATTACCTGCAAGACAACCCATCTGAGTACCCTCCGCGGTCCATTTTGGACACCTTGGCACAATCAGTTTTGTTGAAGATACATTACAGATCCAAAGCGTTGATGGACTCGAGTCGCTTGACAAAAAAGCAAATCTTGATGGACATATATGATTGTATATCGTTTGATTTATAATCACTTTATATTTTCATTTTAACATCCATAAGCATAGAAGAGCATTTTAACGCGAAAAAGTGCTTGTTTATACAATTCAAAACATGTAATTTAATACAATAAATCAACGTCTTAATGGAGACAGCATTTTGCACCCAAAAAAAAAATGGACACAGCAAAATTTGAAATGATTACGACGTCAATATTGAAACATTTAATATGGATGGTATATAGTGAAGAAAAACGAAATACCGTATTAAAATAGTAATGTAATTCATTATCAATTTATCATGGTCCATAATAAGGAGTTTGCATGCATGTGGAATACAAAAATATATAAAAAATAACAAAATTGAATATTTGGGGACACGTTTTCGTCTGTCCTTGTAATTGCAAACTGGGACAGGGGACGACGCTTCTTCTCATGAATGAACGAACCGTTTCTCAAACACACACATCTCCTTGAGTATAAAATAATATTCTCCTTTTCTATTTACAATTTGGTACATGATATATTTTCAACTTTGTGTTGTATTGCTCTAGTTAACAAACTAGGCTAAACAAAAATAGAAAGTTAGGATGCCCAAATTTACGTGTGAGAAAAAAACAACTGATTTGTCCATATGAGAATCAGTTGGGTTTTGCTAGACTTATTTTGTGAAATATATACTATTTATAATTTGCATTTCGTGTGAACAAAAAGTGCCAAATAATCTGTCTACTTAATTTAATATCAAGGTCCCATATAAGTAGTTGAGCTAATAGTAGTATCTCGGAACCACCTACCATTAATTTCGAATATATTATTTCATCTTCTTTTTCATTTTATCGTATTATCTTTTCTCTTTCTTGCACTTAATAGCAACTCTATATATCTCTCCACCTCCACTTGCCCTAATTTCACCAAAATCCTCCAAATGCACCAATTTTAGAATTTCTTTTTTCTCATTGTCTCTCTCTTTCTCTTTCTCCAAATTTCATTAAAGATTTAAAAGACATTTTTCTATCAATCTTTGATTCATCGAGTTTGAAATATTTCGACCTATACCGATGGAGAGAACAAACAACATAGATGTGGATAAAGAAAGATTAACGGCGGAGATGGCGTTTAGAGATTCTTCATCGGCCGTTATAAGAATCCGGCGACGTTTGCCGGATTTATTAACGTCCGTTAAGCTCAAGTACGTGAAGCTTGGACTTCACAACTCTTGCAACCTCACCACCATTCTCTTCTTCCTCATTATTCTTCCCTTAACCGGAACCGTGGTGGTTCAGCTAACCGGTTTAACGTACGACATGCTCTCCGAGCTTTTGTCTAACCGGGCGGTCCACCTTGACGGGGCGACGAGACTCGCATGCTCGGTTTTCCTCTGTTTCGTTTTGACGCTCTACGTGGCGAAACGGTCTAAACCGGTTTACCTTGTGGATTTCTCCTGCTACAAACCGGAAGACGAGCGGAAAATGTCGGTGGGTTCGTTCTTGAAGATGACGGAGGAAAACGGAGCCTTCACCGACGACACGGTTCAGTTCCAGCAAAGAATCTCGAACCGGGCCGGTTTAGGAGACGAGACTTACCTGCCACGTGGCATAACCTCAACACCCCCGAAGCTAAATATGTCCGAGGCACGTGCCGAAGCTGAAGCCGTTATGTTCGGAGCCTTAGATTCACTCTTCGAGAAAACCGGGATTAAACCGGCCGATGTCGGAATCTTGATCGTAAACTGCAGCTTATTCAATCCGACGCCGTCTTTATCGGCAATGATCGTGAACCATTACAAGATGAGAGAAGACATCAAAAGCTACAACCTCGGAGGAATGGGTTGCTCCGCCGGATTAATCTCGATCGATCTCGCCAACAATCTCCTCAAAGCAAACCCTAACTCTTACGCTGTCGTTGTTAGCACGGAAAACATAACCCTAAATTGGTACTTCGGTAACGACCGGTCAATGCTCCTCTGCAACTGCATCTTCCGAATGGGCGGCGCAGCGATTCTCCTCTCTAACCGCCGACAAGACCGGTCAAAGTCAAAGTATGAGCTAGTCAACGTCGTGAGGACACATAAAGGATCAGACGACAAGAACTATAATTGCGTGTACCAGAGGGAAGACGAAACAGGAACGATCGGTGTCTCTTTAGCTAGAGAACTTATGTCCGTAGCCGGAGACGCTTTGAAAACAAACATCACGACGTTAGGACCGATGGTTCTTCCGTTGTCGGAACAGTTAATGTTCTTGATTTCTTTGGTGAAAAGGAAGATGTTCAAACTCAAAGTGAAGCCGTATATTCCGGATTTCAAGCGAGCTTTCGAGCATTTCTGTATTCACGCAGGCGGTAGAGCGGTTCTTGACGAGGTGCAGAAGAATCTTGATCTTAAAGATTGGCATATGGAACCTTCAAGAATGACTTTGCACCGGTTTGGTAACACTTCGAGTAGCTCGTTGTGGTATGAGATGGCTTATACCGAAGCTAAGGGTCGGGTTAAAGCGGGTGATCGACTTTGGCAGATTGCATTTGGATCGGGTTTTAAATGCAATAGTGCGGTTTGGAAAGCTTTACGAGCGGTTTCCACGGAGGAGATGACCGGTAATGCGTGGGCTGGTTCAGTTGATGATTATCCGGTTAAAATTGTGCAATGATTGGTTTGGACTGGATATGTGAAGTATATTGTTATTGGTTTAATTATATGTAATTGTGCACTTCTTGATATTTTTAATTTTTTTATGTAATAGGTTGTCAAATAAAAAATTATAATTTAATTGATTTATGGATGTGTGTTTGGTGTACGTTAGTTGATTTTTTATAGTTTTGGTTTGGTGAACCAGAAATTTGAAAATCTGTCTGAAAGTCAAACAGAAGTCGTATCTTCGTAATCCACTCTATTTGCGTTCACACACACACACACACCTACACATAACTTGCAGAATGCAAAAAGGTAATTTTTGATTTTGTTTTCCGCGAAATTTGGGTTTAAACTTTAGATTCATTCATTCATTTAACAATTTGGAAAACTTTTTGACCAAACATCACAACTTTTCTTTAAAAGTTATTTTAGATTAATCGATTCTGCAGTCATGCTTTTCATGTTCTAAAAAGTCAACCATGTATATTACATGTTTAAATTCCAACCGCATGTACATAATGTTTATTCCTCTTCTAGTGTAGTAAACTGTAAAAGCAACAACGAAACTCAATAAGAGAATCTAAATAAATGTATAATAAACAGATCCATTACAGAATACTTTTGGTTCTTCAAAGTCTTGGCAAGATCGACACCTCCGGCTTGAACCATTAGTCCGGTCAACTACTAGACTAGGTATGAGGTAGTTGAACCATCATCTGCACAATTGGTTGCTGCCTACATATACCAACCAAAAAGCAAAACATATAATTTTAGAAAATCCATGTGTCAGATTTTTCATGTTTCTGGATAGTCAGAAGTCAGAACTAAAAAAGTTGCTGATTTACTAGTTTAAGCATGTATTTTAACTGGTGCTTAGAGAACATAATTAAATCCCTCTAGGCCCATTAACAATTTTCTTGTTGCTTTGTTGTTTGGTCAAAGGCCTATTAAAGATATGGGCCATCCAGCATCGATAAGTTATTTGGATATTACAAAAAATAATATTACTTCAAAAGGAAACAAAAAAAACGTATAATAAAATAGATATTTATTTATATCAGACGGAATTGTATGTAAACGTCAAATGACGACAAGACTTGTGATCTATTAGCTTGTGATTGTTGGGAATCATGTGATGTCACATGGGTGATGTCCACTGCTCGTGCTTCAGATTGCAAAACTGCAGCTTTTTTTCCGCTTTTAGCTCATTCTTAAAAGATTTAAAGAGCCTCACTTTTGCATCAAAATCATCAAAAGAAACGTAAATTCGGGGGCCAAAGTGCTGCTTCAACAACAAAATTTGTACAACGTGCTCCAGTAAAAGGCGAAAGGAAGCCCCTAAAGGCCATTTACGAAACAGAATACTCTATATTATGTCACTTTATTATTTGTTTTCTTCTTTCCTTTAATTTTTTTGGTTAATAGCTTGAAAAAGTAAATATATTTTGCAAAACGTTAGCTACTGATGAAAGGCAAACGAACTATTATCTTTGAACTCCACATAATCTTAATATGTTTAATCAAAATCTAATCTTCTTTAACATTGCAGAATTTTTAAAAAGGTACAGAACAATCGGTTAATATAAAGTAAATTTTCAACGACTCAAATCCAATTATTCAATAGAAAAGTCACATTTTTCTTCTTCTTCTCCTTGTGACCCAACAATCTCATCTAAGCCAATTCCTAAAGTCACTAGTAGAAGCTGGAGAGATCTCAACATCAATAGACTCAGTGCAACACGACGAGTAGTTCGATTGCTGATCCAACAATCCACCAAAATGTGAAGCACCCACACTCTTAAAACTTGGACTCCTCAAACTATTACCGTCCTCGTACTCCGGTGGAGGTGGCACCGGAAAAGAGAGCCGTTTCTTAACAGAACCCACACGGTCCCTCTCGGGAGTCGAAGGTCGTTGCCTCGGTGCGCTATGAGACCGAATCCTAGCTTTAGCCGACTCTGTATTGGCCATATAGTTAGGCAGCAATGTTGCATTGTTGACCATTGTGGTGCTAATGCTACACCCACTCCTAGCTGTGAAACTATAGTTAGATCTCAAGCTAGGTGTGTTTGACGTATAACTATAAGATGCTCGGTCACGTTCGTCCCTCGGGTCTCTCTGGCAACGTGGACTAGCTGACCGGATTTGGATCGGTCTAGACTTGGCCGGAGATGGAGTGGCTGAGAAGTTATTGCGAGATTGGTAGTAATGATGGCTGGTTCTTGATGGGGAACTAGGTCTCTGGCTACGGCTTGGGCTTCCGATACTTGCTCTTAAGTAAGGTTGAGAAGAGTCCATCTCCACGGTTTTAACCGGAACCCTTTGGTCAACCGAAGCTCGTTTATCCCACGGTCTAGTAGCCATCCATCGGTCAAGCCATTTCGGTCGTTCCTCCTCTGGTTCTGCCTCGTAGTCTCCTCCCCCGGATTGGTTACCAACCGTTCTCCACATCTTTTCATCAAAATGAATTGAGATTTATCGATACGCTCTCAATATTTATATATACTAAACAAAAATTTGGCTGAGTTTTGTTATATTTACTTGTTGAGAGAAGGCTTGAGACAAATTAGTCCTCTCATGTCTCAATGCTGTGTCCCTTCTCCGTTGTAGCATCGCTTTCACTTCGTCAATCGTGTGTGGTCGGTCATCCCAATCTCCAGCGACGCTACTTCCTTCTCTTGACTATAATAACAAAAACAGTTAATCAAAACGACCAAAAGACAGTAGACATTGGTATCATCATTCACTAAAGATTTCTGACTAACCATAGATTGTCGATCTGAAATGTCTTGAAGATAGCGAGTTTCAAAACCACTGTGAGAGTCGCTGAATGCGGATTTGCGGCTACCGTCGTGAGACAAGCGTTTGCGTTGGTCAAGCACACGAGACTGGACTCGAACCAAAGCTTGCATACACCTTAAAGTCGTTTTGGCTTGCTTTCTCACATTGTGACCCCTCACTAATGCTTGTAGCTTCACTAATCCTTTTAACGCTCTTAATGCTCTTCTGGCCTATGTATTAATTTCAAACACCATATTATAAGATAAGAAAATGAAATAAATCCTAAATATTTCACTACTTTTTGATTCTTGTTAGAAACACCATATAATAACACGTCTTTGTCACTAAAAAGTTGACAAAACCATGGCGCTATTAATTGCTTACCAGATACCCTCTGAAAGAAGTTTGAATGACAACAGCAGCGTAATTCTCTCTTGCGTAATATGTCCGCCTCGTGAGTTTCGGTACGGCCGCCGGTGATGCTGGAGTGGCGACGGAGACGACGGCTGAAGGGTATTTTTCGGCGTTCGATGCTGCTGTCTCCGAGAAGGTTTGGGATTTTGCTTTATCCGATTCTGGCGGCAGTGGTGGCGGAAATACACCGGAAGACTTCACGGGAGATTCTTGAGTCGCCGGTTTTCTGAATAACCACCGTCTCTTTTCTCTCTTCTGTAGAAACAGAGCAAAACAGAACATGTTAAAAATATTTTTAACCTTTTCGCTTTCTTTCTAAAACTGAATAGCAAGATCTAGAAGAACAAACCTTTTCTTCATCTTCTTCGATTTCATTACCGTGGGGACTACTTTGTTCCTTCTTGGAGGGGGATCGGAAAGCTCGCTTCACGGCGGTAAGCCAAGAGGATCCGTTCTTTTTCCCCATGAGTTTTGGTCGGAAGAATCACACTTAACACATTATTACCGTCAGTTCGGTGTTCCTTGTCTCCGAGTAAAAGATTTGGCTTTAGATTTTTAGCAGAAATAATGTGTGAGAGAGAGAGAGAGAGTGAGAGGAAAGTACAGATAATATTTTGGTTGCTTTGTTTGTGTAAGAAATTGCTCTGACCACCTCTTTAACTGCAACCACGAAACCGATGACTGTTATCTTTTAAATTATTTATCTTTCACCAATGTTTTCATATTTTATTATTTGGTATGCATCGATATTAACATTCCTATATATATTCGCCATGGTCCATTTAGAAACGTACCGCTCGCGATGTTGTATATTCGTATATAGGGAGAGAGACTGCACGTTGATTTAGCTCGATAAACTAAAAAAAAAAAATCAAAACACAACAACTTTCATTGGCTCTATTATTCAATTCTGGCTAGTGCGTGCTTCATGCGTACATAACAAGAAGTTTAACTTAACTAAATACTAAAACCTGTGGTAAGAAAGTATGGCGGAGTATAAATCTAGATTTGTCTGAAAATAAGCTATCCGATCAAAGGAATTCTAGTATCATTTTGAAACACGAACTTATAATGCGGAAATCATTTAAAAAATAACAAACTCTATTTACCTCAAAAGGTTATTATATGATTATGGGAAGATCATGATAATTGTACAAGATGAAATATATACATTTTGGATAACATGTGTTTTTTGTTTTTCCTTGTCGACACATCACATGTGTTAATACAAGACTATATATCATCCGGAAGAACTATGCTAATTTGAAAATGACAGCCATCTAGTACTGCTTGACCAAGCTTGTGTGTTGTCACGTGCGTGGAGCCAGAGATCGAGACATCAGATGCATGATGGACCACGGTGGTCGTTCCCTTGAACCCAACCAACAAGTTTTGAATATTACACAAAACACCTGGTCAAAGTCTAATCTCTCTCTTTGGGCCGTTATCCTTCACAAAGGCCTTTATCTACAACGAAAAGTGTATAAAGGCCCAATATATTAAGAATCCCCCAATAATGTTATTTATCCGGCCCATATATGCCTGGATTCTAGCTTTATAATCTTGCGTCTCCCTTCAGTGTGTCAAACCCTAGAGATTTTTCACTCGAGCCGCTTTGCGAAAGCATTTTCGATCGCAGTCAAAGGTAGTCGACGCTTCTTCATTTCTATTTCATTGATTCCTGGAATATTTCACTGTTAGGTTGCATACACTAACATTTGCTATAGAGCTCTACTCGTCTGAATAATCTTCCATCGATTTACGCTTGCGATTTCGGTTTTCATTGTTATTGGTTTGATCTGTTTATACGGTGTACTTTGGTACTTCATAGCCTTTTGAGCTGCTTGTTTAGTTTCAATTTTGGATTGATATGATTGAAAGTCCCGATTAATGGATCTCGAGTACGATTTTTTAATTTTGTTTTTGGTTGTTAATCGGTGACTAATCATTGGTACTGTTTTGATATCGTTTCAGGAAAAAAATGTCGACAGTCGGAGAACTTGCCTGCAGCTACGCTGTTATGATCCTCGAGGACGAGGGTATCTCAATCACGGTAATTTATACCGATTTTTGCTTATTTTCAGATTATCCATTGTTCTATGAGACATAACAGTGAAGTGTTAGGAGCCATTTCGGGTGACTTGATTGCTAAAAACTGAGTTAATATGCTTGATGTTTCGGTTATGTTTTTGTGTGTTAGGGTCTGGAATTGAATTAGGAGTAAATGCTTTTATTGACTGTATGTTTCATCATGTTAGGCTGACAAAATCGCGACAATCGTCAAAGCTGCTGGTCTCGAGATTGAGGGATACTGGCCAATGCTATTCGCCAAGATGGCTGAGAAACGTAACGTCACCGACCTCATCATGAACGTTGGTGCTGGTGGCGGAGGAGGTGCTCCCGTTGCCGCCGCTGCTCCAGCTGCTGGTGGTGGTGCTGCAGCCGCTGCCCCTGCCGCTGAGGAGAAGAAAAAGGTATCCAGTTTTATTTCTGTTGTATATATAGTTTTGTGTATCCAATTATGATTTGGTTATTGATCTCATTTTGCAAATTCATTGTTTCAGGATGAGCCAGCAGAAGAGAGTGACGGTGATTTGGGTTTCGGCTTGTTCGACTAAGCTCATTCACTTCTTTTTCTTTGTAGTTGCTCTTTGTTTTAATCGATTTGGGACTAAATTTTGTTTACTACTACTACTCTCTGTTTGGATTGGCTAAAAAGAAGTTTTTAGTTGTTTTTTTCTAAACGTCCATTGTACTGATCAATTCCATCGCCTTTTCGTTATTATGGATATCTTATCTTTAAAAAAAAATTCATTTTTATGGTCGATTGGCCAAATATCTGGTTGTTACATAAAATCATCCGGTCTGAGAAGTTGTATGTGTTAACATTTAGCAGAAGATAACGAAACTTATATCAAAGAAACTGGACTTTTACAAAGATAACGTAACTTAACTTAAGCATACTGGGCTTTTAATATATATTTCTACCAACTAGCCAGGCCCATAACATGTGTTTGTAAGTAATGATGGAAGCGATCACACGCGCGGAAGACAGTGGTTTAAGACCACGCTCTATTTGGCTTGTGCTGATTGAATAACAATTTTGTCGTTGTTTTGGTTCTCACTTCTTACCTACTTGTGTTTCTTTCTTCTGCAGCTGTACATTTGTACGTCTGTCTGCGTTGTTCCATTCAGGATTTGGATCTGTATTAGATCGGATCTCGAAATAAAATAGAGAAATCGAAAGCAAAAACATTGGTGTTAACGAAACAAAATATGGAATTGGGTGGGTCCAAAATCTAAGAAAAACAATAATTTTCATTTTTGCAATTGAAAGAGAAATAATAAATAGGTAGAAGAAGTTGAGCCTCCGCCTCTTATTACTACTCTTCCAACTCATCATCCCTCCTCGTTCTCTCCGCCTCTGTCTCTGTCTCTCTCTCTCTTTCATTTCTCTCGCATTCTTCCCATCTATTGAATCACTGAATCTCTCTATCATTTGGTCTCTCCATTGAAATGGCCACGGCTTTCTCTCCCTCCAATCTCACTGCCACCGTCCCTCTCCATGGATCTCAAGAGAACCGTCTCTTGCTCCCGATCCGATTGGCCCCTCCTTCCTCTTTCCTCGGATCCACCCGTTCTCTCTCCATTACTTCCTCTCGCAGGCTGAATCACTCTAACGCCGCTCGTCGATCTCCCGTCGTCGCCGTCCAGGAAGTTGTCAAGGAGAAGAAAGCCACCAATAGCCTGGTATGCTTCTCTCATTCTACCAGTGACTGGAAAATTTTGTTAGAAATTTCAGAATTTGACAAGTATTAGGTGCAGATTTTATCCGTAATTAGAAATTCGTCTTCAGTGTACTACTGATCGTAACTAAATTGATCATATCCCACTTTTATCAGCAATTAGCAAATTTCTATGTGCCGTGATGAAAAATTTCGATTTTTCTTAAATTTCTATGTAAACTTTGATTTGTTTTGAAACTAGCTGATAACGAAAGAGGAAGGATTGGTGTTGTACGAAGACATGATCTTGGGCAGATCTTTCGAGGACATGTGTGCTCAAATGTATTACAGAGGAAAGATGTTTGGTTTCGTCCACTTGTACAACGGACAAGAAGCTGTCTCAACCGGATTCATCAAGCTCCTAACACAGTCAGATTCAGTGGTCAGCACGTACCGTGACCACGTCCACGCGCTCAGCAAAGGCGTCTCTGCTCGTGCGGTGATGAGTGAGCTCTTCGGGAAGGTCACTGGATGCTGCAGAGGCCAAGGTGGTTCGATGCACATGTTCTCCAAAGAACACAACATGCTTGGTGGCTTTGCTTTCATAGGCGAAGGCATCCCCGTGGCGACAGGTGCTGCGTTTACCTCAAAGTACAAAAGAGATGTCTTGAAACAGAACTGCGACGACGTGACTGTTGCGTTTTTCGGAGATGGGACTTGTAACAACGGACAGTTTTACGAGTGTCTCAACATGGCTGCGCTGTACAAGTTGCCGATAATCTTCGTTGTGGAGAATAACTTGTGGGCGATTGGGATGTCTCACTTGAGAGCGACTTCTGATCCGGAGATATGGAAGAAAGGGCCTGCCTTTGGGATGCCAGGTGTCCATGTTGACGGCATGGATGTGTTGAAGGTGAGACAAGTGGCTAAAGAGGCAGTCACGAGAGCTAGAAGAGGAGAAGGACCGACTTTGGTGGAATGTGAGACTTATAGATTCAGAGGACACTCCTTGGCTGATCCTGATGAGCTCCGTGACGCTGGTAAGTCTCTCTCTCCTTCCTCTTATTAGTATTGAAGCATACCTTAAATTATGAAAGCTTTTTTTTTTTTGATGGGTTGCGTTTGAATTTGTTTTGGGTAGCTGAGAAGGCCAAGTACGCGGCGAGAGACCCGATCACACAACTGAAGAAGTATTTGATAGAGAACAAGCTTGCGAATGAAGGAGAGCTGAAGTCGATAGAGAAGAAGATAGACGAGTTGGTTGAAGAAGCGGTTGAGTTTGCGGATGCGAGTCCACAGCCTGGTCGCAGTCAGTTGCTGGAGAATGTGTTTGCTGATCCCAAAGGGTTTGGGATTGGACCTGACGGACGCTACAGATGTGAGGATCCTAAGTTTACTGAAGGCACTGCTCAAGTCTGAAAACTGAAAAGAGAAAGTTAACCATAAGCTTGTGTCCTGTCTTTTGGCTTCTGTTTGATGTTTTTCATGTTTCAATATTTTATTAAGGTAATGCCACAGAAAAATAGTTTGAATCATTTGAACTCTTTTTTTGTGTATCTGTTCGGTGTTGCTATACTATCAAAGATCTTTAAAGTTTGAATTTTAGTAATTAAATATTAATCACGATGTGTTTAGTGTTCGGTTTGATCGGCTAGAAAATGTTGTGTTTTAGATTGTGTTTGACTTTAAGAGCAAACCTGCTGAATGAAAACGAGGGTCACACAACTCACAGGTGACGAAGCCGGGTTGTTGCCTGTTAATTTGACCCGACCCGATTTGTTATCTTAATTTCTAGTATTTCTTTTTTTTATTTGTTTTCCTCTCAAATTTCTGGTTCGATAATGGCGGCCTCCTGTTTCGCAATTCCCTTATCTTCTTCTTCTCGATCGTCTTACAATGCCATTCCCAGATTCAAAACTCTAGCCTCTTCCACTTCTTCTTTCTCCTACTTCGAATCACTGAAAGCTCAGTTTCTTTCTTCTACATCGTCTCACTTCTCTTCTCTTCATCGCCCCTTTCTAGCTCAACCGCTGCCAATCAAGGTCTCTTCTTCAGAATTATCAGTTCTCGATGAAGAAAAAGAAGAACAAGTCAAGGGAGATGGAGAAACAGGAGAAGAACCAGTAGTGACGAAGAAACCGAGACCGTGTGAGCTGTACGTGTGTAATATCCCCAGAAGCTATGACATTGCTCAGCTTCTCGACATGTTTCAGCCTTTTGGAACTGTAATCTCCGTTGAGGTACTTGTCGCCAATCTCTTAATTCTTCTCCAGATCCGATTGATCCTACAATGCCTTGAGAGTTTTGAAACTTTACTACTCGCTTCAATCTCTTTGACATGATTCAATAGAATTACATTATCTCCACAATGTAATCTGAAATTCGTTAGCTTTGACATGTGTGTGTGTGTGTGTTGATGAAAATGATATTGAAGGTATCGCGAAATGCTGAGACGGGAGAGAGCCGTGGAAGCGGATACGTGACAATGGCTTCTATAAACTCTGCCAAAAATGCCATTTCTTCTCTTGATGGAACAGTAAGAAGACCCCAAGAAACCAAACAAAAAAAAGGAACTCTATTTCTTTCTTTATCTTCGTCTGGGCTTAAAGTCTGACTGCTTTTGGTTTCTTGATATGAAGGAAGTAGGTGGTCGGGAAATGCGGGTTAGGTATTCCGTGGACATGAATCCAGGAGCAAGAAGAAACCCACAAGTCTTGAATTCAACTCCAAAGAAGATTCTCATGTATGAAAGCCAGTACAAGGTTTATGTCGGAAACCTCCCTTGGTTCACGCAGCCTGATGGCTTGAGAGACCACTTTAGCAAGTTTGGTACTATCGTCAGCGCGAGAGTGTTGCATGACCGTAAGACTGGCAAGAACAGAGTCTTTGCCTTTCTCTCTTTTACAAACCCTGAAGAACGTGATGCAGCTTTGTCATTGGATGGAACAGTTAAGTTCGTTATCAATTTGAAACTTAACTTGTGCCTTCTGGTTCCATTAACACACAATCTCGGTTTGCAGGAATATGAAGGTCGCAGAATCATAGTCAGACTAGGTGTCGAGAGGACTGAGTCGTAAAAGAAACTGTTCCGCTTTTACATATTCCTCTGTTTTCAACTTCTTACTCTCTTCCAGTCCGATTCTGGCATCAACCAAATTTGTTCATCACCATTATGTATACTTCTCTTCTGGCTCTTCTCCAAAAGATCTGGTGCATTTTGGTAAATACTAAAAGATATGATGCATTTCCGTAAATACCAATAGATATGCGTCATTTTGGTAAATACGAAATGATCTGGTGCATTTCCGTAAATACCAAAAGATATGGGAAATGTCGGTAAATAATGGAAGTTATGGGTATTTCAGTAAATACCAAACGATCTGAGGAATTTCACTAAAAACAAAAACGTATGGGGTGTTTCCGTAAATATCAAAAGGTCCGGGAAATTCCGGTAATGGGCTTTAGCCTATGACTGCTGCACTTCTTGGCCCGATTTGTAAACCGCAGCTCGAACTTGTTAACCTAACCAGCTTTAACCTGCAGAGTGCAGAGGGTCAAACCATAGATTTACACAAAAAGAGTAACGATCTAACTGACACTACCGAAAACAATTGATTCGTTTGCCACTTTCACAAAGTGTACTATTTTTGTTCTTCTTTTACGTCACCTTTTGTTTCTTTTTTTATTCGCATTCAAATCTCGTGCTGTATATAGTTACTTCATTCATCATTAGTTCCAGAGAGTGCGACACCCTCCAATAAAATTGGGATAAATAGATAATATAGTATATGTTTTACCATCAACTTGAAATATTAAACTGTATGAAAATATTTATAGATAATTTAAAACTAACAAAAACGAGATAGTGCAAACCAGATGGAACCAAGGAACAAATAAAAGGCTGAAAAGGAACGGATTCAATATGAGAACAATTATCATGGAGAATTATCTAATGTAAAGTTTCAAAATCTTACTTAATTAATTGCAATTAGTCTGTCTCGTTGAAAATGGCCATCGTGCATATTTATTAGGTACTTCTATATTAATAGTGGTTGATCTAGATGAAAGAAGAATAATAATCTTCTTTAAACAAAAGAAAAGAAAAGAAGAATATGAATCTAAAAAAGAAGCTTTGCAAGGATATAAACATATAACAAACTCTTCTGAACAGTTTTGAGTTTGTGATAATATATTAAAGTAGAGTATGTATCTTAAAAAAACAACCACAGTGTTATAATTATATGATGTTCTTTGTACTCTAAAGATTAATTTGGATTTCAGTTTAAAGGCTCGATGTCGACTTCTCAACTTTCTTTGGGGTTTTGTTATAATTCACAGAGTTTGGATAATATCATAGGTATTATAAATATCAAGGTTTAAATTGCAAGATACGTGATATTTCGTCATTGTCTTTACGATACATGCAACATGAAAACTGATCGGTCGAATGATGAATTAGTTTAGTTCGATATTAAAAGCGAACTGCAGTGATTTTTGTGTGTGTTTATGTAATAATTTTGGTGATCCAAATCATCATCGTATACATCTATAGCCCAGTCACAACTTCAGTTGTCCGATTAATTTCAAACGTAAGCCAATTCGACACTAAAAACTTGGTTCACTGAATTCGCAACTGGGTCTCGACAATCGATAGACAACATACACGCTGACGCTGGCTACTTCACTAGCTAGTCAGCATTTGTGTGTGTGTGTGTGTGTGTGTCAGTGTGTGTGTGTGTGTGTGTTTTATGTTTTTCAAATCTCAAAGATTGTTAGGTTTTAAAATGGAAGTATCAAATCTCATATTTTGGAATCATCATCAAGCGTCCCATCAAAAATAACACTATACTTACATTTTAAAACTCACGATATGCTTAGAAGATATAAGCGCTAAATTTTAATTATGCCTTTGGTCAAAAAAAACTTATAAATTAAAACTTAGTGAGGTACATGTCGAACCCACTATATATTCCAAACTTAAAAAATAATGATAAATATATTCTTGTCTTGTTACTTTCGATTGCTTTTCTGCTCCCTCCTCCAACTATTTTCAGTGGTTTTCCTAGATATGTATTTTACTACTATCTTTTTGTTTTTCTTCCTTTTTTGTGTGGTCAAGGCATAATTCTACTGTCTAAGACATAAAAGTCGTGGTATAAATTTGTCCAACGTCTAAATAACGCTTAGACTGCTGTCTAATCGAGTTTCTTGAAACCCTTATTTCTGTACAATTTTGTCAAACCGAATATGGAGGGAGAACAATCTTCATACTAACAAGTATGAGGTAATAAGAAGAAAGCATATCCTAGTTTAATTATTACTGCTATGAACTATTTATAAATGTTGTGGGTTCCACTTCCACAACTACCTCATGCGCTCGAACTCGGATAGCAATACGAACTCCTTTTTCTGTTTTTTTCCGCGTCATAAAGGTTTTGTCATGCTCAAGTCTTAACAGATTGCGATCAATCTTATCAGTGCAACTAGTATAATGGCTCTTCTTTTAGTTTCCATTACTATGTTAAATGTTAAGAAGTATGTCTGTTATGTGAAGCCATAATTTGTAATGGCTCTTCTTTTAGTATATGGGAACCCATAATTTGTTGAAGATATGCGGTGGTAAAATTTAAATAGATGATGTTTTTGTTTTTGATAAAGGGCTTATAAATGATGTTTTATCACTTTTAATAAAGTTCACACGTTATTAAAAAGGATGTTTTATGAATCAATATGTGATTTAAAAAAAAGAGAGTTATAATATAAAATAACGTACCATATAGACATCATTAAAACTTGCCAATATATTTGTGCTTTTTATAGTTTAATTTATAATGCCAACATTTGGAAATAATTCAATTTACCATGTCCAAATCGGGCAATCCATTGGGACCAGTTGATTTTCATAACTATTAAACATAAAGGTTGATTTTCAGAATTGATCAGATTGTTTATCTACTATAGTGGATGCGGAGCTTTTTCCAACCGAATAGTTTACTCAATTCATGATTAGCACTCAAAATAAGAAAACGTGATCTATTTATCTAGGACTATGGTTTTGAATGTTATATGTTGTTTTCATTCTTGATTAGTCATATGGTATTATTGGATTTGTTTGAAAAAAAAATTCCATAAGAAAAGTACGATGAAACCTTTAATAAGATACATGGACTAATTTATTCCATAATAAAAATATGATGAAACCATTAATAATATAAGATATATATACGGACTAATTCATTTATTATCAAGTCCTCGCTCGATCATTCTGGTGGGCTAATTTTCTCAGTTAGTCAGTTCATCTTTTAAAAAAATCGTTTGTGATGTCGGAACTTGGACGTGTACGTCGTCATCTCGGTTTTGGCAAAACAAACTGGACTTAAATTCTTTCAATTTTCGATGTATTAATAATAATATATACTGGAGTATATGATTTGTTTTCTTTCAGTTAGTGGAATTTGCTTCATAAAATTAAAGTATGTAGTTCTGTAAGATAGAAAGAGATATGTATGTATGATGTATCTATCTATGACTTGCCGTGATAGAATTCACAACCTTTTTTTTTTTTATCTTTTAGCAATGCTAATTTATTGATTTGTTTCCATTTCTATGCAAAGCTGAATATACAGAAGGGTTACCATTTCTTACTGCACGACGATGTTTTGAGTTTTCATGCGATTTTTAATTGCCGCATTGTAAAAAGGTCCAAACGGCTGTTAAAACAAAACAAAAAGGTCCAAATGGAGTAGTGCTTCTTGGTGTTTATAGGAGTTCTCAGAATATAAATGTATTTTTCAATTAACTTTTAGAATAAATTTTAAAATATTCTTGGGTTGGGGGCATTGAGGTTTGCGGCGATGAGAAACGATTTTTTTTTTTAAGCAATTTTTTTGCGATCAGTTTAAACCGTATTCGAAACTAAAGTCATAATTTTTTAAGTGGCTGAGATTGAGTTAGATTTTGATCCAAGGGTCGTGGTTAAGACACTTAAAAGATAGGTATCACTGGATTAGCAAAAATGAAATACATTTGGGTAAACCAACACGTTTTTCATTGGCATGACTTGTTTCTTTCACTAACCCAGCTTCCACATCTCTCTAATCTCCCTCGTCAAAAGCTAATTTCGATTTGCGATTACTTCTCGCGCGTTGTTTCTTTGATTAAGCGACCAAAGGTTGATCACAGAAGAAAACCATACATTTTTTGTGTGTGCGGCAGATGACACGGACAGAATGTGATTAAAGTCAATTTATTCGTGTCTCATGTACCATGTGACGGTGTGATGATCCAATTTTTCCGTGTATATTGATAAAGAATATTTTTATATCAAACAAATAAAATGGAAAAGTTTTAAAGCAATCATAGTTTTATACCACAGCAACTAAGCTAGCTGTCTGTGTGGGAACATTTATGCGCCAAATTAACGAATATTTAATTTTTCTATGTCTTCTTAAATCAAGTACTATGTCACTGTCAGCTTAGTAGCTAGAATTATAATTTCTTTCAGAATCTTTGCAAGGCACTATGAATTGATGGTTAATTAATTATATAGTGTAGTCAAAATACAACGTTACGTTGAAGATCTGCAGGAAATACGAATGATGTACAGATAATGGAAAATTAAAGTGTCGTCTAATTAAAGTGAACATGACTACATATCTTCTTCTTTTTTTGCCATCTAAAACTTTTGTTTGATAAAGGGTATTACTAACCCGATACACACAGTAAAGCCTGCGAATATGACTACGTATCTAAGTTTTTTTTTCGTAAACTAGTTATAATTAGGGGATTACAAAAAAAAAAAAAAAAAATTACACAACGTCAGTTTTTGTTTTTAGTTATATTAGGTTAATTACGTCAAAATAACGTTACTTTTCGTTTTGTAGTTATATAAGGTTAATTACGTCAAAATAAGTTTCATGTGGAAAACAAAATTTAAAATTACAAAAATCTTTTATCAAAAAGAAAGAAAAAGAAACAAAAACACTTACAGTTTTGCTTATATATATGGAAAGGCTCGTGGTAAACTCAAAGCACACCGAGTCTTATCATTCTCTCTAGCATACACATCTACATAGAGAGCGAGAGCGAGAGCGAGAGAGAGAGAGAGAGAGCGAGAGAGAGAAAGAGAGAAAGAGAGAAAGAGAGAAAGATGAGTGTTGTTGGGAGAGAGAGCTCAATAGTAGAAAAATGGTTACCGCTTGTAGCAGTTGTGCTACCAAATATAGCGATGGGGTCGGTGAATGCACTTGTGAAGAAAGCTCTTGATGGTGGTGTGAACCATATGGTCATTGCTGCCTATCGACTGGCTATTTCCGCTTTCTTTTTGGCTCCTCTCGCTTATTTCTTGGAAAGGTTCGATATTTTTATGAAATAATGGGTTACTTATATCATATGTGATTTAATGTTTTTTTGTTTCTTCTAAATATTAGTATGTTCGATTGTTAATAGGAAAACAAGACCCAAGATAACGTTTAGGCTAATGGTCGATCATTTCATCAGCGGTTTGCTTGGGTTTGTCCTCTCAGATCTTATTTTTAATTCGTTTTTTGTATTTATCTGATTACGTACTATAATAATGCGTACGTTACATTCTCCTGTTTTTTTTTTCTTGCTATGCTTATCAATATTTTGTTATTTACGATATATCTTTAATTAACTTCAGGGCAAGTTTGATGCAGTTTTTCTTTTTGCTTGGTCTATCGTACACGTCAGCAACTGTTGGGGCTGCTTTTCTAAGCATGATCCCTGCAATTACCTTCGCTTTGTCCCTTATTTTAAGGTACTGATGAACTATCACTCTTTTTTTTTTTATAAAGGATCACTCTTTCCAGAATTCGGTTACATAATCACAAAGATCAATAATAATATAATCTTGTAAATCAGATCAATGATTGAAAATATAAAAAAGTATATTTATGTTGCAATTTTAAGACATATTCCTATTTTCACTCATCACATAAAATACGAAGCATAATTATCTTCTAGTGGGATGTGGAACTAAAAATAAAAATAACTTTATATTATAAATAACAGAATTATAATCCAGGAAGCTAATTATTATTTTGGAAATAGAATTTTGTTTTTAAAATATAAATTTCTATGAATAGTACAGAAATTTATCTTAATTTCGTGTGATTTCAATCAAAATGTTTTGTAAAAGTAGTTGTCTTTTGCAAACTCAAATGCTCATTTGTTGATGTTATTTCCATTATTATTGTTACTTTTCTGTATTTGTTTTGGGTCAGAATAGTTGCTTTTATGTTTATTTTATCAATGCTCCCCTTTTATAGACGTTGAAGTTTGATAAGCTTTGATAAAGTGGTTAAAAAAATAATTGCTTGTTTAATTGAATGATAAATTAAATTTGTTTTTGTGGTCTCTGAATTCGGGTCTCCAACAAAAGGTATACACATTAAATTTAACTCAAAAAGAGATACACAGATACATGGTTTGAAGTTTTGAAATTTTACTGTTACGTAAAACTAAAACAACACTTTAAGACAAAAACAGTTCTCAAGGTTCTAATACAACAAATCCTTTTAATATGATATCTGAACAATTATGAATGATTTTTCATCTTCATTTGCTTGTTTTGCATACAAATTATTATTCTTATTTTTATTTATATTTATTATTATGATTTATTATTATAAGGAGTATAAACATGATAAAACTACAATGCACCCAATTGCAGTTCCAAAAAAATGTCTATACCATAGATTAACATGTGAATTTCTACAGAGATTAAACACTTAAAAATATCAAAATCAAGCTACAATATATTCTTCGTAAATAATTCTATAAAAATTTCAGGATTGAGAGTGTGAGAGAACTAAAGACCAAAGCAGGGATGTTAAAAGTGTTGGGAACTTTGATTTCCATAGGTGGAGGGTTATTCATAACATTTTACAAAGGTCCTCAAATATCACACCCTCACTCTCACCCAGAGGCTCTTCACCACAACAATAACAAGACCAAGAATTGGCTTCTTGGATGTCTCCTCTTAGCCATAGGTTCCACGTTTTTTTCTGTATGGATGCTGTTTCAAAGGACTTTAAACATCAAGTATCCTTGCAAATACTCAAGCACTTGTCTCATGTCGGTTTTCGGTATGTTCCAATGTGCTCTCTTGAGTCTCTACAAGAAGAGAGATGTCAAAGATTGGGTCATTGAAGATAGATTCGTCATTTTCGTCATTATATACGCTGTAAGTCGATTTGAAACTCGTCTATATATAGAATCGAACTTTGATAAGCATATCTAGGTACGTACGGTCTTGATTATTGAAAATGTATTAAAATAGGGAATAGTGGGACAAGCGATGCCGACAGTAGCATTATCATGGGCGATAAAGAAAGTAGGTCCTGTTTTCGCATCAACATTTGCTCCCGTTACTCTCATCGCAGCTACTTTATTCGACTTCCTCATCTTACACACTCCTTTGTACCTCGGCAGGTAATTTAATTTTTGTGTAGTTATATATGTGAATGTAGTCGAGACAAAAAAATGTAGGTCTATGGTCATATATAACCAAACTGTATATAACACTAATTAATTACGTTTTTGTTTCTTTCTAACTTTGATGACAGTGTACTTGGATCCGTGGTGGCATTAACGGGTCTCTACCTGTTCTTGTGGGGTACGAACAAACAATTGAAAGCAGCAGCGGCGTTGAGTCCTCCGATCCAAACCGAAGACAAAAATAATTACGATGGTGATAATAACCACAATAACAGCTCTAGGGTGTCCGTTTAACATTACAAGTAAATTTGTAATGTGTCAGATTTATTTAACAATAACTGTTATATATGTTATGAGTCTCCGATGTCAATAAGGAGCTGTTGTGTAACCGGTTATTGAATATCTGGATTGTGGAACGTTAATACATGTAGCCTTTCTTCCCATCATTTATTGTTTTATACATACTGTATACAGTTTCATACTAAGATTATCTGCATAATTACACACTGCATACAGTTTCATACTAAGTTTCTAGCTTATATATATGCGTGTAATGGAAAACACAATAGTTTCTCTGCATAAGTTGATTAGTATGCATCAACTGTGGCATACTCAACAAAGAAAAAGAAAAATAATAGGCCGGGGTCATTATGTAGCATCAAAACTGTAAAACTAAATAAAATAATGTATGCTGTTACAAACTCATAACTAAATGAATTGGTGGGGGCATTATGTAAGAGCGAACTATATCAAGTGGAGTCAAAGAGTTAGCGACTTTCCCCAACTATTCCTGCCAAATCCAATCATATACACAAACTAAAATGTAACATGATTCCTTTATTCTTTAGTAGGGTCCGCCTTTTGTTTATCATTTTTTTTTTAAAGGTTTTTTAGTTTATCTTAAATGAAAAAGCTAGCAGTTGCATTGGTTGCATCAGCCTTCGTAATGGAGCACCAAAAGCAGGCACAGTTTTTAAGAGTGATTTGTTGTTACTCATTGAGAGACCGTTAAATAAGCCATGAAAAAGCCCACTGGACCACAGAACTAACCTACGATTTCGAATGCATACAGTAATTTATAATAGGAAAATCTCTAACTTCTTTCGATGTAATCTAAGATTTTTTTTTTTGGGCAACATATAATCTAAGATTAGTCACATTACATCGAAAGAAGTTAGAGATTTCCTTGATTAAGATGTTTTCTAAAGAAGTAAAAGAGTAGGTTGTTGCCAAACAAAAGAAAAATTTATGTTGATGTGCTTTAATTTTTTTGCAAAATTCAAATATAATTTTATTTCTAAAGTTATAAAAGTATGACATCCCATACTTTTAGATAGAAGTATTTAGTTTTGACACTTAATCGTTAAAGTAGTATTAGATATTTAGATTACATTTTCTTCACGAAGGACAATGGCCATAAAATTCTCAGTTGTGCTTTAGGGGATATAAGTTAGGAGTTAGAACTTAGTGAGGTACATGTCGACGCACTAAATACATATTCCTAACTTCTTTTGTTTTGTTTTGTTTTGTCTTTGTCTTAATACTTCCAATTTTTCTCCCCCTCCAAAAAATTTAGTGGTTTTGTTAAATAATACTATTTTACACTACGAGGTTTTCTTTTCATTTTCAAAAATGTATTTTAGCTTTTATCAATGACGGATCAATATATTTTTTGTACACTTTTTCAGACTATTTTATACTATTCACAGCTTTAACTATTTTTATATTTCTTACGGTAGGTTCAGCAACAACTTATGCACTCAAACTCGGATAGCATTATCAGTTTCTCTTCGTATTATCTTTTTGTATTCAAAAGTTTTTTCATGCTCGATCTGAACAGATTGATGCGATCAAATCTACTGGTACACGTAATGTTTTGTTCTCTTAATTTTTCATCTCTCAGATTTCCGTCCATTCTTCAAAACATGACACTGTAACAGAAAAAGGAGGTATGCCATAAATGAAAACCACTTTAATTTATTCAACTTTGTTTTTTGGAAGCTGAAGTTGTTGAACAAAGTGCGCTTTATCTTCGAAAATGGTTTACATACTCATTCTCATAGTAGCAATAAAACGAATGATCGTTAGACATCAAACCAAGTTGAAACACATAAATGTGTACAAGACACTAGAAAAAAAAAGTTAAAATGTCTGTGGACCAATGACTATATGTCGATGATCAAAGCCAGATTTGACATATTCTGTTCTTTGTAAACATTCGAATCAATAATAGTTTGCCCGGTTTAAAGTTGTAAAGACTGTAGTGCACAAGGTATAATTTACATAGTACTGGTGAGATCAAACGTACGTAATGCAAGGATAAAGTACACGTGTCTCCGTATAACTTATATAATGAGAATAAGAAGAAACCACAATATACTGTATGTATAAAAAATCGCTGCAAAGCTAGTTGTGGGGAACATTTAAATTGTTCGCCAAATTAACGAATATTCATAAAATTTTATTGCCTTAATCTAAAATCAAACACGTCGGCTGGATAACGCACCTATGCAATTTCCTTAGAATCTTGCAAAAAGTATATGAATATATATTAATAATTTGATAAAATATTAATCTAAATACGAATAACGAATGTACATGACAAAACAAAGTTTGTAGTGAATGAACATAACTACATATGCATGCTTTATTATTTTTTCATTAAAAAAAACACGTTATAGTGTTTAGATATATAGGTTAAGGAGAATAAGAAAAAATGTAATTTTTTAGGTTCACGTAAGAATAAGTCCAAACGCATAAACAAAATCTTATAAATATGGGAAGGTTTTGTAGTTGCCAAACTCAAAGCACATTGGGTCTTACCTCACACACACACACAAACTCACATATAGAGAGAGAAAGAGGAGAGATGCAAGGAGTGAGAGTAATCGAGGAATGGTCACCGGTTATAGTAATGGTGATATCAAATATAGCGATGGGTTCGGTGAATGCACTTGTAAAGAAAGCTCTTGATGTTGGTGTGAACCATATGGTCATTGGTACTTACCGAATGGCTATTTCCGCTTTCATTCTGGCTCCTTTCGCCTACATTTTGGAAAGGTTCGATACTTAGATGATATAACGAGTTATTAACATGACGTTATCAAAACAGTTTTTCCATTTTCATAAATCGACTATTAAACTTATCATGAAAGTGAATTATCTCTATTTTAACATGCAGTAGAAACACTTAATATAATGTATTATATTTAACATGCATGAAGTTTTCTAAAAAGTTATATGTATTGTAATCAACAGGAAAACAAGACCAGAGCTAACATTTAGGCTATTGTTCGATCATTTCATCAGTGGTTTGCTCGGGTTTGTCTTATCAAATATCTAATTTTCAGTTCATTTTTTTGTTGTCGTCCAAATTCAGTTTACATATGTTGTCAATATACTACGTTGATTTTTTTTATGTAATCCTATCAAGTACGATTTAATCGTCCTAAGCTCCACTTATTATTATTTAAATTTTTATTTTTGGGTTTAAATTGGCAGGGCTAGCTTGATGCAATTTTTCTTTTTGCTTGGTCTGTCGTACACGTCAGCAACTGTCTCGTGTGCTTTGGTTAGCATGTTGCCTGCAATCACCTTCGCTTTTGCCCTCATTTTCAGGTACTGATGTAACCATCTAACTTCTTTATTTAGTAATATATTTTCATCATACTCTTCTTTTTTTTTTTAATCAAATCTTCTTTTAGTTAGTTATTTTACCGAAATTCATAAATTATATTACCAATGTCAATAACATATGTTTTAATTGATTGTTCTGCACTATGATTATGATTCCCGTTAAAGTACCTTAACTATACGTAATCCAATTGAGCCCCTTTGGTAACCTTTCCTGGTAAAGGTCTTTTATTAGCTAGACGTCACATTTTCATAAAGTTTGAGAAAAGGATGTGGAAACTAACGAAAACGCGATTCGTGAATCATTTGCGTTTCTTGTTAAGTTATAGTTTTATATGTATATAAATCTGTTGTACACGTAGACTACCGGAACTTATCTAGATTTGCATTAAAAATTGTAATGCAAACAAATAATTTCTATTGAGAAATGACTCCTGTTCTTCTTAATCAAATTATCTCGAATATATAATTTAAGGTTACCTAAAAACTTTTTTTTCAGGACTGAAAATATAAAGAATCTGAAGACCAAAGCAGGAATGTTGAAGGTGTTGGGAACTCTACTATGCATAAGTGGAGCTTTGTTCTTAACATTTTACAAAGGCCCTCAAATATCAAACTCTCACTCACACCCGGAGGCTTCTCACCACCACAACAAGGATCAAGACAAGACCAAGAACTGGCTTCTTGGATGTTTGTACCTAACAATAGGAACCACGATGCTATCTTTGTGGATGCTGTTTCAAGGGACTTTAAACATTAAGTATCCTTGCAAATACTCAAGCACTTGTCTCATGTCGGTTTTCGCTTCGTTCCAATGTGCTCTATTGAGTCTTTACAAAGGCGGAGACGCCAAAGATTGGATCATCAATGATAAATTTGTGGTTACCGTCATCATATACGCTGTAAGTTTAATATCATATCTTCATGAATTGATTAAAATTAAATTTATGTATAAACTATAAGGTTAACACCGTATAAGTAATACGAGAAAACTTAGTGACAAAAGAGTTACTAATTTTATCGGATATATACGACTTATAGGGAGTGGTAGGACAAGCAATGTCGACGGTAGCAACAACATGGGGGATACAGAAATTGGGAGCCGTTTTCGCATCAACATTTACTCCAGTCATTCTAATCTCAGCTACTTTATTCGATTTCCTCATTCTGCACACGCCTTTGTACCTCGGCAGGTAATTTCATTTTTATATATTTTCATATACGTGAATGTGGGTCCCATGCTCATTACACTAAAATACAATTTCTTAAACTCTTGTTATCACAGTGTAATTGGATCAGTAGTGACAGTAATGGGTCTCTACGTGTTCTTATGGGGTAAGAAGAAAGAAACGGATGCATCAGCATCAGCATCAACATCAACATCAACATCAACATCAACATCAACTACATTGTCTCCTCGGACGGATAACGAAAACCACACTGTCACTAATTATAACGACTCTAAGTCGCCTGTTTAATTTAAATTATTGTTATTGCATATTTTAAATCATTTGTCTAATGTTTAAGGAGAGTGAACGAGAGTTGTGAAATATTGATTCGCTGTTATGATGTTTAGAGTGTTTGACCATTTTCTTGTTTATTTAAATGAAAACATCTTTCCTTATCTATCTAAGTTTCTTGGTTCATAAATCCAAGTATCAAATGAAAAATAACGGCCCATACAATGTCCTTTTGATAAGCCCATTTACAACGGCCTTTATACAAATGTTATCTCTAATAAATCGACACGTATCGGTTTCACACCTGGCACCGTATCCATCACTATTCCCACTTGCTACAATTAACCAGGAAACCACCACGTAAGCAATGTGGACCCCACGCTCGCTTTTACCTACGTGATCTTCACACCCAAAGGAGACTTCTGGCTCCCAGAGAAGCAAGTTGGGAGATCAACCAAAAGTGCAACGAGCAGCCACTACAGACTCACCACGTGTCGATCTACTATGACTTCTGTTTATTCCATTTATACCCTTCGTGCTGTTTCAGCCTCAAATAAAATATACATTAAAAAATTTCCAAAAAATTCAAGGAAATTAGGAGAAAATTGTTGTGGCTGAGATTGCTTCTGGCTTTCTTCTTCCAGTCTTCTTCAGCCTAAGACAGTCTTCCTTCTTCTTCAGTTATCTTCTTGCTTCTCTATCCTTTCTCCAACCTGTTCAAAAAAAAAAATTAAGATTGTCTCTTTTTTTTTCTTCTCGATTTGACTGTTTTTGGGATCGATGACTTCTCCGGCGAGCTTGCCGGTGTGATGATCTAGTTTCTATTTCTGATTGCCATACATCTCTCCTCCATGGCTACTCTCAATGGTAAATATTTTACATTATTAGTCATTTCGTAGGTTCCTATATTAGTTACATCTGAAAAATCACTGGTTGGTTGGTTGCTGAGGAAACTTATAGAAGAAAATCACTATATGTTAGCTCTAACCTGTTAGCACAATCACACAAAGTTAAGGTGTTTTAGTCTTAGATTGATTTAGAAGCGTGATTATTAACTGATTTGAAGATCTTATGCTGTTAAGGTTTTGGCTGCGATGGATTCGTTTGGGTGAGGCTTTTGAGAAAAAGGGAAGTCTTTTGAGTTCTGCTGGAGAAGCAGCGACTGTTTCACGGTGGACTTTGAAAAGATTTCTCTTCCATTTTCTAATCTCTCTCTTTTGAAAAAAAAAATCAAATCTGTTGTTATCTTTTAGTGTGGATATATATTTCTCATAAAGCTCTTTCCTTTTTTGTGTGCAGTTTCTCTAGAATCTGAAGCTAAAGAGGTCCTTTTCAATTAGAACCATAACGGCTTTGCAATTTAGAAACTTTGATGTTTGGGGAGATCCAAGATGGTTTCTTTATTATAATAAAGAGGATTTGAAGCAGCGGAAAGCTGCAAAGATCCGGTTATGGATACAAATACAACTGCAGAAGATTTATTAACTAAGGTAATGAATGAATGAGTGAATGATGCTTTAGGATTGGTGATTTTCGTTTTCATATTTTGGATTGTTGTTGTATGAAGACTTTTGTTTTTAAAAAAATGAATAGACGAGAAAGCCATATACAATAACGAAGCAGCGAGAACGATGGACAGATGATGAGCATGATAGGTTTCTAGAAGCCTTGAGGCTTTATGGAAGAGCTTGGCAACGTATAGAAGGTCGAACAAAATTTAGCTGATTTTCTTTTCTTTTGTTTAGGAGATTCTTGTTTTGTTACTTTCATCTCCTCTTGATTCGGAGATTCATGTCTTCTCTTCTTTCTTTGGTTTGCAGAACATATTGGAACAAAGACTGCTGTTCAGATCAGAAGTCATGCACAAAAGTTCTTTACAAAGGTAAGTTGATCCCTGGGAAAGTTTATTTATGTTCAGTTAAGTGAAGGTATACCATTGGTTGGTATTGAGTTTCTATAACTTGTCCATATTGATCTATGAAATTAGTCGATGAACATTTTTAGACCGTTACCTATCACTGTCTGTGTTCTGTGTGGAAGAAGATGACTGAAGGTTTCTTTCATCGTTTCAATTTGGCGTCTTGCTAGGTAGAGTTAAGTTGTTCAGAGTTTATCATCATCAGGCTTCATAGAAATATTGGTTTATTTGGCGTCTTGACAGGTCTATAGTAACAAAACTAGCGTTGCATTTGCATGACACAAACACAATTGTCCCATATTGACTAAAGTCGATGAAATAATGGGATTGCATGGATTCTTTTAGCCATTCAAATGGAAAACCTCCTTGCCCCTATAGGACAGGAACATGAAGTAACTGTGTCATCTACTACCCCCAACAATTTGGGTCAGTATAAGACACTTCTTTTACCTTGGTGCTTTGGTCAGTTTCACATGAGTCTCAGGATTCTACATCTGAGCTGCATTTTCCATCTCAAGTTTGGAAAAACTCAATACAGTTTTGTTTGGTTCACTGTTTCAGTTGGAGAAAGAGGCTGAAGCTAAAGGCATTCCTGTTTGTCAAGCGCTGGACATAGAAATCCCACCTCCTCGTCCTAAACGAAAACCAAACACTCCTTATCCTCGAAAACCTGGGAGTAACGCTGCTTCTTCCTCACAAGTATCATCAGCAAAAGATGCCAAAGTTGTGTCCTCGGCCTCTTCTTCACATTTCTTGGATTTGGAAAAAAATCCGTTTTCTGAGGTTTATTCCCTAATCTTTCTCATTTTCATTCTACCATTCTCTTGTTTCTTCTTGTGATAGATTTCTTATGCTGTATGAGCTTTCTGATTAGAAAACATCAACTGGAAAAGAAAATCAGGATGATAACTGCTCAGGGGTTTCCACTGTGAACAAGCACCCCTTACCAAAGAAAGTAAACACATTCATGGAATCTGAACCATCTCGAAGAAAGGTAATAGAATTCTAGTCCAAGAACCTGTATTTGAAGTTCAATAACATGAAAAACGAAAAAAACTTGTTCCATTCTGATTCTGAAGCAGGCAAGTCCCAGTAACGAAACAAGCAAGACCTCAAATGTGGACCACATGGTTGAAGATGTTCCCGAGAAGAACAATGACAGAGATGGTGAGCGTATGCACAACGCGCAGAGCTACCCTTGGCATTTCCCAGCTGAAGCTATAAATGGAAATATGGCAAAATGCCCTCAGTTTCATCCTCCAGGTATGGTATCTCAAGACTTCATGTTTCGTCCTATGGGAGATGGAGTTCACAGGCACGTGAATCATCCAGCTACACCAACATCATCTGCTACTACTACTACAGCTTCTCAACAAGCGTTTCCAGCGTGCCATTCCCAGGATGATTACCGTTCTTTTCTCCAGATTTCTTCTACTTTCTCCAATCTTATTATGTCAACTCTCCTACAGAATCCTGCTGCTCATGCTGCAGCCACGTTCGCTGCTTCGGTCTGGCCCTATGCGAATGTCGGCAACCCTGGTCCTGGTGATTCATCAGCGCAGATGAGCTCTTCTCCTCCTAGTATAGCTGCCATTGCTGCTGCTACTGTAGCTGCTGCGACTGCTTGGTGGGCTTCTCATGGACTTCTTCCTGTATGTGCACCTGCTCCTGTCACGTGCCTTCCATTACAAACCGTTGCAGTTCCAATTCCAGCTGTGGATAAGATGGATATTGTTGAAAATGAGAAACAAAGCACAGCTCTGCAAGATCAGAACTTGGCTTTAAAATCTCCAGCTTCATCGTCAGACGACTCAGAAGAGACTGGAATAACCAAGGTGAATGCTGACTCAAAAACAAATGGTGATAAGGAGGAGGAAGCTGTTGTTGCTGCTGCTGGTTCAAACGTTGCTCTGAAGACAAAGCTGGTGGACCGCTCATCGTGTGGCTCAAACACACCTTCAGGGAGTGATGCAGAGACAGACGCATTAGATAAAATGGAGAAAGATACAGAGGATGTGAAGGAGACTGATGAAAATCTGCCAGGTGTTATTGAGTTAAGTAACCGCCGGAGTAAAATCAGAGAAAACAACAACCCAACTACTACTGATTCATGGAAAGAAGTGTCCCAAGGGGTAAAAAACATTGCAGAGTCTTTTGGTTTTGTTTTGCTTGAAAATAACACTAACCATTCATATGTGTAATATTGTGACAGGGTCGTATAGCGTTTCAGGCTCTCTTTGCAAGAGAGAGATTGCCTCAAAGCTTCTCACCTCCTCAAGTGGCAGAGAATGTGAATGGAAAACAGATAATGCCATCGGCTCCTAATGTCAACAAGGTTCAAGATTCGTGTGATGCAGACCAAGAAAGTGTCGTAATGACAGGTGTTGGACCTGGAAATAGCCTTAAAACGAGACAAACAGGGTTTAAGCCGTACAAGAGATGTTCAATGGAAGTGAAAGAGAGCCAAGTTGGGAACACAAACAATCAAAGTGATGAAAAAGTCTGCAAGAGGCTTCGACTGGAAGGAGAAGCTTCAACATGACAGACTTTGAGGTAAAATAAAAAAAATCCACAATTTTACCAATATCTTTCAATCTAGTGTTAGTAAATTGCTTCTTCAATCTTTGTGAAAGAGAACTCCTTTTTTTTTAAGATCCATCTGAACATTTCTTGGGTCATGTTAATTCCTGTACCATAATACTCCCATCTCCATGTCATGTCTATTGTCTCTGTTTGTGTCTGCTACTTGTGGTCTATATGTCTGCTGCTGTTACTGTTAATTAACCATTTAAGCAATGGATTTATGCCTTTACTCCATTTTGTTTCTTTGTTCTTCTGAATATGTTGTGAGATCATAAATAGTTTAGGAAGATAAGATGAATTGTACAAGAGTTTCAACTTTGAATGTTCTTTCTTCTACAATGCTCTTCAACTTTCATTGCTTTTGAAGGTGGTGCCCAACTGCCAAAGGTATTCGGATGGGCTTGAGATTTCTTCGATATTGGGCTCTCACACACAAGATTTAATATTTCAAGCCTAAAATATGGGCCTAAGGCCCTTTTGTGAGGCTAATCTCATCCATTCAAAGAGCTCGACTTGATCGATAAATCTCCAAATTGATAATTGTAGTCACTAATTCATCCAAGTTATATATTGTTGGTGGATACGATGATCAATGATATTTATTCGATTGTGGATCTTAGAGAAAAAAATGATGGAAAGTCTTAATGAAGAAAATGTTAAAGAAAAGTGTTAAATAGTAAGACTAGTATCGTGACTATCGTCCAACCAAATCATAGTCTAAACAAATTTTAGGTAGGTTAGGCGTGAAATTAAGAAATGACTAAATGAGCATATGATTTATAAACTTTTTTGTCACTAGATATTATTCTATAACTAGTGACCTCATAGTGTAAAGTATATTCAAAGCATTGAAAAAGGATTCAATAAGTAATACGATTTGATCCATAATTCTCGCAGCTTTCCATATATAAACACCTCCAACGCTTATGCATTTTCCACCCCAACGAACGCGCTTCACTTGTTTCTCTCCCAAAGCTACGAAAAAGTTCGGCAGTTCCTTTTTGATCCCAAGGTATGCTTTTTGATCCTTCTCGTTTCCTTCTTAGATCTCAATGCTTCTCGATGTGTAATCCTCTGGGTATTCGCTTCAAATCTAGACCATCAATCGGGTGTATAGAGAAGAAACGAACAGATTTGGCCCAGATCTTTAGCGTTATCGATGCATTAATCTAAATCTCGGTGTAATTGATCTCAGATCGGTTCTCTTGATTCGATCGATAGCCTCTCTCTCTTTATCTGCTCCAGTTTAGGGTTAAGATGTAGTACATGCAGTTACAATTCATGTGATTGAGTCGATTTGAATGGGTGATGAAACGTTTAGAGATGTGATTTGACAATTGACAGATGAGTGAAGAAGGGAAAGATAACCAGAAGCTGCAGCGACCAGCTCCTCGTCTCAACGAGAGGATTCTCTCATCCTTGTCACGACGGTCCGTAGCTGCTCATCCATGGCATGATCTCGAGATTGGTAATTCATCAAATCATGAAAGAATGATACTTGTTTGATTATTTTATTCATTTTCTAGAACGAAATGATCAATAAATCTGGATGAAATTATGCAGGACCTGGAGCTCCACAGATTTTCAATGTGGTAAGTTCCTTCTACTGTTTGATGAATCTTTTTAGTATTCTATTAGGTTTTTGATTCATCTTGGAAATTAGGTTGTTGAGATCACAAAAGGAAGCAAGGTCAAATACGAGCTTGACAAAAAGACAGGACTCATCAAGGTTAAATTAATATAAGATTTTTATCTTTTGAATGGTTAAATAAATTCTTCTTCCTTTCTTCCATAGAAATCAAAGTTCTTTTTTTTTTCTGATTTTGTCATCATCTCTCAGGTTGATCGTATTTTGTACTCATCAGTTGTTTATCCTCACAATTACGGTTTCGTTCCTCGCACTCTGTGTGAAGACAATGACCCCATTGATGTATTAGTCATCATGCAGGTGTGATTCTTTCTCTTTGTCATATTATGCACCAAACTTTTTTAGATTTCAATAAACAAATCAAGTTTGTTTTCTTCTTTGTATATAGGAACCTGTGCTTCCAGGTTGTTTTCTGCGTGCACGTGCTATTGGATTAATGCCTATGATTGACCAGGTACAATAAATTAACTCAATGACTTTTTCTTTTCTCGTATCAGTGCTCACTTTGAATGATTCTTGGTTTGTTCTTTCTGTTGGATATAGGGTGAAAAAGATGACAAGATCATTGCGGTTTGCGTTGATGATCCAGAGTACAAGCATTACACTGACATCAAAGAACTTCCTCCTCACCGTCTCTCTGAAATCCGTCGCTTCTTTGAAGACTGTATGTTCCTTCTTAATCATTCATCTCTATCGATTTCTCTCAACAAACAAGTAGTATTAGTGTTTTCATTGACCGTATATATCTCTCTCTCTCTCTCTCATTATAGACAAGAAGAATGAGAACAAGGAAGTTGCAGTCAATGATTTTCTGCCATCTGAGAGTGCTGTTGAAGCTATCCAGTACTCAATGTAAGTCTCTGTTTCTCTATCAAGAACCAAACTTTGTTAAATTGTAACATCCCTAACAAGTCTGGTTTTGATATTTTCCATTTACAGGGACCTTTATGCTGAATACATTCTCCACACCCTGAGACGTTGAAGCTTCTTCCTCAGAACATTTTGTTTCTGTTTCTTTCGATGATAATAAGAAGCATCTGATCCTAATTGATACTTTCTCTGCATTTTCCTGTAGAGTTTGGATTTTATCATTTGTCTTTGTCAACTCAATAATTTTGTTTGAAAGACCCTTCTTTCCTGGCATCAACGTTTTGCTTTTGCTTTTGTTTTGGTTGCATTCCTTTGTCAGAGCGCTCTATATGTAGTCTATAGTGGATGAGAACCAAAATCTAAAGTTTTAAAAATATTGACCAAACGAGGCCGTTTTAATTAATGTATTTTGAACACACGACGCCATTAATCAATGGGTTAATGACTTCACGTAGATCAAAACGAAGTCATTTGAATTTCACGTAGATCGGACAACGACGTCGCTCAGTAAATTAAGGACAAAATGAACTCGTTGGAAAATGTTGATCAAAGTATCAAACGAGACAACGAGTTTTAGACGAAAAATTTGGATACAGATTGATACATGAAGGTAAAACTGGACAGCTCGATCATAATTCATAAATGAACAATGTCAACTCTTTCACGTCTCATTTGGTTTTAACTTTAACATACGATAAATAGTATAATTAAGCCTATAATTTAATTTAATTCAATCTCTTTGTGAGACTTAGAGAGAGAGAGAGAGAGAGAATCAAGAATAAGACTTGTTTAAGAGCTCAAGAAGAAGAATAGCAGCAGAATCTTTGGCCTTCTTAACACTCGGCATCGGCTCTCCAATACACTCATCGGTCCATCCTCTGTCGCTTGTATTCACTCTTACCCCAAACGTAAACCTCTTTGCATGCGCCGGTCCTCCTTCTTTCACACATCTACAAAACATTCCCCCAAGAAAGCAAGAAATCTCAACAACAACCCAAAACCAAAGTTCACTCGTCTTTCAAAACTAAGTTTTACCTGTAAGAAGGCATTGGCCAATTCTTCCTCAAGCAAATATCATTCAACGTCTGTCTCGTAAACGTCTGATTCCCATTCTTCTTGCTCCCATTCTCACCATCTCCTCCTTGATTCTCTTCCCCATTCCCATTCGCCTGCTTCTCTTTCAACTCCGCTGCTTCCTTCTCTTTCAGAGCTGCGAGCGCGTTCCTCGCCGCTAGCTTCTGAGCCATTTTCTTCTGAGGGTTCTGCGCTACTCCGACTTGAACACCGTCGATGAACACTTCCACAGTCGCTGTGTTACCACTCCGGCTCGCTTTGTATTCTAATCCTTCCGCTTGTTGCTGGCACCGCTCTTGCAGCTCTCTAACCGGATGCATCGGAAGTGTCTCCGGTGTCACCATCGGTTGAAGCAAAGGCTGAAAAACCTTCCAAGCAGCAGTTGTATCTTTGCCACTATCAAGAAATATAGCTCCTGCGATCGATTCAACAATATCTCCAAGAACTTTTGGTGCTTTACAGTCTCCTAAACCGAAAGAGTTAAACCCCGGTTTCGATGACTCGGTTAGAACTTCCTTCACAAAATCCCGAATCTGCAAAACCACAAAAAACCAAACAATCAAAGATATTGAACATCTTTATTTTGATGGACAAAATAGCTAATAATCTTGTTTCTACCTGTTTCTCAAGGGCGCTAGAGCCATGACGAAGGAACAAGTGGAGTTTATGTTTAACCGCAACACGAGCAAAATTCTCATTGTTAACCGCTGCGGCTCGGAGATCTGTTAACCGGCCAGGAGGAAGGCTTGTGTACGTGAAGAACAAGTGTCTTGTGATAAGATGATCCAAGACGGCATCACCAACAAACTCCAATCTCTGGTAACAAGAAACACCCGAAGACGGTCTCGAAGCATGCGTGATAGCTTCAACAAGAAGACCTTTCTCCACAAACTCGTACTTCAGCGCTTTCTCTAAACCAACAAAGTCTATACTCTTGAGCACGCTCTCTGAAACATTAACCGGTTTAACCGTTCCTTCGATCTCTTCAGGATCATCCTCCACATGGATCCCGATCCACTTCATCAAATGGTTCGCTGCAACTTTCCCGCCTTCGACGTAGTAAACACCGATCAAAGCTTCAACAACATCAGCCAACGTTTTGCTGGACAAAACTCTGTAAGAGCTCAAATCACCCTCTAACTCACCATCCTCCATCTCTCCATCTTCAAACACGTCGCTGTTCCCCTGTTTCTGGTCTTCGTCGAAAAACGAAGATCCTCCATCTTTTGTGTCCTCGTCGAACACCGGAGGCACACCAGGAGCAGACCACCTAGACGGTGCGAAACGATCCGCCTGGATATACGACTGAAGACCTTTCACCAGAGCATACTGATAAAGAACCATGTTGCTAACCATCTGTTGCCTCATCCTTGTGAGCTGACCCTCGTGCTTCTGCGGATACTTGAGGAACAGAAAACGACTCACGACCCATTTCAGATACGCATCTCCTAGAAGCTCGGCTCTCTCGTAGCAGAACGTCTCCTGGCACGAGGCAGCAGTCAAGGCCTCAAGAATCTTTGAAGTTGGAATAGGAAAGTTGATCAAGTTTTTGAGTTGAACAGCGAGCAACATGCTCTCAACTCTTCTCATTATAGAGGGTAACTTCTGAGCACCTCGGACGAGTGAACCCGAAAGAGGATGCACAACGCATAGCTCAGGTGGAAGAAACACGTAATATGTTTTATCCAGCACCGTCTCAGACTCACCTTGAATTGCAAAACGAAAAAACAAAGTGTGTTGATCCAACAGTTATTAAATCAATAAAATTTTGAAGACAATGGAGTTTCGTGTAATACCTGACTGTTCAAACCGAGGAGAAAGAAGGTTCTTGCAATACGAAACACCTCGTCCTTTGATCAACGGTTGTTTCTTGCAACTCAAATCAACGCCATACCTAATAGATAACATTCCAGAAGAAGACTCGATAGCCCCAATTACCTCAGGTTGTGCAAGCAGAAGAAGAAGAGCCAGTCTTTATACAAGGATATAGCCATACAAGTAGATATCGCATAATACATAGACAGGCTCTCCTTCTTCTTCTTGCACAACCCCAGAGGTGAACTGAGGCCATGTAAGTCCTCGTGGCAACAGAAAAGTATTAGTAGACTGCTTCTCTAATGAAACTTAAAAAAAAAAATTAAAAGAAGTTAAAATAGCGTTTCATACTTTTGCTTGTAATAGTCAGCGTAAGTGTTGTACTCCAAGGGACCTAAATATCCTTCTTTCCTTGGGAATGATGTTTCTGCACTCATATCATAGCAAATAGAGTCAACATAAAACCGCTTCCCGGAATGTGCAGCTGTCACAATTTTCCCTAGAAGACTTTCTGCAACCATGCACCCATCTGCCATCATCAGCTTGCCATGTGAAAGATCACCTCCTTCTACTTTCTTCTCAAAAGCATCTCTTACAGGTAACAATCCAGAAGCTCTCACGACATCGAAAGACGCAACAGCTCCTCTGATACCATAAGTCGGGTGAGATTTGTTGTCACGAAGTTTACCAAACCCATATTCCCTTCTGTCCCCACCAAGAGTTCTCTCGTTAGTCCCCAGATATACATCCGGACGAGCTCTCTGAAGCGGGTTGTCCCACACTCTGGTTTCAGTAATCTTTTCAACTAGTTCCCAGTTGATTCCTTTACTGTCAGTAGTGACAGGGACAAACAAGTAGGCCTTTGCAGGATCCCATGGTGTCGTGGAGGGTTCGACATCAACATCTAACACAATACTCATCAATCTCACATGAAACTTCTTAATAGATGATAGCTGCACAGGAAGATGATGACAGCAATATAAGAATTAAGAGTTTTCCAAGTAAACATAAATGTTTGTTGTTCAGTCCAAACCTGGCTTTCTGTAATATCCAGTGATCCCCTGAAAGCAAGAGATGCTTTGGTGATCATGGCCCGAGCAACATAAAGATCCATAGACATCGATAATACCTGCCAGCCACAGTAAAGAAAATCATTAGAAAAAGGGAAAACATTTGTTACATCCACAAATTCTGAGACTTCTAGAAAAAGAGAATCAATAACCTCTGCATCCAGCTCATTGCCAAAAAGAACCGCGAATTCTGAAACTTCACTTAGGAATGGATCTTTTGAAGCTCCAGAATCTACACATGTAACACTGTACATGTATAAATGGAATAGCTTTGTGCTCTCACAATTTTCCTTTCCTGCTAAGATCCATTCTCCCTGTGCACCGTACAAAAACAATCAAGCTTTGAAACCACATTTACCAAATTTATAATAGATTAGTGCTAAGTTTACCTTAAGCACATCCGCCACACCTTCGGGATAGAACTCTCTATGCCTAGCAGTTCCAGGAACAGGTTCGCCTTCCTCATCTTGGTCAGCCTTCTCAGCGTCTTGACCACTTCCCTTATCCGGCAATAGCATATCCGTAAATGCACCCATCTCATGCAGTTTCTTGCAACCAGCTAGACATACAGCCTGAATATCACAACACACATTCACTTATTAATCAACAATAGAGACGTCTGGACACAATATAATCCTAACCCTGATGTGAAAAGGAAAATATAAAATCCTAATTCATAAAGTAAAACACCCAAAACTCATCACAGCTCAAACACCCTAACTATACCTAAACCATTCCAACCATAGTCACGTATCACAGAGGATAACAAGAAATAAGATAAACGAACAAAAAAAGAAATATTAAGTAAGTCCACCTGTTGTGCAAGACGCATTGAGTTGCAAACAGGACCCTCGAGTATTTCAAATGGTGCATTGCAAGGAAGCTGAAGCCTGCATGAATACTCTTTGTGTCCCCCAGGCTTTTCATGTTGCTCCATGAAGAAATCAGGATGAAGAATTGCATATCTGAGACACACACGAAAGAAACAAAATCCATCATCTCAATCAGGAAGAAGAAGTAAAGAAGTTATCAGGTAAGACTTACCTGTCACCGGGAAGCTGAGAGCAGTAGAAATGTATGAGACCAACCGCGGAATTCAAGCTAACCATGGCACCAGTTGCCTCCACCTTATAAACTGTACCCGGCACAGCTTCAATGGAGATTAGCCTCGATGTATCTTTGAGATGGCTAAGATCAGTCCTCTCAATTGCTTCTTTCCGCAGCGTCTCCTCACTGTTTCTAGCATTCCTCAAGAACGCTGCGTGGGATACATTTCCCCTCTCAACCATGAGAATGTAGTCTGATCCAGGCTTTCTTGCCCGACCACGAGACTGGATGTATGCGAGCACCGTCTTTGCAAGGTCGAAACGCATAACAACGTTACATTGCCTGATATCAAGTCCTTCCTCAGCAACGCTTGTGGCCACTAACAGTGTCACCTATCACAAGAGAGAAATACATATGTCAAAAGAACATAAGATAAAATTCTTCAGTTTTGTTTAACCTCAGAACATAGGAAACAAACAAGAATATTTCATACTTGGCCATCTCGGAATTTGGAAATTGTATCCTGCATTTGAGATGATTTCATTTCTTGGCTATTATTGTGCCCAATCATGCTGGCACATTTTATAAAACCAAGTGAAGGCAGCTCGGCGAAAACCTGAAATTTTCCAAGCTCAGAGATATTGACCGGAAAAACTGTAGTCAAGTCATATCAAAATTGTTTAATCCTAACCTTTGGAAGCACCAAAGCAGCAACCACTCTCTCAACAAAAACAATAGCACGAAAATCGGCTGTGTGCTGATACTTGAGGAGAAGCTTTATCAACGATTGAACTTTTGGAGTAACTTTCCCATCAGCCACTGCAGCGCCTATTACTTCATCAACGTGCTCCCCTCCAGAGACCACTAATAACACCAAAGCCTTGTTCATACTCTGTTTATATGAACAGTAAATAGACAGAGACTGAGAATGCGGTTAAGACTTACCATGATCATCAGGGAGCTCTCCTTCCTCAATCTCATCATCATTTTCTGGTTTGGTAACTTCAGAGCCGGCCTTTTCCGCAGCAGCGCCTTCCAGAAGCTGGCATTGCAAGAGTGACACCACCTCGCTGAGATAAGACTCTTGAAACTTCACATCAACTTGGAAATTCACCCTCTCGTCACTTTGCAAAGCAGTCAAGAACGATTGTGCCACCTTCAAAGCAAGAAAACAAAAATGATATCATATTCATATGAAGATAACAAAACCATTTCAAAACATCAAGAAACCATCATCTGTACCTTGTAGGCACACCATTGACCCAATTCAGCAAGAGTGTAGTTAATAGCTCTAAGTTTGTGAATCAAATTGGCGGCTCCATCGCTCTCCGTTCTTTCGGAAACGCCATAAACCTGTCTAAGCTCATCCTTAGCTCCAGCGTCCCTAGCCCCCATAAACTGCCACTTGCTTTTCCTTGAACTTGCCTGTGCCGCTTCTTCAACAGCTGCAATCATTTGCTTTATTTTCTCATGAAGCGACCACATCGTAGCAGCTTTGTCATACTCCACCACCACCTCTGAAGGCATAGGCACATGTTTCTCCAGTTCCTTTCGGTCTTTTATGGTACAAACCGTAGAATCCAGTTTCGTCTCAAGATTTCGTATCTTTATCGCACAATCTACTTGGCTAGAAACACCTTTTGGAAACAAAACAAAAGAGACACTTTTTAGGCACATAAGCAAGAAAGATCCACTTAGAAAAATCTATACAAGAAAAAATCAGTACCCTTTAGATTAACAGGCGAAGCAGTCATTCCAAAAATGGCAGGTCTTTTATCCTTAGGAGTTGTGTGGTAAAACTCCGACATGACAAGTGAGTAAGGATGTTTCTTCACAGCGTGGTGACACTCATCGAGAATAAGAAGATTAATCGACTCCATTCTAATAATGCTGTGCCTCAGTATATTCAATAGAATTTGTGCCGTCATTACTAGAACCTACACAGAAGAAAAACAGAGAAAAACTTGTAAATTTTAACAAAGCAAAGATCAAAGCTCATGTGAAGAAGAAGAAGAATGCATATAAAAGCAAACCTGCTTAGACTCAAACTCTCGCTGCCACCTTCGAGCATCCCAGAAATCTTGCCCCATCTCACCACAATAATGTCCAACTTGGAAACTAGTTTGATTACGGATCACTTCTGCTTGCTGAAAATATAAAGAATAATCAACAAACCAAACCAAATTTAAGAAAATATAAACATGTATATATGTTAACTAAATTAGGTACCTGATAAACCAAAGGCACTTTAGGAACCAAGAAAACAGAGAGCATTCTTCTATTCATGCTCATCAAATCCTTATGAACACTTTTGATTAGAAGAATCGCGATAAGCGTCTTCCCAGCACCGGTCTCAAGAAATGCAATCGTGTTTTTCGCTTTAGCTTGTTCAAGCACATCCAATTGGTACCTCCTCGCTTGCTCTTCCACAACCTTCTCTTTCCGTTCCTCAGGCTTACTCTTACTCTTCTCCTCTTCTGCCTTCTTCTCATCGCATTCTCGGTTTCTTCCACTCTCTCTCTTAACATCTCGTTCGTGGTCAGCCTCCCAAGTCCCTGACCGATAAACCAACTCATTCGAACCAACTTTATCCCTCTCCCAGTAACCTCTACCTTCTCTATCTCTACCATCTCTTCTGTGATTGTAACCATCTCTTCTCTTGTTATTGTTGTGACCAGCCTCGTCCCAATTACGAGTCCGTTTCTTGTTCATAAACCTATCTCTCTCCCTATAACTAGCTGAGAGGCTACTCCTTTCACTCTGGTAACTACAAACTCTAGCTCTCTTCCTAATCTTCTCTCTTTCGTCCTCTGAAGTGTCTCTCTTTCCGCCACATTTCTGCAGCACATTCCCCTTCACTGACACAGCAATCTCTCCACCAATCAACTTAGGAACCTCACTTTTCTGAGAATTGGTCTCGGAAACGCCATTTTTGTTGTGAGCTCCGTTTGGTAAGCCTCCACCGTTCTTGATGCTGTCTAGAATGTGATCAATTCCACCGAAGAAGTCATTGTTGACGCCGTTTTCGTCGACGACAGCAACAGAGGAAGGGTCGAAATCAGAGACGAGATCATCGATGAGATCACAAGAGATGTCCTCGCAAGCATCTAGCCAATAAGAAGGCTTTATGTCCTCCCTACGCTCATCCTCCACTACCATACTCTATAATTGTAATAATCAATCAATCAAATCAATAGCTTAAAATAAGAGAGAAAGCTCACTCAGAGAAACCCCAATAGAATTGGGAAAACCCAGAAAAGGTGAGATCTTTTGGGTGAGAGAAGAGAAGTGTTTAAGTGACAGACTAGGGTTAGATAGACCGTACGAAACACGCCAATTTTCCCCCAGGTTTAAAGGGGTCACGAAGAAGAGCAAGTAGAACCCTAGAGTTACGGGAAGATGATATTTTTTTTGTGAATAAATAAGAATTGAAGACTTTTGCAAAGTGTGTGATTCTAAGATTCCCACACGGTCTATCGATCCCTACTCTGTTTCTCTCTTTCTTCTTCTTCCCTCTCTCTGTGACTCTGTCTCCCTCTTCTGGTCTGTTTTTCCACTTGCTCGCTTCTCTTTGTAACTCTTTTTTTCAGTTTGCAATATTAAGGCACAAAAGTAAAGTTATTTGACTGACATCGAATAAAAAAATATTTTAGTTTTATTTACTCCAATCCAACCGACCTGTAAAGTGTAAATTCGACGCGTAAATTTATTACAACTATAAGACAAAATTGTACTTGATTTTTACTTTTTTTTCTTTACACTAATTTACAAAAGCTTTATAAAACAGAAATGAGAAATACTAGAAATTTACAATATCTGATTTTATTATAAGTTCTTACATTACATCATGATTTACTCGATAATCGTATAACTACTTTAGCCGTTTCATTAATTCATTTTTTTACTATTTTTCGAGCGGTTTTCTCCGACCGTAGTTAGATTCGTACGGGACAGTCAAAAATATCCCAAACCTTTTTGCTTCTTACTGTTTTCATAAAAAGTCAAATATTCGTTTTGCCAATGAGATATGGACAAGTGGAAAGGTGTTAGTGATTAGTCAGCTCTGATACTTTTGTTCTGTCATTCTGTGGACCGACTCGTGCGGCTTTATTTTCCCACTGGAAACTGATAAGCAAGCAATCACCGTGAACAATAATTTATTCAAAACTTTTTAAAAAAAAATTATTCAAAACTTACAAATTCGACATGTTAAAAACATCCCACATTACTAGAGTTAATAATAACAACAACAAAAATAAATACCAGTAGTAGTACCTTACTTTTAATGTTAGTAACGCTACTTTGAATTTTGAAACTAGCATTGGCGTTAAAGTCAATTTTAATTAAAGTCACTAAAACCCATCAATTCGAAACGAGTACCTTACTTGGTTCGGTTTCGAATTTAGTTAACTGACCAAACCAAATAATTAAAAACAAGACGCGAAGCCACTCATGCCTCAGCAGCATATGCGAAAGAGATATTGAAATAGAAAGTCAAAAAGTGGGCCCGAGAAATCTAGTTAGTATTATTTTGTTCTCCTTCCAGATAAATTGCATAAATCTGCATGGAAAGCGATCTAAAGGCCATCAAATAACGCTATTATTATTCTCTTCTGGATACAAAGACAAATGCATCTTCATACACTGACTTATATATATAGCTTACAATTGACGTTTACTACTCTCTTTTTTTTTCTGCAAGTCAAATTGCTATGTTTTATTCGCTTGTTACTATACTTTGTTTGGTATTTGATTTCTTATCGGTGACATGCACATTTATGCATTAACTTTTTGATAAAGTGTCCATATTGATGTATTATCGAGTGTCAAGATTCCCAAGTGGCTTAACATTCGAGAAAAGGAAATTATTCAACCTTTACGTCCATCACTGAAGGGCCAATTTATCGTTTCCTAGCATCTTTCATCTTATTCCTTGCACACATGTACATCCCTAATGCACCAGATCCATCCGTCAATAATAATCATCTTAATTAACGTAATAATGAAAAAATGAAAGTCATTTGACCTCATGACCACATAATAATGCGTAGTTGTGTTATGGACTAACGGCCCATTTAAATCTTAAGCATAGCCCAATTTCTTTAGGCTTTAAAAGTATAGCCCAATATTACCGAATTATCGATACATAAGTGACCGAGCAATATTGAAAATGGTCCTGAGTCTGACGCCTACAAAATAAGAAGACCCAAGTACGAAATCATTCCACTTTCATACACACTCAGACTCAGTAATAAAAGTATGACTTTTTATCACTAAACGGATACGTACCTAGTTACCATTATTCAGAAAAAAATAATAGACGATTCTATTTATTTGATTGTCAACATATACAGGCGATTCTGTATGAAATAGACGTGAGTATTACCGTATCTATTTAATTTTAAAATAAATAGTGCCGTATATCGTTATATGACATGAACCCACAAAATAGACCTTTTTTGGACGGTTCAATGCAGAGATCCAAAGAAACAAGACTCGTCTCAAGTAAGTGCTGTAGTAAGATCACAGGGTTCACATTTGCAGTGACCGACTCTAAGTGACCGGAGCCGTCACTTTAGCAGAACCCCACCAGGTTAACTGAAGATCCAAATCCAAAAGATCCGAGTTAGATTTTGCAGAACCAGAGAATACGAAGAAATAGCCAGGTGGTCGGTTTGGCCGCCGCCCATACCAAACCGGGCCCGGTCTAGTTAACATCAATACCAATCCCTTTCCGGTAAGAAACTACGGCGCGTGTATGTCAAGCACCTTTCACCCTTTTTTATTAAATGCCAAATTCCAATTTAAATGACGACTTCCTCACGCACATAATTCCATTTCTTTTTCTCTCTTTTTTTTCATGAAAAATTCCCCCCTAGACAAATAGTGAGTAGCTTTATCTCCGTCGACGTATACATATGAGAAAATCAATCGATAAATTTATTTTTACATACAGAATCAGTTTTTCCCTTATTTGCCAATTAAATTACTAGCGCTCTATTTACGTAAAAACCGGCTATATTTTGGTTCAGTATGGGTCGGTTTAAATGCAAGGGTCTATAAAATGATTTTGTGTTAACACTAACAAACAAAAACAAATCAAATGAATTTTTAGTAAGAAAATTTGAAGGGAGAGAAAGAGAGACAAGGACAGAACAAAAGCCTGCGAAGCCTCCAACGGTATTCATTGTGGACCAACCTTAAGTGTGGGACGACTCTATCCATCTAGATTTTATTATTTATGTTTTTGTCCATCTCTCAGTTTAGCACTTCATACTTCTATTTTCTAGACATTTGTTATAAACACAAATATCTGCGAAACTGCGATGTAATCAATATCAATACAACACTAATTAATCTTTCGAGTTTACTAGATTTACGTACCACCGAATGATACGTCTAAAATAATCATCGAGCAAATAAAGGAGAGATTGCAGGTGATTAGGGTTTATGTATATACCCCCTACCACTTGACTCGTTTCGTTTATTTATATTAAAACGTGTTTCGGTATTCTCATAGACCATACCGGTACACTTATATTCTTGATAATATATATATATATATATATATAGGATGATTTGTCAAAAAAATTTGGATGGAACTAAAACAAACTGTTGACAAAACCATTTCAACATAGATAATACATATGATCATATATAATATAATCTAAATGAATTAAGACTCCTAGACTTTGGGGTACACATGACAGTTGTTGCCATCATCAACATCACATAAACCTGCTCCATGCAAATGGACTCTATTTTGCACCTACTGCTGATAATGACCCATCTCTCTATAGACACACATATTAGTACACTGTATATGCAAATCCCACGCTCATATTAATATATTAAGCGTTATATGATCATCCTTATATCAAGTAATACAGATTAATGTAATTTTTTAGGATTTGGATATTATCCTTAAATACTGGTGTGTTTGTGTCTATTGTACGACTAAAATTTGCATTAACGCAAACTATACTCGCCAATTATAATCTAGTAGAAATATAAGAATATAGATTTGGATAGCTACTCGCAGTGCTTCGACAATTAAGCTCCACTACATACATACCTTAGTTTTTATAACAGAGAGCAGCTTTATAAACGACCAAGTTCTTAGCATTTCTGTATGGCTAGTACGTTGTACAGAAAAGTTAAAACTGAAAGAAAAAAATCACACAGGCCCAAGCTTTTCCAAGTTGATAACACAATACACGAAGTATATAAATATGAATAATCAATAAAGAAAATAGGTGTGAAAGAGATCGAGAAGTGTGGGGATGCAAAAATGTGTGGCTGTTTGGGACAAACTCTAGAGAGAGAGTAGTGAGAGGTGGTCCTTACTCTATTCCATGTTTACTGTTGTGAAATTGTAACACTTCACCGTCTCAATACCCTTCTCATTTATGTTTGCTTCCCCTTTAAATTCAACCCCTACTTTAACCAATTCATTCAAATCTTATACACATCATTACATCTCATATTTAATCAGTGTTAGAAAAACGCTAGAGATTAGAGATTGACAAAGTATTTGGGAGATGATATATCCAATACTATTCCAAGAGACTATAAAGGTTTTTTCTAATATAAAATAGCTGCCAATGAGAGATTATGGGGTAGAGAGGCCCCCTTTGTATTGCAATTCGGTAAATTGTAAAAGAATTATACTCAGTAGTAAAGTCCTTTCTTTTAGCTATGCTTTTAAACAGAGAGGACTGCTCACAGGCCAACCTTTTTTCAAGCCTAATTATGAGATACTCTAATGGAATCAGAAAAATTCCAGTAATAGGAAAAGAGTGAAGGAAATTAATATAATTCTAAATAACAAAAAACAGTGACATTGTTATATGCGGAGAGGCAAATGATGATAATTGACGATTTACCATAACATTTTCTCAAAAAAAATAGACGATTTACCATAACACAAGACAAGATCGGTCGTATTTCATACGCGAAGTTTAGAGTATCAGTATCACCCACTTACTATATATTTTCTGCACGTGCTTATCGATTCATTTATATCTTTTCATAAATGTACTGATCGCAAGTAGTATAATACTAATAAACTTCAAAACAACAATAAAATAATCACACAGTTTAAATTACCAGGAAATTATCTGACCAGGTGTGACAGAATTAGACATTTTCTTGCTGTCTCAAAACATCAAACGCTCTTGTTATGGATGTTGATGATTATGACACAAAGATATAAAAATACTCCAATATAATAATATGGTCATTATAACAATTCTCTTATTACTAAGTACTAACTAAGCTCGATTACATTTTATGTATAGCCCAAATAAAAGTTATGTTTACATGTTATGCCTTAGTTTTAGAAAAATAAAAAATATGATATGCTATATTTTCAACTTTGATTAATATTTTATAAATTAGATCATTCTAATTTTTACAATTTTTTTATATGAAATGATGAGCCCAAAACGAAGACATTGTCGTGATTTGAATATATTTTACATACGCATATATACCAAATATTTTTGTTTGCTTCAAATTGTTTTTGTTGTGGGTTAACAAAAAAAATGGTTTTGTTGTGATTGATGTATATGTAGAAGATTATGGACCACGAAAAACATGGACACATCAGCAACCAAACCTACTTCCCCCGCTGGTATCTGTAAACTAATAATTGCACAATTAGCGATGCGAAATTAGTTATGTGTTTTTGTTTCTCTTACATAGAGATTATCAAATCTTCATTACTTAATTCCTTCTTATAATAGTACTAGACTGATAATCCACGTGACTCGCTCTGACAAGATATTGATAAACAAAACTGAAAAAGACATACAGTAACCTTAGTATTAGTATTGAACTATTGATCATTGCATTGGCATGGTTAACTGAATTCTGAATCGATATCATTACTACAGAGGTGTAACAATAATTTGTCCCTGAATATTGTTTGTACTGTACATATCCCTCTGTATATACTCCCTCAGTTTTTTTTTAATGAATTTTCTAGCCATTATGTGTTGTTTCACAAAGATAAAATTTTTACCTTTTTGATGCACTTTTTCAGTTTTCAAGATACAATGATTATATTTGTTGGATTTTTATTGGTTTAAAATTATAAAAAATTGTTTTATTGCAGAAATCTATGCACTAATGATTGAAAATCAACTTTTTCTTAATATGTGTGAAAAAACTAGAAAATTTATCTTAAAAAAACGGAGGGAGTACTATATAATACGTGTTTAGGTGATTAATTTGATTATTAATTAACCGATTAATCAGTACACTGTTTTAACCTAATGAGAAATGAACAAAATTACACATGGGTACATAGTTGCTTTTGAATTTTCCAAATAGCTAATCAATCGTTAGAAAGACACGGAATATAAATAAAGACAAAAGACGGTTAGGACGTTACAGCATCTGTGCGTATATGTGAATACATGGTAATCATGACATGCCAGCAATTGGAATAGTAGTAGGTGAGGATTATATTTAATTGAATGTGATCAAATGCATGCGTGCATGTATACAATTATATTGATTTTGTTTATGATTTCTCTATATATAGAAAAGATGTGCAGTGTACTGATAGCTGGAAACACACAGGTTAGTAACTATATATATAAACTCGAATCACTTTGACTAGTGCTAACTACCAAAAACTAGATGTGAACTCACATTGCTTTAACTAATGGTACACAATAATTATTAGTAATCACAAAATATTACATAAATACAAAATAACCTACGTTTTCATCAGTAAAATGGGAAATACACATGGATACTCATTTTGATACAAAAAGAGATTAATGGAATCTCAACCATTTTAACACTTGCTCGACAACTACGTACACACACTTACTAAATCACACACACATGTATATGTATATATAAGCACATGTACATAGAGATTTGAAATTTCAATACAAAGAGCTAACTCGAAGCGTAATGAAAAGGACAAGAAGCTCACATGACCCGAACCATATCATTCATGGGCCCCTACGCATTACTCGGTAGCAATTTCTCTCTCTCTCTCTCTAAGTCTTGAAACTCCATCAAGAATCTCAAGCCACCATTTTTTTCTTCATCCTCTAAAGAGATAGAGAGAGATCCTTTTGTTTGGCAAGAACCCAATTTGAGTTCGAAGTCCCGATTTTGCTTTGATCTTTCTCTTTCATTTGAGAGTCAACGAGAGGATAGTTACACATACATATATTTATATATACGTATATATATGTAAACAATTTGGTTTGAATCTAGGGTTTTCATATTCCCCTTAATTTTTGTGGTCAAAGAAGAAAAGCAAAAAATCCAGTCGTCGAACCAAGAAGAGAAAGAAAATTTTAGTTTCAACATCTCTCTTTCTTCCTCATTCTCTCTCTTATATTACAAGGTGAGACCACACGAGAACTTTAATTTTATTTTTTCCTTCTTCCCTTCTTTTAATATATTCTTTGAATTTTTATCATTAATTCATCTATCCTTTTTAATAATTGTGGCTGGATTTTCGTTTCGTTTGGTCTTTTAATATTATCTATCTATAGGTATGTTGAAGATCTCGAGTTGAGTCATCATCGTCAATGACTATGAACAGCAACCGCAGGAATTCATCAATTCAAGAACAAGATAAAGGTTTACTCTTCATCAAGATTCACTAAATCCCATCTCAAGAAAAGGAGAACAAATTCGTCCAAGAACAAGAAAAAAAGGAAGTAATCTTGATCAAGAATCACTCAGACCCATCCCATACATGAAGCCAAGGAGGGCAAGAACAAGATAAAGAAAGATTTACTCTTGATTCAAGAACCATCTCACAAATCAAGATTTCTCCAAGAAAATTCAGATAAGTTCCTCATGGATTTATCCCTAGCTCCGACAACAACAACAACTTCCGACCAAGAACAAGACAGAGACCAAGAATTAACCTCCAACATCGGAGCTAGCAGCAGCTCTGGCACCGCCGAAAACTACAACAACCTCCCGACGATGATGATTCCCCCGCCGGAGAAAGAACACATGTTCGACAAAGTGGTAACACCAAGCGACGTCGGGAAACTCAACCGGCTCGTAATCCCTAAACAACACGCGGAGAGGTACTTCCCACTAGACTCATCAAACAACCAAAACGGCACGCTGTTGAATTTCCAAGACAGAAACGGCAAGATGTGGAGATTCCGTTACTCGTATTGGAACAGTAGCCAGAGCTACGTGATGACCAAAGGATGGAGCCGTTTCGTCAAAGAGAAAAAGCTCGACGCTGGAGACATCGTCTCGTTCCAACGAGGAATCGGAGATGAGTCCCAAAGATCGAAACTTTACATTGATTGGAGGCACAGACCCGACATGAGCCTCGTCCAAACACATCCCTTTGGTAATTTCGGTTTCAATTTCAATTTTCCGACCACTTCTCAATACTCCAACAGATTTCATCCAATGCCGGAATATAATTCTGTCCCCATTCACCGGAGCATGAACATCGGAAACCACCAACGTTCGTATTATAACAGTCAGCGTCAAGAGTTTGTAGGGTATGGTTATGGGAATTTAGCTGGAAGGTGTTACTACACGGGATCACCGTTGGATCAGAGGAGCATTGTTGGATCTCAGCCGTTGGTTATAGAGTCAGTCCCTGTTGTTCCGGGAAGATTAACTCCGGTGATGATGCCGCCGCTCCCTCCTCCTCCTTCTACGGCGGGAAAGAGATTAAGGCTCTTTGGGGTAAACATGGAGTGTGGTAATGACTATACTCAACAAGAAGAGTCTTGGGTGGTGCCACGTGGTGAAATGGGTGCTTCTTCTTCTTCTTCAGCTCTGCGACTAAATCTATCGACTGATCATGATGATGATGATGCTGATGTTGATGGCGATGGTGATGATCAATTTGCTAAGAAAGGGAAGTCTTCATTTTCTCTAGATTTCAATCCATGAGAAGTTTCATCATCTTCTTCTTTGAGTCTCTCTTTTATTTTATTTCATTAGTTAATTAATTTTCTAAATGGAGCTAGAATATTATAGCTAGTGAGGAGAAGAAAAAACGATATTCTTCGTTTCTTTCTTTTGGTTATGAGTTTTGTTTTTGACATGTTTCTTGATGTTCATTACTAGGCTTTTGTCACCATCTTGAAACTCGCATATTTTCAATTTTGTGTATAACCTAATATATTACTATTATGATTTACATAAAATAACATGTTCTCATGTCTCAAACTTTATCTAATTACATCCATTATATTCGGTGTATAACACTTTGTTTATTCATCATCTTCATAATCTATTATATTAAACCTGACTTATTGACATTTAACTTGTAAGACTTCCTTTAGGCTTTAGCTATAGCGTTTCATCAATCGAACAGTGTTCATCATCTTTTTCGCTCTCTTCTTTTTATCTCAATGATTTGGGATAATATATAAATGTCGACGAGTGGGAAAAAAGCTTATAAATTTCATGAATTGTACTCTCTGTGCCTATCTCCCTACACTGACAAAGTGCTTCATGGTACATTCTAAGCTAATGGGCAGGTCCAAAAAAAGCCTCTCTTTTTCTCTCTCTAATGGTCCTATTTTGTTTGTTTGGTTACTCTTGTAATTTTGCTCGGTTAAAGAGATTTTTGCAGGTTATGGGCAGAAAGAAAATAAAGAGAAGCTAGCTATGGAAGAGGGACTGATCCATATAGTAATTCAATTTATAATATATATAAAAGTAAATAACAAAAGGTATGATATGTTTCCACATTGTTTGACTTTTTATGATCGCAGATTCATTAATATCTCATTTTTCTTACTAATTCTAGATTCTTGTTTTGTTATTAACCTTTGGTCAATATCTGTTTTTCTGATGCTTTGGCTTGTAAGCTGAAGTGATTTTTACCAGATCAGGTATCTCTGTAGATCTCATAATAAACTCACGAGTTATTTTTAGAATGTTAGATCCTAAATCATTTGTCAGTTACTATATATACACATGTCTCTAAGTAAATACATATATAGCAAGCCTACATATACATAACATGCATGCGTATACATAAAAGAAATTGATTTGTAAATTGTGTGGAGCTTTTGTATGCAGTCATAAAGGAACATAATTTTCGTCCTAGGGTGTTCATATCTACGGCATGTATGCATATACATGTAGATGCAAATCCATGTATATAAATTATAAACACACACACAAACGTTAAGGTAGTCTTGAGAGAATTACTTTCTATAGTCCATATATATAGTAAGAGTGCGTCAAGTGTTAACTTTTCGCATAAAAGATCATATGAACCCAGTCAGAGATTTGATCTCTCTACTATTGTATAGACACAGTCCACACCTATTACCCGAATTCTTTGTGGTGTATTACTTATTTCCATGTTGTATATATGGATAGAGAGATGTATTGACGTTTTGTGCACCGTTATTTCATGTAACTAAGCACACTACTAGAGTCGAATTTCACTAGATCTGTTATTGTTTTCCTCTGGCTCCAACTTCAGATTTTCCATGACGAATGTACGAAGATTGTGGAGTTTGTATATCTTTCGACAATTAGTACGAGGGTCCGTACCATTTGTAGTCGAATGATCCTAAAGAAGGATACATGCTTGAACATTTTGTTCTAAGTACTCCATATACATTGAAGCTCAAACATAGGGTTTAATACTTGTGTGTGTGTGTAAGTTCTCCCTAGGCAGTGAACATCAAACAGTTAATTATATAAGATATATAGCCACGTAGACTAGATAATATAAACATATACATATGTATGTTTATTTATACGTATATCCCATATCTTCAGCATAGGGAGATAAAGGTGTTCTCTCTTATATATAAACACATTTGCGAAGGGGTGATCAAATGGAATATATAAATACACTATTCCAAAAAGTCTACAAGTTTGTGTAGATGTCTCAAAAGGCTTGTGCATAGTTGTCAAAAGAATATCAATGTATATTTATATCCAAAAGATTGCATTGAAAAGAAGATATAATGAAATAAAAAGGAGATTATAAGGGAAAAGCACGGATGGAATTAAAAAATATACGAAAATGACTAAAGCACACAGTATTGTAAATTTGTAATATATCTAAATGATTAGTTGTGTAAGAATAAAGAGAATAAATGACATGCTCCAATTATTGTTAAATAAATAAAAAATCCATTCTCATTAGATTCCTAACCTAAAAGAGAATGCAAATATGTAGGCCGGTTAGGGTTTTTTATAGGCATGATTGATGATGATAAAGAAACTTCGTATTGGCGTTAATGGGTTCCTCCCTTTCTTCTTATACAAATTTAAATAAAAGTAATGATTTAATATTCAATTCACCTTCGATTTTACCATTCCATTTTTATGTTTATCAACTTTGTTATATATATGAAGGGTAACTATTTCATCTAAGTTTTATATGGCTATGATGTACAAATATAACGAAGTCATATATGTAGCTCTTAAAGTTGAGATGTAATATTTTTTAATTAATTTCAGTTTATGGATCCAAGCATTTCAAAATGTTACATCACATGATCAAGAATTTTATGAAATTTGAACTATTTATAACGTACGTTATATTTAAAGTAGGAAGCAAAGTGGGCCTGATAATATCAAATGAAAGACTTCTAAAGCTAGGCCCAAACATGTTTAAAACAATACCCCAGATCCAGATTTAGACCCGGACCCGGATCGAATAGCTTCTTCTTCTTCCCTTCGAGAAAGAGAGAGAAAGAGAAAACGCAATGGCGAGTGAATACAGATGCGTGGGATGTGGGTATAGGGTCAAGTCATTGTTCATTCAATACTCTCCGGGGAACATTCGGCTCATGAAATGCGTAAGCTTCACGACGATCCTCTTCGACCTGAAGATGATCTGTTAGGGTTTTTTCAATTTATACTGTATTTTTTTCAAAGTTTCCATTTTTACTCATACTTTTCCGAACATACTGTATGTTGTTTATTTAGGGAAACTGCAAGGAAGTGGCAGACGAATACATCGAGTGTGAACGGATGGTCTGTTTTCACTAGTTTCCATTTTTGGTCTTGTAATTATTTTTCGATTTTTGCTTTTTGCTTTTTTTTGGAAATTAATTGATTCTCTGGCAGATTATATTCATCGATTTAATCCTTCACAGACCCAAGGTATATAGACACGTCCTCTACAATGCAATTAATCAAGAAATTGTAGATATTCAGGTAAACTATTTTAATTCCCAAACAAAGCTCTATAATTACTTTAAAGTTTCCTCTGTTACTCGTTCGCTGAAACTTGAACTGGTATTGCAAACTTGTTGAAATGTCTGTTGAACATTTTTTGCAGCAACTTTTGTGGAAATTGGTCTTCGGTTATCTTCTTCTAGACTCTTGTATCCTTTTGCTTCATACTCATTTACTATCGAAATGAGCTAGCAGACACAGTTTGTAGCTAGTAAATTTTTTTTATCAGAAAACTCATTTAAAAAGCCTTGACCTCATCAAAAGATAGAAGCTTGCTACTAAGAAGAAGTGATGATGAATCAAGCTTTTCTGAGAACTCGCTTCTTATATCCGCCGTAAAGGTTATATCTTCTTCCATCTTTCCTCTTGAGATTTATAAGTTCGGGTCATTGAGGTAGCTGATAAAGGATTGACAACTAATTTGCATGTAACAGGTTCTAATCGGCGCTCTAACTGCAAATGTTGCATTTATCTTCTCTTTTGCCATTGCGGCCAAGTGTTTGCTAAATGAAGTTTCCAGGTGAATTATTTCCTTCTTATTATGAGTTTTTTCGATAAAGATTCACACTTTCGATTGTGTATGTATGATATTTTCTTCTTTTGAACTTTGCAGAAAAAGAGAGATTATTTTGGGGATATTGATCTCGAGTTACTTCAAGATCTTTCTGCTAGCTATGCTGGTATGTTGTAGCTTATGTCCTAATAACGAAGTACCAAACCATAAATCATTATGTCTCTCTTTTCCCAAAATGAAAGTCTTGTGTATATATACAGGTATGGAAATTCCCAATTTCAGTGATCTTCATCATAGATATACTTGTCTTAACATCAAACTCCATGGCTCTTAAAGGTTAGACCTTCAAAATGTTCTTATTGCATCAAGACTGGTTGTTGTTGTTTTAGAATCTGACACAGTACAAGTTGTTTTCGTGTTAAAACCAGTGATGACTGAATCAACCACGAGCAGATGCATAGCTGTATGCTTGTTGGCGCACTCGGTTAGATTCTTGGTGGGTCAGATCTTTGAGCCAACAACATTCTTTACACAATTTGGATCTCTCTTGCATCGCTCTCCTTTATTCAGAATCCTATGATCCCCACCATGTTCCATTACAATGCTTTGTTTAGAAGAAAACAAAGAACAGAGTATCAATTCTGCCATTTCTGAACTAAAAAAATTCTCTAAGCAAATTCTTCCATTTCGTAAGTGTTATAAATTAAGAAAAAATACAACAAAAAAAATAATAAAACGATGTATGCAAAAAAAAAAAAAAAAGGAAAAAAATTGTTGTATTAGTAAAATATCTGACACGTCATCAAACTAAAAATTGCCTCCCGCACAGTAATGTGAAGAAGTGAATCCAGTGGTCTCCGGCTTGGAGAAAATGGACACGTGTATGGTCACAACACCATGGATGATGCTTATAGTGGAAGTTGGACACTTGGACTGATGAAGCAGTGGGCCCCGGATCTTTCAACTGCAGCAACGGCCAAATCTAGAACTGAGTACTGATTGGGACACGTGGAAACGCGTTATCGCGCCGGTTTTTAGTCTGAAATATTTCCGGAGATCTCATGAAACCAAAACCAAAACCAAAAATGGAATCTTTATACACCACAAAAACATACACAACTGTTACATACACTTTTTTTTTTCTGCTTTTTCTCTACATATTAATCGCACAACTTCACACTTATTCGAGCGATAAAAACAGAGTAAAGACATCCAACAACAACAAAAAACAAAGCAATAAACAAACTTGTGAGCAAGAATCTGATTTGACCTATCAACCAACTAGAATGATCCAGCCAATGATGAAGATGAAGAGCAAGAACCCAGTGACCATGTTCTTGAGATAGTCCCACTGTGACTTCCTTTGACTCATCTCCTCTAAAACAATCCATCTCTGCTTCACCACGGTGGTTGATGTTGCTTTCTTGACTGAGTATTCAGCCATTTTCCACTCACATTCGCTTCTCTGCGCATTCATCACCTGCAACCACATTCCATAGCCCATACTTTAGATACACTGTAAACCATAATTTGATGAAATTATGTTTTCGCATTCTGTATCAAGACCTTTTCATCGCCCTGCAACTGCAACTTCAGCTGCTTTGGCTGCTCTTGTGCAACGTAATCCTGCAACGGCTCAATAGTACTCGATGGAGTATGGTACGGTCCGTTTGAGCTAGCAACACTATCAGTCGAGCTCGAAGTGTCTCCGCAAATCTATTCACAGCCAAAAAAACAAAGTGTGAGCATCGAAACAGATATTCTGATGATATGTTTATTATGTGTAAACATGCTTACCATTGAGTCAGTGTCGTCATCACTGCTATCATCGGCGAAAACCCCTGACACAGGATCTTTTGGGCGGTGCTCACTGCGATTCTCTTGCATATGTGTCCTTTCATCTACCAAAGACTCAAAGTTTTGTCTAATCTCATAGTCCCAAATCATCTGCGACTCCTCTCCATATGGGGGAAAGTAAGGAGCTTGTTGCTGCGCGTTAAAGTCGCTAGCAAACCACTGATCTGCTGAATCATACTCATAGAGATTGTTTAAAAATCCTGATTGATGCGTGTTCAAGTCGCCGGCAAACCACTGGCCATGATTTGCTGATTCGTACTCAGAGAAAGTGTTGTAAGATCCTTGAAGTGATTGGTCGACCTTGAAACATCAAATCAGTTAGACAAAAGTTTCTTTTTACTATGCCTACTCAGAGTTAAAAATTAAGAGCAAACAAACAGCTTAGACATTGACTCACCACAGAACCAGCACTAGTAGTCATATTGGCGGCAAAAGTGGGAGTAGGATCTGTTGCCTTAGCAGATATAACGTTCAGGTTGTCACCTTTATATTCCAGCCTGCAGATGACATATGTCCTCTGTACAAAATTCCAGAGGTAAAGCACAAAAGTAAGACACTGATTTTGGAAGCTCTTTCAAAAACTAAGTAAGACACTGATTTTGAAACCCTTGTGCAACAAACATCGTTTTTACACAGTTATGAATCAGCAGAAACCACATATAGAGCATTATATGACTAATATACAACCAAAAGAGCCACAATTTCAGTCAACATTTAGCTCAGAAATGGAAAGAACAACACTTCTGTGACTAGTCTAAGTCTACCAACACTAAAGCCCAAAAGAATGAGTGAAACTGAAGATTAACAATCAGAGTATGAGGCGGATTGAAAGAAAAACCTGATTTTCGGGCAAGAGAGTGTAGTGATACTCGTGAATAACCCAATCAGATTTGGTGCCCTTGGAGCTTGAGCTTGAGCTCTTTCCCCTGTGGAAACCCAAAACCCTTTTCTGACCAATAACAGTGCCTCGACTTCCACACCAAGTTCCCCACTGATCTTTGACGTCGACATGATCTCCGGTAATTTTCCAGAACCCAGACCCAGAAGCCGTTCTCCGGCTCTGTCGATTCCCACTCGCGTACTTGTTCTCCCTACGAGAGAAGAAATACCACATACGATCTCTCGATTTGATCTTCGACTGGGCTGTTCAATTAAAAGATGGAGAGAGAGACACCAGAAACAAAAAAACCCTAAATCAGAAATCAAAACGCGAAATTTCGAGAAAAAAAGAATAGAAAACAGCAATTATAGCAACTTACAGGGCAAGTCCGAAGGATCAAAGCTACAGATGTTGACCTCGTTAATGGCTCCTTCGACGAGCTCATTTTCGCCATGAATTTTGTTGCGGAGATAGTAGCCGACGAGCTCAACGTCCGTCGGACGGAATCCAAACCCCACCATATCCTCCATTTTCACTCGAGAGAACAATCTTCCGACTACAATCGGTGATTTCAGGGTGAAAATCGAGGAAAGTACTTCGGTTGTTTCCGGGAAAGGAGGTTTCGTCGCCGGTCGCTCTCTCCGATTATAAATTATTTGTTTTTTTTCTGGTTTTGGTTGATTTATTTGGAGGGAGGAGACGCTGGGTTTAAATAAGCAAGCCCCATCAATTTTCATTTTTCATTTTTTTGTAATAATTTTTTTGATAAGGATATCCGGTTCGATTTGGTTTTTATCCTAATATTTTCACAAAACCGTTTTTAATCATTACCAGTCAAAAATGGTTTTCACTAAATGTCTCTTTCTTTTGTTCAGTTCAGTATTTCATTTGTTCAGATAGGAGACAAAATCAAATTAGGATCTATAAAAAAAAACGGAAATTAGTAATCAATAAACATATTTATCAAAATCGGTTAAGTTGAAGCGAACTGTGTCCACACACTGTAATCACTAATTTGCATCAAAAAGGAAAAAAGAAAAAGAAAATTAAATGATAAATTCAGGCTTAGCCGGGAAGCTGGGCGGTAAGTGGGCCCAAAACAAAGGTGAGAAACTCGAATCTGTCTTCTTCCCACTCCTTTATTTAGCTTGTGTGAACACACATAATATTTTATTTTATTTTATTTTCAAATTTAATTTTGGGTGCTTGCTCTATCACTATCCCCTCGATTCTTCAAGTATATAAATCAATCCTATTTTTGAATCGTACAAAGTTGTGATTAAATCTCTAGACGATTCGTGATCTTCAAGTTTGACCATATGTTTTACTGAAGAATAATATAAGTTCATTGAAAATTGTTATTAATAATCTTGGAATAGTCCAGCAGCAATAGAAACGTATACCAAGTAGGGAGGTTGTTGATTTTTTTCTTTTTCTTTAGGTATCACAAAGTAGGTGATTAGATTTTTTTCCTTTCTCCTATACTACGAAAAATGTTAAATGAGGAGGAAAGTATCCTCTCACTCACTAATACTTCCTACCATGTCCATGTGGTTAGTCAAACGTTTCTTCTTAATTTGACTAAATTAAATATTTCATAGCTAAGTTTGTTCGAAGGAATATGCTTACAACTTTGTTTCACACATAGACCATACATATATAATACTAAGGTTATTGCTAGACTCTGAATCAGTCATTATACATATACTGTGTTAATAATCAACACTGTACTATATTTTTAAAAGTTGTATTGCTTCTTGCTTTCTTGGCATTTTTTTTTTGTACCAATCGAAATTCATTCATGAACTTGGACAAATGATGATGCATGACGTATACGGTATACCTAGTTAGCCAGCCGGAGACAGAAGCAAACACTATACAAATAAAATCTAAAAGAAGATTTGATTTCGTTTCTTGTATTGACGGAAACTACATTCGATCGTGACCAAGAAAAAAATTTACTTTTGAACTAATGCGTGATTACAAACAAGTAGAAGAGAACTGTGACCAAAACAAAAGTTAGAAAGCAAGTGGTTTCAATCTTGACCAATAAGGGACTCTCCTTGTAAGAAATTATAGTCATGCACCAAAACAAAAAGCTTAGAGCATGTCCAGGAAACGTATCTTGGTTTTTTTTTTTTTTTTACTTAAATTTAAATATTATAATTAAACTAAATTTAAAATATTAGTATTATATTTTTGAGAGACTATTAATCATATCTCACTGCTGGACATGCTATTAAAGAAAAACCGACATCAAAGTACAATAGAAGTCAAACTTCACTCACATTTTCCGTATATACAGACACTTTATCTTATGTTTCTATGAGCTGACGAGCATTGAATTAAAGGTTTTTCTAACATCGTATATATATATAATCTTGAAGCTTTTTTGAAAATGGAAATTTGACTTCAGAGCTCAACTGAGACTAATTCTGTGGATATTAAGCGAATCCATAGTAACACTTCTAAAAATCACGAAACAAGCTAAACAGATGTGATTTAATTATTATATATACAACAGCTCAGAATCCCTAAGAGAATATTATAGAATTGATGTACAAGATGGATTATCTAAAGATAATCAGAAACATAACATAAGAAAAGATATTTACATAATACTTCCCAATATAAATTAAGCTCTATCGGACCGGAGTCATACCGATTTTCTGCTACTTGTTCAATTTCCACCGTACCAAACAAAGATAGAGAGTTTCTAGAAAAGCCACACTATACCGACTTTTGTTCTCTTAAAAGTAGGAAACATACAGAAAACATAACAGAAAAGGATTAGGAATCTTTAAGCGTTTTTGTTTTGTTTTCAAGATAAGATCAGATAAATCCAACAGTTCAAAAAGGAAAACATCATATATTTCAAACGGATTAAATTTAGTTTCAAAAAAGGAAATAAAGTACAAAGTAAAATCCTAAAGAGACACTGATTAGGATTCGTAGACCAATATAAAAAGGAGGCATACCTGACTCTCTTTTCCTCATCTATTCATCAAACGCTCTCTGATTTAGCTGAGTTCTAGAGCTTTGCTTCCTAATACCTTTCTTCTTCGATTCCTTTTGTGATCTTTCTTCCTAATTTGTCTTGGATCCATAATGGCGTCAACAAGAAGAATCTTGTGCTTCGTGTTCGTGATGATGACGGTTCTCTTTGGTTGCGGCTCGGCGACGATCTACAAAGTCGGAGACTCCGATGGATGGACTGCCAAGGACGATGTCTATTACGATTGGGCCGAACGTAAGGAATTCCACGTGGGAGATTCTCTGGTCTTTCGAATACGATCGCAACGTCAACGACGTCACGCAAGTCTCTGGCTCTTTGGAATACGAATTCTGCGACACTTCTTCTCCTAAAGCCGTCTACAACACAGGACACGATGTCGTGACTCTCACGGAACCGGGTTTTTACTACTTCATCACCTCAAATCAAGCTCAGTGCGCTTCCGGACAGAAACTCGACGTTCTTGTCGTCGTCCATGACCCGTCAAGTCCGATTTCCTCCACCATCACCATCGAGCAAGATCCTTCCTTACGGAGAGATCTACAAGGTCGGAGACTCTGAAGGATGGAGCGTCTACAACAGTGACTTCTATTCCAAGTGGAGAGGAGAAACAGTTTCATGTGGGAGATGTTCTGCTTTTCGAATACGGCAACGAAGTCAACGACGTCATCGAGATCAACGGTGATCTTGAGTTCATATCCTGCGATCCAACTTCTCCTGTAGCTGTGCACAAGACAGGACACGATCTCGTTAGGCTCACAGAACCAGGAGTTCGTTATTTCATAAGCTCAGAGCCTGGTCGTTGTGGGCTGGACTTAAGCTTCGAGTGGTGGTGCAACCACAGCCCAAAGCTGTTACTTACCCAAACTTTCCCAAGAAGAAGGACTTGTCAGTGATGGACCGCCTCAACAACTGGTTGCAGACCTTTAGGTCCCAACCTCATCATTAACCATTCGGTTTTTATTATGACTTCTTATGTATAGTAGGAGAGCCTCTTGTTTAAACTTCTTTAGTATTCCATCGTTGTAAAGTTTATTCCATCGTTTTTATTATGAACTTCTTATGTAGGAGAGTAGTGTTTAAACTTCTTTAATATTCAATAAAATTTCATGTTTCCAATAAAGTTTATTTCATCGTTTTTACATACATACACATAGGAGATTTGGTAGAACTCCCATAAAAGAATCATAAACAATAGTTGAAAGAAAAAAAAAAGATAGGCACACGCTTATACGACTTGAATATTGAGTTACAAAATATATAATTAACATGATATATATGCTTAGAGACAGAGAGTACGTAATGAGTGAGCTTATTGATTAGTTGATGAGGAGGAGACCAATGGCAGTGACGATGAGTGTAGAAGGCAAACCAAACTTGAAGTGTTTAGTGAAAGTGAGAGTGTAGCCATGGCTCACTGCTCTACGAGCTTGCTCACACACTATCAGGTTAGCCGCCGAACCAAGCAACGTCAAGTTTCCAGCCACCGTGCTCACCCACGCCAGCATCAGCCACGCCTTCTTCTCCTCCTCCCCTCCCGCCGCCGACGCCGCCACTCTCGCTCCCAGCAAAAGCACTACACACAAAAACAAAAACAAACTGTTTGTAGAGCCAAAGCCAACAAACAAAAACATGTTTTGGTAACTAACTTTTGAGAATCATGTGACTCACCGGTTGGTACATTGGAGGCTACGTTAGAGAGTACAAGAATCACAACCGCGAGAACCGCGATTCCTTTTGGTTGGTCGATCTTCGCATATGGCTCCATTAGATCCCATAGAGCCGTTGGGATACCAGTTTTGTTAAATCCATCGACAGTTATGAACATCCCACAGAAGAATATCAGAAGCGAATACGACACCTTCTCTAGTGACGGCCTTGCGTCTTTGAAATCAAGAACGACGAGCGCTAGAGCCGCTGTAATCGCGGTCCACGACATGTTCAAACCCATAACGAGAGATATCAACATCCCTAACGTGATCAAATACACACTTGACTTCCAAAACACTCTTCTCCATTTCTTGATTTGGAACATGTTGTTAACGTTACTGCTCTCTCCTTGAGACTCTGACGCATTTCGGTTTGTAATTTCGTTCTCAGCTGCAGAAACGGCTCTGTTTCTAAGCGTCTCAGGATCCATTCTCAAGCTCGAATCTTCGGATCTGAAAGAGCTGAGATGCGGCAATGTAGCTGGCGAGAACCGATGAGATTGAACATCTTCTTCAACAACGGCTTCAGAAACCGCATTCTCTTCTTCTTCTTCCTCTTCCTCCTCTTCTTTATGATCAGACAGTAACCGCCAATACATGGCGAGAAGAAGCAGAGCGTTGACGGTAATGCCAACAATCATCGCAGGAAACACTCCGAGAAGAAACTCCCAAAACGGGATCTTGCTCTGCACAGCGATGACAAGATTCTGCGGATTCCCAATCGGAGTAGCGGAAGATCCAATGTTGGCGCTCGTGGCTAAAGCGAGCAGGAACGGGTGTGGCGGGAGGTTCTTCTGCCTAGCGATCTTCAAGACAAACTCGGTTAGGACCACACAAGACGTGTCGTTGGTGAAGAGAGCGCTTGAGACAGCGGAGACAAGACAGACACGAAGAAGCAAGTCTTTAGGTCCTCTGCTTCTCCAAGAGAGCAATGTGCCCAAGTACTGAAACATGTCAGCTCTCTCGAGGTAGATGCTAACGACCATTGTGCCGAAGAGGAGGCCGAGGATCGGGAGGTCGATGGCTGCGTAAGCATGCTCCGGGGTTATGACTTGGAAGATAACCATTAGCATTGCTCCGAACAGAGAACCGGCGGTTCGACCGATTGGTAGGAATGGCACGGAAGGGAAGACTGCTAATACCCAGAAAATGGCAAACGCTATTGAGCCTAGAACCAGCTTGATTACTGGTGCCATTGCCATTTTTCAATCTCTGGGTTTTTTCAGATGAAGGAATCAAAAAGCATGGAATTTTTGGGGGTTGTGAGATTCAAAGCCGAAGAGCATTGACTCTCTGATTAGTCTGAGGACGTTGACGACTCCGATCAGATGTCGTTTCTGTTGAAAAAAGAGAGGAAAAGGGCAATCGAATTCGAAGTCAATTACTTGATCAAAGGCGAAAAATTGTGTCTGAAGAAGCAATCGGAAGAGAAGTAGAAGCAAAATCAAAGTAATCAGAGCAGAAAAGGTTTCACCTTTATAGTCCACGACGAACTCCAAAAGTGAAAAGTGAAGACGCCCAAAAGCTCTCTGTATCTTTTGGGTTTCGCGGCTACGGAAAGATCTTGCCTTTTTTAATATCATGATCTTCGTTGGTAGAGATTATTACTTTATTAGAGACCCACATGACGTGTTTTACTTTTAATCATGAAAAAATAATCAAAATTTTAAATTCCATTTAATTGTCTGAAGTTTTTTAATCTCCCTTTGTTCCACTAAAAAGACTTTATGGGGTTGATTTTGTTTGTTTAATGTTCCATTTGATTGATCTTTTAAGAGGAAGCAAAAGTCAAGATAACAAAGAGTTTAGAGAGGAAGCAAAAGTGAAACACAAATGACTTAAGCAAGGTATCATTCACAAGACTCAAATTATCCGTTAATTATCTGCTGCTGTCGGCAACTTTGTAGACTTTCCAACATACTCCCTCTCATACTGAAAAATACAGAGAAGATGTGATGAAGATGAAATCATAACAATGGTCACAAAGTTAATGATTCGATGGGCTTATATATGTACCTGTTCAATCCTCTTCTGAATCTCATCCTTGAATTCCGCTATTGCTTTACTACTGGTAAAATAACCTAAAATAGAAAGAAAAATATATCATGGAAACTTGAAGGAAGTATTAAATCTCTCTCTCTCTCTCTATACTTGAAGGAAATTGTTAGAGATATACTGTATGATATATGTTTGCATCATACTATATGTTAATGTTATATGCTAACATATATTATCTCTAACAGAAATATTATACCTGCCGCATATCCCATAGACATGATGACGATTGGATTGAAGTATTTTTGGCCAACTCCGAGGAGGGGCTCGCGTCTGATTAGCTAGTTGGTGAGGCAATAGCTTACCAAGGCGAGGCAATAGCTTACCAAGGCGATGATCAGTAGCTGGTCCTCTCCAGTGCCTCTACAATCACAGATGACAAAAAGACAAAGACAAAGACAATCTTCTTTTATGACCCGACAACAAATTTCCCTCCGAATGCGAATGCGAATGCATCAAAACAAAAACATCAAATCGTTACCTATGGCTAAAGCAATTCGTTCTGCAGCTCCCTTCGCCTCTACAATCACAGATCACAAAAAAAAGATAAAGACTTTATGAAAAATCCCCTAGCGAATTTGACAGATTTCAGGCGGAATCAGACAGCAGATGACCCCGAAAAAAAAAAAAAAATCAAAACTTTTTGAATACATCAACACCAAAACGTTACCTTGGATAACGGGGGGCGAAGAGAAATTACGGTGAGGCACAACACATCTCCCTCCGCGCGTTGCCTGCGTGATAACGGATCGAACAAGACTCAGCATGTCGGATCAACTAGGGTTCTTTCTCTCTGATTTGTGTTCTCTCTCTCTTGTTTGTGTGCACTTAGATAGGTTCAAATAGGCCTGCGTTGTCCTAATGGGCCTATACTATGAAACTGGGTTCGAATCTCATACAATTTTTGGCCTGTGCTGCTGTGCATAGGTAAATTAATTTAATAATATAAAGGATATAGTTTTCCTAATACAAAATTAATAAAATAATCAAATTCTTTTTTTTTTCTATCGACAACGTTCTCGTTATGACTTTATGAAGCTTTTGTAAAAACTATATCCGTATATTGAGATGTTTATTTGGGTAAGCTTAATCAAATAATGGTTAAATATTTTGCGGCTTTTCTTTAATGCGTTTCTTTTTGTTTGTTTCAGTCGTAGTGTGGGACACCGATTTGGGACCCAACAAGCTTCTTCTTCACCTGCAAAACAGAGAAACCCATTCCACTTTCAGTATTGGTTTTTCAGTAAAACATTAGAAAACCAAATATTATCTCCCATATACCTCAGATTCCTTAAGCAGAAGGGAACGTATCTCGAGAAATTCCGAAGCCATGTAGACGAGACCTCCACCTAAAAAGCATCCCCCGTAAACTAGAGGATCTTCTTCCAACGGATTCTTGCGAACTCTCCCCCCAGCTCCATTTGCCTCTACAATCACAGATGACAAAAAGACAAAGACCCAACAACAAAATAGTAAGAGATCACAGCAAATTCCCCCTGCGACTACAAATTCATCGAAACAAAAACATCAAATCGTTACCTCCGGCTAAAACAATTCGTTCTCCAGCTTGCTTCACATCTACAACTACATAAGTCAAAAAGATGAAGACTTTATGAAAAATTAGAGACAACATATGACCCAAAAAAAAAAAAAAATCAAAACTTTTGAGTATTTTTGCTTTTTCTATCACGAATAGATCAACACCAAAAAGTTACCTTGGCTAACGGAGGGCGAAGAGAAATAACGGCGAGGCACAACACATCTCCCTCCGCGCGCTGCCTGCGTGATGACGGATCGAACAAGCATGTCGGAACAACTAGGGTTCTTTCTCTCTGATTTGTCTTCTCTCTCTCGTTTGTGTGCAGTTAGATAGGTTCAAATAGGCTTGCGTTACTTATCCTATGGGCCTATATACATTTTGATTATGACTTGTGAAGTTTTTGAAAAAACTATATCCGTAAACTACTATCTTTTTATTATTATTATTATTATATTATTAATTGAGAAGTAAATGATTAAATTATGACAAAAAATCAATCTAATTATAAAGAAAAAGTATTTGGTAACTGATTTAATAAGGTCAATTTAGTATATTGTAATGTTTGGATACAAGAATAAGAGAAAAATCTATTTAGATAGAAGAATAAATGGAAAAAATTGTTTAGATACAAGAATAATAATTATTTGAATACGCTTTATCCATTCCTACTGTGAATATGTAGCACACAACGGCTTCTTCTTAACCAACTCCTTAATTTCCTCGGCCATTAATAGAAATTTGCAGAAACCTTCAAACATAAACATCAGAAATCAAGATGGAGATGAACAAATCAATCATAAATAGCTTTCTCCATCAAAAATCAATCAGGAGGAGCCTTGTTCAGTCCTTCGGATTACGCTCAAAATGTTTTGCTCAAGCGGTTTTTCACGCACGAAAAACATTCGAAAACAACATTGTGCGTGAGGTTCTTCATGCACGAAAACCGCACTAAAACCGATTCTTTGTGAGCAAAAAAATATTACAATTGTTGGATTTTTCCAAGTTTGTTAATTACAATTTTCAATTAACTAATATTTATTCTTCGGTAAACATATGGTCAAAGTTGAGTTAGATCACGAATCACCATTCAAGAGAGTAAAAAATCTTCTTGATGGATTTAATTACTATTTTGAAGAATCGAGGGGTAATGTTAGAGCAAGAACCCAACATTAAAATTTAACACAAAATAAAATAAAAGAGTATAAGACAAGAGACGAGAGCTAGCGGTGCACAGACATGTCCAAACCCATAAGCAGAGATATCAACATTCCTAATGTGATTAAATACACACTTGATTTCCAGAAAACACTTTATCTCAAAAATCTATACAAATATCAAGAGATCCCAGTGCAAATCCCGAATCTCTCTATTACATATTGACAAATAGAACTAGCTACAAAAACAGTTTAGCTACAGAGCATTTTGACGGGAGAGAAATGTACGGTGAGGCAAGCATGATCCGAGAGGCTGTAACTCTCTGGCCACAATCCTTTCTCTGCTTCTTCCGGAAACAGAACCGCTTTCTTCACTTTCAATCCAATCGCTTCTTCTTCTTCTTCTTCTTCTTCTTCTTCTTTCCTACTCACCATCATACTCTCTTTGCAGTTTCCAGACTGATTCATCATCGTCATGTTCCAAATTTTCTGACATAATACACACACAGACACATCAGAGTCTTCTTCATTGACGTTTTTAAGCAAAGTTATTTTTCATTGACCCATTTTTGATTCCTGGATTTACCTTGAGCTCTTCATAGTCGAAGACACCATTTCCATCAAGATCAGCTCGAACCCATAGCTCTTTTGTTTCTTCGAAGCTAAGTCCATGTGGAATACCCGTCAGATTTACCTGCCACAATACGTTTGATCGATCACAATGTGAGAAACTCACTTTTAACTTCATCATACTGTTAATCAGTGAAATCTTCAGTTGGTCAAAGTTTTTAGAGCTAGTGTCAAAGTTCAATTAGGATCTGCAGATTTTAAGGTTTTCTTGGCAGCATTTGCAGATAATGAAACTTAATATTAGAGTTCTCTTTCTCCTGATGAAACTGAATTTACCTTTTGAAGTGCTTGGCAAAAGTCTGGGTAGGTTAGTGAATCACTGCGATTGTTTGCCCCAAGAAAAGCAAAGGCATTGTCCTCGGCTATAGAAGCTTTCTGGAGTTGATACTGGAAAGTGGAAACCATCACGAGATGTCAGAATTATACATTACAAACAGGACTTGAAAATATCAGACTGGAAGGGGACAATCTCACCTTGATAATGCTGAAAACAGCTTCCACCCAACTTGTTCTCAATGGTTTTCTTGAATTGTTAGGGTTACAGAGCCATATGAAGTCAACTCCGCATATGTTTCCCCTGTGGTTCCTATGGCTAACCCACTGAAGAAAAGAAAAGAAGAAAGACAGTTAAGGATGGTCTTTTACAGCATGACTCAGGTTTTAATAACATAAGAGGCTGGAGTAAAAAAGTATCAAAGAGATGTCTACCCTATGAGCATCACTGTCAGTATACTGATGAGCAACATCATACGATGATATAAACCCTTGAGATCTCAAGAATTTGTAGACATGCCCACGCTTGCTTCCATTCCAATCACTGAGATAAGCATAATTCAAAGTCTGTGATTACGCTTTACTGGTGGAGGGACACAATTTCAAAACTCTTAGAGAACAGAACTCACCCGCATAGAATAATGGGCATATGGGCAAGTTTGTTTTCCTTTTGGTAAGCTTCCAGATATTCGAGAATTTTGTAAACCTATCAACAGAAGCACAGGTAACAAAGTTATAAATATCACAATATCCAAGGAGAACGGCCACGAGAAATGATAAGAAGGATGACCAACCTGATGCAATCTTACAATAGACAGACTAGAATCATGTGGGAACAAGAGATGAGTGTTCACCATAAGGACTTCTTGTTGAAAGTCTTGTTTCCCATCGAGTGGAAAGGGAACAACTGATTTGACATGCAAGAGCTGAGCAACACGGTCTCCGAAATCGTTAAAGAGCAGCTCCCGGTAATTTACAAGCTTAAAGTAGTCCTTATGGATTGCAGTTAAAAGACCTGTAAGACAGAGATATCCATATGAGACATCAATAAAAAGAAGAAGAAGAAAGCTATCTTTGATCGCAGGCGATCAGATAGAGGAATCCAAACCTATAGAACTGAATTTGAATATTTGCACTCCATCCATCAAAAACAGTCATTGAAAGGTTAGATTGCCGCTTAAAACGACATCCTACAAACAACGATTTTGAAGATCATATAAAAGCAACCTCCAAATTCCCAAAGATTCTGAGCTACCGATCAAGCAACAGCGAGCTAAGTTTCTAATGACTTTGGACAGAGAATTTTAACCTATAGCAATATTCAACAATAACCACAGACTCATCATTCCACTCCAAACTAGAACTGACGCCATTTTCAATCAAAAGTGTTAAAGCATTGATTAAAAGTCGAGAAAGTTTACCATCACCACGACCGTTTGTTCTAGCCAACTGGTAGATGGTGTAGCCTGCAGAGCCAAGCCGATCGTGGTACATGTTCACCAATTCCTCATTCCCAACCCAGACTTCCTATGAACAGTGACAATGGTTATCTTCTTAAGCTCACATAAAAAAGAAGTCAATTTGAATTTCGAAATTCACTAATATACACCTGGAGAGAGATGACTGAAGAGCGTTGATGGAGTAAACAATCTAAAATCATCTGGTTCCGAGGAAACCAAAGCTGGCGGAAATCACTCTCTCGGATGCTCGGATTCTGCATCCATGTTGAAAATTACCCAATCAATCAATGCGATGCGCAAATTCCGATACGAAATCAACTAAGTAGAAGATGAGACAAGGAAAATGGAGAAGAATACAAACCAGTTGATCAACCCGTTTGTAAATCGGAGCCAATATATTGAAAGTCGTGCACGAAATATTCGGCTCCACCGTTGAAGCTAAGTTCGAGTTGAGTCTCTGCAGCACAATCACAATCCGCGTCATCATCCGATCTCAAACAATAGAAAAGAAACTGAAAATCGAAAAAAAACGCAGACGCACCATAACTGAAGCCGCCTTGTTGTTTCTGCCCGAGAAAGATGAGAGCAGACCGGAGAAGTAGATCGGAAAAGGAACGGCAGCGAGGACGACGAAGAGGGAGAGTGGTGAAGAGAAACAAGGGATGAATCTGGGCCGTAGAATGACGCTGAGCCTGCTTCGATTGTGATGGCTTTGCATTTGGTTTCTCTTTGTGAGGTTCTTTCGAATTCCCAAGAGATCTTCTCCGATTTATATTTTTTACAATTTCCGCGTCTCTTTATTTTGTGTTTTGGCACTACTCAATTTTTAATTAATCTAAATGATGACAGATCCCTAAAATAATTCTCTTTTATGTATGCCTTTACGTGAACCGCTGGTTTACAATGCCTTTTTCTATACCACATAAATGTCTTTTTCTTACAGACCCATTTGTAGGCAATTTGGTTCCAAGTTTCCCAAGTAGTTTCATAATTCATTCAGTGCAAATTCTTCGTAAATTCATCGAGGAATAGACCAAAGAACGAAACTTATTCAGCTAGTCCTAGTCTATTGACCATCCATTTATACAGATTTAAAGGTTGAATACATTTTTGTTAATATTTCGAGATTGATAATAGTTGACATGAGTAAGTAATGAAATAAAATATCTTTCAAGATGAGCTAGACTGCTAGAGAGAGTATTAATGATTGGAGGGAACCGCGTCTCGTGTCGGTCGGTGATGGATCATCACACGACCCGTACCAAAGTAGTTAAACGTTTTTTTTTTTATGTTCATGAAACTTAACTGCCATAGGTCAAGTTGGTAAACCACGTTGTGCAAATTAATATTCTGGCGTTATGTCAACGCATAAAATGATAAAATTTAATTATTGACGTTGGGAAATTACTAATTTTTTAAAACAAGTTGTCACACATGAGTTATTCTCGTCTGTAACTAATCACTCATGAGCTTCAAAAGAATCGGAGGAACCCACTAAATTGTAAAGCAAAAGCCCATTAGTCAGTAATCCTTAATCCCAAGTCCCAACCATACTCATACGCAACACACTCATGCACATACATATTCACAAACACATGTACATTTTTTTATTCCAAGAAAATAAGATTTTCAAACTCTGAAGTTGATTTTTTATTTTTTTTTCCAACCAACGTTCATAGGATTTAAATAAACAAATTCAGTTAAATACGTAACTATGAAATCACCAATAGAAAAAAAGTTGAGTAGCGATCACCCACCAAACTTCTACTTCCCTTAGAGATAAAGGCTTCTCTCTCACACTCTAATACTCTCTCTGCACAAAATTTAAACTTAGGCACACAACCATCATCACTCAAGTAAACTACAAACTTCAAAACCCAAAAAACCCCTTTAGTTTCTTAAATTAATAAAACAAAATTGTAGATAGGATTCATATTTCAGATAGAGTTTCATTATCCATATTTGCCTGCAGCTCAAGCATCTAACACAAGACAGTGAAAGGGAATCAACCAATACACCTTATTAACTATATGTAGCTTGCAAGGAAACCAAAACACAAAACACAGAGCAAAACCCAAATTATGAATCAAGAATGGGAAATGGATTTGGATCGAAAGGTAACATTTTTCAAATGCATAAAGTGGCAATTCGAAGACACACTCGATCCTATCAACTGCCCTTTCCACTACTTCTGCGACAGTCTCTACGCCGGCGACTATCCTGAAATCATCGACGTTCTGGTTTTCTTCTTCTTCACTTTCTCTTACCTGACGACGCTGATCGTCGTGTTGAAGAAGGTGATATCAAGAAGAAGAATAAGAAGAGAAGAAGAACAAGACGATGATAATGATGATAGTGATAAAGCAAAAAGGTACTTACTACCTTCAGGTCCAATCTCTCTTCCTTTGATCCTCTTGATCCTTGCAAAAGGTCAAAGAATCAACACCCTTTTCCCAATTTCCATGTTTGGACCAGCAATCCTTCAGCTAGTCCAACTCTCAGTGCTTGTATTCGAGAGCAACATCGAGAAAGAAGCAAGCTTTGTCTTCTTCGAAGCCTCTACTATCTCTGGAATCCTCCACGCAAGTATTTACTTAGACGCAGTGATTCTCCCCTACTACACAGGATTCGATGCTCTGGTCGCTTCGACCTCCTCTGGAGTTTGCAAGACTTGTATCTGTAGGAAAGAGCCGTTAACGGTGGGAGGGACGATTGTGGCTTACAGGGGATGGTCAAGTACAACGTTTTTGGTGGTTGGTGTTTTATGTTTGAGGATCATATGCAAGTTATGCAGAGAAGAAGCAAAGACGAAAAAGGTTATGGTGATTAAAAATGTAGTGGAAGGATTGGCGTGGACAGTTCTTGTAAGGGATTGTGTCTACTTGGCGGTTATGTCTCCTGTTGAAGAGCCGGTCTTGTTTAGGGTTTTTGTGTTTGGTTCTGTTCTCATGTTGATTTGTTTTTACGTAATCACACATGTATGTTGTTTGGTTAGTCGGAGACAGAGTAAGAAGACAACAAACACATGACATTTCTCAAACACAAAAGAGAAGGCAAGGCAGACTCAAAGACAAAGTGGAAGTCAATTTGTAAATGTAAATGATACGATTTCTTAAAGAGGATTTTTGTTTTGTTTTTGTTCGTGTGTGATGATGAAGTGATAAAACTTAAATGTTACTTCTCCCTTGGCAATCAAGGACCAAATTCTCAACTTATTCTTGTGAAAAAAAGGCAAATCATTTCATCGAACGAATCTCTCCAGAAAAATTACAGACAAGATAAAGCCGGTAACAAGAAAAATGCTGAAGGTAAAATCGATTCAAGAAAAACTCTTCTCCTGCTAGTTGGATCACAACAAAACCTGTTCTTGAGAGAACTTAAAGTGGCTTTCCACTTGACTTGATGTCATTTCTGATGGCTCCTTGAATCATCTTAACGACGAAGTACTGCAAGTTACCACAAAAGAAAGGATTTCAACTATTTACCAAATTTGAAAGATTAAAACTGTGTCTCAGTATGGATTGTGTAAATTTAGTTTAGTTTACCTGAGCGGCGATGATAAGAGGGATGAGTTTCTTTCCTTTATCATCGGAGTAAGATCCATCTACCATCTTCTTGTCTACATGAATCGCTTTCCTCTGATTTGTTGCTACATCGGTTATTGCCTTTACCAAGTTCGGTATCCACGCTTCACCATTCGGTAGAGCCTAAACCGAGACAGAGAGAGAGCACAAGAACATATTTTTTAAAACAGTCTCCAAATCGGGTCAGATGAGAGATTCAAAGAAACCAAACCTTCTCTTCCATTTCGTTCTTGCTGCATCTTCCACTGTTCTCAGCATATACAACCCCGATTGCAGAATCCTACAAGCCAATAAAAGAATGAGAACAATTGATTCTTTCCCAAATGAACCAAACACTGGTAAAACTATCTTCAAAGTCGAAACATATATACCTCAAACTCAGTTTTGCGCATCTTAGAACCAGCGCGGATGTTTTTGAGGAGAGAGTCTGATCTCTTGGAGGAGAAAGTTTCGTAGGAAAGTTCATCAGGAGGGGAGAATTGAGCGTGAGTGAGAACAAGCAACGTTTTGCACCATATCTCTTTGCCAAAGGTTTGGGTGATTGCTAAAACAACTTGCTTATCCAGCTCATCAACTCTATACACATCCAAACGGTCAACATAGAGCAACACATCTATGGTTTTGTTCACAAGAAACCTGCCCAAAGTCCCAAATGTACACAAAAAGGATGTCACTCATACAATTACACAACATGACCACATTCAGCTGAGAGGTTTCAAAAGGAGTAGAAGTAATACTGACCCTTTGATTAAGTCGAGAGCTTGGTGATTGACATATCCAGCTTCCACAAGCCCAGGGGTGTCGATTATGTTTATAGTGAATCCTCCCATTGTTCTTGACACCATCACTGGTCTCAACCCTTCTGCCTACAAAGTCCAAGAAACTTAATCCCACCACACACAAAAAGATATCAAATTCAAGTGAAGCTAATTAGTACCTGGAAAGGACTGACACGGACGACTTGTTCGCCGATAAGAGAATTGACGGTGGATGATTTTCCGACACCGCCTTTGCCCAGGACAAGAACTGTCAAAGAGTTCATATCCTGCAATTACAAAAACCCCAAACTCATCATATAACGGACGGAGCAACCGAAGAATTTTCCTTAACGGAAAAAAACCAAAAGAACAAACCTTTTGCTTCAGTTTCCCGAAGAATTCAACTAACTTCTCCTGCGTTGCCGCTGGGAATTGCTGAAACCCGACCCATTCACGAACAAGCGACCCCATCACTCCAAAACCCTTCTCCAAATTAAGTGAATTCTATTAGTACATAGAGCGCTAAACCCTAGAAATGACGATGATATAATAAACGTTGAAAGCGATAAACTTCGGGAGATTTGAAGGATTTGAAGGAACGTACCGTTGTGTGTGTGAGCTTATGAGGTTTTGGAGAGAAAAGCTCTTTCTTCTTCTGGTGAGAATAGCTAAATCATGTGACCTTATCGGAACTCTGTTTTTCATAGCTTTACTTACTGATTATTTCAACTTTACTCCTCTATTTCTTCAATGTTTTCTTTTACTGCCGCACAACTTTAAAAGTATGCATATTTAACCTCAAACACCATTTTTTTTACCATTTAGCATTACAGTTCATAATGTTTTTGTCAATGTGTCTCCTAGCATCGGAGAACTAAGTACATTAGAATAGAGTAGAGCTGTAGAGGCTCAAGCAACGCCGATTTGTTGAACTTTTCTTCGCTTGTAGGTCAAGGAAAACAAATGATCATCTTCGGTTTCTCGGACTTGATTGTCTTCACCCATAACACGCAGCGGTTTTCTCGCATCTCTCTCAAAGTTATTTCCAGACGAAATCCTCTTTGTCTCCATTGTTTCAGAGCCTCTGCCTACAATCCCCCGCTTGAAACCAGAAGATTCCAGGTGGTACTGGGCATATTCTTCTTGCTCTGTAGGCAGATTATGTTCTGAGAAGGAGTAATTTGAAGCACCATAACCTCTGGGGATAGTGCGTGTTGGATCATGAAACACCGGTTCTGTTTCCAAATAGGCGTAGGTTGTGTCTTGGTGATTCAGTAAGCATTTCGGGAGTTCCGGGACTGACCATGGAGAGGCTGCAAATCGAGTACCTGAGTATGGAGAGGCTGCAAAACTAGTACTCACTGAAGTGGTTTCATGGATTTGCAGGAGGTTGTTTCTTGGAAGTACGCAACAGGGCACCCCAAGAACAGCAGAAGAAGAAGATTTAGGGACTACTTTGAGAAGACCCTTTGGCAAAGTCTGATGACGTTCAGAGGAAACCAAGGTGGAACCTTGGTACCGGAATATCTCTTTCTCAGTTATCTTTATCTTGAGAGTGTTCTTGGAGCTGCGAGGGAAGCTCAAACTATCCGCTCTGTTTCTTTCCAGAGATTTCACTACCTTGGGAGTTGTTAACCTACCTGCCATTCTCTCAGATGGAACTCTATTAAGGTCAAGCAGCTTGAGATTCTCGCTTCGTTGACGTTCTGACCACAGGAGGAGTCTTGTGTCTTTGCGCAACTCTCTTCCATACTGATCCCACAAGCTTTGCATCTTGGTGAATGTGTTGATCATTTTCTCATGATACAAGTTTAAAGAGTAGTAATACATGTTCCTCTTGACGAACATAACCCCTTCTCTACCACAAGCTACCTTGGGAGCTAACAATCCTCCTCTCAAGTTCTGGTAAAACTGATCCACTGGATTCCCAAAATATAAACTGGCACCACCAAGAAGTTCCAGCATGGTCAGAGTGAAAGTCTCTTGATCCATATCTGGCAGGAAACATGAAAGAGAGAATCTTTCTTCTTCGGTCAGTAATGAGTTCCAAGTCTCGGTAGACAATACTCCCGTCAAATCTGGGAGATCATAGAGCTCGTATGGTATGCTACAACGCTGACCTTGTACCATAGCTAGCTCACAGTTTGCTTCTGCTAGGCCATAATCATCATCTGAGTCGCTTTCGGAGTCTGCCCCAACTGCTTGACTCTTATTCATCTCTCCACCCTTTAGTATTGGAATGATTGCTTGTCTCACTTATCCTTACAGTTGAATCGCTAACCACAAAGCTCAAGATTCCTACATAAAAATTTAAGACTCATCAGCCATTTACGGTACCACGACAATCTTCTCCCAGCTCGGATCAGCTATTTCTAGCTTAGACAAATCATGCGACACAAGCGAACTAGAATTCAATTAACAGAAATCAAGAGAACTAGCTCTCATCACATTGATCGTCAAAAAATCCAAATCTCAAACTAGCTACAGAACGCAAACCCTTGAATTTCACAATCACAGCCGAAATGTGGAAGACAGCGCAGAAATTTCAAATATAAAACCCAGAATTATCATAAGAATCAGCCGTCATCGCCTCCACCAGCAGTAAATGAGAGCTCCGATGAGTTATAATAAAAAAAAAAAAAAAAAAAACCTGCCGGAAAAATCACAAAAGAGGAATCTCACGACACAGAGATAAATCGATTCGATACATGTAGACCAACATACCGGCTCTACGTACAGAGGAAATGGGGAATCTAGGGTTGAAGAAACAATCTCCGTTTTGCTGCAGATACGAATTTCATCGCCTTCAAAGTTCTCTCTGCTCCTTTCTAGAGATTTGTAGCGTTTGATTGATAATGGCTTTTCAATGCCACAGTAGAGAGGCTAATATCACTGTTACAGTGTTTATCTGATTTTTGTTTGTAATTAAATAAAGAGCCGCCTAAAGTAATCCCTTAATTAATCATTTTAAATTAGATTGTGATTAATCAAAGTTAGACATCACTTGTTGAATCAACGGCCTTTATTTGGGTAGGTGGAGCCAATCAACGGTCAAGATCTCCTCCTTCCAATAGAAAAAATGATCTGTCAATTCTCTAAAAGATAAGCCTTTATCTTTATCTGTATCTCGTTTCTCTCTCTGATTAGATAAGAAATCTTCCTTTTCCAAAAGTCTCGGCAAATCATTGTTTGATTTTGGGACTCATTCATTTGAGGGATCGAGAGAATTGTATCAGAGAGAGAAGGGAGGAGATTCATGGCTTATAATTGCATCAGACTCCACTTAGCCTCTGTTTTCTTGCTTTTGGGGCTTATTATCTCATTTTCCAACCTGCAGGTTACCTTCATGATCTGTGTTTAAAATTGATTTACAAAGATTGATAATTATGGATGATGGTGCTAATCTTCTAGTTCGAAGTGTTTAGATTTATTGGTTTTCATGGATTGATCATTTGCTTATTTTTCTCTCTTCAGTTTCATTTGGCTTTGTTTGACTCTTGAACTTAAAAATGAAAACTTTGTGAATTTTGGTTTTCTGGGTCTTAATCTATTTGAGCAGATCGCCTCTTGCTTAATTGAATATCTTTTGTTTGAGTGATCATCAAGTTAGCATATTTTCAGTATCGGTAAAGTTTTAACTTTTCAAGTTGGTTTTTTGTCTTAATCAGGGAACTGCAGCAGAAAACCTTTCCAAGCAGAAACTCACCTCACGGATTCTTCAGGTTTGATCTGAATCCACACACTTTCATTATTGCTTTGTCTCTTTTAAGATTGGCTTATCGTTGATCTACTTTCTTAAGGATGAGATTGTGAAGGAAGTCAATGAGAATCCAAACGCAGGATGGAAAGCTGCTTTGAATGATCGGTTTGCTAACGCCACCGTGAGTTTGTTTACTATCTTTTCATTTTCTATAAAGAAGCAAATTTCTTATCTTTGTTCCTGAAAACTTGTCTCTCTCTCTCTCTTTATGGTTGTTGTGTGCGTGTATGTGTATGTGCAGGTTGCAGAGTTTAAGCACCTGCTGGGTGTTTTACCAACACCAAAGAAGGAATACTTAGGTGTACCTGTTGTAAGCCATGACAGATCTCTCAAGCTTCCAAAAGAGTTTGATGCTAGAACCGCTTGGTCACAGTGCACCAGTATCGGAAGGATCTTAGGTCATTCTTAGCTTCCATTATCTCTCTCTCTTTTATTTCATTGTTCTGAAACATGACTTACTTACTGACTCTTTTTATATCTTGTGTCAAATCCTCTCCTCGGCTATCACACTAAAGATCAGGTAAAACCTCATTCGAGTAGGGTTTTGTTTACATTGAACAAAACATTACCCAGATCAATGAAGACGTTTTGGTTTTTGGTTTGTGTTAGGGTCACTGTGGTTCTTGCTGGGCATTTGGTGCTGTTGAATCCCTTTCCGACAGATTCTGCATCAAATATAACATGGTAACACAAATCTCCATTGAGCCAGAATTGATGATTGCTAGCTAGCATCTTTCTCTTTCGAAAGATTAATCTAGTTTCTTGTGCTCGTTCCCATGCAGAACATTTCTTTATCTGTCAATGATCTCTTAGCATGCTGTGGATTCCTCTGCGGTCAAGGTTGTAATGGTGGCTACCCAATCTCTGCGTGGCGCTACTTTAAACACCATGGTGTAGTCACCGAAGAGGTAAAATTCTCATTTTCACCACAAAAAAATAACAGAGTAGTTATATGGACTTGTGGTTTAATGAACTTTTGCAATGTTCTTGGTTCTTCAGTGTGATCCATACTTTGACAATACCGGATGCTCTCACCCTGGATGTGAACCTGCATTCCCTACACCAAAATGTGTGAGGAAATGTGTCACCGGAAACCAGCTCTGGCGTGAATCAAAACACTACGGTGTTAGCGCGTACAAAATCAAATCTGACCCTCAAGACATCATGGCAGAAGTTTACAAGAACGGACCTGTCGAGGTTGCTTTTACCGTTTACGAGGTAAATCAAAAGGCTCTAAACTTGATCAAACATATGATAATATACATTCATAAAATGGAACTTTACATTTCATGGATCTTTCTTTTATGTTATACAGGACTTTGCGCATTACAAATCTGGAGTGTACAAGCACATAACGGGTACCAACATTGGAGGTCATGCTGTTAAGCTTATTGGCTGGGGAACTTCTGATGACGGCGAAGATTATTGGGTATGATACTTATGAATATCCATTTTCATAAAACTCTTGATTTCGAGTTTGGATTGGTGTGGAAACGTCATAACATTCTTTGTTCTTTTGAATTGTGTTACCAGTTGCTTGCAAATCAATGGAACCGAAGCTGGGGTGATGTAAGTTTCTTCTTCTTTCCAAATCAAAACTTTTACTTTGAATCTTCTACTACACTGAACCTAATATGTAAAAACTTTTACTTTGCAGGATGGTTACTTCAAGATCAGGAGAGGAACAAACGAGTGTGGCATCGAACACGGCGTTGTAGCTGGTTTACCTTCAGACAGGAACGTCTTTAAAGGTATCACTACTGCTTCGGATGATCTTCTTGTTTCCTCATTTTAAACTACAATCAGAAGACAGAAGAAGGTGTATCTTCTTCACTCTTTGTAACATATATAATTTGTCCACTGTTTTATTGTTGTTTCCTATGAAAGAATCAAAAAGACTTCAAAGCCAAACGAAAGTATATATTCCTATTCAACTTTACATGTATTTTATACATTCTAGTTTCTACTGTTTCTGTATGACTGTATCTATCTATACTGTTTCATTCTGCACTGTGTGTGACTAATGGTGGAAACTTGAGGTCTCTTAGTTTACTGGATTGCTCTGCGATAAGCCGAGCAGTAGTATTAGGACCTTGTTTCATGAAAACCTCGTAACCATCACCTAACAGACCAGTTCTGTTGGTCGTCAGTTGCCAGAAAACTCCACCAGTGCACGAGCCACCGGTTCTTGCACTGTCGTAGATGACATCGTAGACTCTCTTGAAAAACTTGTTCCGTTTCTCTAAGCTGAAACCAGGGAACTTTGAAGATTTCCCAAACTCTGTTATCAGTAGAGGCTTCTTGATGATACTGTCACAGTCTTCGATGTGCGCTCCGATCCATTTGTCAACAAATGCATCTTGTTCTTCTGTTCTTGAGCTGCTCTGTAATGGTAGCCTGATCTTGATTGATTTGAAGAGATGATGAAACAGAGTATGTGTTAAAGAAAAAGACAACCAGAAAACAAAAGACCCAAATTTTGATCCATATGGATAGAGATTAGAGAGAAACTGATGACGTACCAAGAATCTGGATAGATGTGGATAGTGGCGAAATCGATTTCAGGAATTTGGTTATTGGATATGAAATCTGTACCGAGCGAGGTTATACCGCCCGGGTTGTAAACCGTTCTTTCCGGTTTAGATTCTCCGTAGAAACCTTCAAGCCCGATTTCCACCAAGTGGTTTGAGTCTATGGACTTCACATAAGTAGCCATTTCCTTTATCCAATTCTGCACTCGAAAACGACACCGTTTATGATTATATTCGTACGTACATGTTACATAATAATAGAGAGAGGAAGAGAGAAACCTGAAGAATAGTTGAGCCAGTGGAATCGTTACAGCGAGGTTCGTTGATGAGTTCCCATGAAAAGATGGTTGGGTCGTCTTTGTAAATCCGACCAGTGATTGTGTTTTTCCTAGTCAGCATGGTCTGTTTTCAGATTTTGTCAAATCATCGGTTTAGTTCAGGTTGAAGTCGGCACGAATGTACAAAACTCTTTATACAAGATATTTTAATTCGAGGCCATTTGTTATAATAAGTTAAGAAAACACATTTTTGGATCGGTGCATTTGTCATATTTATCGTTCTTTTAGTTGATTATTATAATCTAACTTTTGACATTTCAAAATCCGACGTCGGTTATTTCAGGTTAACGTGTACAAAGAAAGAATAACTTGACGTGTCGTGTTACATATGATCATCTCAATTTGTATCATATAACTGCTAAATACTTATCTAATATTAGATATGAAATTTATGTAACACTAACCTTCACGTGGTTCTTGTAGAATTGCTTGACACCTGAGTTTGTGTAGAACTCATCCGGTTCACTTAAACCGGCCCATTCCACGTACTTTCTTTTCCCTCCATAATCTTCGAAATTATTGACTAAACTAATTATCAATTTAATTTTATATCTTCCAGCTTCGAAGACCACAAAGTCTAGTCCCTGCTCACAGCAAAAATATCAGTACGCTTCTTTATAAAAATCAGTATTCGTTGTTAATTTTTGATTAATCCCGAATAAGTCAGCAAAAAAGTAATGTTTCTAAATACGATGATTCACAAATTAAAATGTTAAGAGTACTATATTTTTTGGTCATTTTGCGATTATCGACTTTATATTACCGTGTGATAAGGACATCACCAATTTTTCTCAAGAAAAGAACAAAAGGTTTGAAATTCGTTTGTCGGAAAGTAATATTTTGAAATTTGAATCCATCAAATTAGATTCAAGAAACAACGGAGGATTAATATGTAAGACCATAACAAAAACGGCCTAACAAAAACCTATCGATCTTGAATTTTAAGTCCGTATAACATCGAAAGATTCGAAACCATTTAAAAGTAAAAATAAAACATGTGAGCGAGAATAATGACTTTATCAAAACAGTAAGCTAACAAGTTAATCATGATTAAATTCTAACTAAGAAATTGTTTAATTTTATTAAAAAAAAAAATCTATAGCTATTATAAACATACGAAAGTACGAAACTATGAAAATATTTCAAAAGTTTGCAATGATACCGCAAAGTCCTTAAAATACTAAATATAATTTGTATGCATATAATATGCATGAGTCCGTGAGTCGTACCTTGAAAACGTCCTCGCTGTAATTGCCAGGTGAGATCTGAAGAGGAATGTAATCTCCTTCGTTGAAACCCCAAATCCTAGCGACGTTCATTCCCACGGCAGAGGCTTGCCGGAGCGCCGTCGTTACAGTAGCTCTTCCGCTCGACGCCGTATCAGCCGCCGTAGTCATCATCCAATAAGCGTTGAAGCCGTTTAAGTAGACTCGTTCTCCGTTCAATACGAACTGCGTGCCGTTTGTTCTGACGAAGCCTGTCTTATCGGCGACGCAAATGCGGTTGTTTCCGACGAGTAACGTAAGAAGGAAAAAGAAAAACGGCAACATGTTTAGCATTGTGAAAAGTTTTGCCGACTTGGAAAAGCAAAGAATGGCACAAAGATGAAACTGAAAGACATTTGTGTGTGTTTACGTTATATATACATTTACAGGTGTCTTAGTGCCTACGTATTTGAAAAATAGTTATTTTTGTCACCATATTGCCTAATTATCTGAAAATATATGTACACGTATCTTATTTACGGTCCAACGCGTGAACTGCTTATATAAAGTCTGTTTTTTTGGGGTTTATCAAAATCATTTTTGAACTTGTATTTTTGGGTTAAGAAAACCATTACTTTTCAAACTAATAGAATTTCTTTGAATTGAGCAACCGATCAAAGAAATATTTTACAAAAAAAAAATACTATTTATTAACTGATATTAAAGAAAAGAGGTTGAATTTTTAAGAACATGGGTTTGAGTAACGTCCAATAGATCACACTATTTATTAGTCCATCTATTGAAGGCATGGTTGAATATTTATGATACGAAACAATCACACTAATTATTTGCTTTTGAATATAAGCATGACACGCGTGTGGCGTGGAGCTATCATATACTTAACTAGTATATGTAAGATTAAATTTATCTCCTTAGGTCCATGACTCAATTATGTAAGATGGATTATTACTTTTAAATTCTCAACAGAAGTAATAATTGAAATAGAGAAACTTCATATGGATTTTGTGAGCTCCGAAATTGATTCGAGAGGATATCAAATACATTGATCAAATTCTTCTTCTGGCCCCATTGTGTTTAGACTTTAAAAATGTGGATGGTACACCAAAATATTTATATAGGGTCCCAATTATATATACAGAAACTATATACAGCACATGAACACATCAATGAAAAAGAATTCAGAACTGTTTGGGAAATTAAAAAAACAGGTCGGTCAACAGTCTACACCTTGTAAATTTGTGATATTCATTTCTCAAAAACATTCAACGTGGATAAGAGAGCTTCAAGAGTAAACTTAAGCTCTGAAACCACACTTTTGATAACATTGAACATTGAAAATGAAAACTCCATTTCTCTAATGAAATGTTACAAAATTCTAATACAAGGACAACAAGAATCGAAAATCCAGAGACCAAGTTTTAAGCATTTCAAAATATCAAATATGAAAAGTATCAAGTCTCTCGCTTATCTCCGCATCACACGGTTACGCTCTCTCTTGCGGAATCGTTCCAGCATGATCTGATCAGTAGCAGCTTGTCTGCTCTTCCCTGAATCAGCAGCAGCATTGTTATTAGTACTAGTAGACGGTTTAGCTCCTTCCCCATCAGCTTGAGAGCTCCTATCTTTGTATAGCTCCGGATGTTCTGCATGTTCAAGTTATACACTGATCAATACAACAATCCACTCATAGCTCCCTAACTACCAAACAGATTCAAACTTAAAAAGCAAAAGAGAAAAGAGAAAAGAGATTCATAAGCAAAACCTCTTCTAAGCTTCTCAGCATAGTCTTTCCCACGCTGGAAGTAATCGGCACTATAGCTAGACGGAATGCTAAACTCTGATTTAGGCCGACCCATAAGCCTCTTCTCTTGCAGAAGCTTCTTAGCAGCTTCTGTTTCTTCAATGTTCTTCAGCTTGTATCTATATCATCCCAACAACAACAACAGAAAAAAAAACACGGTTATAAATCTTTTAACATACACAACACCTTAAATCTTTAATCTATGAGATAAAGTAATCATACTCAATTGGGAGTTGGACTTCCGCTATTCCAGTAGTCCACTGTGTTGAGCTCTCTTCCGAGCTACGCTTCTTGACCTGAGACAGTTGTAAAAGCTACTAAGGAGGAGATTCTTATCAAAATATTGAAAAAATCAAAAATTAAATGTTACAAAAGCAAACTCACCTTAAGATGATCAGGTATCATATACAACTCATCCTCCACTCGCTTCAATTCGTTCTCAACCTCCTCTGCATCATCAATGTTTCTCCCTCTCTTCTTCGCTAATTCTTGTTCAATGTATTTTACCCTATTGAATCAATAAGAGGAACACAATCAAATCCTAAACTGCTTATAAAAGAAACTTCACTAACTCAAATTCTACTGTGAAAATTACGGCAGAGAGATGGTTACATGTTGGGATCTTCAATCAAAACAGCAGTCTCTTGAGCAAACGTATCCTGCAGCACAAGCTCTTCTTTCTCTCCTTCAGCTTCGGTTTTCTCCACTGGTTTCGCTTTTCCTATGCTATTTTGCGCCGTCGATAACGCTGGGATTCCTAGTTTTCTCTCTCTCTGCTTCTGCAGAAACTTCACCTCTTCTAACGCCAATCTGTAATTCACCCATTAACCAAAACAAAAAAAACGATCCTTTTCAACTACCCATCAAACTAATTCGAGAAATTCTTACGAGAATGGAGAGAAAACCCTAAAGATGGAGATTTTTTGATTTGGACTGACCTTCGTTGCTCTTCTTCGTCTGAAATTGCGGCTTTACTAAGATCGTCTTCTTCTTCCTCCTCGAAGTTACGCTTCCTGAAATTTCTCTTCGGCGGCATCGCTGAAACTAGACTAATTCTTCAATTTCTTGCAAGAGCTGATGGGATTTCTCTCTTCCGACGACGATTAGTCGATTACTTTCCTTTAGATTTAAAATCTCTCCGTCGCTGGAAATCGGATCACCAACGAAACGCGGCGTTTCAAAATGGGCCTTGACAAGTTAGCCCATTATTCAGGCCCACGTTTGGTTTTAAATGTTTTTGTGGGGGGGTTCATTATCTGATAAACAAATTCACATTTATATCTAGCTAACTAAATAGTATTTTCAGAATTCTAACATTTTCGATAGAAATGATGTTTGCATATGTATATCTTACAAAACAAACCTTGAGGAAGTTACAGCTTGAAGAATTCACAATTAGATGTTGATCTACTAGGTAGTCATCATGATTAATGGTCATCCAAAATGAGTTTTTACTCCGTTTTTACACAAACATCGCAGGAAATTATTTTGAAATATAGATTCTAGGAAGGGGATCATCATGTTCTCAAGCATCCACACAAGTAACTCCATATATGTTTGAAAGCTGTTAGATTGGATTCATGGTCTTTTTTCAAATTTTTCTTTCAGTTTTGGGAAGAAGGAAAAAGTAAGAAGAAAAGTGGGTTTCTTCTCCATATATATGTTAGTAAGAGTGACCAAAACCCCAAGTGGTAAAACAGAAATAAATTTGAGATTAAGATTAGCATAAACTGGACATAAGTTGGTTTCGTGGTAAAATTTTATAGGATGTAGCAATCAACAAAAGAAAACAAATTTTCATTTAACTAAGCACTTGAAGAGAAGAGTTGACCAAGGAATGCCAGGCACCTGCACTCTCGAGAGAGTGTGCCAAGTACCACCTCTCCGAGCCAAAGCCTCCACCATGTCTAACGAAGTCCAGGAGCGAGGGATGGACATCTCGAAAACTGAATTGGAGCAGTTCGATCCATACCACATGGGAAAGGCCATAAGTCCAAGCAGGCCTGACAAGGCAGATTCTCAGGTATGGAAGCTGTGGAACTTTCTCATCAATTCTCGCTAATCTGATGGGAATTTCAAACACGAGTGACGTACATTGCCCAAATCGCAGTAGCTTCTCGTGAACACTGGCTTTATAGTTGAAAGTAACAATGAGAGAGCTCGAGAGAGCTTGAGTACACGCATAAATCTGTGAGAGAGCAAAGAGAAGATTGTAAGAACTAAATAAAAAAAATAAACGTAAAAATTCTAACTAAGCAGTTGTTTAATTTTAGAAAAAAAAACTTAGATTCTACCAAGTTTTATTTACAAACAATAAGAAGAAAGGCTCACCAATTAACAATAAGCATTCGATAACCGATTCATACGTGAGCATCGTTAAAAGTCTCTGATAATTGCATCAGTCATGAAGTGAATGATTTCTAGTTTTCTTTGAATAAAATTGTTAAAACATGGGTTTGACTTACTAATTCTTATAACGTTAAATTTAATTTGTTTTGAGACTTACTTAGGTCCCTATTATAAAAAAAAAAAAAAAAAAAAAAAAAAAAAAAAAAAAAAAAAAAACTTTCTTCTACTTATTTATGTATACAAATTGAAATTTATGTTAATTTGATTTTTGAATTGTGTTTTCTGAACTCCTGGGGACATTGACTGAAAAAAAAAAAAAAAAGTCAAAGAGACTTCCCGAAATTTCAAAGATGGACGAAGATGATCCTGGTTATGTATATTCTTATTTAAAATATTATGATAAATTAAACTCTGTTGATGGAATTAATATTTTACCGTGAGATTTATCAGCAACACATAGATCTTGAAGAGCATCTGGATTGTAGGCACTGGGCACGAGTCGAACCGATAATACAAGATAACACGATGGTAATGAAAATTCTTGAATTCATCATCATGGCTCCAAATATTGAGAAAAGATCGAGGGTTTTGATCAAGCCGGGTTTAATATATGTTTCGATACTTACAGAACTTCGAAATGTCTTTTGCTTAACAAACAAAAAAAACAAACATGTCATTTGTCTTGACTCTCGACCAAACTAAGAAATGTCCGTCAAAGCTAAGTAGGTAAAAGTATACTTTTCTGAAATGTCTTTCACTACAACCAAAAAAACTATAATTAAGGACAGGATTTTCGGTAAAACGAAAAATATATATAAATATTTATGTAGAATATCTATTTTTGAGCAAGTACAAGGGTAATCACTTATTGATAATTCTTGAATTCAAGTTTCATGCCACGTTTAAACCTTGTAGGTTATATGCTGAATAAAATGTTATTATAATCGTTTCCATAACTTTGAATGTTTAGAATAGGAAACTTTAAGAAGAAGGAATGATTTCTAGTTTTCTTTGAAATTGTAAACTTAGAAAATTGGAAAACAGTTCACCGTCAAAATCTTTGAGATATATAATACCATAAAACTTTTACTTTAGGGTATCTAGAGACCTAAAGAAAGAGAAAGAGATATAGAAAGCGTAGAAGAGTTGGAAAAGGGTCCAAGAGAAAGCCATGGAAATTGAGAAATTAGAGTGTACAAGGACAAAATCATCTTCATCGGTTCCCCTTGATGTGACCATAGAGATACTGTCAAGACTGCCAGGGAAATCCGTGGTGAGGTTTCGTTGCGTGTCGAAACTCTGGTCCTCCATCACCACCACTCCCCACTTCATCAAGGCTTTCGGGGATCACTCGTTGTCTCGACCATCTCTTCTCTTGGTAGAGAGAAAAGAGGATAAGCGGGTCTTCTGCTCTCTCCCGCATCGCCAGGATCCCCAAAGGCGTTACACTCCCGCGGAAAAGTATGAGATGATGCTTCCGATGAAAAATCCCGAGTTGTTCCACGGTAAAGTCTGCCGCTCCATCCGCGGCTTGATCTATTTTGAAGAAGAAGACGAAGTAGTCATTTGGAACCCTACATTGAGACAACATGTCGTTTTACCCGACCCTGACCTCCCGAGGCCTTTAAAATCCTTTGTTGGATATGATCCCATCGGCGACAAATATAAAGTTGTGTGCATGACAGTTAGTAGGATGTCTGCATATAGAGAAGATAAGGCTCGGATTCTTACATTGGGAAAGGACAAATCATGGAGAATAGCCGAACATGATGTCTCTCGTGATTGTCTGAGTTTGGATGACGACTGGAGTGTCTGCGGAGGGATATGCCTTAACGGGATTCTTTATTATTTTAGGGGAGATTATGATACTTTAGAGTGTTTCAACGTGAGGTCTGAAGAATTCAAGGAAATACGAAAACCAAAGCATGTGACGAGATATGAAACGTCACTTGGGACGAATGTTTTAACAAGCTACCATGGAAAACTAGCTTGGCTCTCAGTTACTACTGGCAGACGTTGGGTCCTTACAGATCCCGAGAAACAAGAATGGTCCCAAGGCTGGTTTTTCCTTCCGGATTCTTCTTTAGCAACCGAAGCTCGGATGGGTAGTGGTCCTTGCTACAGCAATAGAATACAATTTGGTGGTGTGACTGATTCTGAGGAGATAATTAGTATGGAAGGTCTAAGGACACGACCATTTTATGCTTTCTATGGTGACTGGAAGAAAAAGACTACTAGATGGGTCGCTTACGAAGCATTGACAGACTGTTCTTTTCATTGTGACCGTTTTCCGAAACACGTTGAGAGCCTCATGTCTTTGGCAAATCTTTTTGTTTAGCTCGTCAGTTTTGACCGATTTATTTATTTTATTCGATCTCTATGGGGAGGAGAGTAACAGATCGAATAAGAATAAAGAAAAGGCGAGTTTTTCTAAAGACAATAATAAGAAGTACATGGAAAACTTGACACACACGCTTCAGCTATTACACACACACAAAAGAAACGACATTTGGAGAATATTATACACACACACAAAAGAAACGACATTTGGAGAATATTACACACACGAAAGAAACGACATTTGGAAAATATTACACACGAAAGAAACGACAAAGTTGATTGATAACTAGAATTATAAGTTTCTACTTGCCCATGAGAGTGGCAAGTAGAAACGCATCGACATCTCTCGTCTGGCAACGGCAATAAGCGCCTTGGAGTTGTGCCTGAGAGCAGAAAAGAATCAAAGACGTTAGGAGAAAAGAATCACTTTTACCCACAAAAGTAAATGTGCACACATTTGGTAGTCATCATGATTAATTGTCATCGGTTTCTGCACGATATCTACACTGTCCTCAAACTAAAGAATAATTACAACATATCCTTGTTCTCAAACTGAAATTTAAATTTGGTGAGATAATTTTTTTTAGTCCCACTAACGAATTCTCTATTTTCTCATTCTAGTTTAATGTTTGGTGATTTAATTTTTATTTTAGCACTTTAGAAACAAGTTTCAACGAGTTCCAATAAATAAGTAAATAATAATTTCTCTCCATCTTATTGTAAATTACATGAAAAAAAATGAATTGGAAGATAACTAATGCATACATACAATTGACCTTTTTTTTATGCTACGTACATAAGAAATCTTATGTCGCAACAAGACAATAATAACTTCGACATAATATGGTTGACAAACAAACAAACAAAAATTCCCACAATCGCCACATATAATTTACTAATCTACTAAGAACGTAAGTCTCAACTAAGTAATCAAACAAAGACCAAAGTCATTGTGAGATGTGGAGCTCCGAGATTCTCGTTACAGATGAAATCATATCTAGGCAATGACATGGTTAATTGGATTGTTAATGAGGAAAGATGGTCGGTGAAAGGAAAAGGGTTGGAACGTTTTCTATTTATAGCTGCACCCTGTTGAAGGTTGCCTACGTATCCTCCAAAAAGGGATCAAGCCATTCGTAGTTCGTCATGAGAGAGTGTTATGGGAGAGTTCGGTTGTCACGGGAGAGCTCGTCGGTGAGGTGACGTGCCTAGCTGAGCTCTTAGAGAATTCAGATATGAGATCGTCGCAGGAGGGCTCGTCGGTGAGATCGTCGCGGGAGAGCTCGTCGGTGAGGTGAGAGCTTGACGTTAAGGTCGTCACTGGAGAACTCGGATATGAGATCGTCGCAGAAGTGCTCGTCGATGAGATCGTCGCGGGAGAACTCGTCGGTGAGATCGTCGCGGGAGAGCTCGTCGGTGAGGTGACGTGCCTAACTGAGTTCTTAGAGAGCTTGATGTTGAAGTCATCACAGGAGAACTCGGATGTGAGATCGTCGCGGGAGAGCTCCTCGGTGAGATCGTCGCGGGAGAGCTCGTCGGTGAGGTGACGTGACGTGCTGAGCTCTTGGAGAGCTTGACGTTGAGGTCACTGGAGAACTCGGATGTAAGATCGTCGCGGGAGGGCTCGTCGGTGAGATCGTCGCGGGAGAGCTCGTCGGTGAGATCATCGCGGGAGAGCTCGTCGGTGAGGTGAGAGCTTGACGTTAAGGTCGTCACTGAAGAACTCAGATGTGAGATCGTCGCGGGAGTGCTCGTCGATGAGGTGAAGTGACGTGCTGAGCTCTTGGAGAGCTTGATGTTGAGGTCGTCACTGGAGAACTCGGATGTGAGATCGTCGCGGGAGTGCTCGTCGATGAGATCGTCGCGGGAGAGCTCGTCGGTAAGATCGTCGCGGGAGAGCTCGTCGGTGAGGTGACATGCCTAACTGATAACGTTAGGCGACGTGCCTAGCTATCTGATGACGTTAGGCGAAGGGCCTAGTTGATGACGTTCGGCGAAGGGCCTAGTTGATAACATTCGGCGAAGTGCCTAGCGGATGACGTTCGGCAAAGTGCCTAGCTGATGACGTTCGGCAAAGTGCCTAGCTGATGACGTTCGGCGACATGCCTAACTGATGACGCTTGGCAAAGTGCCTAGCTGATGACGTTCGGCGACATGCCTAGCTGATGACGTTCGGGGAAGTGCCTAGCTCGTGAAGTTTGGCGACATGCCTAGCTGATGTCAGGCGACATGTCTAGTTGATGACGTTCGGCGAAGTGCCTAGCTCGTGACGTTAGGCGACATGCCTAGCTGATGTTAGGCGACGTGCCTAGTTGATGACGTTCGGCAACATGTCTGACGTTAGGCGACGTGCCTAGCTGACGTTAGGCGACGTACTGACATTAGGCAATGTACTTAACTCATCTTTCTGTCCTTTTTCTGGATCTCATTCTCAATGGTGTGCACCTCCTATTTATAAGCATGATATGACACTAATGGATCGTGGACTTTGCCATTTGCTAAGTGGGCTAATATTGATTCATGGTGGGCTAATAGTGGGGTGCTAAACCCACCACCAACAAAGACCAGAGTGTGCAGCTTAAGATTACCAATTTACAAACAAAAAAATAACAAGAAAGGCTGAGCCAACTCTCCAATTAACAATAAGAATTCGATAACCTATTCATACGTGAGAGTAGCTAAAAGTCTCTGATAATTGCATCAGCCACGAAGTGAACCCACTGAGTAACGTACTGACCTTTCCTCGATGAATGTTAAACATGAGCCGTTTGTTTAATTTATTTACAACATACGAAACTACGAAAGTATGGTTTTGTGCGGTTTTTCGTAATGGACTAGAGAGAAACAAATAACAATTTCTTATCAACAGTCTTGGAGGTGCAAGGAATTGAATATATTATAGTAATGAATTATAGATGATTATACGGACTGATTTATATAAATTATTACAATATATATATTATGTTTATCTTCTTTTATGAATTATTTCTTCGTAGCAAGCCTTTCCTTAATCTTATCAACCATCTTAGATCCCACCTGAAAAGTCTTTGTCAACACATCCTCCGGCAAAGCAGGCTCCGCCGCAAAAAGCGCAGCCGCAACGGAAACCGTCCCTGGCAACTGACTATTAAACGCGGACAAAACCGACGCCGGAGATTTCCCATTATTCTTCTGAAAATGAACGAGCCCTCTTGGAAAAACGAAAACTTCACCAATCTTAATGGTTTTAGAGAAAAGCTTATTCGCCGTCGTGATAAACCCAACTTCGAGCTCTCCTTCGAGGACGAAGACGACTTCGGTGGCGCGTGGGTGAGTATGAGGTGGGTTTAAACCACCTGGTGCGTAGTCTATACGCGCTAATGAGACGGAGAGAGTGTTGAGCCCTGGGATCTTCTCCACGTTTGCTCCTGTGACGGCAGAGCCCGTCGTGGAGTTTATGATGATGGCGGGTTTTGAGATTCCGGCAAAGAAGAAGTCGGACGCCGTGATGTTTGACATTTCCTTGCATGGAAATCCGTTCAGCTTGGTTCCTGCGACATGAACATCGTGCCGTTTATTTTGTACACCATACAAGGCGTTTGTTTATCTAGGGGTCAAGTCTACTATAGAGATTGGTGTTCATTTACCAACACGTAATTTAATATGTTTTATTAAATAAAACTGTTAAAACATGCATTTGACATTCTTACAAAGTTAAATTTAATTTGTTTTGATAAAATTCCTTTGTTGTATTATTAATTGTGTTGGGGTCCGGCCGGAACTCCTGGGGATATTGAAAAAAAGTTCAAAGAGCCAAAGAGGCTTCGAGGGATTTCAAAGATGGACGAAGATGAGCCTAGTTATGTAAATATTATGATGAGCCAAATGCAATTTTACCGTGAGATTTATCAGCAACACATAGATCTTGAAGAGCATCGGGATCGTAGGCACTAGTCGAAGCGATAATGCAAGATAACACGATGGTAATGAAAATTCTTGAATTCGTCATGGCTCCAAATATAACGAAAATATGTGATTTTGAGAAAAGAAGCTCGAGGTTCTTGATTATGTGGGATTGCCGAGTTTATGTTTCGATATACTTATAGAACTTCGACAAGTCTTTTGCTTGACAAAAAAATAACCAAACATTGCATTTGTCTTGACTCTCGACCAAACTAAGAAATGTACGTCAAAGCTAAGTAGGTAAAAGTATAGTTTTCTGACATGTCTTTCACTACAACCAAATCTTATTATTAACGAGGATATTCGGTAAAAAGAAAAATATTGATATCTTTGAACTAGTATAAGTGTAATCACGTATTGATGATTTTTGAAGTCAAGTTTCCTGCCTGGTTTCTTTTGTGTAACTTTATCAATGGGCCTATATTGTAGATACTGAGCTGTGAGCACGTATAATCAACCTAACACTTAGAAAGGCTCAGATATATGCTAGGTTTAAAACACAGTTTAATTGGGTTTTCGTTTCAACCTCCCTCTAATAGATAGTTCACCTTAACAGAAATTAAGGTGAAAACATGCTAATGTTGAAAGTTTTCAATCAAACAAAATTTAAGTAAAATCATGATGATTCTATGACACAGTGAGCCTAAATTTGAGATGCTAAAAAGATTTTTGGTGCAATAATGAATTATAGGAATAAAACACCTTCGTCAACTCCAAATCAAACAGAAAGCCCATTGGGCATATATGTACGTACTCACATTTTTCGAATTTCAGTTTTTCCTAATGGATGAACATTTTATACAAACTTTTCTCTAGCTACTTACAAATTATAGTCTTCCCATCGTATGGGAAGGAAAGTCCAGGAAACTTGGGAAACCAGGAACCAAACCACAAAGATATTGAGGAGAAGAAGCTGTTGTAAGAAAGAGAGATTGATATGAGTGTGGAAGTGCAAAATTAGTATACGGTGATAACGGCCAATTTGCCGCCGGAATTAACGGTGACGATGTCCCTAATTGAGATAAAGTCATTGCCGTCAGAAGGTGGTTGTGCATTCCGAAGTTTAATGTCGCCGGAGAAATATAAGGATTCATTCTCGTTATTGACAACACCTGCAATTACACCATTATTTCTACAAAGTTAGTTTCTGAATATATAAAGAAAGGTCTAGCCGGCGCTATAGTAGAGAAGTGACGCAATGATTAGCGTATTAAACATTTACATGGCACTTAATCTTAGCAGCCCTTTTATAATATTTCCGTAACAGTTTCTAGATAAACGACAATTCTATATACATACACATCATAATCATTGAGAAACTATCTATAGGTTTTAAAAGTAATGATCTAACTCGTCTATATAGGTAAACTACTGCCTACTAATATTCCGATTTGCTAAACACGGAGAAGTAGCTATATTTGTTTCATTAATTAGAAACCCATGTAATAACAAAATGGAATTCCTAGCAAAATTCTAAACCTCATTAATTGGATAGAATGAGATCATATCACTAGAACACTTGCTATTAAACGAGCTAAAACCGCAAAATCACTAGTTTTTTTTAATATATATAATCATTCATAGATATACTGAATTAGTTTAAAATATAGACCTGGAGTTGAAGTTGAAGATGTTTCATATACTCTATGGCCTTATCGAGAACCGAAACCTTGTCCGTCTGAAAATCGAGGGAAAAACACACAACACATCAACGATTATTAAAAACCAAAATTTATGATAAATTTCCTTGAACTTTATAAACATATAGTAATATATTAATCTATACCAACCTTGTAACAATTAGGTACAAGTTGCTGTAGCGTACGCATCTTGTTACTCATCATCTCGTCTCTTTTTCTTCTCTTTGAACCTTTCCTTGTCACTGAAGGAACTTCTCTTGAAAATTCATCTAATTCATCCTCCTCCTAAACAAAATTATTAGGAAATTTTTACCATTCTATCACTACTACAATCTTCTAGTTATTTTTTTCTATCTGCCTTCTAAACAAAATATAGAGAAAAGAAAAACTCAAATTAATAAAAACAAATACACGAATATATATATACTTCTATTACTTATGCATTAGTGATATTGATATTCGATTCTAGTCAATCATATGAGAATAATCGACTACCACTGGGAAGAGGATCCGAACGCGCGGCTCATTATTTCTCAAGTATAACACAGTATACTTAATAATAATCTCATTCCCTTAATAATCATTCTGATAATTTTATTAAGCTAATCTATCTCTATCTATAATATCTATAAGCACCTCAACATCATGCTATGTCTTGATAGTGGCTATACGGACTAATCAACACTTCGGATACTCTAATATCTCCTATTCTTACTATCTATCTTATATCAAGAAATCGAGCATACTAATTAATACATGAACATTTACATCTATAGCATCATGAATTATAATATACCGGATGTATATAGAGCGAGCGACGGAGATCGAATGCCGCTGTTTGATCATGATCAAAGTAGCCGTAGCCCCATGTCAAGCCGTTGATTAGACGATCTTCGTCACTTCTTGCTCTCTCTGATATACCCTGATCTTTCACATCAAGCCATCCGACGTCGTTTCTCCGTCCCAGTTCCATGACATCTTGTGTATTCAACCTGCAAACAAAAAAAGTAAATTATTAGGGTTTACACAAGATTGAGTATAAAAAGAAAAAGATAACAGAAGTCGTGAAAACGAAACTTCAAAAACCTCCCGTTTGCTTATACGTACATGTTAATTAAAGAGAGATCGGAGTTCGGAGATGGAGGACTCGAGAGAAAATTGTTCTTCGGGGACTTCAGGCGTGTCCTATAAAATGGAATTTCATTCATATCCGAGAGATGAAACAGGAAAATTGTTCTTCGGGGACTTCAGGCGTGTCCTATAAAATGGAATTTCATTCATTTTATATTATATGAAGTATCCGAGCAGATGAAACAGTTGTCAGAAAATTTAGTGACCCACTAGATTTACGCCACGTTTCTTACTATGAATGGTTCTTTCTTTTGGAAAAAGATGATTTATTCCTGTTACGTACACCGACAACAATAAAACAATCCGGCTAGATTCTATCTAATACACAAGGACACGAGGTTAAAGACATATTTATGCCAGACTCATTTGGGTTAAATTAGCTCTTTAATTAAAGTTGAATACTGTTTATAATTATCCAAAAGTAATTTTATGGTTCTGTTTATAATTATCAAAAAGTTGGCATACAATGTAAATAAAAATAAAAATCTGAAAAAAATTGAGCATGCAAGTATCAAGAACGTAATGCACAACGGGTAGGACCATTTTTATCCTTTTAGTTATTTTCTCCCCGTAATCATTATCTATTATCCTTGAATAGTCGTCCTTATACTTTATCTCTGTATTATCTGATTACTTCAAATATCAGATGTCCAAATTCCAATAGTCTGTAGTTGAAATTTTTCAATAGGCCGAGAACAATAAATGATAATCCCTATTCGAACAAAATTATTTTCACAACGTACAAAAAGACTCGAAACTTTTCGTTACTAACCTACCACATATTTATATGTAAGTTTTTCGGTTAAACAATATATACAAATGATAAAATACATGGAAATACTTTTTTTTGGTTTAAACGAAAATATGAGCTCACCAAATTAATTAAAGAGGCCAATTAATAAGGTGCTAATAAGTAGGCCCCAAAGGCCAAAACTATTCGTCACAAAAGATAATGAAACAGTAAAGCGCTCTTTTTCTTCTTCTTGGAATCTTGGCTAATTGATTGATTTATTTCAGTTGAGAATACATTTTCGTAACACTATTGCAGAGGTTTCTGAAAAGAAAAGAAAAATCAATTTAGGGTTTTATCCAGAAATCCCACGTGGGTCGTGGGGACTAGGCCCAAACTATAACGAATAGGTTTTTTGTTTTCTCTAACCCCACGACACATTTATTGGAATTTTCGCGTCACGTCGCCATCACCCATACACCTAGCAGGTGCGATCGATGGTCCACATTACTACTTTAGTATAAACTAAAAAAACCTATACAATTACAAAATATTTTGAATAATTCAAAATCAGAATTATTTACGCCTTAACCTGGTCACTAAATACCAATCAACAAACCACCAGAAGAACACAGCTTCGGATTGAAATAATTGAGGGTAATTTGCGAGTTTAGTGTACGATTTGTTTGAAAGAAGAATGTTAGTATAACTTTTTGCGCTCTGTACGTCGCGTTGAATCAAATGGGCCTGAAGATCCTAAAAGAGAGGAAGAAAATGCGTGTCGTTCACGTGATCCCTCGTGATGGACATGCTTCTGTGTCTGACACACAGTGCTTTCCATTTTGTTGGTGTCTTAGCGATCGACGAAGCAAAACCACAGCCACTCCATGTTTCTATATCCTAAACGACAACGACCTTTCGGTACATACGTTCCAATCCACTTAACCCACTTCAATTAATGGTTGCATTTTTTATTCTTTTTTGTTAAAGAATATAAATATATATGAAATCCCATCATTTTTTCTTGTAGTACCGTTTCTGTAATGTAATGGTTGATGTAGTACACTAATTCAACACCCAGCCAATCATCCATTTCTTCCTTTAGGAGAAAAAAAAAAAAAAAAAAAAAAAAAAAAAAGAGAAGAAGTCAGATATACGTTTTCGGAAAGAACAAAAAAACCACACCTAAGAGTTTAAGACATTATAACTTAATCTAGTTCATTTTATAGTTTTTTGTTATCACTAACTATGTAATTGTAAGTATATCACTGGTTTTCTATAATGCTAGCTTTCGCAAGGTCTATTTTCAAATAATGGAGAAAAAGAAAATAAAATCCGAAGATATTTATTTTTTTAGTCATGTGTAAAATTAAATATGAAAAGTTAAATCATTCTAGTTTTGATTTTTATAAACATCACATCACTTCACTTTGACTTGCTAACAAGTCTCACACAGTCGAACAAAAGGATATATTTGTAATAATTCTTAAATTCGTTTGGGCTTTCAGCTTGGCCCATGTAACGTATGATATCCAGTTAACCCAAATACCGATCTTATGGGCCCATTGATGAGAACCTCATGGAACAGATTTGATTCCGAAAGCAAATTTATATATGAAGTCATGTAGAGCACAATTGTGTTGTACTTGTATCTGATAGTTTAGTGTTTCGCAATTTACTAGAAGAGTTGTGGTATAATTAGAAATGCTCTGTACTTTGGTATAGAAATTGATTGATTGATGAGGCTTTGGAGCTCTTGATTGAACCATTTTGTTCAGGTACAGTGATTAATAGGAGTTGTGATCAGTTTCTTGTTCAATAAATTTGTAGCATGGTGTTCGCAAATTCGTTTGTTTATAATACTAGATTGCAATTTTGACTTCAATAACACTTGCAAGTATAATAATTACTACAATTTGTGGCCAAAATCGCAAAAAAGAAGAAAAATAAATACACATAAGCATGAAACAGAGAGACACAGATTTTGAATCTAGAACAAATCGATCATAACTCTTGAATCTTGCGGATCATCGTGAAGAGGTGAGATCTTGATAGTGTCGAGTGTTGTCGTGGGTCTTGGATATTTATGTTGCGTGTAATGGGAAGAAGATGAAGATAACGAAGATGGTGTGAGAGGCATGGAGGAGGAAGTAGAGGATGAAGGGAATTTCAATTCAGGGTTTGTTGGGTGGAGGATTTGTGTGAGTAGAAGCACAATTGACGCCATTGATGATGATAGATAATCAACTTTGAAGAAGCTTCGGTGTTTGTGTTTAGGGTTTACTGGTCTGACGATTTAATTTCCCAAGTGATAATCTCATGTTTTATATACAGAGGATAAATAAGGCCCACTAAACGACACGTGGTTTTGTCGAGAGATGCTGTGTGTTTTATGATCCAACGGACGAGAAAACCAGTGGCAGGACTCTTTATTAAATCTTGGGGGTGGCAAGTGGTTTTAGTGCTGACTTTTAGATCGCATTTATATCTCGCCTCAAACTCTAGCTGTAATACCTCGGTTTAATTAATACTACTACTTCTTAGATACTACTCCGAAAATGTTACATTTTTAATTTCATTTCTTATTTTACAGTAATTCAGATTACAATCCGATAAAGTCAAACTTTTGACTTCATTTTCGGTATGAGTATTTTCATGATTCTTATGAAGCAGATCCAATTGCAATGTAGCCAATCAGAAGCATATCAAATCAAGAATTTATAAAACTTATGAATATTATGAGAAACCTTTTCCTAATTAAAAGAAACTGCAGGAAATTTCACAATAAATAAATAAGAATAGCGGTTGTGTGTTGGAAAAGAGTTAGAAGGTTGAGATCACATTAAATTGAAAATGTACATTATTGAATCACATCCCAGCTCCATGTAGGGGCACTATGTCATTCGTTGACTTTTGTTCATTCAAAGTAGGATGACTTTTGTTAGGCAAAGTGCCTCTGCTTTTCACAGTCTAAATTAGACCCAATATCTACATTAAACCGCCCAGCATATCTCTTATAATATCTGATCCGGACATTAAACCGCCCGTCCCCAGCAATCCCACACTCTAAACCGTTGTTTATAATGTTTGTAGTCAAGGCCGGTCCGATTAGCCGCCAAATCAGCCTCTGTATGTCGGTATTTTTGGATCATGACGTCATGGCATGACGGTTTGGGACTCTTCTCCGTCATCCAAAACAAAAGTGCTGTTTGGAAAGCTCTCACTGAATATTCGCCATCGAATCCTAATGCTCGACCGGGCTGGTCCGTAGTTTTAGTTCCTTTTTTTCCAAAATTAAAATAATTTAAATTATAAACAATTATATAATGTTTTTTTGCAAACGCAACAGAAAAAAAGGTTTGTTTGTATGTTTGAAACGACCTATAAAAACCATGTGATTTGAATAACTCTTTTGTGATGATATAAGAAACGAGCCATTTGTAGTGAAATGATCAAACCTACCAGGAGAGTTGAATTGGACCTCTTCCTTGATAAGTGTTGTTAGAGAAACAAGACCAATCCATATTAGAAGAATCACAATAATTACTTTGTGCATTCACAGTCCCCAAGCGTATTGACAAGATTGAGAGAGCAGCAAAAGAGAAGAGATGAGTGTTGAGACAGTTCTTAAGAGGATCTTGGTGGTTTTTGTGTAAGACGATCGAGTTTTTGTATATAGATAGTCGATAGATGTGTAAATGGTCAACGCGTTGACTTTTACTTTAACGGGTTACTTTACATTTTATCACGGCCGGTTTCTTGATTGTGACCATGCCTTGTGTTGTGGAAGTGGAATATCCACCAGTGTCATATCGGTTACACATAAAGTAATAATAATCCACATATTTTGCATGATCGTGGTGGATAATTCGATGTCCTCTGTTACATTTTTAAGGAAACATGCTCCATGCTCAATTAAGATCGCAAAAGTCTTATTTTTCTTCCCAAATCCTTCTTTCATGATTACGATGGTACTTTTATGCTTCCCCGAATTTCTATAACGATTGGAAAACAAGCTGGATCAATTCCCTAGCTCCATGTGGGGTGCGCAATGTATGTTCATGTTTTACTTTTATGCTTCCCCATTTGTTTTTCATGAATTTCTATAACGGAGAGGTTAATAGGGTAGTAACATTATTGCATTTTCATTTATTTGTTGAAAATGCTTATACAATTTGTTTTTATCTCAGTTCAACATACATATGTATTCTTTTTTGGAAACTATCGAAAATATCTTTCTTTTCATTTTTTCCCCTCTGAAATATTTTACTTCCAAATTCTTGCAAAGTGCTTGTAACATAATTGACATTGTCTCTAAATTATGAATGTTCTAGTCTTTTCACGCATATTGAGAAATTTTTATAATTAACTCTTTCAACCTTGTTTTATTTAAGTATATCATTCACTTATAGTTTTCTTGAAAAAAGGAAACATTTAAGGGTAAATTAAGTAAAAAACAGTAATACACTTATTCTCAAAAAAAAAAAAAAAAACAGTAATACACAGAGAAAATTGAGAATATCAAACTTCTTGAAACAATTTTTTTTTTCCAAATCATTTATAATTTAGAAACTGAGAAAATATATAGTATACATTTTCGTTTTGAAAACTTTCTAAAATATATTTCTTTACTATTTTGCTTCTAAAACAATTAATTTCCAAATTCTTGCTGAAAAGGAATACCATTGTACAATGTAGCTCTCCGGTCTCCTTATATTAGGACTTACCAAAAAAATTAAAGTGGGTTGTCGATCAAATAGAGACAAAGACAGCCCAAATTAGCTAGGGTTTCTTTTCTTCTACTTTTAAAAAGTGCATCGTCGAGATGGAGAGACGAGAAGAAGAAGCGGAAGATGAGAAGATAATTATACGATCTAAAGAAGATGTTACAAGTATTGATAAGTTTTTTGAGCTGATTCCTCTGGATCTGATTCATGATATACTCTTGAATCTGCCAGCTAAATCTGCTGCGAGGTTCCGTTGCGTCTCGAAGCTATGGTCGTCCATTACAAGACGTCCAGAATTCATCAGGTCGTTCGTGACTCAGTCTTCGACTCGGCTGTGTCTTGTGGTATGCGTCAAAACAAGAGACAAGCGCTACTTTATAACACTTCCCCAGAATGAGCACCCGGACACATCTTACTCTCCTGTGGACCGTTTTCAGATTGATACCCCTGGATATGATTATTCTTACAATCAACCGTATTCCGAGTCGGTCCATGGATTGATGTGTGTTGCAGATTGTCTTCGGGAGGTTGAAGTTTGGAATCCTGCCATGAGACAATGTGTTACGTTACCCAGCCCGGACACGGCTGCCGGATTTGAATGTATGGAAGGTTGTCATTATAGCATGCATAAGAGTTACTTTTTAGGATACGATCCGGTGGAAGGTAAGTATAAAGTTTTGTGCATCCCGAGCCGGGGATACCCGGATCCTCGTGATCCTCTTGTTTTCACATTGGGACCTCAAGAATCATGGAGAGTGATCAACCACAGTAGCCCTAGACATTTCGCTCCTCATTGGCCCGTCGGACATAAAGGTATATGCATCAACGGACACGTGTATTATGAAGCAGATTTACGTTTTAAAGTCAGTGATGGTTTTGAGGTTGAAGAAATCACTATGAGCTTCGATGTGAGGTACGAAAAGTTTAAGATAATCAGAAAACCAGCTGAGCCTACAATTGGTAAATATTTTATGCTCAACTACGAAGGAAAGTTAGCATGGGTTTGCTCCGACTCCCAGTCTTCTATAAGATTTTGGGTTTTGGAGGACGAAGAGAAACAAGAATGGTCGCCTAGAAACTTTCTCCTGCCTTTTCCAATTAATCCTCAATGTTACCCGACCTGGGAAGACGTTGACCTAACGCTGGAGGGTGTTACTCCTGACACTGGTGAGTTCATTTTTGTTGATGCGGGATTAAATGAAATTTATGTGTTATATTATGATCCAAAGAGAAACCGTACAAGGAGGGTCGAATATGAGGGGATTGCTGGAAACAAGGAATTTTGGGAGGCTAATGATTCAATAAGCTACAGGGACACTGTTATCAATGTTTACCCGAACCACAGGGAAAGTCTCATGTCTTTGGACAACGTTCCTCGCTATGTATCGGTGAATGGAGACTGATTAATTTCATATGGCATTTTTTTTTTTTTTCTAGTATTGTTACCTCATATGTCTTTGGAGAACGTTCCTTGTTTCAGAATGATTTATTCGTAATGAAAGACTAAAGGAAGCACGCTCCGTCAAAGAGAAATAATTAATGTTAACATAGATAAGCTTTCTTTGAATTGCATCGGTGATGGATTTGAACGGTTATATACTTCAAGATGAAATTCATTATGGTCAGTTGGTCACTGAGCTCAAAATTCAACAATCTGAACCCGACCCGTTTATAGTTGTCCTAATTTATGGTTTTATTGTTTTGACCCGAACCCGACCCGTTTTCCTTTCACAGGCTCTCGATTTAGGCCCAACTCATTTTTATAAAAAAATAAATGATGTGTTTTGGAAACTTTTAACTGGATAGTAATTTGGGAATCTTTCCCTGAGACAACATGTTACCTCAAAATTAATACGATGCAGAATGTTAAATGTGTTAGGAAATGGTTGCTAATTTAGAACTTTTTTGAAATAAAAAGGTGTAGGTTTGACTTTGATTTAAGAAGTCGCTAAATGGCAAACAAAATAAAAGAGGGGCTTTGTGTTTAGTAGGGGGGATTTGAATAGTGAATACACAGTTTAAAGGGAATTTCTGAATTTCCCCCACAATGGTCAAATCTAAGAAAGTCATCTGTTTGCACATTTCCGTAAAATTGGGAAAAGATTCTGTTGAACGGTCTTTGCTCCGGCGTCGAAGCCTCTGCTTCAGCTCCGACAACGGGGATGAACAAGAGACTCTCGAAGCTTCTTAGTGTGACGGGAGGCTCAGCGGCAGAGACCTTAAATCAGTTCATCATGGAGGGTATTACGGTCGGAAAGACGATCCCTTTGAGGTCTGTTTCTGTTCCTTGTTTCCCATATTCGCATCTCTTGATCAATTACGTTTTCTTTTTGAATTTGACATCGACATTGGTTTTAGATTCGAGTCCATTGCCCAAAGCTTTGCGGTTTAACTAGTTTAGGGTTTAATTAGGGATATACTCGGATGAGGACGAAGAAATATACATGTTTCTGCTAGCGATTTCACTAATTTCAGGGTTTAGTTGGGAGATATACATATTACTGTTTGTCTGTTTGTGATTTCACTTGAAATGGAGTTCAGTTTGGGGCCACTGTGACTGAAATGTACAGTATTTGGATTGAGAAGAGGAAAACAAAGGGATATATAATATTACTCTGTTTGGATGCAGAGCTGTGGAAGTTTAAACGACTTAGATGGATTAGACAAGGCTACAGATGAAATGGGCCAAGACAGTGAAGCTAAAACCACTTGCAGCAATCTACACTGAAGCTGGTCTTTACGACAAGGCCGCGTCTGCTTTGAAATCAATGGAGGAGAAGATGAGTTTGGGAGACTTTGAACAAGGCTCGTCCTGAGGTCAACAATCTGAGCTATCTTGTTATGTTACAAGCGATGAGCAATCTCGGTGACATGGATGGGATTCAGAGAGTTTTCACAGAGTGGGGAATCGAAATACGATATGAGGCTGGCTAATTTATAAGGAGATATGTATCCAGAAGCAGAGAAGATTCTCCACAGTGCCGTGACCAAATGCAAAGGACCTTCCTACAGATGCTTCTGATGATACATGTTTTTGACAAGGGTAAAGCGGATTTGGCTATGAGAAGCATCTGGAAGCAACGGTTTCTGTGATTCCGCCGTGAACAAAGACGAGTGGAGCTGAAGCTCGGAGCTAGCTAATCAGTTTGTTTGGTCTTCACTTTGAGAGAAAGCAGAGGAATTCTGAATCTTTGACCTTTCTTATAACAACTTATGCAGCAGCAGAGGAAGCTTGTTCTGATATGCGACAAGATTACACTAAGCAAGGAGATTCAAGACTTTCTGGAAACAGTTTCTCCTTAATTACCCTGCAGTTTTTACATTGTGTTTAGACTTATATGAAATCAAGCTTCTTGTTTTGACATTTTTTGTTTGCTATCCAGCCAGTTGCTTCTTCCACACTCAACATGTCTTTTAGGTTAATTTTTTGAAACATCTAACGAATTCTACAAATTGCAAATTTTGGAATTAACATAACATTACCACAACCCAAATCATAAACATAGCTAATCAAAATCCCAAACAACTTAAAATTGTCAACCTCGAAATAGAATACATAACACAACATAGCATAACCACCATTTTCTAAATCATAAACTACTAAGCATAACTGAGATATATGAGACAATGGTACTCGCTCAAGCTTCCTTTACTCTGCTTTTGTCCTTAATTAGCACCGTCAACGTGATGTGTTTGGATCCTTTTTAGGCATAACCCTATCACATAACAACAAAAACAAACTATTCACAACTGATTTAGAATATAAGCATAAAAGTTATTAAAAGTGATCACAAAACACAAACCCCTGTTATATTCCAATGCAGCTTTGGTACTCTCACCAATCTTTTCAAGAAATGCATCCTCACCTCGTATCTCACGTCTACTTTCAAGTGACTTACAATACTCAACAACTTCGAAAATGTGTTGTGGCTTCGTCTTCGGCACCATGCTGTTTTGCAAAAGTTGAACTATCTTAAACGACACCAAATCTTATATATTTAATAAACTATATGTTGTTTGCAACCAATTGAGACGACATAAGTTTTATTTTTGTTCAAAAATCGCGCACTTGAATCCAAAAATAAAGATTGCAAGTCGGTAATAAAGTTTTCATGAATCGAAACTACAATTATGCACAAGTATTCATGATGTTCTCGTAATGTATAAAGTCATTTATTTGATTTCAAATTTAACATTGAAAAGATACAAGTCCAAAAATAAACTGCCACTATGTTGAATATTCTATCAAGTTTTCCATTAACATTCATGTATAATTTCTCCTAAGATTACTGTAAACCACACAAAAACTAAACTTGTTGATTTAATAGTATGGTTTTTGAAAGAAAGAAAAATTTTAGTGTTCTCAAATCCACACAATATCTTGACCATCGTTTTTCTGTTTTGAAAACCATGCTGTTTTGCAAAACTACTTTTTGAAACGACACGAAGTCTTATAAAATTTATAAACTACACGTCGTTTTGAACTAGTTGAAACTACACAAAGTTTTGTCCTTAAACCCTTGCCATACCACCATCACTCCCCTCCGTTCTCGATAGGTTAGAAGAAAGTCTTTTGGATATTAACTGTAACGAAGATGAATTTCCGTAATCTGATAGCTTCCGGCTCTCGCATCGGGAAGAGGTTCTGTGCAACGGTCTTCGCTCCGGCGTCTTCTGGCGTCGAAACCTCTGTCGCTATTCCGGCGACGGCGGATGGCGTCGAAGCCTCTGTTTCTGCTCCGACGGCGGCGTCAAAGCAGCGAATGATCTACAAGAAACTGTCGAAGCTTCCTGTGACAGGAGGGACAGTGGCACAGACGTTGAACCAGTTCGTCATGGAGGGCATTTCTGTCAGAAAAGAAGATCTCTTCCGCTGCGCCAAGGACCTTCGCAAATTCCGTCGACCTCAACACGCCCTTGAGGTCTTTTACCTCTTCCCTCTTAGAGATTTCATTGTCCATGGAAATGCTAATCGAAAGTCTAAAGCTTTAGATTCAAAAAGTTCTGCGATTTCACTAGTTTAATTGGGGATCTATACTCATTGCTTGATGAAAGTTCATATCTTTTTGAGTTGATCTTGATTTCACTAGTCGTAGAGTTTATAATTGGGGCTATTCAAATTGCAAATTTCAGATCTTTGATTGGATGGAGATGAGGAAAATGACACTATCCGTCTCGGATCATGCGATTCGTTTGGATCTAATTGCAAAGACGAAAGGCTTAGAAGCGGCTGAGAACTACTTTAACAGCTTAGCTCCTTCTGCAAAGAATCATCAGTCGACTTACGGAGCGCTCATGAACTGTTACTGCGTGGAGCTCAAGGAAGACAAGGCAAAGGCTCACTTCGACAGAATGGATGAGCTCAAATTCGTCAACAATTCGTTACCTTTCAACAACATGATGTCTATGTACATGCGGATGCGTCAGCCGGAGAAGGTGCCGTTGCTTGTTGATGCGATGAAACAGAGAGAGATCTCTCCTTGTGGGATCACTTACTCTATATGGATGCAGAGCTGTGGAAGCTTAAACGACTTGGAGGGATTAGACAAGGTTATAGATGAAATGGGGAGAGACAGTGAAGCTGAAGCTAAAACCACTTGGAACACTTTCTCTAACCTTGCAGCGATCTACACTAAAGCTGGTCTTTTCGATAAGGCCGAGTCTGCGTTGAAGTCTATGGAGGAGAAGATGAATCCGAACAACCGAGATTCACACCATTTCCTCATCAGTTTGTATGCTGGAATCTCGAAAGCTTCAGAGGTTGAGCGAGTTTGGGAGTCTTTGAACAAGGCTCGTCCTGAGGTCAACAATATGAGCTATCTTGTAATGTTGCAAGCGATGAGCAATCTCGGTGACATGGATGGGATCAAGAGGATCTTCACAGAGTGGGAATCGAAGCACCAGGTTTACGATATGAGGCTGGCTAATATCGCGATTAACACGTATCTGAAAGGAGACATGTATGATGAAGCAGAGAAGATTCTTGATAGTGCCGTGAAGAAATGCAAAGGGCCTTTCTCTAAAGCGAGACAGCTTCTGATGATACATGTTTTGGAGAAGGGTGAAGCTGATTTGGCTATGAAGCATTTGGAAGCAGCGGTTTCGGATTCCGCAGAGAACAAAGACGAGTGGAGCTGGAGCTCAGAGCTGATCAGCTTGTTTGGTCTTCACTTTGAGAAGACTAAAGATGTTGATGGAGCAGAAAGATTCTGCAAGGTTTTGTCGAATTGGGGCCAAACTGATGTCTTGAAAAATTGCTGAATCTAGTGGAATACTATTCAATAGTTACCAGTTACTACTTGCTGAATTCAGCTGATTTTCAGAAGAATACAAAATTTGAGGATTTTTTTCCAATAATTGAAGAGTTTACATTATAAAAAAAAAAAAAAAACAACACAGCTATTGCAGAATTAATTTTTTTATTTTGTAACTTTTCACTTACTTCATTAATATAGTTCTTTTATGTATGTTAATTTTAGAAATGAAATTCCAGTTACATATATTAATATCACAACAAAAACTTTGCATCTCAGGGATATTTTTTATTATGAATATTGTTAGTGAATACTAATTAGATAAAAAAATATCAATTTTACATTCAAAATACTTTTTTTAAAGTAAATTGAATAACATAAATATCATGTAAAATCTATGTAATTTGGATAAATAATCTTACTATTTACTATTATTATAATTCAAATTCATGGGAGAAAATTTTGGATAACTATAATTTTTTTTTTAACTAGAGGAATAATTTTCAATTAATATTTTTATATAATTGAAAAGAAAACCTTTAAACTTTCATAAAAACAATTTGCATAGTTGCATATGACTATTATTATTAAATTTCTTGGTTAATAATCTTGTTTAATCAAAATCAAACAATTTTTTTAAATGCTTTAACTGTAATAAAAGTATTGTTGGTTTGTTAAAATAAATTTTGATTAATATGGTTAAACATATATATTTACAATTTAATACCAACATTTTATCTGAATTTTCAAGTTTATACATTTTATAGGATAAACTTATGAAACAAATATTATTTTTTTGAAAAAAAGTTTGATTATTCTGCATTCCGTATTCAATAACATTCAACAATTATCATTCATGCTACTAACTAATCAATCAAATTCTGCAACTATTCATCATTTAATTAAGCCAAATTCCGCATCCAGTAACATCATTCAGCGATTACCATTTAAACCCTTGAAGACTTCTTGATTCTGAAAATGTGATGTTTCTTATGAAGACTTATGCAGCTGAGAAGACTTGTCCTGATATGCGAGAGAGACTGTCTCAACACCATATCGAAGTAAGCGAGGAGATGCAAGACTTGCTTGATACAGTTTGTCATTGATTTGACCTGCATATTAATTGGTAATAATAGTATATGTTTAGACTTGAGTCTCGTTTGTGAGTTTAATTAGTTTCTTGTTCCAAAGAGATGATGAGGGAAATCGAGAAAGAAAGTTTGGTATGAAAATATATTTTCTCATGTATATGATTATTTGTGAAGTGATTTTGAGAGAATTGAGCTCCCTCATTCATTCTTAGAATTGAAATATCTTTAATGAAAACTTACATAAAATGATGTAGTATTGATATGTTTTATTTGTTAATGTTCTTTTAATTTGTGATATATAATTTTCTCTTGTAATTTTGTGGATGTTCTTATATGTTGATTCATTTTGAAACTGAAAAAAAAAAGATTGTCATGTCAATGTTAAAAACTTAGAAGTTAGAACTCATGTGTTGGCGATATAAGTTGAAACTGAAGTACACCCAATCTGCACAATATGATAATACAAGGTTGTCAATTTATCATCAAACACTTCCATGAAATCAAACAAGCAAAAAAGAATGATATTCTGAGAAATCAAAGTAAACATGTTATTATTCACACGTATCACTAAAAGAAAAGAAAAAATAGAGTTAACATGTTGTTTGATCTGGAAAAGAATATGAACAACTCTTGGACTTGTTAGAATGAAAGTTAAACAATACAAAAACTATAGAAAAATGTTAAGTTAATCCGGATGATTAAACCATATTGAACCGGTGCGCATAATCTAATAACTTTTGACAGTTTGTGAGTTACACAATCTTACAGTTATAGGGCAAGATCTCCTGAAAATTTTGGCATTTTTCTTAAGTGTTCCTTAATTGTCGGCAATTTTTATAAAATATTATTGGCAGTAATTAATTGATTCATTCTTGTGAAATTTGAGGTTATATGTACACATGTTTATAAATTGTCAACGAATAATATGTTTGTTTATCCAAATCCAAAAACCGACTACTGCCAAATGAAAGTAGTTTATTTGTGGACCATGACCCATGTTATTGTTAGTGCCACCAACAAAGTCATGAAAAAGGTTTTTAATTTCTTTTATTTATCCATTTATCTTTTATCTAACGGCAATTTCTTTGAAGAGCAAATACTGACTAGAAATAGCTCTAAAAGGGAAAATAACAGTTTTATCTAACAATTACAGTTTGATAAATCTATAGTTTCTTTGAACAGAAAATTCGTTTCATTACCACACCACAGGACAGTGAATATGTTTGAGAATCAGAAGTTATCCAATTGTGATTTGTAAGAAAATAAAAATAAAAAGGAAAAAAACAAACGGCGTAGATTGAAAAACAAGCTGGCACGTTCTGTATCTGGTCGAAACTTTCTTTATTCTTTGTCTGTCAATTCGTTCGGCGACATAACAATCCAAAAAAACATTCCTTTTAGCTTCTCTGTTTATATATACACAAACGCAGAAGCAAAACGGATATCTTTGTGAAATTTGGGAAACACAATCACTTCAAATTTCACCTCACAAGAACCCTAATCCGAGGTGGTTACTCTTCTTCCTCCTTCTTTTTATTTCAGTGTCGCATTCACAATTTCGTCCTTATCCCAAGTAATTAATGGGTTTTGACATTCGCAGCGAAAGATTTGAACTTTTTGCTGTTTGAATTAGAAATTTCTGTGATTTCTGTCTTTTCCTCTTCTTAGTTGCGAGGTTCCTCTCAAGTTTGTATCTTCGATTAGCTTATTTTTCGAGAATGTGGTTTTCGTTAAATTGGTGCTGCATTGTCTCTGAGTCACTCTGTTCTCGAATCGCCTCTTTGTTTTGCTGTGTAGAAAATTTTGGGAAATCGAATCCGCGAGTTCGTGTAGAGTTTCTTGTCGATTTCAAAACTGTCTCAGTTCTCTAGTAATACATCGTGAATGGTTCTAAATGTTTAAGTCACTGATTTAGTGAAACTACCTGTCAAATTAGCATTCTTGTGTGAGAAATTTTCTTCATTGCTCCTTTGTGTTTTCAGAATAATTAGTATGCTAATCTCTCGTATGATTTGTTATATGTTCTAGGAGGATTAAGGAAGTTGAGAACAAGTCGTTGAGGGTTTATCAAGTAACTTTGGATCAAATGGTTTCAAGAGAACAAGATTTTGAAATAGATCTTGAAGCTGGTCGAACCGATGTTACTAGAGAATCAACATCAGAACGATTGAATCTCGGTGTGCCTGAGAAGATTGGTGATGATCTGGTCTCTCCGTTAATGGGAAACGAGAAGCCGGCAGAAACAAGCAGTCAGAGTTCGGATCTTTCAGGGGGGAAATGCGATGTTGGAAGAAAGTTTAAGAAGTCAAGAAAGGCTTCAAAGCCACCAAGACCTCCTAAAGGCGCTTCCTTGTTGAGTGCCATTGACCATAAGGTGATGAGGGAGATAGCTGATCTCGCGATGAGAAAGCGAGCTAGGATCGAACGGATGAAACACTGCCTGAGAAGGATCAAAGCAGCCAAGTCATCATCATCAACTTCTTCTTCATGCTTCAGCGTTTTGTCGATGATAGTTACGGTTCTGTTCCTCGTCTTTCTATTCTCTCAAGGTACCGTTTTTCTTGTCTTTCTAAAATGAATCCAAAGATTGCTACTTTGGTGTTGAAATTGCAGACTTTTTGTTGCCCCAGTTCATGAATTTGTCTCTGAAGCAAAAAGTCATAAGATTCTCTATGGTCATAAACAGAGTTTGTTCTGTTTTTTGGTGTCTTAACCACAACTCTGTTTTTTTTGGTGTTGCAGGATTATTCGCAGGCAATACGAGTTTGAGTTCAGACAAATCACCTGCACCAGTTGTTTCACCTAACAACCGATTTGTTTCAGTTCAGTTCAACAATGAATTTGCTCCCGTTGAGCAAACCGATCCCAGCCCAACAACCTCTTTCAGGTGAGAGGAGCTTGAAGAAGAACAGTTTCCTTTCTATAGCTTTGATGATCCTATTGTCATTTGCCAATCAAAGAAGCCACTTTGTAAAACAAGTAGTAGCGTGAACATTTTCTTAAACTTTTTCAGATACACGAGGAAGCGAATTTCAGGGGCTGAAGAAGAAGAAGACTCGAGAGATGTCACCAGATGAGTTCTCTGTTTGGTTTTGACAGTTAACTCAAAGTCTGTTAACTCTTGTGGTTCAAGTTTTGCTCTGTTACCTTGTCTGTCTCTCATCATTGTATATTTGTCGTTTCTTAACTGAGCTTTTAGAAACAGTCTTCCTCGAGGTTTTATTCTGTAAAACGACTGCGTTTTAAATGATGAATTGATGATGATGATGAACCTTCTAGAGGGGCCTGTTTTGTAACTATTTGGAAAATTAGTAGTGATTGGGGTATTTACAGCATTTAATGGAAAATGATGGAAAACTTAATATTGGCCTTAGAAAATTTATTTTCCACGTTATATTTTCTGTTCATACAACAAAATGCCCGAAGTTTTGTGAAACTGACGTCTCTGCCAATGAGATTCTGAAACGTTTATGGTCACTAACAATACGTACATTTAAAATATACAATTATATCCGACAACCGTTATAAATTACATATTTGATATGCTTGTTTTGGATGTTTCGATGACACGACTCATGATAACGGGACTTTGATTGGATATATACAAACAAGAATTGGCAATTTTAGACGAACACGTCGACCAAAAACCATTTGACAAAAGTTTCTAAAATAAGTATAACAAGAGAGATGCACGTCCACGGACAACACCGCACACCTTGTAATAGTAGTGGTCGGTTAAAACTTCACCCATACCATTTCTAGATTTGTTAAACCAAATTCGATGATCTTTATCGTCTGCAAGTTTGGAAATATTAATTTTCTTGTTTTTGAATCATCAGGATCGAAAAACAAATGTCAATATTGGCTTTTTTTTGTTAGTGATTATTTTGGAGACTGCATTTGTAGATTAGGTATACGTCATACATCATTGCATCTTTGATATTTTTAGTTTTAGACATAACATTAACTCATTTGATTAGTCACTACATTTAATTACTACCATTTTTAAATATGCATGTTAATTAACACATGTGGTCTTGTATACGGCTTATATTTTATCATTTTGGTTAATCTTTCAAGCTGGTCTCTATCTTTAACCTAGTTTTTCCCCATAAAATGTCCTAAACATCCATATTTAATATTCTTGCTAATGTTTATGGCTATAATTAGTATGTCGTATATGTTCTTAGCTAGTGAATGAACATTTCGGTTTTACAAACATACCAAGAAAAGGTATTTTAATATTGTGAAACAAAAATAGAAACTTCAAATGACAATAAAGGTTCGGTTGCAGGGATCTTGTGTAATTCAAAAGTGATAACAAGATAATATATTAAAAATAATTGTCAGAAATTGATCAATCGAAGAGAACAATTCGCAACTTTGAGCGGATCTCTATCATTATATTCTCTTAGTCAAGATGGAATTTAGATATTTATTTTTTATCCTTTTGGAAAAAATATCGGAAATTGAACGTATGCAAATTAAAAGTCTAAAACGATAGACTTGTATGATTGCGAAGTAATTTTAGTCTAGACATCTAATTTGTGTCTATATTTTTCTCCACGCGTATATATATGACAACAATATGGACTCTCAATTTTACTTACGAAATAAACATAATATATACAAGAACTTGTGGTTTTATTTTTTGGGTCAAGTTTTCATTAATAAAGGGATAATACATCTCTTTAACAAGTCTAGGAATATTTGAGTAGAATAGAGGACGGTTTACTGATATGTGGAGTAGCTAGAGATGTCTAAATCGGTTTAACGAGTCCAATCTGATCATTCGGTTTTATCCTAGAAAAACCTTTCACGTAGAGAAGACAAGAAAAAAAAAACTAAATTTCGAATGGAAACCGACTATATATCGACGCGCACGTATACTTTTCAGATATTACCATTCGCATCATTTATTGCAATCATGCAAGCTGTACGGGGAAAGAAGAAATGGAACCATCATCAATGGCATTTCTCGAAAATATCAAACACGTTCCAAGGGTATTTACGTCATGATTCCTTTCTATAAATGCCACCCCTCTTCTGTTACTCTCGACATGCAGAGTCTAGAATCCAGTGACTTCATTTTATATAATTAAAAAGGAAAGAAGTCAAAACCATGTCCGGTAGTAAGATCTCAACTCTCCAAGGCCTTGTCTTATTCTTCTACCGATTTTTCATTCTCCGGCGTTGGTTTCATCGTAACCCTAAACAAAAATACCAAAAATGTCCTTCTCACGGCCTCCACGAAGCTCACGATCTATCACACCACACGTTGGTCTTCAACGTCGAAGGAGCTCTACTCAAGTCAAACTCCTTATTCTCTTATTTCATGCTCGTTGCTTTTGAAGCCGGAGGGATAATAAGGTCATTTCTACTCTTCATTCTCTATCCGTTGATATGCTTGATGAGCTATGAAATGGGCTTGAAGACCATGGTGATGTTGAGCTTCTTCGGGGTGAAAAAAGAAAGCTTTCGAGCCGGGAAATCGGTTTTGCCTAAGTATTTTCTAGAAGATGTTGGTCTCGAGATGTTTGAGGTTTTGAAGAGAGGAGGCAAAAGAGTTGGTGTGAGTGATTTGCCACAAGTTATGATTGATGGGTTCTTAAGAGACTACTTGGAGATTGATGTTGTGATCGGGAGAGAGATGAAGACGATTGGCGGTTACTACTTAGGCATCATGATGGACAAACGGAAACATGAGTCTGCTTTTGGTAAATTGTTTCAAGAAGAAAAACTAAGTGGTGGTCATGTAATTGGAATCACTTCATTTAATTCGCCAAGCCACCGATCTCTACTCTCTCAATTTTGCCAGGTAAATTATCTTTATGCATATATATACGGTAAACTAAACTTTATATTTCAGAATAGGTTTTGGACCCCAGCAGTGATCTTATATAAAACAGACGAAACTGAATTTTGTTGGGAGATAAATAAAGACAAACCTTTAAGTTACATTATGATGTCCCGGTTTTGTTTTTTAAAGTACAACATCTTTTCATCGTTTCAGTTTTCTGATATAAATATGGAAAATCCATGATAAATTAAATTATATCTATCTCAAATTCAATTCTTTGAAGACCCCAATAGGTTTTTTGGCTTTTAGTCTGTCTTCTTATTTTGTAAACTACGCTTCTGTTTTTTTGGGGTTTCGATACCTGGTAACTCGATAATAAATGTTTCTTTATATACAAGTCCCCAATAGAATTTCTTTGGTTTTAAATGCGGCTCTTTGAACGAACAGAGAAATGCATTGATTTTTGTAACTTATTTTTTAAAACGTTTAATAGTGTATAGCATGCTGCAATTAATTCAAACCATAGAGTACTGGAAAAAAAAGGATTAAGTTCTGATGCAATTAATTCAAACTATGACTTGTATACAATCCATTAAATAAATCCTAATTATATTTTCTTTGTTTGATTTGTTCATAAACAGGAGATTTACTTTGTCAGAAAGTCAGACAAGAAGAGTTGGCGAACTTTACCACGAAATCAATACCCTAAACCATTGATTTTCCACGATGGTCGTTTAGCCATCAAGCCAACACCGTTAAACACGCTCACGTTATTCATGTGGGCCCCATTCGCCGCAGCCTTAGCAGCCGCAAGACTCGTCGTCGGCTTAAACCTTCCTTACTCCGTAGCCAATCCGTTCCTCGCTTTCTCCGGTCTCCGCCTTACCCTCACCGTCAACAACCACAACGACCTTATTTCTACCGACCATAAAAAAGGTTGTCTCTTTGTGTGTAATCATAGGACGTTATTAGACCCACTTTACATTTCATACGCTCTAAGAAAGAAAAACATCAAAGCCGTTACATATAGTCTAAGTAGGTTATCTGAGCTTCTAGCTCCTATCAAGACCGTTAGATTGACTCGTGACCGAGACCGAGACGGTCAAGCCATGGAGAGATTGTTGAGCCTAGGAGATCTCGTGGTATGTCCTGAAGGGACCACGTGTAGGGAGCCTTATTTGCTTCGATTTAGTCCACTTTTCTCGGAAGTCAGTGACGTCATCGTACCGGTCGCTATTGACTCGCACGTGGCCTTCTTTTATGGCACGACGGCTAGTGGTCTTAAGGCCTTTGACCCTATTTTCTTCCTCATGGATCCTTACCCTTCCTACACCGTCCGATTGCTTGATCGTGTATCTGGAGTTGGCTCGTCCACGTGTCGTGATCCTACTGATGAGAAAACTAAGTTCGAGGTGGCTAATCACGTGCAACATGAGATCGGGAATGCGTTGGGGTTCGAGTGCACCAACCTCACGAGAAGAGATAAGTACTTCGTTTTGGCCGGTAATAATGGAGTTGTCAGCAAAAATAAATGATTTTTAAGTGCATTATCTCTTAATTAGAGCTCTTCTTTGTGTGAGACCAATATGCTTGATATTTTATATAAGATTTTTTCCTACAATATAGTGTAACTATCTTTTTGTGTGTGACCAATACATATAAATGTATATATAATCAAACAAAATTCCTTAGTTAGATTATGTTTTCAGAAATTAAAGATCTTACTGGACTTGGTAAAGTACAAGCAATATATAGTATGCCATGGTGGAAAAGGCAACGGAGGAGGTGTAAACTTAATTATCTATACCATACAACTTTTTGAGTCAAATGTATTAATATGTATTCGCGGTAACTAATTCAGTAAGATAGCAGATGGAACCGCGCGTTTCCTTTAACAAAACCCGTCGATTCTAGTATGTCGGTATATATCTGTGCAATATTATGCATCTAACGGTTTGGCCGCAAAAGGCACAGTCAACACTTTAAAGTACTCTACATATGCATTTTCCATTATTAGCATGTTTTTTTGTGAATGCATTGATAAGAAATTTCAAATTCATTTACACAAAGGTATATTTTCATTTTCATACGAATTTGACATGGTGATTGTCATCTCCATAAGTTGACACTTTAAAGACTTTACTTAAGGAAAGTTAGAAAATGCCATAAAATATTCAAGACAAGTAGATCTTACTATATTGGGATAAATGAGGACGTAACGTAACCGTGGATAACGACTTAATTATAGACGAAAGGATTAGTTAATGAACTTACCATAATTGGTTTTCGGCATTAGTTAATTGTGAAAAAGGTTTCAAAACTATGGGAGTTAAGGATAGTTTCGATATATTATGAGTGGGACTCATGCCGATAATTGTGGGGTGAGTGTTTATGTGTCAGCCCTACGCATATTCCCACCTAATCTGTTTGATGGTTCTTCAATCTTTGATTGATTAATTAATTTCTTTGAATGGTGGATTAAAAAAAAATTGTTTATTGGCTTTGGATAAAACAGTAAACAATTTTCACCAATACGTGTGATAATTTACGGAAATCGTGTAAAACTTTAATATCCAGAATCTGCAAGGCGTCATTTAATACTGGGGTAAGAAACAAAATTAAGTTTGGAAAATTGTGACGGTAGTTATTTACGGGGTTCAGCGAATTTAAATACTTGGTTTCAAACTTTCAATAAATTTGAATTTGGTATCAGTTGTACTCTAAAATAAAGAGACCAACATAAAACATCTATATGTTACGAAATTTACATAGTAACCTGATCGTTTGTCCTTATCCATGACTACAATTCACGAATTACATATTATACTATAGATACGTGGAGATGGGCCGGGCCGGGCCGGGTATGAATACCAATACGAGCAGCAATCGAATTAAGAAAAGCTTTGACTGTATAAAAACGATTAATGCATTACTGAATCTAATCCGAAGTCGCTCACCAACTAATAGTTTTCGATGTTGTGAAGCTTTCATATATGATGATCGATGCGTCATTCTTAAGAAACAATATCTGACCCAATATTAATTCTCACATGTTTAACAAGATTTTGATGATGATATTGATTTAGAATGATTGTACCTGCAGCAAAACCCATACTGATAGAGTTAGTCTATCGTTTTCTCCTCTTATCTACTATGGTTGGACATTTGTGTGATCATTTCTAAAATTAGTATTATCCATTAACTTATGATTGTTGATTTTAATTGTTCAATCATGATGTAAATTTCACATCATTTATATGTTGATTTAGAAATAAATCAAACTAACAATAGGAAGTTGGTTACATTCGTCTATCTATTGTACAATCGGAAACTCTGCATCAATTTTTTATAAAATGATATTTTTTGTTATTCATTTTAAATATGTATATATATATATATAATAATTTGAATCTTATAATGGCAATCATATCATGGTCTTCTTCTATGCTCCCCCACATTAATTTCATGACACTATGTCGGATACATAGTGTTGACTACATGTCTTCTTGTTCCAAAATTTATTTAATAAAAACATATGAATGAAAATAATTCGATCTTTGAGAAGAGAGGAAAAATCGTTTCAACTACCAAAAAGATATTCCAACGGCCATTTGGTTATCCCATTCCCACGCATGTGCCATCCCATTTGCTTTTTGTAGTTTATGTCGCCGGTTATTGGCATTCTTTATACTGGTTAAATTAGTTACAAATCTACTGTTAGATAACGTGAGTATGTCTATTGAATAAGCTACATTATTCACGTAATTATATTTCAAGTTCGAGCATTATGCAAATTACAGTTTTAACAGCCCACCAAATACTAGTAACTTTTAATGCATGCTGGTTCATTTTAAATGGCGTTAGAATTTTCGTTTCTTGCATATGTGGAGTCTCGTCCTACATAATGCAACAATGCTGAAATTGAATTTAAAATAAAAGAAAAAACATTGGATGTATGAGAAAACTGAAAACTCAGATTGGTTGTCTCGGAGTTGGGTGACCGACTGTCTACTGTAAACTCATAACTGGTTTTAAATATGTGTATGTACATTAATAAAAATGTCTAAAAATAAATAAATGGTCACCAAAATGTTAGAAATGATAAGAGTTAGGTTTGATAACCGAAATGTATGTTTCATTCATGGGATAATGTCGGCTAGTATGTCAGATGCCATGTTCCATTGATCCATCCTGTCTCTGGTCAATTTTTCTCCCATCCTTCTTTTTAGATTTTTAATTTTGAATATTTATAGGAATTGAATGATTCGAATTGAATGATTTTCTCTCGTTAAATTTGTTGTTCAAAATGTGTTTTTCCAATTTGGGTTACTTTGAGCCTAACTTTTCTCTTTCGGGTGCAAATGTGAACCTAACTAACATCAAAACAACATAAGTGGAACATCGAGTTGTTAGAAACGCGACTTGTATCAAGCTAATAAAACGGTTTAGACATGCATGGAATGGAACAAATAATCAAATAAAAATATATTGGCTGATTTAGCATTGTAATTAATCTTCTCATTATTAAAGAAAACGAGAGAAAGTCAACGGAAATGCTATAAATATAGGAATTTATAGGTCATTTACGTTTTATAATAAAGAATACAGTAATGGGTAGGTACTAGGTATTGGTACAGAGAGCTGAAAGTAACAAATAATTGAAAAGAATATGGGCAATGAAAACAAATTCGTTAGTTAATCGGACGGCAAATAGGAGCCGTCAAGATTGACCATTTCCACTACGTGCCAACATATAAAGCCTTACACCTGGCCCATCCCCCACCTTTCCTACTTCCTTCCGACTCTTTTCCACGCGCCTCTTTTTTCTAGCACTTGCTTCTCGTCAATTTCCCTTTTTTTTTGTTTGCCTCTTCACAAGTATTTCTTTTAACTTTTTTTCGGTTAAAGCAAGCTCTTACAAGTCAAAAGATCAAATATCTATCTTATCGAAAAATCTTGAGAATGTTATACATATTGCTGGACACACATAATAATATCAATCATCATGATTCATGATGGAAATGTAAGCTTGGTCACTTCTGTCTAATCTGAAAAAGGAGGACTGGAGGAGGAGTGATTTTTCTTAAGCATGAAAGAATACTAGTTCTGTCAAATTTCTAAATTAGTTATCCGGAAAAGAAAAGAAAATCGTGATCCATTCTTATGATTTATGTGTTAGTTGGATTTGAAGAGGTCATAAATTGTTACTAAATGTTTCCAAAACCCATCACTATAAATTATTTTAGATCGGACACTCCTATAAATTGTCAATCTTAATCACAACAATAATGGATCAACTGCCATAATGCTATTGTATACTTATTCTACGCGAGTCCTATGACCAACCAAACACGTAATTATAGGCAATAAAGGCTTGATCTTTAAATTATATATAGAATTAACATCAACATCTACTACTTTCCTATAACCAAATTTCAATCTACCCGATTTTAGTAATATAAAGGTCGTGAGATAATAATTAAAAAAAACTCATAGATTAAGATTACCTAACTTGGATATGTTAAATATATATACATAAATTTATGCTATACTTTCTTACAATAAATACCATTTTGATGGAGACGAATATAAACATGCATAATTTCATAAATAGACAGGCTTTATTTATCTTGGCAATAATTTTGTTTTTAAAAAGTCGACCGTCCCCATTGAATATTGATGACATGCCCACCTTACGCGATATGTATGCTGAGACGATTACTTTAATTTCCCCCATTTGTCAACCGTATGGAAACCGTAGCACAATAAATAATATTCGAAAAAGACTTAAATAGAAAATATTTTTTTTTTATCCAAAATCTACCTTCCATCTCTTCCCATAATACACTATAAATATCACCCACTCTTCTTTCATATTCAAAACCTCCTGATTTCATTCTCTAAGAATAATAATAATAGTTACAAAAAGGTTATATTTGTTTGAAAGAGAAAAGGACATGGTTTTGCCTTCTTCAACACCGTTACAAACCACTGGAAATAAGAAGAGATCCTCGCCGGATTATAACTTTCCGGTGATCGATTTCTCTTTAGACGACCGATCAAAACTGTCGGAGACGATCGTGAAAGCCTGCGAGGTTAATGGCTTTTTCAAGGTGATAAACCATGGAGTTAAACAAGAGATAATATCGAGATTTGAGCACGAAGGTGAAGAGTTCTTTAATAAACCGGAACCGGAGAAGCTTCGAGCCGGTCCGGCGAGTCCATTCGGTTACGGATGCAAGAACATCGGGTTTAACGGAGATTTGGGTGAGCTTGAGTATCTTCTTCTCCACGCAAACCCAACGTCTGTCGCTGATAGATCTGAAACTATCTCCCATGATGATCCCTTCAAGTTCAGGTACGTACATATATTTTTATCATAATACAAGTCTTGTTTGTTCTTTGCGTGTGCATTTATTGGTTCTTTAACCTACTTTAAGCTTATATTCATAAACCATAGGTTATACGTAGAACTGACAATCTTTGTTGCGTCTACAAACAAATTGTTTTAATATTCTATCCTTTTTCTCCCTGTGTGTGTGAACGAAAGTTGACCTGACCCAGCTGAAATTGATGTGAAAAATGTGTGTGACAATGTGATTTGAGAAATACCTATAAAGAGAGGGAGAGATGCTATGTCGAATAATGGATAATGACCAGAAGACACGGCTTTTAATTATTACCACCAGTCTTTGTTCCTTTATATATTGTCATTAAAGTTGCCCTTTTATGTTTAAATTAGTACAAGTGAATTAACGCACCAACCTCATGCCGGTTCACCTGATAATTTGTTGTAATCATTAATTTACAATAGTTGGATTTTGTTATTTGGTCGTAGTATATTGGTATGTGGTTACAATTAGGATTCCAGCTAGTTCTTTCTATATTTCAGCCAATTAAAATATCAACATGTGAAAGTGCTTTTGCAACCTTGACTGCGACATGGTTGGTTAATTAAAATTCTTTTTATTTGTTGACCGGAAAAAAAAAAACTTCTTCTGATTTTCTTTTGCTAATTTGGTGGCATAGTCAACTTTTCCAAATATGTGTTTTCAATTCTTGATGAGAATGGAACTTTTAAATATCGTTCATGGGCTCCATGTTGATCGTGTTATATGTAAAATACATAGGCATACACACACACACGTCACAAAGTACTGTAATACTAATATTGAGTAGACTTGGTCAATTAATGTAAGATTGTGCATGAACACAAAAACACTTTGAGACGTCAAAGAATCAAGATTCGAAACGTCAATGAATCAAGATTTGACCGGTTATTTATTCCTCTTGTTTCAATTAAAAAAATTGACAACTTGTAGAGAAAAATGAATCGTGGGGTCCACACTTTCGAACATTCCTCTGAACATAATTAGATGTCTTTCCATTTTTCTTTTTCTTTTGTTATCGATATCTCTATTAGGGGAAAAAAACGAAACAAATCGAACAATTTGTTTCTCTGTCAATTGTTGAGCATGTAATAAAAGCCACGTGTATTTTATTTTGTAGCTCGGCGACGAATGATTACATAAGCGCCGTTAAAGATCTGGCGTGTGAGATAGTTGATCTGACGGTCGAGAATTTGTGGGGCCAGAGATCTAGCGAGGTAAGCGAGCTAATCAGAGACGTCCGTAGCGACTCGATCCTACGGTTGAATCATTATCCACCAGCACCGTTTGCGTTGAGTGGCGTTAGCCAAATAGGATTCGGGGAGCATTCTGATCCTCAGATCTTGACGGTGTTGAGATCTAACGACGTAGATGGACTAGAGATTTGCTCACGTGACGGCTTGTGGGTCCCAGTCCCATCTGACCCTACATGCTTTTACGTATTGGTCGGTGATTGCCTTCAGGTAATTAAACAAAATATTTTTCCTATTACTACAAAGATTACTTAAAACCTTTTAAATCAGTTAATATTGTTCAAATTTTCAAATCGTATACCTTTTTTTTTTTTTTCATTTTTTCAAATCGTATATCTCAATAAAAAATAAAAAATCAGATTTCTTTAGTCTGCGATTTTATTATAATCACGTATTTTTGGTCCGTTAAATTAATGAAAGATTTTCTGTAAATAGGCATTGACAAATGGGGAAATTCACTATATCTCAATAAAAAATGAAAAATCAGATTTCTTTAGTCTGCGATTTTATTATAATCACGTATTTTTGGTCCGTTAAATTAATGAAAGATTTTCTGTAAATAGGCATTGACAAATGGGAGATTCACTAGCGTGAGGCACAGGGTACTGGCGAACACGGCAGGGAAGCCTCGGATGTCCGCGATGTATTTTGCGGCGCCGCCTCTAGAGGCCGAAATATCACCGTTGCCGGAAATGGTATCGCTGGAAAATCCACGACGTTATAATTCCTTCACATGGGGTGACTACAAAAAAGCTACCTACTCTCTCCGTTTGGGTGTCCCTCGTCTCGAGTTCTTCAAGACTTCATAAATATTAATACAGTTTATATTAGATGTTTTTTGTTGTTGTTGGATAAAACATATACTTATGATTGATAGTTTGTTATACAAAAATACACCATGTGAACAATCAATGAAACGAGTTCTAATTAACGTTGACAAAAAAAAAACGAGTTCAATAGCAAAAAGAAACGGTCAAAATTTGGTCTATGAAACGCGTCCGTTCAACAATAAACTATGGTCCCCTCTTCATAACACACCCTTCTGTTATCATAATTAAACAAACTAAACACTCTTTACACAAACCGGCTTTTTAGGTATACAGTACTGTTTATATCTTGATTCCATCTAGCTAAGACCAAAGACTATTGTGGTAATTGTGTTGGCGGTAGATGACGATCTAATTAAACAGACTAATGTTTCTATTAGTGGTTGTGTTTTTTTGTTCCCATCATTTGGAAATGGAACGAATTAGAGAAGACTTCATTCCAGAAACTCCACGTATACACTACAATGATGCAACCGCTACGGAGATTTCGTAAAAGAGTGTGACTATAAGTTGTTTGAGTGACAGCAAACACTAGAAAATATTCAATTATCACATTTGCTTAAACTAAAAGTCATTATTTAGAAACTTAAATCAATTCAACAATCGATCATTTATCGGAAAACAACTCAAGAAAGAGTTGATATAGGTAGCTAAGTACACTCCTCATCATTCGTTAAAAGAAGGACGAAACAACTCCAAAACCGATGAAAGTTATTAAAAAAAAAAATTAGTCTAGACTTGGATCTCGAATCATAATCAAAGAAGCATGAGACCGACAACTCCAAACGCAATCAGCTTCACAGTGGTGAAGCTTTCTCCAACAGCCGCCGCTCCAAGGTCAACGGGGTACAAGTCTCCTGGCGGAGATGCCGGGTATACGTAAATAGGCGGAGGTGGCGGCGGCGGCGGCGGAGAGTACGACTCATTCGGCGACGGTGGGCAGTCAGGCACTTTAGGAGGAGACGGCGGTGGCGGGGAGGGGGGAAGTGGGGGAGGACAAGAAGGAGGAGGCGGAGATGGTGGAGGTGGAGGTGGAGATGGTGGAGGTAGCGGATCTGGGAGACAAGGTGTGCATTTAATGGGATCCTCGCTGGCTGGAGAATCAGCGGCGTTGATAATAAACGGTGATGCGAGGAACACGACGGCCATGAGGATACTGGCTACGAGATCCATCGAAGGGCGAGTTTTCTTTGCCATGTCGAACTCGTAAGAGAGGTTTTGGTGGCTTAGACGTGTGAAACAAAATGATCAAATTTATGGAATGTTTATTGACGAGATAGTACGATCCGTGTGTATATTTCTACATAATGTGAAAGATTTCTTAGTTTGGAAATATGGATCTAACTCAATAAAGAAAAAATATTGTCCTAATGACGTAGGAGATCTAGAAAATATTCGAAATCTTCAATCACGAACATAAAAATGGGGTCACAAAAGGATACAACGGTCGATCGAGTAAATAATCCAGGTGTACATCTTTTCATTTGGGCCTAGTTGCATAATTTGGGCTTACAATTAAACAAATGTGAACACAAATTTTAAAGGACCCGACTATCACTATCTTTTACCCGACAACTTGGCAAAGTCGTTGTTTGACTTGTTGACTTTTTTCTTAATCACAAAAGTGTGTTCGTTTTTAGTTTCATGTGACGTCTTTAATCTCTCTACAGCCGACGACACACATAAGAACGCCGTTCGTTTACCGGTTAGTGTATTATACTCGTCTCTTCTTCTCATTTGAGCTTTCTTACTATTTGATGGGTTACACTTTTAAGTTTTATCCATTCCTGGATTCGTTGTTGGACTCTGATCGGCCATGGCATCGCTTGATTCCTTAAGTTTTGTTTCCCGATTATTTGTGATTGGGTGTTAGGGAGAAAATGGGTTTAATTTCAATGTATTGGCTTTGAATTGATCGGATTTTCAGAGTAATATCTTCTGGGTTCGTGTTACTTGTGCAGGTAGTGTTTGTTGTGGTGTGGTTTCTCACTGTGTCGATTGATTGAAATCATTTCTCTTCGGCCATGTCGTGGTCGAAAGCATGTAGAGGGACTCTCATATCTTCGTATTTAGAGAACCTTCATCGAACATCGCAGTCTACGAGGTAATCGAATTCTCCCTAATGCAGGTGAACTGTTTGTTAAAATTCCTCAAAGAGAAAGTTTTATCCTTTTCGCTGTAGTTATGAAGATAGAATTTAGGTTGTGAAAGATGCTGATTCGACTTCTTATTGTAGGACCGTGCCTCTTGATATATGCTCTCGTTATTACACTCATGGAGCTTGTAGAGGCAATGAGCATAATCTCCGAAGAAATAGAGGGCTTTGGGGAAGCTCTTCTTTGAATTCCCATTCTTCTACTGCTAAATTGATGTTACTTGGTGCTCATCGCCAGTATTCTTCTACTCACTCTCCAACAGAAACCAAATCACAGAAAATGCTATATTACCTCACTGCTCTTGTCTTTGGCATGGTGGGGCTAACTTACGCCGCTGTGCCATTGTATAGAACATTCTGCCAAGCTACTGGATATGGAGGTACTGTTCAACGCAAAGAGGTATTAGATTATTTGTTTATTATTCTTCACTTTTCTCCTTCCGAGGTTTCAACTATTCGTAGCCTCTTTCTTAATATTGGCTCCACTGGTTTCTTTTGGCCTTATAACTACAGACTGTTGAGGAGAAGATTGCTAGGCATACAGAATCTGGCACCGTCACTGAAAGGTGTTTCTTCATCTCTCTCTTAACACCATTCATGTTTATGTGTTTATGATGAACTTGCTAGCTTACTATATATACCCTATCATGGTTGCTTCGTAAATAGGGAGATTGTGGTGCAGTTCAATGCTGATGTTGCTGATGGGATGCAGTGGAAGTTCACTCCAACTCAAAGAGAGGTTTGGACTTTATATAAGTCTTAAAGAGTGTGCGGCTTGTTAATGTGTTTTTTTCATTGACTGATATGTCTTTTGGTTTTGGTATTTTCGTTTAGGTGAGAGTAAAGCCAGGAGAAAGCGCTCTCGCTTTTTACACTGCTGAAAACAAAAGTTCATCTCCAATAACCGGTGTCTCCACATACAATGTCACTCCCATGAAGGTATATTATTGAGCCTTGGTTAATGAATAACTATCAACTTCTCTGAGAACATGTTTTGATTGATTCTCCAACTCTTGTTGGTTTTGTCAGGCAGGAGTTTATTTCAACAAGATACAGTGCTTTTGCTTTGAGGAGCAGCGACTTCTTCCCGGAGAGCAAATCGACATGCCGGTGAGGACCCTTTTGTTCTTGATTCTGTTTACTATACTATTCCTTTAAGCAAAATCTAGAAAGTAATTGTTTGACTTTGTTCTTTAGGTCTTCTTCTACATTGATCCTGAGTTTGAGACTGATCCAAGAATGGACGGAATCAACAACTTGATATTGTCTTACACTTTCTTCAAAGTGTCCGAGGAAAATACTGCAGATACGGTCAACAACAACAACAGCTCTGTTCCAGTTCAAGTTCAAGAAACCAATTAATGTCTCTATTCTTTGAAAAGAAGAAACTAATGTTGTGACATAACCTTATGCAAGAAGAAGAGTCTCCCTTAATAAATTCCATTACTCGGGAATTGTTTGTTGTTATTGTTCAGAATCCACGAAACAGATATCAAACCAAAAAAGTTGTCTGTTAGTTTTATTCTTCAGTTGTACTAATGGAAACATGAAATTTTATTGAAGTGCTTGTTGAATAAAAGAAACTTTACAACGATTGAATGCTAAAGAAGTTTAAACAAGAGGCTCTGTCCTACTCATACATAAGAAGTTCATAATAAAAACCGAATGGTTAATGATGAGGTTGGGACCTAAAGGTCTGCAACCAGTTGTTGAGGCGGTCCATCACTGACAAGTCCTTCTTCTTGGGAAAGTTTGGGTAAGTAACAGCTTTGGGCTGTGGTTGCACCATCACTCGAAGCTTCAGTCCAGCTCCACAACGACCCGGTTCTGAGCTTATGAAATAACGAACTCCTGGTTCTGTGAGCCTAACGAGATCGTGTCCTGTCTTGTGCACGGCTACAGGAGAAGTTGGATCGCAAGATATGAACTCAAGATCACCGTTGATCTCGATGACGTCGTTGACTTCGTTGCCGTATTCGAAAAGCAGAACATCTCCCACATGAACTGTTTCTCCTTACTCCACTTGGAATAGAAGTCACTGTTGTAGACGCTCCATCCTTCAGAGTCGCCGACCTTGTAGATCTCTCCGTAAGGAAGGATCTTGCTCGATGGTGATGGTGGAGGAGGAATCGGACTTGACGGGTCATGGACGACGACAAGAACGTCGAGTTTCTGTCCGGAAGCGCACTGAGCTTGATTTGAGGTGATGAAGTAGTAAAAGCCCGGTTCCGTGAGAGTCACGACATCGTGTCCTGTGTTGTAGACGGCTTTAGGAGAGAAGTGTCGCAGAATTCGTATTCCAAAGAGCCAGAGACTTGCGTGACGTCGTTGACGTTGCGATCGTATTCGAAGACCAGAGAATCTCCCACGTGGAATTCCTTACGTTCCGGCCCAATCGTAATAGACATCGTCCTTGGCAGTCCATCCATCGGAGTCTCCGACTTTGTAGATCGTCGCCGAGCCGCAACCAAAGAGAACCGTCATCATCACGAACACGAAGCACAAGATTCTTCTTGTTGACGCCATTATGGATCCAAGACAAATTAGGAAGAAAGATCACAAAAGGAATCGAAGAAGAAAGGTTTAGGAAGCAAAGCTCTAGAACTCAGCTAAATCAGAGAGCGTTTGAGGAATAAGAGAGAGTCAGGCCTCTTTTTATATTGGTCCACGAATCCTAATCAGTGTCTCTTTAGGATTTTACTTTGTACTTTTTTTCCTTTTTTGAAGACTAAATCCGTTTGAAATATAAATTATTTTTCTTTTCTGAACTTGTTGGATTAACATCTCATATTGAAAACAAAAAAATAACGCTTAAAGATCTCTCTAATCCTTTTCTGGTTATGTGTCTGTATGTTTCCTACTTATTTCCTTAGAATTAAAGTCGGTTTAGCGGGATTTATTATATAAACTCTTATCTATGTTTGGTATAGTGGATTTGGTTCAAATCATCAAACTGAACGAGATAAAAAAAACTCGGTATGATTTCGGTCCGATAGAGCTTTAGGATCGTACCGGATCAGTTGCGGTTTGATTCTCTCTCTCTCTCTCTTTGACTGTAACCTAAAGTACCAGACGCCATAGACGCAGAACATTTCTGGTTTCTGAATAGTCTGATACAGAGCCAAGCTCAGATTTTCGCAAACGATATTCGACGAAACTCATTGCTGAAATGATGATGAAGATCCTCACGCCGTTATCTCCTTCCCAGTGCGCTTCTCGCGTTCCCAATCTCCACCTCTCTGTATCGTTTCTTCACAGCGTGGCAATATCTTCGAACACGAAGCTTCCTGTAGAGGTAGAAGATGACGCGGAAACCGTTTACCGGATGATCAATGCATCAAATCTACAAGGTCAATTGAAGGAATCGTTGAGCTCCAGTGGAATCCACTTGTCCAAGGACTTAATCGATCGTGTTCTGAAGAGGGTGAGGTTCAGCCATGGAAACCCTCTCCAAACCCTAGAGTTTTACAGGTACGCCGGTGCCAGAAAAGGGTTTTATCACTCGGCGTTTTCTCTAGACACAATGCTCTACATCCTCGGCAGAAACCGAAAGTTCGATCAAATCTGGGAGATTCTGATTGAAACCAAGCGAAAGGATCGGTCTTTGATATCGCCGAGGACGATTCAAGTGGTGTTAGGTAGAGTAGCTAAGCTCTGTTCCGTTAGACAAACAGTCGAATCTTTCTGGAAGTTTAAGAGACTGGTTCCTGTTTTTTTCGACACTGCTTGTTTCAATGCTCTCTTGAGAACTCTTTGCCAAGAGAAGAGCATGACTGATGCTAGGAATGTTTATCATACTTTGAAGCATCAGTTTGAGCCTGATCTGCAGACGTTCAACATTCTCTTATCAGGTTGGAGATCATCGGAAGAAGCGGAAGCTTTCTTCGAGGAAATGAAAGGAAAGGGGCTAAAGCCTGATGTGGTTACGTATAACTCTCTGATTGATGTGTATTGCAAGGATAGAGAGATTGAGAAAGCTTATAAGCTGATAGATAAGATGCGTGAGGAAGATGAGACTCCAGATGTTATCACTTACACAACTATAATTGGCGGTTTGGGGTTGATTGGTCAGCCTGATAAAGCTAGAGAGGTTTTGAAGGAGATGCAAGAGTATGGATGTTGTCCTGATGTTCCAGCTTATAACGCTGCAATCAGAAACTATTGCATTGCGAGGAGGCTCAGGGATGCGGATACGTTGGTGGATGAGATGGTGAAGAAGGGTTTGTCTCCGAATGCGACTACTTACAATCTGTTTTTCCGTGTTTTGTCGCTGGCGAATGATTTGGGACGGTCTTGGGAGCTGTATGAGAGAATGTTGGGGAAGGGGTGTTTGCCGAATACTCAGTCTTGTATGTTCTTGATTAAGATGTTTAAGAGACACGAGAGAGTTGATATGGCGATGCGGTTGTGGGAAGATATGGTTGTGAAAGGTTTCGGCTCGTATAGTTTGGTTTCGGATGTGCTTTTGGATTTGCTCTGTGATTTGGCTAAAGTTGATGAAGCTGAGAGATGTATGCTTGAGATGGTTGAGAAAGGACATAGACCGAGTAATGTCTCTTTCAAAAGGATCAAGCTGTTGATGGAGCTAGCGAATAAGCAAGAAGAGCTTGAAAACTTGAAACAGAAGATGTCTATTTTCGTTACAGAGATTCCGACTTGAGACACTTTGTTACATTCTTCCGATGTTTGTCAAGAGCCAGTCGAGTCCTTCATGTAAGCCGTCACCAGTGAATGCACATGAGCTCTGGACATGCCTAACAAGCGGAAAATCAGAACACAGACAGGTCATCAGAAGGAATCAATCCTCATTTGCAAGATTAGAGAGAGAGTCTTGAAAAAGGTCTTGTTACCAGTTTCTTTGCCAGTTTCTCTGACGGAGAGAAGTGAGATCGAGCTTGTTACTGATCTCAGAAGCAGACATAGCACCAGGAACCTCACGCTTGTTTCCATACACAAGAACAGGAACATTGTCTGGTACATTCCCTTGTATCTATCACATATGGCATCACAGATGACATTAGATTATGTGAACTTGCTTTTGCTAAATGCTTAAAAAAAGAGAGGTTTTGTTTGTTACCTTATCCATCACAACGTTTAGGAATTCCTTTGCCTCTTCAATTCGATCTCTGTCTGTGCTATCGACTACGAGCACAAGCCCTGATACTTGTTGAAAGTAATGTTTCCACATTGGATACATCTGGAATGTGTGTTTAGAATACTCATCATCATCATCATGTTAATTATGGTCTTAATGTTTCTAAAGTTAATAACAACCGCCTCCTACCTTGTAACGATTTTGGCCGCCAATTTCCCACAAGTTTAAGGTTGAATCCTTGTATTTTACGATTTTAAAGTCGAATCCTAAAAACAATGATGTGGACTGAAAATCAGAAAACAATTTGATGATGATTGTTTGAGTTGGTTTGGTTGACTTACCAACGGTAGGCATGCTTGTGGTAAGGATGTCTCCGGTTTTGAGTTTGTGCATTATTGATGATTTTCCGGTACCGTCAAGACCGAACAACACAATTCTCTGTTCGGTTTCTTGGAAAAAACCGGCAAATGGCTTCCCTAGTGTCGTCCCCATTTTTCTTGAATTAGTTACGAGCAAAATGACGTTTTTCTTGGACTTGGAAATCGCAAGGAGACCCAGAAAACAACTTTTGATTGTAACAAGAGAAAATACAAAAAAATTGGACGAAACTGAGAGTTGACCTTAGAGCAAAACAACTTTGAGATTAAGAGAGAGATAAATCTTGTTTTCTCTTTGAGTTTCAAAGTCAAGAATTTTAAAACCTTGGGAGCTGTATAGTCAGTCTGTTTCAAGATCCAAGGAACCACTACAAAAGTCAACGAGATGACTTCGTGCACAAGTCCTCCAAGTAAAAGCTTACATTTTATTTCTGCTCTATCATTTAATAGTTAAAAAATCTGTTTCGACCGACTAACCAGAAACTAAAAACTCCCTGAAAATTTGATCTCAAGATTGAAATTTTACAAAATCTAGACAGCCGATCAGGTTCTAGCAACAAATCATCTTAAACTTGATCGATCAGATCTGGTGGAATTTTCCAAGTTGGCCTTTCATGATTCCTTGAGCTTATTCATTTTCCATTGATTAATTAAAAAATCGGATGCACGTTTTGTCAAATGAAAGATTTATTAGTTAAATCCAAATCGGATTTGGCAAATCCTAAGTGAATGTTAAAAAAAAAAAAAAACAAAAGATTAATTTCTTATAATGCAAGATTAAGATCTAAAGCCTTCTCTTCTTTCACCTCCTTCTCTGCTTCTTCTTCTTCTTCTTCCTCCTCTTTCACCTTTGTATCCGAAACAGTCATCAATGGCTTCAAATCTGTACGACACTGTGAGAAATCCTCCGGCTGAAACGCCGGAACTACAGCACCGGACCTCTCTCCGCCGTTCGATTTCTTCCTCACGTCGCCGGAATTTTCATTTAACTCCTCTCGTCTCCGTTTACGTGCTTCCTGATAGTTTTTGATAAGCTTGAAGAATGCATCGATCTTCTTCTCTTCTTCGTCATCATCTCTTTCTCTTTCACTGATCCTGTTCGTCTCCTTGATCACCACATTTTTGTCCTTCTTGTTCATGGTCTTTAGTGCACTTGAAGGGTAAGCGTGTAAATTAAACTGTTTGGGATACATTTATAAACGAGTTTGGAGAGTGAGGAAAAGGCAAATATTCATATTCGTCAGATGTTTTTCTTTTAAAGGAGAGAAATATTCACAGTGAGCGAACGACCAAGGGCATAAAAGTAAAAGAACGCGGAGATACCAACGTTGGGATTGCGTCAGAAGATGATGTTTTTGGAGAAAACGACATGAAGCAGTTAAAACATTACGTCACCATGATAACGTAATCTTGACACACTCTACTTGAGAAATAAATCTGTTTGAATTAACAAAGACTTCCAATTCCATCGAAGCTTGACTTGATGCGTTTACTTTACTCGTTGGTAGGTCGCGACAGAAAGAGAGATCCAGTGGATCGATTCTTCGGTGTTCTTTTATTCTGAACCGTTAGATGAACTTTCCAGGCAACATATTTTTTGAATCTGACGATGGAGATTGCGTATTAACTAAAAGTCTAAAATACTATACTTGTCTTACCAAAGAATTTCGAATGATGAGATTTTGTAAAGATTTGTCGAATCAAATTATATGTTGTCGGCCACTTGTATTATATAAACAAGTAATTAATTCATCTAAAGGAAAACAGTTTCTTCTCGTTTTGGTGCTCTAATAATGGACCGTAACTGTTTTTTCCCCGTACAAGGCCAAAAAATTATTCGTTTCGCTTCCTTTTTTTGGCCCCAAGGCTAAAAACTAAACTATTCTCGACACGAAGACAGAAACAAAACAACAACTATTCTCAGCACCATAAATTAAAGGGTTCAACGTTTGATGAATGAAAAACAGTAGGAAACTAATCATCTATCAAAGGGGAGATTCGAGAAATTTATTGCTCAATTGACTCAGTAATGATGGTTGTCATAGAGTAAGGCCCAGCCGTATAATGGGCCTAAGGGTATGCAGAACTCAAATCTGATTGTTGGAGGTTGGGGTTTGTTGAACAAATTCTCTTCGTTTTAACACCAGTTTTGAATTCTCTTTGGTACGTCGTATAATTAATCTGTGACGCATGGAAGACAGAATATATAATTTTACTTCATTTTCATATGGAGAGAGTGATAATTAATGAAGGAGTGGCCGAGATTCATCATTCATGAGAAGAATCGCCTTTTTTCAATTCACCGCGACATTGTAAGAGTGTGACTGTTATAAAAAAAGGCTTTTAGGGTCTAAAGGCAACCTTTATTCTCTCTTTTGATCTTCCTCTTTTTCACTTTTTGTATCCCTAACTCACTTTTATGTAAGTAGTCTCTTTCCTATTCATAGATATACACAAGACAAAACATGTATATCATACATACCATGTTGGTGCATGTAAAGTGGACATGGAGTTTATGAGTTGTAAAAAGCTGTAAAATTTTGAACTTTGAAAGCTAAACAATAGGTGAAAATTGAAATTAACAGTTTTATCGTGTTAAGAATTATTTCTCTTGGCAAAGTGTTATACTGTTATAGTCATAGTCAAGCCCTTTATCAAAATAAATATAAAAATTATAGTCATCTTGATTGATAGGTTGATAACTCAAAACTCTGGCGCAACGACCAAAAAGAAAAATACCGGTAAATTCTTCTTTTGTTGCTTCAGTGTAGATTACTATAGACTATTAGACTAGAAAGTAGAAAGTGCCTAAACCATTGGAGGATTCATTGACAATATAAGGAGGCAAATTTGATACGCTTCTTCAAATTACAACTGGGAATGGCCTAATGAGAGGGTATTGAGTGTGATGGGCATAGACTCGTAAGACAGAGAAACAATGTAGAAAAGCGAGATCAATGAGAACTATGATATGTCCACTCGCGCGGTAGTTTCATTTAAGTTTTCTCATCATGATTTGTCTTTTTAGGTAACCTTCTGATGATTTACAGTAACTCTTAATTAAGCGACTGATATGTATGCTTAACTGATCTAGATTTGCAACATAAAGTAATGCGTCGATATATATGGCATGTACATATTAGTTCTTGATTTCCATTACGTATCTTATAGGTTTCAGGTTATTGGGAATGGAGTAAAATATCAATTATTACATACAAATTTACTGATTGCTACTGATTGCTGGTTACTTTTCCATAAAGGTTAAATACGTTAAACTAGGATTACGTGGTCACACCGGAAAAAAGGGAGGATCGGAGGTGGGTGTGTCTAACATTCCAATTGCGACCCACCAAACTTCTCCATTTGATACAAACTATAATATTTTATGTAAAATAAAATAAATGTAAGAATATGATATAATCATATTCATTTAGTTACAAAATCGAGAGCCAGGACCTAGAATCTTCGAGTGGCCTTGTAAGCTTTTTTCAGTTTTCCTTCACCTCAAAAAGAAAGTAAAATATTCCTTCTGTTGTATCATTGCATACACACATACGGGTGACCGATTTCCATAATTGAAGTGTACATTTTTATTGCCTAGGTTAACTTTGAATCTTTGATTACCTTACAAAAATCAGAATTTCCGAATGCATGCGTTGGTCAACATATCACAATTTGGTCCTATTCAAATTTAAGTTGTCTCGTAAGTGATTCCAGATCAAATTATAAACAAACGGATACTAGTACCAGCTCTAACAATTCATAGGTTCTATGGCTATGCATGCATACATCTAGTGGCTGCGCGTGCAGAGTTTAACCAGGTAAACTTTAAGCAAGTTGATCATGATTTATAAACTTTATAAGTCCAAAAGTAAAAAGGAACTCGACATTAAATCATTAATCCTCAAAGGAAAATTCGTTGGTAAAGACGAGAACGATAAAGTTTTCTGGTTAAAAAGAGAAACTGTCTGGTTAAAAGGGGAAATGTGCAAGTTATCAATGACTTATCATATTGATTCAAGAATATTCCTGTATTTTGTTTCAAAATTTGTCTTAACAATTCGTTCTATTTGGTCCGTCTTGTTATTTTGTTTCAAACTTTTTCGTTTTTTTGTTCCTTTTCTTTCTACTCAAGTCTTGCATATTGTTTCACTAAAAACATTTCATAGCTCTTGGAATAAAGAAATAGCTTCAATACATGAAAATAACCAAAAACGAAATCGACCAATATTATTTGATAATTGATTAACTAGATACATATTCTTGACTACGAAAGCTACACGTCGAGAGATCGATGAACATATGTTTAAGTACATTTAATATGATATCTAAGCATTAAAACAGTCATATATTATTAGTTCGACTTCGACCAACCAAGAGACCAAGACAACATCCAAAAGTTGGAATATTCTCTTCTCTACTTTCTACTCAGATAATCCACTAGTTTCTTATTATTATCTTTTTTTGCTAAAGACCACTATAGTTTGTTTTTCGTCTCACATAATTTAATTGGCCACCAAATAACTCAATTGTTTTATTAAATGGTAAAATATTTAAACTACCGTATTATTTTAATATCAAACGAATATTATCTGAAACCATATATTCATAGAACAAACCAATTGGATCTTATAAAATTTCAGTTTAGTGTGAACAATGACCATTCCACTTGTACTGATACATCATACATGACGGCACTATACTACTAGTCTACTCGCTATGGTACTACCTACGAAACACCTATGATATAAGAATAATTGTACTATATTTTCATCTCATTGATTAAATCATTATGAATCATATAGTATATACGAACAAAGGAAACAAGAAAAAGCAGGCCATCCATATCGTGACATACAACATAAAAGCTTAAGCACAATCTTAATATTAATCACTCTTCATCATTAGTAAAACAATACTACAGAAATCATCATATGAAAATTAAAAATTTCGGGGAGGCAAATAACACTCCTCAACGAAGAATCAAGGATATGATTCTCTTCAAACTTATATACACTTTCTCACTAAAATCTCGTAAAAGTTTAGAATATTGTCTAACTCAATTATTGATCCGATGAAGTAAATCACGACGAACCACATTTGTCAACTAGAGTTCCTTGTAACGCCGTGGGAGGATCGGACATGAGACACCAAACCGGTGGAATCGAAAGCTCTTCAGCGATGCCATAAGCATTCCAACAAAACGGATCCAAAACGATTTCGCCTTTCGCAGGAAGCAATTCGATGTCGGAAAGAGTTAAATTAGTGCACGGAACCGAATCGCTGCAACCAAAATGCATCGGAGGACTTCGAATGTCGTAAGTTCCTTTGATGCCTTGGTACGCAATATCAGATACATAAACCGCAGATGTTCTGTTAGCACAATCTTTGGTCATGCAATAGTATTGGTCAATGATTATTGGGTTACGAACTGTGTCCACGTGGATGTTGTTGAACGTCACGCCTGAGACCGAACCGGACCCACCTTGCCACGTTTTGATCCGAACTCCGTTGTCGGAGTATTTTATGATCGAGTCTCTAACGGTTATGTTTGAGACGCATGCGTGTGAGTTGTGATTGCCCAAACTTCCAATACTGAAAATTAGTATAGTAATTATTATTTGGTTATATACTGCATATAACAAATGTTGCCAAATATATAGTTAAATTAAAAAAAAAAGAGAGAGAGAGAGAGAGAGAGAGGGAAAGATAATAAACCTAATTCCATGGCCACCGGGTCCACAAGTGAGATTTCTGATATCAACATCGTAGGATCCGGAACCAATCGATACACAATCATCTCCTACAAAATCGATAAATTATTCACACAACAATCATTAGCCTTTTCTTTTGCTTTTAACCCTTTTTATTGAATTTTATTACTCCGGTTTGTTCAAAATAGAAAAGATAATATTTTCACAGCCACTGATTTTTGGAATTTTGATATATAAAAAATGTGTATACCGTTGGAGATGATGGAGTTGTAGATGGTAACGGAGTTAGAGTTCTCAATGTGGATGCCGTCAGTGTTGGGACTTAACGGCGGAGCAGTGATGTGAAGGGAGTCGACGTTAACTCCTTGACATCCATCGAATCTGAAATGAAACTGCGGGCTGTTTTTTATCTGTAGACCTTCCACCCTTAGATTCGAGCTCATAAAGAACCTCAAAGCCTGAATGCAATTTTAGTCATATTATTTACCAAATTAAATAACAAAATAAATAAACTGAGCTGTAGTGTAATTTTCATGTTGAACTTACAATGGGGCTGTCGCAAGGACCAGCAACAATTGCAGATTTGTTGACGGTCTGTAGAAAAATAACAAATATTCGTTATAAATCGAGAAAATTTAAATATATTACATTTTAATTCTGATTTTTTTTTATGGAGGAGATTTTATATTAGCTCAATTCTAAAAAGAAATATAAGAAAATATTTATATTAACATTTTCTCTCATAATATTTTTGTGGGGGTACTATTAATGGTTATTATTACAATTGTAGTTAAAAAATAAAAGACTGAAAATGTCTTATATAATTAGTTTTTTATTTTATTTATGTAATAGTTGAATTTACCCGGTGAGGTTTGCAGGGAAGATCCCACCATTTTTGTCCCCGGCCGTCGATAACTCCGGAACCTTTCAAAGCCATTCCGTTGACTCTATAGAACACAAGCCACTGTCTTTTACTTACATTGCTCGGCCACGATTCTGGTCCGTCTGGTGTTACAATGGTCCCTTCCACCTAGCAATAATAATATTAAAAATTAACACTTTTGAACAAAGAAAAAATAAGAAACCCGATTAGGTATATATTAAGAAACATTTAAAATTTTTTATCAAGAAGAGACATATTACTTGGAATAATTGGTAAGAGCGACAAGGACCAGTGAAAATAGTGGACTGGATCATAAATGTATAACCGTAAGGAACAAGCAACTCAGAAACTGTGTTGTTCTCGTTGCTACAAGATGAGTCCCACGCCGTTTTGAATGCTTCAGTGTCGTCAGTGTCTCCGTCGCCGACCGCACCATACTTTCTCACGTTAAAGACTCCGTTGTTATCTTCTACAGGCTCGTCGGAAGGTGACGGTGGCAGTGACGGTGAGTCAGTGGGGCCCGGAGGAGGAGTAGGAGGCTGAGAGATTGAAGAAGGAGGTGGCGCTGGTTTTGAGGAGTGATGGTTATGGCTACTGTGTTTGTGTTTCTTTTTTTGGTGATGATATCGAGATTCGCTCAGAGAGACTAATGTGAGAACTAGTACGATGAGAAATACGATTTGATTGCGAGTATAAGTAGAAGTTAACATTTTTGTTTGATTGAAAATGTTTATTTTTTTCTTTGGGTGACTTTGAGGTGAGTGTCGGAGATAAAAAGTATGTAAGAAGAGAGTCGCACTCACTAAGTTGCCTTCTTGGAAATGTTAATGCAGCAAAAGCAGACAAGTCTGGTTCCTTTATATATACACTGCAAGGTGGGCTATTGGAAGTGGAAACCGATTCCGAAATGTTATTTTTAATTTATTTAAAAAAAAAAAAATTAACAAGTGGTATGTAGATCAAGTTTACTACTGATTTATGTTTGGTTTATTTTATGATTTGGTTTGGGTTTTTTGTTTGTTTGTAGAAAAGATACACACCGGAGTCAAGACATTATCTATGGTGAATTTGGGTGGTATAACTTTAGTTTCGTTTTTTTTTTCAGTTTTCAAAAAGGACAAACACTTTTAATATTTTCTGAATCTTCTTTCCCCTTCTAATATATGCATCATATTTTGCTTCAGTATAACGTCTACAGTATATATGATCTAATTAGTATTCACCTTAGAAATATTTATGGCCATATCTTTGGGGAAGAATATGTGGATGCGGCGACATGCATGGGGAAGTATATCTATATTAATATTTTGTGAAATTGAATTTATTTATCCTCATCATATGCACATGATTCATTTGTACATCAGATATTCGAAATCAATTTACACTGTATTAAAATAAAAATAAATTAACTCGATCTTAGTTTTTGAAATATTAGTGCGTATAAGCTCAACTGTCTGGTAGTGCAATTTAAGACAAGCTGGACGTGCATATTCATCATGTCGTTGAGTATCATTAGTCGTGATCGGTATAATTAAGTTCATGAATAAATCTCTTTTGAGGGAAATTATTAGCCATATATTAAACATGACTATAGTCGTATATATACATATATAGTATTGAATTGAAACGTAATCACCGTACATGTGCTCACAAAGTTCATGTCGATTCTTTTGTGACCTAATGATTGGGTACGTCCTGTTTTTGGAATTCTCACTGTTTAATCTTCGGATTTATACCACAAATGCAAAAAAATGAAGTACTTAATTCACAACTGTGACATTGACAAAAACTGGATTAACGGGGATATCTGCACTATACACTTCTAAAAGTACACATCTTGATAATGGGGGTTTATAAGATCCCCCTTTTTTTATCCCTTTTTATTTTGTGTCATCCCCACTTTGAAAGACCTTTCCGGTGGATATGTATATACATTATATTTCGGACAGTTTATTCATTACACGACGAAACATATAACATGTAAAAAGAATTTTTCTCCACTAAGAATAATTGGGAGAAAAAAAATTAAACACATCTCTACGTAATATATTTTGTATATAATTTGGCTTTAAAAAAATAAAAATAACAAGATGAGATCAATGTCCACGAGTGGGTTATATCTAACCTCTTTCGGCTTCTTCAGTGCTCAAAACATTTTCATGTATTTTCTAAATAGAAAAGGTAAGGAAAACGAATTGTTTAAATTTACTGGATTATCAACGAAAATAAAATATAAATTTGAATAACCGACCAAACATTATTGATCGTATACCCAGAAAACACTATTGTCTGATCATATTGAGAATTTCACCGCTCTGCTTTATACTTTTCGGTGGAAGCCAATTATGTTTGGTCTCATCTCATCTTATCTAGATTACTTATTTTTTCTTCATGTTTTTATTTTATTATAGCAAATAGCCAAATACTCCACTGATTACATATTTGGTGTAAACGAGTTCACCATATCAGCAGCTAATCCAGTAACAAATTGACCTACATGAGAACAAGTGAAAGTTTGTGCATTGTGCTTTTACTTTATTCGTGAGATAAAAGATAATTACTTTTATAACACACTCTTTCGATGCTCCTTACAATATTTGAGCATCATGTTTTTCACAAAACGATTTTCATGTTCTTTTACCGACCATTTATGTTAATTTATCAACCAAAACCATTTACCTAATTTTTCCTTTTTAGGACAATTAGTTAAGTCGCCCATCATATAAGAGCATATTAAATTTTGTTCTATCAACAAGGACATAATGAATTATACGTGCATCTTGTGAGTTGTGACCTCATCCTCCACACAAAATGGCGGCTATAATACGACATACTAAAGCTAATATTTATTGAAAAAGAGAATTGCCTAGTTTAAGTACGGATACTTTCTAAACATGTTATTAAGTATGCATCATAACTAAACTGTGTTATATATGTATATATATATATCGAATGAAAAGAAGAGACTTAATACAAAATGTTTGTGTATACAAAAAGAAATGTAAGAAGACATAAGATTTGATGTCCAATCAAACTTACTACACTTATATTTTGTATTACGATTTTCTGATAAATTTTTAATTTAAAATATAAATGTAAGTTTTAATTTTATATAGTCTCCACAAAATATCAATACAAGTAAAAGTAAGATTTTTATCTTTTATAGATTTTTCATATTTCTTATTTTCGGTAGCAAAATTAAACATGTTAATTTCATACTTATTATATTATCATTTGAGGTAACCGCTAAATTTACTATTTATTTATCGTATGCAAGAGGGAATTAAAAAAATGAGTGGAATTGAGTGGAATCTCTATAGTTCAAAATTTCGTAAGAGTATTCTACAGTTTAGATTTTTAAACTACAATGATATTTAGACCGACTTTCTCAACAAAATATTGAACATATGCATATGTTATCGTATAGTTGTGGAATAGTGTTTTCATCTTTTCTTTTTGTCACATTTGTACGATAGTGTTGAAAATGGAAGGTAAAGTCACAATCTATGATAGAGATTGATATGAGCAAGTTGGTCCATATGAGGCAAGAGGCTATGTTAAGTGCTTAAGAATACCTATTACACTCGTAACATGTTTATGACTATACTTTATGAGTATGGAAGATGATGCATGCTTCTTTACAAATTAATATACACATGTATATATGCATGTGTATGTGCACACAAAATAAGTACATATGAATGTGTGTGTGTGTGAGTGATAGGATATTAAGGAAGAAGTTACATTCATCTTTAGAAAGAAACATATATACACGTGTGTATAATATTGTGAGTGTGTATAGGAGACTGGTTCTTCAAACTTCTGCCCCCAATCTAGAGGATTTGGTAGATATACACTTTGCTTCATTTCCAGTGCACGTCTCCATAGTCCATACTCTGCTCCATCTTCTAATTTATCCAACAATATGGCCTAGAAGCATTTTTGGTTTCCCAATAAAAAAAAGAGACTTTTTTACCGTCCTCTAAAAAGTATAAATATCAATTATTCCGTGTTATTCCTCTATATGAACCAATGCTTAGTAGATAACTTTAAACGTTGATTTTTTTTCTTGTAAAGTTACTAATAAGTCAACTCATTATTCAAACTGTATCGAGATTTCAGTTCGATATAAATTTCTTTTTTTCGTACATTGAAATTGTATTGAAAATTTGATATACGAAAATACCTTCAACTGAACACTATTAAAATAGTAAACTATAAATACATGTATATTATTGAAACAAAAATATATATGTATCATTTAGTTTTAATGATTTTATTGCCAAATGCAATTGGGTAATTCCGATCCAGATTACTGACTTTTTCTATGTTAATATAAAATGGTGTATCCACGTAAAAATGACATATGGTGTGATGCAGAATCAATATCCAAACCTTCCTCTTTTCTTTTTTTTTTTGCATGTAAACCATGTGGAATTTTTGATGCGATTGGTTTTGCATCTAAACGAAAATCCAAAGGCAACTACCAAATTGGCCAAATGAAAAATATCTAGTACATTTGTATCTATCTTTTTGTCTATATGCTACACACAACACAACCGTATAAACGAACGGGCCAATATGGCAAGATATATACACAAGAGTGGAGATGTCGGCTAAATTCGAAATGATTAAAGGAGACACTTGTGTGATATATACGCATGAGTTTACGCACCCATTTACTGTTTCTTCCACTTCTCAGCTTGCTTTCATAGTTGAGACCTCTTTCTCTGTCTCTTCTTCTTGGTCTTCTATTAATTAAGAGCCGTTCAAATCTTTTAGGATTATCGTTGGCCCAAACTATAAATGGATTTTCTTAGACCCAAGCTTAAGGATGGTTATACTGGAACGAGTCTTTGCGGGAACGTTAAGAATTTGGGAACATAATAATGCATAGATATTGCTACCTTATCTATCGAAACTAAGACAAACATCACATGAGAACAAACTTTGTTTTAAAAGATTTCTCCTACCTCTATATTCATAACTATTATTAGAGGAATGTTATTATTATTATTCTTATCCATAATGAATAACGACATATGTAACATTATCTGTGGAGAAGGAAAATATTATATTCAAGAAAACTTCCATCTTGTAACTAGTGACTAAGTGAGGGAAATGATCCCTCCTCTCCTTTCCCATCCATTCACACCCAAGTCAATTATAATTCAACAAATAACTGTTTTTATCACGTAACTACATGTTTGGACATTTTATCACAAAAATATAATTTTTTTGAACTAAGCTGAAGGAAGTGTTTTTCATTTCTGCCTTAAGTGGTCTTCACGAAGGCAGCAAATCGTTCCAATCCTCCACGAATAAGTTTCTCCATAAACGGTTTCATTAACTGAAAATGGTTAAGCATACATAATACATATACAAAAGTGAGAGAGGATGTTGACAAAAAAAAAAAGATAATATGGAGAATCGGCGGCTTACAAATGCAACTGGAGCTAAACCAAGTGGAACTTCAAATGAAAAATTAATCTGAAGAAAAGGTAGTGAGTAAGTGAAACGAAAAATATAAAATAATATGTGATGAAAGGAAAATGAGAAAATATAGTGTCATGATACGTACTAACCTCTACTAAGCACGAAGAAGGGCCTCGAGGGAAAAATCGAACACTGCCTCTGTTTTATAAATCAGCAGATTGAAAATGAAGTTGAATTCAAGGACATATGAAATAATCACTTTCTCAGAGAAACTGAAATGATCGTTATGTTCGTATAAACCAGATCTGACTTTACCTATTTGCAAAGCCTTCGATAGATCTCCAATGCAGCTTTCGATCCGGAATTGGCTGTTGAGATGGATTCAAAATTTAATAAAAAAGGTTAAATATTCGAATTTTTAATCAACAAAGAAGAAGAGATTTCTGATTGGTTGATATTTTTTATATTTCGATATAAAAATTTACCTGTAGATTTTTTGCGAGAAAATGATATTCGACATTTTGTCCAAAACGCTCGAGTTTCACCAAATAACGCGATAAATCTGGACTGCCCTCCACTGCCTAAAGATTGTTATAATTCGTGAGCAAGAAATCATGTATGAAGCTTCTAGACTCTGTTTCAGAGTAAAGTTACCTCAACAGATGACAAAAACGGCATCCACTTGGGGAACAATTCACGATCAGCGTATAACTTGTAAGCTACGGAAGCTGGGGCATCCACTACCATCTTCACCCTGATTAATCCAAACCGAAGAATTTGAATACAGAATCTCTCTCTAAATAGTAGAAAACTTTGAAATTATGGAAACAGTTTTGTCGTTTTAAGGAATTTACATGACGTCTTGCCATTGGACTTGGCGGAGTCTTTCTTCTTCAAGTCTATCAGCTTCTCTTCTGTGCATAACGGGTCTGAAGGGTTTAGGAGAGGAGGAAGAGGATGAAGAAACTGAGGAACCATTGTTAGAGTTTAGGAGTTTTGCAGACGAGGAAGAAGATAACGATGATAACATTAACCGAGAAGAAGAAGAAGAAGAAGAAGATGGATGAAACAGAGATGAAAAAGTTGGAGACTTTGAGTGTTTTCTGAAACAAACTGCGGATTTGGTGGTTGGAACTGTACCATAAGCTATTGATGACATCTCGATTTGCTGTTAAAGAGAGGGAGAGGGATTTGGAACTAATCAAATGGCCAATGGGGTATTCATAGAGATTACAAAGGAACGATTTAGGAACAGAGACTTATCAGTTTTGAGGACCAATCTCTCTCTCTCTCTCTCTCTATCTATCTCTGGCTTTTATCTTTTAAATGTTATTACACTCCACGCAAAGTGTGTTGGCGTGTTTACGCAAATAAGCAAAGATTGAAAAGGAATAAAGAAAACTCTGTTTGCGTGACTTAGATTTCTTGTTTGGTTTGTTTTGTTTTTCTCTGAATCACGGCCAGAATTTATTGTTGGCTCTTTGAGTTGGTGACCTAAACCAGAAATTCTGTTATGAGAGAAAGAAAGATTGCTACTTTAAGCATTCAAAAGTCACAGTAGAGAAGCACTAATCATGGGATTTTAATATAGGTTTCCGGATCATATCTATACACAAAACCCATAATCACAAAGATGCAGAGAGTTACACACACACTCAGATTCCTGCAAATGCAAAGTGTTGATTTTTTTTTCAGATAACCAAATGGTTTAAGGAGTTTAAGGTTTTAAATCAGAAAGATTCAGAACATAAAGCTGACCTTTTTCTTTTAAGGGGTTTTAGCCAAGGCTGCAAATCTTTCAAGTCCACCTCTAAGCAACCTTTCTAAAAAGGGCCTCAGAACCTGAATTTAAGGTATAAGGAAAACAGAGTGTTACACTCAACGTCACATAGAGATTTCAGATTTGTTTGCAGGTGGTGAAAAGGTTACTCACCGATGCCACAGGGGTTAAAAGCGCAGGGACTTCATATGATACGGTTAGCTATAAAAGATGAACAGAGTACATAAGAGAAGTATTCTAGTAGCAAAGGGATCTATCTAAATGTGGAATGTTGTTTACCTCTACGACGCAAGATGATGGACCTTTAGGGAAGAATCGAACGCTGCCTCTGCATCAGTTAACATTCCCAAATGTTAGCCTCAGGAAGAGAAAAAGTTGAACACATCTTATGATCTCTTTGCTTACTTATTAGGAAGACCTTCAAGAGACCTCCAATGGATTTTCTGATTAGGAGTAGGCTGCAACAAACAAAACCAAAGCAAAAACAATCAATCACTGTTTTTGTTAGTTAAGAAACAGGAAGCATCAGTTGAAATTGAATAACGGCGTCTTTGTTTGTTTGCCTGCAGATTACGAGCAAGCCAAGAATACTTGATATCTTGTCCAAAAGCATTGTACTTGAGTGACCAACGTGAGAGATCAGGCTTGTCTTTCAACACCTTCACAGAAAGACAATCAAAAGTAAAAACCTAAAGCAATAAGCTTTTTTTTTGAAGTGTGAAGTAGATCATCGTTAAATTCAAGTGTACCTCGACGGATGAAATGAAAGGCATCCATTTAGGGAAAGACTCACGATCCAAGTAGAAATTGTACGCTACGCTTACTGGAACATCTACTTCCATCTTCACTCTGATTTCAATCTCATAACCAAAAACAGATTGAAATTAGATTCATTTCAATTTCAATTTCAATTTCGATGGAAATGAGCCGTTGAAGGATCAAAATGTCCAAGTAAAACAATAATCAATGGAATTGAAGCAGAGGGAGCAATAAAATGGGGAATTACGTGCAGTCTTGCCACTCCATGGAGACAGAGAAACGCTTGGGGGTGTTAATTTTCGATCTGCGAGTGACGGAAGAAGAGGAAGAAGAAGAAGAAGAAGAAGAAGAAGAGAAGCCATTTAAGGTTTTCGGAAGCAATGGAATGAGAGAAGAGGAAAAGGATTTACGAGGAGAAGAGAAAGTGAATTTGCGATCGAAGCCAATGGGTAACTGGAGATTTGGGATTTTGCAGGTTATGGGCAACTGATTGATCGTCTTCATACTATTAGCTTTGCTGCAAAAACATTCAAGCTTTTCTCAGTTTTTGCCTTTTTCGTTTTTTTCTAAGGATAAGACATTTCAAACCTTCACAACCATAGGAAAAACATAGACTCTTGTTCATGTGCTTAGCATAATTGAATTTCGTATACACTAACCAAATTAAATAAATTAATATATATATACACGAACAATAGCGGGGATAGCTCAGTTGGGAGAGCGTCAGACTGAAGATCTGAAGGTCGCGTGTTCGATCCACGCTCACCGCATTTTGTTCAAAGTTATTTTATTTGTTCCTTTTCATATTCAGCCCATTGGATATTTCTTCAATTTCGTGCCCATTTGCTGATGTGGACCTAACCGAAACAACCAAAATTGAAGTTTATGTACTTAAAAAATATTCGAAGAAAATTACGTTACTTTCGTGAAGTATATAGTCTTTCCAATTTCTAAACATCAAGTTTTGGCTTAAACAAATGGCCCGATCATATTAAACCGACCAATAACCTTAATTCAATTGTATACAGATAAATAACTTCTCACCTTTAGGGCTCAAATTATCTGTATATAAATAGCTTCTATCTGGATCTCTTGTTGCTCTATAACCTTAGAAAATTAAGGAATTTTCAAATCCTATTCCTTCTCAATCTATCGTGTTTCCATATATCGTCGACGTTGCCTGGTGGATCTCTATGGGGGCTGTTATATCTTTCCTAGCTTGGGTACATAAGAAGAAGAAGACTTCCCAAACCCTAATCACTTCACTTCCAAAGGACGTTTCAGTGGACTGCACAGCTCTTGTGTCTCCAACCCTAATCAGTTCACTTCCTAAGAATTTTTCAGTGAACTGCATAGCTCTTGTGCCGATACCCAAATCTCCAACCCTAATCACTTCGCATACAGAGCGAGATTCAACTGACTGCACAGCTCTTCGTGTGCCAAAACACAAGTATCCAGATCTAATCACTTTACTTCCAGCGGACGTTTTAACGGACTGCATCGCACGTGTGCCAAAACACTGGTATCCAACTCTCTCCCTCGTTTCTAAACTGTTTCGATCAATGGTTGCTTCGCCTGAGCTATACGCGAGACGTTCTCTGTTAGGATTCGCAGAATCTTGCATCTATGTGCCCATCCATTGTAGTCACGATTTGAGTATACGTTGGTACACTCTCCTCCGTAACCAAAGACGGTTGGTCCCTATCCCGTTGCTACCTCTTACGCCTTACTCAAGCTCTGTATATGTCGTATTGGGTTCGAGGATCTTTGTCTTGGGTGGATACTACGAAAGTCAGTACACGACCAATGTGTCAACCATGGACTGTCGATATGACACGGTGCAACCTTATGGCACCATGCCTAAGGCTGTCGTTAATCCTGTCGCCGAAGTTGTCGATGGTAAGATTTACGTGATCGGAGGTCATCACGGAAAGGACTCGAGTTTTTGGTCATCAGACTTGATGATGGTGTTGGACGTTGAATCACAAACGTGGGAATACGTGGAGAAGAAGTCAGGGTTGGAGATGGGTCATAATTTGATTAGTTGTGTAGCGTTGGAAGATAAGATTTACATAAAGGGTTGTAGAAAAAGCTTTGTTTTCAAGCCGAAGGAAGGTAAATGGGAAGAAGAAGCGAACGAGTTGCTGCATTCTAGTGGTAGAGGGACAAGTGGTTGTGTCGTAGATGGAATATTGTATAGTTACGATACTTATGGAAATTGTTTAAGGGCGTATGATCTAAAGAAGAGGTTGTCTTGTGGAGTGGTGAAGGGTTTGGGAGGACTGGTTAAGAAGAGTTACAAGGTATTTGTTGTTCGTTGTGGTGAAAATAGCGTATTGTTGATGCAGAATGGAGACTTGCTCAAACCAGGGATTTGGTGTGCTGAGATTGCTTTGACGGAAAGGAATCAGAGAGGAGAGATTTGGGGGAAGGTTGAGTGGTCTCAACTTGTGCTTGATGGAGACGCTTCTTTTTCAGATTGCCTTAGTGTTATGGTTTGATACTCATATACAAAAAGATTTACCTTAGTTTGTGTTTGTGCATAGTTTTCAAGAAATGTAGATACTTCAAAAAAGAAAAGAAAAATGTCGATACTTTTATTTTTACAAGTCCTAACTCCTACTCACCAAGTGATAATACTTAACGCATTGCGTCTAACCAATTGAAAAACGACGATTACAGAATAGTAAATACACTAGGAAATGGTTAATTCGTAAAACGACGATTAGAGAATAGACTGGTACATTGAGTCTAACCAATTGAAATTTATTTGACTAGGTTTAAAGCCCCGCGCAAGCGCGAGGTTTTTCGCGATAATTTTTTAGTTTAGTTTTATTTATATTCATTGATTTGAATAATGATAGTTTTGTTTTGACTTTCATGTTTTTGTTATTTTTTTAGTTAACCTAAATACTAATACTAAAAAATATGAATAATTTTTAAATTTTTTTTCTAACACTCCATTTTATCTCGAGTTTTCTATTTCTAAAAGTTTAGCATGTTATAAAATTATGTTTGTTTACTTCTATTAGACTATATATATGCATATCCATTTGACTCAATGTTAAAATTTGTAAACATAATGTAAAATCGCATTTGCACCCGAAAGAAGATGAAAAAAAATAATATATATACTTTTACATATCTACTTTGTTGTGGTAGCATGTGAGTAATTTTCATATTATAGTAATTTTGTAAATATAAATTATATTTTTGAAACAAACATATCATAATCTTTAAAATTTTCATGTTTTTCACTGTAATTAAATTTACATATAAAAACTCCACTTCTATTTTTTTAAAAATCAAACTCTAACTCTAATTTCTGATTAGCTTTGTATTATCTCAATTAATTTATATTCAATTTTTTTAACTTGCAAACACATTCTAACATTTTTAAATAGGATAAATCATTTGAATAAAAAAATATACTATTTCAAGTTAAATATTTCTTTAATCCATTTCTATTTTATATTCTAACTTTTTGATAATTTTAAACATCAAGTTATCATATACTATATATTTATTAATTAATTAATTTATATTTGTTTAGTTTTAGTTATATTGAAAATATGAACAAATGTAAAGAAAATATGAATAGTCATGTATTTAATAAGTATTTTAAATACAAATTAATATTTTGTGCTGATCATCTAGATAGAGAGAACATTCCCTAATTATATACTCCCTCCGTTTCAAAATACTTGTCATTCTAGCCTTATTTTTTTTATTCAAAATAGTTGTCGTTCTCACTTTCCACTTTCCAATGCAAAATTTAATATTAAATACCTAGTTTAACCTTGATCTAATGAAGAATACCAATAGTCAATTTGTTTTCTAAGGGTTAATAAAGTTTTTAATCTATTTTATTAATCTGAGGGAGTATAAGATTCGAAGCTTAAACACTTTAACCAGAGAGACAAACCGGCATAAAGTTAACCACTCGGACCACGCAAAAATTTCAACTAAATGTTGCTGGGCCCACTTGAAAGCAGGACCCTCCAAAAATAGGCGTATGCCACTTAGCGCGGAGAGCACACGGTATTCTTTAGTAAAAGGCGAAAGAATAGTTCGCTTTGTGCTCACCACATGGCTGCGTGATTTTCTAGAAGAGGATGATACCTTTATTTATACTACAACTTCTGCTGCTAACTACTCCCAGTTTTTCGATGTGGGACGAACGAAATAGACCAAGATAGCGATACGATTTACAACTCTTCGGGTCTTTAGTTGGGCCTGAAATAAAGCTTGGGCTTAAAACGCAAATTGTTGATATGTAATCCGAATTCATTAAATGAGAATCTTCTGATGAAATATTTTAGCTTGGAAAGCAATTCGAAAATATTTAACTGAAAATTTCTTATATTTAGTTATACGTCTGAGTTTGCACGAGAAAAAAAAAAGTTATACGTCTGAGTTTAGTGACACTTTTTGAGATACTGGTTTATGTACTGAAAATATTCGAAAACTAAAGTCAAAGACGCAGACCATGGGTTTTGCAGGCTAAATATGTGTTATTCACGCCTTCGAATGTTCTTTATGAACTCATTGACAAAGAACTTTAACCAACAAAAAAACGTTGACAAAGAAAATTCATTTTATTTATTATAAAAAGGTTTCTGATTACACTTAAGATGCGTAGTCCACAATGATTGTGACTTTGTGAGTGAGGTAAGTCAGAATTCTTCACCAAACCTCATGCTAATTTCACCCGTCAACCCAATGATCCAACGGCCACCAATTTATCTTACCAATAACCTCAATATTGTTTTTGTTTTCGCCAACACCAACAACCACAATTAAAAGTCTAAATTCCTCACCAACCCCAAATCTTGTAAAGCATGAAAGTGTGCGTCCACTCAATTAATTGTTTTTGTTTTTTAGTTGCATTGAAACGTTTTGTATAATTATGATTTCTTTAGAAGTTCCAAAATATTAAAGTAGTTAAATTAACTAAATGTTTCTCACTCAATTGTAGTTCAGTCGGTTCAGTCATTTTATATCTGGATTTTAAAGTGTTCCACTCAATTGTAAACCGGCCGATTCAACTATTTCATCTACAAATTGAAGGTTAAAAGGTTTCGTTCCTCAAACGTAAATATACCGGTTCAACTATTTCGCCTTGAATTTTCTACGTTTTTTTTTTCCCAATCAAACACAATTATTTTTCTCTGGTTCACGGTACTACAGGTCGGACCAGTTGGTCCCAAGAGTCTGAAAAATTTAGACAGATAAGTCCAAAAAAGAGTAAATATTGGTAGGCCAAACCTTTAGAAATGTACAATTTTTAAAGTCCAAGTAGGGGGCTTAACCAAGTAAACCGGTTATAGGTCTATAAATAGCGACTGCGTTCTGACTCACTAACTCGTCCCAAACCCGTTCCTTCTCGTTTAACACTTGTTTCTTAGGCAAAGGCTCGAGAGATCTGAGCTACTCTTTTCCGAGATCTGAACGCCGAATCTCATATCTCTCAACGACGCAGGTATTGTTCGTCATCTTCGCTTCTCCTTACTCTTCATTTCTGCTACTCTCTCGGATCATTTTTCTTTTTCGATTGATTTTAAGCACGACGCGGATACTTTTTCCCGATTTGACGATTGAAGTAGATTAAAGTGACTTTTGAGTATTGATTGCTAATATATCTACGATAAATCGAGACCATATTTCGTTTTCGAGATACTCTGAGACCATTTTGTAATTGAATCTTCAACGGTTTCATTTGAGATTCTTACAAAAATTCCTCAGATGCGTGAAGGTTTAGGATCAATTAGGATTGAGCTCACTTGGATCTGTGTGTTTCACGTTCGTTTATGGCTTTTCTCTCACTCGTCTGTTGCATTGCTAAAACTTTCAAAGTCGGCTGATTTTATTTATCTGATTCAAATTTTGCTCCATTTCTCTCAGTCTAAACTGTTTTGCACTAAGTAGAGTTAATTATCCATTAATGAGTCTTGGTGATTCATTATATTAAAGGAGCAATAATTACAAGTGTTAGAAAAGCGTTAGATCTAGTACTATTATTATCCTCTGGGAGATCAAATCGTCTTACTACTCTATCATATATAATTTCCTTCATTTCGTGTGATTCGAACTTGGTAAGGTTTATTCTGTTTACATGTGTATCAGTGTGCTAATCACTAAGGATTAGACTCACCCTGCTTTGCTGAAAAGTTTCATTTGTGAAGTTAGAATCTTTCTAGCTTTTTGCCACTTGAGTTTAATGATTCTTCACAAATTCGATTCTTTGAAATACAGGATATTAAGAAGCTTTTAGGATATGGTGGGACTGACACTATTCTTTTAACATATAGAATGATGCTTCTTTGCTAAGTCAGTCTCTTTTGTATTGTTTGTAGCTAAATGGAGACTTTCCTATTCACATCCGAGTCTGTGAACGAAGGACACCCAGACAAGCTTTGCGACCAGATCTCTGACGCAGTCCTCGACGCCTGCCTTGAGCAAGATCCAGACAGCAAAGTCGCCTGTGAGACATGCACCAAGACCAACATGGTCATGGTCTTCGGTGAGATCACCACCAAGGCCACGGTCGACTACGAGAAGATCGTCCGTGACACTTGCCGCGCCATTGGATTCATCTCCGACGATGTTGGTCTCGACGCGGACAAATGCAAAGTCCTTGTCAACATCGAGCAACAGAGCCCAGACATTGCTCAAGGTGTTCACGGTCACTTCACAAAACGTCCTGAAGACATTGGAGCTGGTGACCAAGGACACATGTTTGGTTACGCCACTGATGAAACCCCTGAGTTCATGCCTTTGAGCCACGTACTCGCAACCAAGATTGGTGCTCGTCTCACTGAAGTCAGAAAGAACGGAACTTGCCCTTGGGTGAGACCAGACGGCAAAACCCAAGTCACTGTCGAGTACTACAACGACAATGGTGCCATGGTTCCAGTCCGTGTCCACACAGTTCTCATCTCAACTCAGCACGATGAGACAGTGACCAACGAGGAGATCGCTCGTGACCTCAAGGAACACGTGATCACACCAGTCATCCCGGAGAAGTACCTTGACGACAAAACCATCTTCCACCTCAACCCATCAGGCCGGTTTGTGATCGGAGGACCTCACGGTGACGCCGGTTTAACCGGACGTAAGATCATCATTGACACTTACGGTGGATGGGGAGCTCACGGAGGAGGTGCTTTCTCAGGGAAAGACCCGACCAAAGTCGACAGAAGCGGAGCTTACATTGTGAGGCAAGCCGCGAAGAGTGTGGTGGCTAATGGAATGGCTCGTAGGGCTCTTGTTCAGGTCTCGTACGCCATTGGAGTTCCCGAGCCATTGTCTGTCTTCGTTGACACTTACGGGACAGGGTTGATTCCAGACAAGGAGATATTGAAGATCGTGAAAGAGAACTTCGATTTCAGACCAGGAATGATGACGATCAACTTGGACTTGAAGAGAGGAGGTGGAAGGTTTTTGAAAACGGCGGCGTATGGACATTTCGGAAGAGACGACCCTGATTTCACCTGGGAGGTTGTGAAGCCACTCAAGTGGGACAAACCTCAAGCTTAATTTTACTTCCTCTGTTTTTATTTCTGTTTTCATCCACCAAACCAATAATATGCTTATGGTTTTATTTTTCTGTTTTTGTGTTTCTGGTTATGTATCCTTTTCATTTGGGTGTGTACGTTTTTATGGTGAATTTTAAAGTTTACACGGATTGCAGTAAGTTGACAAATGCAGGAAAAGCAAAACAATCCTTTCTTCTACCATCAGAACCTTCTTCCTTTCCAAGTAGATCAAAAAGTGAATCATCATCATTTATACCAATCTTTTATACATATTACACCAAAAATCAAATGAAAAATGTATTTACATCTGTATACCCTCACCCTGCATATTTGTTATTTACCAACCAAGAATCAAGTAGATGAGCTCTTTAGCAAATGGTTGCGATGGAGATTCTCGTACTCGCTTACGGCCCGCTCTATGTCATCCGCACTAATCTTCCCTCTTTCTTTAAGGTTGAGCAAGATAAATTCGCATTCCGATTCACTAAGCCCACTTTTTGATTCGCAAAACCAGAACAACACAAAACAAAAACAGTCAATACTCGAACATAAATCACCAATGGCAGAAAACTGAATCAAAATCCTTTACCTCGTGGTCGTGGGCAATTTCATGATTGCACCATCGATTCTCTTCTCAGCAAAGTAGAAAAACAAACTCGCCATAGCAATACTCGAGAACAGAAGCCAAAACACTGCGAAAACCCTCCCAATAAGCGTCTTGAACGTTTTGTCTCCGTAACCAACCGTCGTAACCGAAATAACCGACAAGTAAACCGAATCCACGAAATCCAGTTTCTCGTAAAGGCAAAGAAACAAAGTCCCAACTCCGACGCAGAAGAACACGCCGCAAAACGCCAAACGCAGTTTCCACTTTATCCTTATCCTCCCGTTGACGACGTCGACGATGTGATCTCTGAACGCTCTGTTTCTCGAACAAGGCGTTTTGATCCGAGCGAGAATCGCCTTTTCTTGAAGATCCAGGACGTGATTAACGACGCGGTTGAGCAGAAAGTCAAGAAACAAGACGCCGATCGTTACCAACACGATGGTCAAAATCTTCGTCGTTAGAGTTAACGGGACAATGTCGCCGTAACCGACGGTGCACATGGTGACTATGGAGAAATAGAGCGCGTCGACGAAGAGGTTGGTGCCGTCTCCGGAGAACTGTTTTCGCAATAACGTGTACATTAAAACCCCGACGATTAAGTAAACACAGAGGAGGATGATCGCTAGTAGGATGATCGATTTCGGTTTCGATACGGCGGCGGTGGCGGATGGAACTTCCGGTGAAGGTTCTATGGGAGGAGCTGACTGTTGAGAGAGAAGGGTCGCATCGAGAGAGTTCTCATTAGCCATTGCGGATAAGCTCTTCTTCTTCCGCGCGAATCTCAAATTCGAAAAGAGAGTTGCTTTTCTTGTTAACAAACTACAGAAAACCAGTGAAGAAGTAAGAAAACGGTTGATTACTGTGGCCCATCAAAGGCCCAGTGAATATTGTTAAAATATCCCAAGTCCAAGTCAGCATTGTGTTGGATTAGGGTTTAGACTTTTAAACGACGTCGTTGTTAGTAAACCAGTCAATTAATGCAAATAGCATATTCTCGTACAGAAAGATCACGCGGGATTTAGGAATTGCGGAAGCTAGTGGGTCCCCACGACCACAACGGATATACATTAATTAAATATATTTAGTTTGATTTCATGATGGTAAAAATATTCTCATGTGTAATGTGCTTGTGTGCTGACGCAAGCAGTGACGCTACTGTTTGTTCGAGTTGTTTTCAAGATAGGGGGATATACATTTGATATTTTAATTAGATTAGCATTAACACTAGCATCTTTTAAAAACTCTATTCATTTATCATTTATCATTTATCATTTATCAGTCTAATAGCTGTTTAAAAAAAAGTTTGCATCAAATCTTTTAGTAATATTGTTTCATTACTTTAACAAAAAAAAATTGTTTCATTACTTTCATATGATATGTCCATACAAAATAACAGTTTATATTTAGCTCACAGGGTTTTTGTTCTGGTTTTATAAGGAGTAGTTAGCTCAAAATTTTAACTTAAGTGACGTTGAGAAACTTTGATCATTATTACTTATAAGTAGTATTTTGTTATAACTGGACCATCATGTGTTTCCTTACTACAGCGGACAACATAAACGGACGAATGGTCATATTAATCATTCACTATCGCATAATTTCATCTAATATTATATGGTACATACATTATTATGACAGTGGAAGTTATCAAAAGCCTTAACGGTAACGGCCAAGAAAAATGGATACGAATAGTTTGTTTTCCTGCAGTATATAAAGTTGACTTTTTGCTTCGCTGCCAAGGCAGTGGTCAACTTCCTTGTAAAGTGAAAATTCTCTCCATCTCCGTTTGTTTAAATTATCTCAGAAACTGTCTTCACCTACTATTTTTTATTGCACGTAATCGGACGAGATAACTCGGGATGAAAGTGGTTCCTTGATAAGAGTATGATCATGATTTCTGTTTTAATTTTCTTTTTGGATTCAGAGAATTGACATATTAACCCACCACGAGGTGCGATGTATTTGAAATTGTCATGTTAAGTGTTCGGAATAATAAGACCCAACACCACAATTCTGTCTGGTAGCATAAAAGTTTTATCCCATCTAACATTTCTAATAAAAGTCAGTCACTACTCGTGTGCAAAACATTCAAAGATGATTGGTTTTGCTTTTCTATCCAATAGTCGAAATTGACGTTGAAGAATAATTTTGCATACAAAAAAATTGTCATCAGTCCAATACAAATTTTTAAATTTACAGAATTATTTTAATTTCGAAATATACTAATAAACACTTGAAAATGCATAGTTATGGTGCTTTTTGACCGATCTATCACAATAGTTTATTCCCCACTCTCCTTGCTTCTCAAGCAATTTTCGCAAAGCCCAACAAAGAAGATTTGCATATAAAAAGGCAAAATGTTCATAATTTCTGCAGATACAAATTGGAACCTAGAAAGTTGAACAAAATAATAATTAAACAAGAATTAAACAAGTTTAAGACAACACACACAGTTTCGTCTCACGTCTTATTCTCCCAAAGTCTCAGAATCTTTTGCTTTTCGTAGCTTCACATCTTCAGGTCTGTTCTCTTTTAACTTGTTCCCTTTTTCGTTTCTGATTGGGTTTTCTTTTTAATTGATCTTCCGAATTTCCGGGTGATCCAAAACATGTGACTCTTTTTCCCTTAACAGACTCTGTTTCGTTGGTGATAATTTATGGGAACTCTTTTAGATTGAAATAAAAAGGACAAATCCTTTTTCACAAGTTGGTTTTTGGATTTACGTTAGCAAACATCTAAGATTTCTCGTAAAAGGTCTCGACTGAAATGTTTCTATAAAATCTTAATTTCTCGGCGTCTTCTGGGCTTTAGGAAAAAGTTAATAAATTATCATTTATTTTCCTGCTTAGAAGCTTACTTTAGAATCTTCTTATATTATATACCGTCGATCTCGATCTGAGCTTTATCAGATTTCTTACAAATTTTCTGCTTTTTTTTTGTTTTGTTTTTGGTCTCTGCCAGCGCCGAAAATGAACCGTGACGGCCCCGGAGAAGGTGACTCTGTTTCACACGAACCTTCAACATCTAAAAGTCCGAAAGAAGGAGAAGAAGAAGAGACGAAGAAAGAAAAAAGCGATGAAAAGCCGAAGACAGTTCCGTTCTACAAGCTGTTTGCATTTGCAGATTCCGTTGATGTGTTCTTGATAATCTGTGGCTCCATTGGAGCTATCGGGAATGGTGTTTGTTTGCCTCTCATGACATTGTTGTTCGGTGATCTCATTGATTCCTTTGGACAAAACCAGAACAACAAAGACATTGTTGACCTTGTCTCAAAGGTAAACAAAACTTTCTTATGAATTTATTCTGGGCTTAATATAGATTACATTTACTCATAATGTTTCCTTTTATAGGTCTGTCTTAAATTCGTCTACCTTGGACTTGGAACACTAGGAGCTGCCTTTCTTCGTAAGTCAACCGCTTTTTTCATCCATTGCAATTTCACATAAGGATTAGAGAATTGAGGAAGAAAAGTTTTGATTTTTTTTTTTGTTTGGTTGTTGTAGAGGTGGCATGTTGGATGATCACAGGAGAGAGACAAGCAGCGAGGATAAGAAGCATGTATCTGAAAACAATTCTCAGACAAGACATTGGATTCTTCGATGTGGAAACAAACACAGGAGAGGTTGTTGGGAGAATGTCTGGAGATACTGTTCTTATACAGGACGCAATGGGTGAGAAGGTAACACAAGGAACAGAGAAAGAGGCTTATACATAAATAAAATGACTGGGATCTGTTAAAAAAGTATTTAAAAGTGAGTAACTATCTTGAATCTTGCAGGTTGGGAAGTTTATACAGTTGGTAGGAACGTTTGTTGGTGGATTTGTATTAGCTTTCATTAAAGGATGGCTACTAACATTGGTCATGTTAACTTCAATTCCTCTTCTGGCTATGGCTGGTGCTGCCATGGCGATTATAGTCACTCGAGCTTCTTCTCGTGGACAAGCCGCTTATGCTAAAGCAGCAACTGTTGTTGAACAGACTATTGGCTCTATCCGAACGGTAAAAAAACTCACCTTTCCCATAATCTACAAAACAAAACAATCTTTTAACTGAGATTTTGTTGCTGGCTTTCATTTTGCTTTAAAGGTTGCTTCTTTCACTGGAGAGAAACAAGCGATCAACAGCTACAAGAAGTTCATAACTACGGCTTATAAACAGAGCATTCAACAAGGCTTCTCGACCGGGTTAGGTCTCGGAGTCATGTTCATGGTGTTTTTCAGCAGCTATGCTTTGGCTATTTGGTTTGGTGGGAAAATGATTGTCGAAAAAGGCTATACCGGTGGCGCTGTGATCAACGTCATCATCATTGTGGTCGCTGGTTCAATGTAAGTAAAGGCCAAGAGACAATCACCTTATACAAGTTATGTTCTGTTTTTACACTTATTGATGTGAAAACTCCTAACAGTTAGCTATGTTCTGTTTTCTTTAGGTCGCTAGGGCAAACATCTCCATGTCTAACAGCGTTTGCAGCGGGTCAAGCTGCAGCTTACAAGATGTTTGAGACGATCAAAAGAAAGCCTTTGATTGATGCTTACGACCTAAATGGAAAGGTTCTTGAAGACATAAGAGGAGACATTGAGCTTAAAGATGTGCGTTTCAATTACCCGGCGAGGCCAGACGAGGACATATTCGACGGCTTCTCTCTGTCTATCCCTAGCGGCGCAACAGCGGCGTTAGTTGGAGAAAGCGGTAGCGGAAAATCAACCGTGATCAGTTTGATCGAGAGGTTTTACGATCCGAAGTCAGGGGAAATACTCATTGACGGTGTTAATCTCAAGGAGTTTCAGCTGAAATGGATCAGAAGCAAGATCGGTTTGGTTAGCCAAGAACCGGTTCTGTTTTCGTCGAGCATCATGGAGAACATCGCCTACGGGAAAGAAAACGCGACGTTGCAAGAGATCAAAGCGGCGACGGAGCTAGCGAACGCGGCCAAGTTTATAGATAAGTTGCCTCAGGGGTTAGATACAATGGTGGGAGAGCACGGGACGCAGCTCTCGGGAGGACAGAAACAGAGGATAGCGATCGCGAGAGCCATTCTCAAAAACCCTAGGATCTTGCTTCTGGATGAAGCAACGAGCGCGCTCGATGCGGAATCCGAGAGAGTGGTCCAAGAGGCTTTAGATAGAGTGATGGTTAACCGGACTACGGTTATCGTCGCGCATCGGTTAAGCACGGTTAGGAATGCGGATATGATCGCGGTCATTCACCGCGGGAAAATGGTGGAGAAAGGTTCGCATTCTGAGCTGTTGAGAGATCCAGAGGGAGCTTACTCGCAGCTCATTCGTTTACAAGAGGTAAACAAGGATCATGATCATGCCAAAACGTCTGGATCGTCTCTTCGGAACTCGAGTCTGAAGAAATCGATGGAAGGATCGATTGTAAGCGGAGGCGGAAGCTCGTCGGTTGGGAATAGCAGCCGTCATCATTCTTTGAATGTTCTTGGTTTAACCGCAGGACTAGAACTCAGCGGTAGCGGTAGAGTAGGCCAAGAGGAAACTGTAACGGCGAGTACTCAAGAAGAGCTTCCAAAAGTGTCGCTCACAAGAATCGCGGCTCTAAACAAACCGGAGATCCCGGTTCTGCTTCTAGGAACCGTTGCAGCAGCGATCAACGGCGCGATTTTCCCGCTTTTCGGGATCCTGATTTCGAAAGTCATCGAAGCGTTCTTCAAACCGGCTGACGAACTAAAGAAGGATTCAAGATTCTGGGCGATCATATTCGTAGCTCTTGGAGTGACTTCGTTGATTGTCTCACCGGCTCAGATGTATTTGTTTTCGATAGCTGGAGGGAAGCTGATTCGGCGAATACGATCAATGTGTTTCGAGAAAGCTGTTCACATGGAGGTCGGGTGGTTCGATGAGCCACAGAACTCGAGTGGTACGATGGGTGCGAGGCTATCCGCTGATGCGGCTTTGATTAGGGCTTTGGTTGGTGATGCTCTGTCTCTAATGGTTCAAAACGCTGCGTCTGCTGCGTCTGGATTGATCATAGCGTTCACAGCGAGCTGGCAGTTGGCGCTTATCATCTTAGTGATGCTTCCTCTTATTGGTATCAATGGTTATATCCAAGTCAAGTTCATGAAAGGCTTCAGCGCCGACGCAAAGGTCCGTTACATGTATGTTCCAGTTTTTTTTGTTAGGGTTATAATCTTTGACTTATCTTGTGTAGCAAGAAACTTACTTTGGTTTTGGGTAACTTTTGCAGTCGAAGTACGAGGATGCGAGTCAGGTAGCGAACGATGCGGTGGGGAGTATAAGAACGGTTGCATCTTTCTGCGCGGAGGAGAAAGTGATGCAGATGTATAAGAAGCAATGCGAAGGTCCGATCAAAGACGGCATAAAGCAAGGTTTCATCAGCGGATTAGGGTTTGGATTCTCCTTCTGCATTCTGTTTTGTGTCTACGCGACAAGCTTCTACGCTGGTGCTAGATTGGTTGAAGACGGCAAGACAACTTTCAATAATGTTTTCCAGGTAAACTAGTGTCTAGAGACTAAAGTATATGTTTGAAAGTCTTATTGTGACATAGTAATGAAGAAGTGTGGTTTTGGCAGGTGTTCTTTGCGTTAACAATGGCAGCGATTGGGATATCTCAGTCGAGTACTTTTGCACCGGATTCTAGCAAAGCTAAGGTTGCAGCTGCTTCCATCTTTGGAATCATCGATAGAAAATCGAAGATAGATTCGAGTGATGAGTCAGGGACGGTCTTGGAAAATGTTAAGGGAGATATTGAGCTTCGTCACATAAGCTTCACTTATCCAGCAAGACCAGACATTCAAATCTTTCGTGATCTTTGCTTAACCATTCGTGCAGGAAAGGTAAACAGATCTTTGGATCAATCCAAAACTCTCTCTTAAGAATTTGTATCACACAACTTCCTCCTGATCAATCCAAAACTCTCTCTTTTTGGTTCACAGACGGTTGCTTTGGTTGGAGAAAGCGGCTCAGGGAAATCAACAGTGATCTCTCTGTTGCAAAGGTTTTACGATCCGGATTCAGGACATATAACTCTAGACGGAGTTGAGCTCAAGAAGCTTCGGTTGAAATGGTTGAGACAACAAATGGGACTGGTGGAACAAGAGCCTGTCTTGTTCAACGACACCATCCGAGCCAATATTGCTTATGGCAAAGGAAGCGAAGTGGCTGCGACCGAGTCTGAAATCGTATCTGCCGCAGAACTCGCCAATGCACACAATTTCATCTCCAGCATACAACAGGTAAGGAGAGAGAAAAAAAAAAAAAAAAAAAAAAAAAAGAAAGTTGTTGTTCAGAGTTGACGTCTGACGCAAGGAATGTTTTTTTTTGTAGGGTTACGACACGGTAGTTGGAGAAAGAGGGATTCAGTTGTCGGGAGGACAGAAACAACGTGTGGCCATAGCACGAGCCATCGTGAAAGAGCCGAAGATATTGCTCTTGGACGAAGCGACGAGCGCACTTGATGCGGAGTCAGAGCGAGTGGTCCAAGACGCGCTTGACCGAGTGATGAAGAACCGAACCACGGTCGTGGTGGCTCACCGGTTATCGACTATTAAAAACGCTGATGTCATTGCCGTCGTTAAGAACGGTGTGATCGCTGAGAAAGGAACTCACGAGACGTTGATCAAAATCGAGGGTGGGGTTTATGCTTCGCTTGTTCAGCTTCACATGACTGCTTCTAATTGATATATTTCAAAATATATTTTTGGTTTTTGAGAGTAAAAAACTTCAGTTTTGAGTCGCTTGAGTCAAAACTAGGCTATGTATTAAACGTTTCTTTTTTGGTTTGTTTCATTAACATATTTTCGTTGTTGTGTAATGTATACAAGTTACATGAAAGCTGTTTCTATTATTTTTATCTTACTAAGAGCTGTATTTCTTGATTTTACTGAGATACTGTATATCGTTTGCATGTGAACAGATATTTGTTGTTGAACACTTCAAATGCATTAATTTCATCTCAATTGTACTACTAATTTATCCTCATGAAAATAACACGTGTGACAATAGCGTTTTGTAACCGAAGCTAGAAACAAAAGCGTTTGCGTGTAACACTATCCGACCTGAAATTGACCCGACCCGTTATAAATTAACGGGTTAAAACCCGACCCGATACAAAAACAGATATCGATTAGAGAGAGCCTCCGTAGTCAGTTTAGTCACCATTTACTCTTCGCAGAAGGAAAATAAAATCCCCAAATTTCGCGAGGATAAGGGCCGGAAAGTTCCTCGCCGGTGACGGAACTAGGGTTAGAATCATCCCCAATTGAACAAGAAATGGCTCATGCTTGCGTCTCCACATCGGCGTCTTCTCTCAGATTCACAGCCGGATTCATCAGTCCCAATGGCTCCTCTTTCGATTCCCCGAAGCTTTCTCTCCCTTTCGAGCCCCTCCGTTCAAGGTAGAAGCATTTCTCTGTGTTATCGACTGTGATTTATCTCGAAATTTCGGAATCTTAGGTGAAATTTAGGGATTTTAAGAGTCTGGGGCGAATTTTGTTTGCAGGAAGACGAAGAAGTTAGTTAGCGACAGAAAGAATTGGAAGAACTCGTCCCCTAAGGCTGTATACTCCGGCAATACCTGGACGCCGGAGATTCCTTCTCCTCAGGGAGTTTGGTCCATAAGGTGAAACTTTAGCTTGACGATTGTTCTTGAGCTGTGAATCTCAACTCTTTTGATGGTTAAATCTGGAAGTATGTCACTGTGCAGAGATGACTTGCAAGTCCCTTCTTCACCGTATTTTCCGGTGTATGCTCAAGGACAAGGACCGCCTCCTATGGTGCAAGAGCGTTTCCAGAGTATCATTAGCCAGCTCTTCCAATATGTAAGCTGATGAAATCTCTTTCTTTAAGATTGATTATCAATGTTTCCAGCTTTATTCTTCCTGTTAATGAAATTTTCTCTATTTCATTTGATCGTTAAGAGGATTATTCGTTGCGGTGGTGCTGTGGATGATGATATGGCTAACATAATTGTAGCTCAGCTTCTGTACCTTGACGCTGTTGATCCTACTAAGGTCAGATATTGTAGAATTTATGTCTTGTTTCTTGATTTAGATGTTTTAATTAGGATTCTGATAGGCCTTGCTTATGTTGAACAGGATATAGTCATGTATGTGAATTCTCCTGGTGGATCAGTTACAGCTGGTATTAGCACTTTTGTTAAAGTTTCTCTTATGTATCATGTTTTTTTTTCCGGTTTTCATTGTTAATGACTCTTGTATCTCTCAATTTTCCCAGGCATGGCTATCTTCGATACTATGAGGCATATCCGGCCTGATGTGTCCACTGTTTGTGTCGGTCTAGCTGCTAGGTAAAACTTTCACTAGCCTTTTACTCTCATTTAGGAATTGGTTTTTGAGTGTCCTTGGTAAATTGATAGTTTCATGTACAGTTTTAAACTTCTCTTTTCAGTATGACTAGCTGAGATGCAAAACCATAACTCTTTACCACTCAAACACATAACGTTGCTCAAAGATGATATTTTTTTAATATGGATTGTAATACCAAACCTTTTTCTTCTGTGTTGTTTTTCTTATGAACAGTATGGGAGCTTTTCTGCTTAGTGCTGGAACCAAAGGTAGTCTCTTAATCCTTTCATTTATAAGTAAAAGCTTTAGTTTAAGTCTATGTTTTCTTTTTAGTTCAACGATGCAGACTTAGCTTTATTTGCAAATCTGTAGGAAAAAGATACAGTCTGCCAAACTCAAGGATAATGATCCATCAGCCGCTTGGTGGAGCTCAAGGTGGTCAAACTGACATCGACATTCAGGTCCAGTTTAATTTTAGTTTTTGCTGGGACTAGATTGATTTGAGTATCAGTTCGTTTTGAAACCTAACCGGATGAGTTCATGGTGTGAAACCAGGCAAATGAAATGCTGCATCACAAGGCAAACCTAAACGGGTACCTGGCGTACCACACTGGTCAAAGCCTGGACAAGATAAACCAGGACACAGACCGCGATTTCTTCATGAGTGCTAAGGAAGCAAAAGAGTATGGACTTATCGACGGTGTCATCATGAACCCTCTCAAAGCTCTTCAGCCACTTGCAGCAGCTTAATCGCCTCAAGGTAGTGGTTCAAGCTTAGCAGCTTTTTCTTTGGCCATGAAATGTGCTTTTATTCTAGAAAGAAAATCAGATTTGTTTGTTTGGGATTAAAATCACTAGCTGATGGATACATACATGATGGACGAAGTAAATTTTCTTGCTCTGCTGTTTGATTGAATAATCGAATTATTAGCCCATTTTAATTCCTTTGTATCGACAATTCTAGTTTCATCCATACTCATAAATCATAATGCAGCTATTGATGATTCAGTGGGCTTTCATTGGTGACCGAGTTTTAAACTGTGAAAAAAATAAAAATTTTGACCCTTTTTTTTTGTTTACTCACTTTATACGGTAACGGGTATAAGATTTTATTTATCAATTAATAATTTTTGTTTGACTTTTATTTCCAAAAACTGAAAGTTACAACTCCACTAGTTTGTCAAATTTTAACACAGTGATTTATAACTAACTTCTCTTATGAATTATTACCTGTCATTGAAGACCTCTAATCTTCTCTTTAACAGAAAAATCAGAAAACCTTTTATATATAACGTCCCTTCAATCTACATATAATATAGTATGTACACGTTTTACGATCTAATTGAAAAAAAAAAAAATCATAGATTTGACGGAACTTTATCCATGTAATGGTCGAACACTAAGATATGTTGGGTACGTCGGATGCAGATTGGTCAAAGTCCATTGGCACATCATTTTGAATATAAAATGTTACCAACTTGTAGTAACCACTATGTTTAATTCGAATTTTAGCTTAAAGTATTAACATTATCTTCATTACTAATACTTTTTGGATGAAAATAATCCATCGGCCGGCTGATTTCGTCGATGAACATACAGTATATGAAAATTTGAGGGGGTCCCTTAGAAAAAAAAATCTGGACATTTTAAAACAATTTGTTTTGTATAAACGAAAAACGAATAAAAAGGTAGCTAGGCGACCATAAACGTGGTTGCCAAACACACTTTCTAAAAGTTTTATATATATCTTATATCCTCTGTTTCTTCTCAATCAAGCAACAGTATCTTCCCATTTGTCTTCTTCTTCTCAGTGTTTCACATTCTTTGCGATTAAGATGGAATATGAAGAAACACAAAAGAACAGAAGATGCAGCTGGTCACTGGCTCGACCATTTCAAATGATCTCAATTAGCCTTCTTAGTCTCCTCGTTCCTCTCTCCTTCCTCTTCCTTTCACGTCTCTCTTTCTCCTCAGCTCCCGTCACCGTCTCTCGCTTATCCTCCTTTCTTCACCAAGCCGATGTCGGAGTCTTATACACAATCCTGTCTCTCATCATCGTCTCCACTTTAATCCACAATCTCTCCGGAAAACCAGAATGCTCTGTTTTCCATTCCCATCTCTACATCTGCTGGATCGTTCTCTTCATCGTCCAAGCTTGTGTCGCCTTCGGAATCGAAGGAACCATGAGCACGATCATGACTACAGTTCCAGACAAAAGCTTTCTTCTTGCGTCACCAGAAAGGTGGGTCTTGGTTAGGGTTATGTTCTTCTTGGGCCTGCACGAAGTGATGCTGATGTGGTTTCGAGTCGTGGTTAAGCCAGTGGTCGACGACACAGTTTTTGGGGTTTACGTGGAGGAGGAGAAGTGGTCAGAGAGAACCGTCGTGGCGGTGACTTTTGGTCTAATGTGGTGGTGGAGGCTAAGAGATGAAGTAGAAAGTTTGGTGGTGGTTGCAGAGGCTAAACGTAACCTTCTGATTCGTCTTGGCGGTTTTGATATAGTCAACTGGTGGATGTATTACATCTGCGTTGTGATTGGTATTGTCAAGATCTTCAAAGGGTTTTTGTATTTTGTGAATATGTTGATTTTGACTATTAAGAGGCCGAGAAAAGAATGCGAGTCACTCGTTGTTGTTGTTCATGAAGATCATGTGTAAGAACAGATTTGATATTTTTATCTTTCAATGATTTTTTTCAAAAAAGTTCCATTCAGTTTTGTTTTTCTTCTTATGATGCATTTAAATAGCAAACTAGAGGTATGCATGCATAAATTATAGACGATTAAAAAAACTAAAATAAAATATACAAAACATATTTTGAAATTGGTAATTAGTGAATGTACACTGTACAGTACATATATTAAATTTTATTCCTACACGCGCTAGTCAAAAGATTTTTGTAATTTGTGAATGTTATGACATAACCACCATACGCTTCAATACTCAAAAATGGGTAGATACGTACGGATCGTTATCCACACATAGTAGGTTTCTTAATAGGAAAACGAAATAGAGTTGGAAACATTGCGATTTTTTTTTTTCACTGAATTGGTAATTTGGTACTGATATTAAAGCTCAAAAACTCGAGCAAGATGTTCTCAAGAATACAGGGTCATGTAAAACAAAGAGAAAACTCAAAAACAGATTTGAGTAAATTAGAAAAGCATCCTCTGAGCTCTCCCTCTAAATGGAGATAAGGTAAGATGGTAAGATGTGAAAACCATTAACCTTCACACGGCGGTGAATCTTCCTCCAAGACTTTCTTCAGCCAAAGTGGTGCACCAGTAGCGACATATGAATGTATCCTATTACCTTTTACAACACTCAACATTGCGATTATGAATTATAATCTCGTACATATATTTTCGTAACAGACAAATACAAATTGTATACATTCATACATGGACCAAAAATAGAAACAACGTTTTTACACTTTTTATAACCAAATTTCTTAAACCTTAGACATGTATAGGCCGATTTCTTCGAGTTAATAAGTTTCACACTTGCCGCCAGGTGACGACATTCGAGTATATCCACATATGTTATCAAGGTTTAAACCAAGTTATCGCAAAAATATGAATTTATAAACTTGATCCTATGGTCGAGGGAATGGGCCCTTTCTGGGCCGGGGTAACGAGAGACTATGCGATTCGTGCTACCGTATATCTAACTAAGATCCAACCCAAAATTCACCAAATACATACTAGGTAGTATATATTTATATAAAAAATTTCCTCATAATCTTGATATTGTTAGCATTTTAAAACATTCACTTTTCTTCCAAATCTTAATTTTCCTTGGTAATTATCTTTTTCTTTGTTTCGCTTTGTTCTTCTTATTTAAACCACACAGATTCCCTTCCAACAACCTCAGAAAGCCCTTTGACCATGGGGAGCGAAGAGATACTGGAGAAGGTAATTACAAGTTACATGTTTGTTACAGTCCTCTTGTTTGTTGTCTTGAAACCAAGTGAGAAGCAATACGATTTTTGTATCGTTTATAAAAATTATACTCTTTTCTTCATCTTTTCTGACATTTTTCATAATTTTCGTGAATCGAATGTGCCTTATGAATTTTGTATCAGGTTAAAGATCAAATCGAAAGAGAAAGATCTCAGCATATTAAGGTCAGAGACTTTTAGCTGTAAATTTTGAAGAAAAAAAAAATTAGTATTTCATAATTTTAAATCTACATGAACAACTCATATCCAGTTTATGCATTTAACTTTGAAAATCATTTAATCTATTATCATCAACAGACGACATTCGAGCAGAGAGGCATACAGACAGCGGTTACTTATGGTACACAGCATCAGTTGATTGCCTTCATTCAGTCGTTCATTGCAACGCGTTGTCGTGAAAGCGTCAAGGATACGCTTTCTTCAAGAATGGAATCACCACTCCATCGGTTCAATGGCTTCTCTTTTGATTCTAACCAAAATGCTGAGATTCCTGATGAAATTGTTACATTACCAAGTGTCAACCTTCCATATGTTGAGCAGCTACCTAGATCCATTGCCTGGGCTTTCACGGCGAGGCATGTTTGTTTTTATTTATTTTCTATTAATTTCAACAATATCTATTAATATATGAATGTCTTTTGCACTGCACAGAAATAAGTTAATGGCTAAACGTGATTCTGTGATTGGTAAGAAACAAATCTACTATGTGGATGGGGAAGCAATGAAAACGAGCAGCGATAGCGATGAAGGTGAAGGAGATGGGGAAGAAATTGAGAAAGAAAAATTGGAATTTTCCAAGGATGCAGATCGGCTTATATGGTTAGCTTTTGTGCTTTATATCTATGGTAGAAATATTGAGAGGGTCCATTAGTGACATGATAGAAATATTTGCAGGATAATTGGGCAAGAGCATAGTTTGGATGACATTGACATGCAGACTGCTCTCTCCAAGTGCCTCGGAGTAGATGTTTCGGATATTTTGGTGATAATGGAAACGAAACTTCATATACACATCCCTTTTTTTTTTGTCTACGTCGTGAGAAATGTTTTTGTAACTTTCGAAATTTAATGTAGGAGAGATACAATGAGCTTAACAAGCTTAAGAACGAAGGCATTATCAGGGAAGCTTCTGATAAGTGCATAGCTAGTAAATTCCGGAATGCTTTGAATCTTTATGATGGGGGTTTTTGCCGTCGTTGCTTGGTAACTTTGAATCTTCTTTTTTTTGTTTGGCGCAAGATTTTTTTCACAAAAATGAAATAAATCCTACATGTTAATTTTCTCTCTCTCATGTATACAGAAATTTAACTGTCAGATGCACGAAGAATATCAGCCTATGAATGTAAGCTTGAATTTGTTAATTCAAATAACTCTTTTGTTGCATAAACCTTATAAGCTTAAGTGATTAACTTAATTAGATGACTTTGGCTTTTCAGGGAACAAAAATATCTAATTTGTCTGAGGATGAAGATGAGGATGTTAGAGAAGAGTGCAGTGAGCATTGTTACCTCAAGGTCTCTCTCTCTCTCTCTCTCTCTCTCTCTCTCTCTCAATATTTGTTCATTTCTTATGTTTTATTTTCTTACTGGTTTAATAGCTAAGGAGGAGTTTCACAGAAGCTGATCAAGTACTGGTGGATAGTGATAATTCTATGTCAAACAAGAAAGAGAAGAATGTGGTCTCAGATATTAATGAAGTACCAAAAGATCTTACAGAGATGCCTATTACATCCCAAGCATGTAACGAGTGGACAGCTGAGGAGAAGAGTTTTTACTTGGATGGAGTTGGGTGCTTTGGGAAAAACAGGTACCAAATTAAAAATGGATTCATTGTATTAATATATAGTTATCTGAAAATGATAATATTATGTATGTGTTCCTTGTTCGTGATTTTTCCGCAGTTGTCTTATTTCAAGAAACGTATTTCCGGGGGTTAAGACGTGTTTAGAGGTGTACAATTACATGCGCGAACAAGATCAATCAGCAGCAGATAATGCAGAAACAAACGTTCAGGTAAATTAATAAAAAAAAATTAAAAGTAATTAAGCTTTATGACCTTTTATGTATTTTTTTTTTGGTCGAACACGAAATTGTATGTAATATTTAAGTTTCATAATGATGATATCATTACAGGTTCGTAAAGAAGTATCTCGGAAAAAACATAGGATGGTAAAGAAAATCAAACCTCGGAAGTCCGGTTGTTATCCAACTGCTTTTAAACGTAGGGCTTGTAAAGAAAACAAGCCTTTAAAGCATTACACACCATGCACTTGTGAGCCAACTTGTGGAGATAACTGCCCTTGTATTGCTAATGAAAATTGCTGCGAGAAATATTGCAGGTATGTCATTTTTTCTTTTATCTTTATATTATTAATTGAGAAGTACATTCTAATGTTTGGATACAAGAATTAGAGAAACATCTATTTGGATAGAAGAATAAATGGAAACAAAAGTTGTTTGGATATAAGAATAAGAGAAAAATCTATTTGGATAGAAGAATAAATGGAAAAAATTGTTTGGATACAAGAATAATAACTTAAAATAAACCGATGGTTTAGAAAACTTCCGTTTTCCATCTCTTAAAAATCTGCAAAAAAAAACTTAACATAATCTAACGATAATTCCAAATCAATAGAATATGCTTTTTGGATTTTCGGGTTTTTATAGACAAGTTCGGGTTTGGGTGAAAATCTGAGACATAATTTTATAGAGATATATATAGAGATATAGAAATTGTTCGGGTTTCTTTGAAAATTTCTGTTCGGGTTAGGTTCAATTTTTTTTTTCAGTTTAGGGTTTTCCGGATTTTTTAGATTTCTGGTTTTCGGGTTTAGATATATTAAAAAAATTGAGTATTTTAAAATTTTGATTAGGTATTGGGGTCGGGTTCCGGGTGAAAAAGTTTCCAGATTTTTTTGTTCAGTCAGGGTTTTCGGGATTTTTTTATTTCGGATTTTCATGTTTAGACCTATTAAAAAAGTTTGGGTTTTTAAATTTTTTGATTAGGGTTTTTTGTCGGGTTCGGATTTAGGGTTTAAATTTTCTACACAAAACAACAACGTCACACCGCACAAACGTGCGGGTACTCTACTAGTTTGCACTAATTAATTGAGAACATTCTTAAGTCTGTTGTAAACTCTATTTTCTTTGAGATTTAGTTTAGTCGACGATTCGAACCATATATATTGTGGATGTCGTATATTTATTTATTCAGGTGTGTAAAGATTTGCAAAAACCGTTTCGGAGGTTGCTCTTGTGCAAAGGGTCAATGCATAAATGGACAATGTCCTTGCTTTGCTGCTTCACGTGAATGCGATCCAGATCTTTGTCAAAATTGTTCGTTGAGGTAAACTTTTCATCATTTCGATATCTCTTTAAAAATTTAGTCATTACGTTATAAAATAAACCCCGTGAATAAACTTTGTTTTATGTAATATATATATAGCTGTGGAAATGAGTCTCATACAGAGACATCAGTGATAAGCCAATGCAAGAACATGAGATTCCTCATTAAGAAATCTAAGAAGGTAAGCATCGACGTCAAATCAGCATATCCAATCTAAAACTAATTATACGAAAACTATCTAATTTGTTTTTCGTTCTTATTCACCAGACTCGCATTGCAAGATCTAATGTTCAAGGGTGGGGTGCATTTGCAGCGGTAAGCAATACTCACGCTAGTTAAAACCAAATTTCAATTGTCCATGATATGAAAAAAAAAACACATAGAAAGAAACAAAATACTTATGTTTCATAATTATTTTTTTTTTTTCTCTTTTGGTTTTTTAAACTTTAGACAATTAAAGATTTAATATGGTTTGATCCTTCAGGAGCCATTAAAGAAAAATGACTTTCTAGGAGAATACACTGGCGAATTGATCTCTCATGAAGAAGCTGATGAACGCAGTAGACCAGATGAGCACAATTCTGCCTATCTCTTTACTTTGAATGATCAGGTTTGTTACTTTAGTCTTGGGTCTTCTCTTCTTCACATAACTACTTGTTGAGTTACAAAATGTGTACTCATTAAAGTAAGATTTTACAGATGGTAATTGATGCTCGACGTAAAGGAAACAAGCTCAGATTTCTCAATCACTCAGCAAAGCCTAACTGCTACGCCAAGGTACCGATCATATATCTCCAAAACATTCCAAGAAACGTAAGCTAAGGAAGTGGTGATATTTTCTGACGTTTACAAATGTGTGTGCAGATGATGATTGTGAGAGGAGATCACAGGATTGGATTATTTGCGTATAAAGCTATCGATGAAGGAGAGGAGCTTTTCTTCGACTATTGCTATGGGCCGGGACAGAAGGCTTGGGCTCTTAGCGGCAAACCTCGAAAGAGTGGTGGTGGTGGTGGTGGCCCTAAAAGGTCTAAGACTCTAAGGACATGAAACGTCTCTCCGTCTAGTTACACCGTGGGTCCGATGAAGAAGAAAAGCGATATATTCATCAAGCAGACGCTTTTAGGCTTTTTTATTTATGACTTCATTTCTTGTTTAAATCAAATTTCAACTGTTTGTTTTATTTGTTTTGAAGATTTTGATTTTTCGCATGTGGTTTAACTCTTAAAGTTTCCTTTTGGTTTGAAACAAAAAAAAATAGTTTCCTTTTGGTATTTCAGTGAAAAAAAACATGTTTTAGTTGCTAATAGTCTTCGGATAGCCAAAGAGGCTTTAATTAAATCTCATACAATCAATAACATGGTCATCAATAAAAATTGGAGTTAGAATTCAAAAACAGTTAGCTATGAACTATATTGTTTATGAAAATCAATACACATTTTAATGAGTACACATTTTGTAAATAATTAAGAAAATCAATATATGGATGAAATACATCTCTCCAGTGGATTGTTCTTATACATAACATGTAATAGACTATCAACAAAGTGGCTGTAGTTTAGTGGTAAGAATTCCACGTTGTGGCCGTGGAGACCTGGGCTCGAATCCCAGCAGCCACAACTAAATCTTTTTCATTTTATATCAAGGGTATTTTCGTCTTTTAAGAAATCACCATCAGATCACTACCGTCCATCTCTCCTCTTACATTCATACGTAAATGTTAAAAAGAAACGTATTTTCCTTCCACACTCACGACGACACGCGTCCATAGAAAAAGCTCTGTTACCGTTTCCCTTGTTACCGTTGGCCTTGTTGACGTGGCTTTTCCTTCTTGCGACCGAATTTCTCTCAAAATTCAGAAACTAGCCGTTCCAAAATTGTAACGGTAACTTCGACATATCAAACGGCTAGATTTCGATTTCTATAAATATAGGATTCACTCGTCACCCAAAATCCCTACAAGTAAAGAAAAATATACTTATCTCGCTAAATGTCTTCTTGATTTTGTTTTTCCATCTCTACGCAAGTAATGAAAATATTCCTATTCTTATCTAGCCAAATGTCTCTCAACTTCTTTTGTTTCATCTTCGCCCTTGGTAATTCTCAAGTAAGCTCACTCATCGAATCATTTACTCTGTTTTTAATTTCGATTCCTCTTACTCTTGCTCTGTTTTCGAAACCTTTACTCTGTTAAATGATTTTGAAGCATCCGAGTTTAAAAAAAAAAAAGTTTCCTCAATATTGAAAAATCTCTGTCTCTTTGATTCTCTCATACTCTCTCTCTTTCTTGGTTTTAAATGAATCTGAGTTTTCATAAAGATATCCCTGATCCGGGCTTATGTTTCAGTTTGATTTTCATATCTGTTTACTAATATGATTAAATCTGCTTTATAAATGCAGAAATGGGCTATGCTCGGACAAACAATCGCCGGGAAATAAATGTGAAAGTTTTCCACGAACATATGTGAAGACTACGACTACGAAGTATTGAAGAAAACTATGAGTTCACGCTTATGACAAAACCTTTGTTTCAAGTAAGTTACGCTCTGCTTCTATACATCCTTTGTCTCCAAATTCAGTTTTATCTTTCCCATTTCCTACACACAGCTGAACTTGATCCGATGTCTGTGGTTTTAAGCTATAGTTTAATTAGATTAGCTATAAATAGATTGAAGAAGGTTTCCATCATTGTGTGAAAGAACTGAATATATATAATTCTGTCATTTGACCTGCTAAAAGTGTCAATCACACACTAATGTATATAAATCGATACCTGGCTGAATCAAAATAAACGTAGATTGTCATTTAACCGAATATGAAATTTGATTGGAAGTCCTATTTGATTCAATTTCTGATCAGTCATTTTGATTAATTTGATAGACATCTTGAAGAGTTGGCGTCGGCAAAGAGAGGGAGCAGAGCCAGAGTCGGCGGGACACGGTGGAGGCACTGCCATTCCCGTCTACGTAAGTCTCTCTATGTAGATTTAGTGTTTTATGATTTATATACATTAATTTTGATTTTAAGTTCTTACCATAATTTGCTAGTGGACCAGAGAGTCCTATTACTATGTAGGGTCTGAACATCATGAAATACAAAGAAACAAAAAAAGTCAAGCCAAATGTCGTTGTTCTTCTACCTCATCCAAGCCATAATCTTCTTCTTCAGAGGTCGTCAACGTATCTTCTTCAGATTCCTATTATATTGTCGAATTTTTTCTTCGTTAATGGGCAAGTTCCGACTAACAATAAAAGTAGAGACACAGAGATGTCCAACTCAAAACAACATCATAATAATATTTTTTGGTAAAAATGTTAAAATGATGATAAGAATTAAGTGGAAAATGTTTTGGGAGCTTACGAGATATTGATATCGGAGACTCCTCCGAAAAGCTGCGATGGTCCGAATGATAACGAGCATCGGCAATAGTATTCCAGTGGCCTTCAATGTTAATACCTGCCATTTTCCCCATACAATTTTTGTTTTTTTAAGAAACACACAATAATTAAAAACTAAATACTAGAAAAGTTAGAGTAATTTACCGTGAAAATCGTGTAGGGATATTCCTCACTTCCAAAAACCACATCAAACGCATGCTTTATCAACAACACCACTGATAACTGCAAAAATAATAAATATCAATATAATTCCAACAAACAAACAAACGGAAAAAGGTCACGCCGTAAAAGATGTACCATACGAATATAGAACGTTATGATACGATATTCTAGTCCAAATATAATTGGTTTGGTTCAATTTGGGTAGTATGATGGGTTAAAGCTGTAAACGACATCATGTGGGCTATATATATGTAACAACTAACAAAATATGAACCATAATAACAAACATTCCTTGGGTTCCAAAAGTAGAAACCTTTTTACTTGTTAGGTGAGAGGCCAAAGGCTTTTGTTGTTGAAGGCTTAGGTTTTTTCTGGTCGACCAAACGAATCCTACCCATCATCTCTCTAATTTTGTTTTAAATCACGTATAAACCAAGTTGACATTTTTTGTGGTTACCAATCATGCGAACATTTAATGCCATGCTTGGTCGAGAGTAGTGGTTCCCATTACTGAATTGGACCTCACTAAACCAAAGGATTTTCGTTTCTTCTCATCATTAAATTTAACCAACTTCTTTAATGTCTATATAATCTAACTATTAGTTCTAAAGTCATATACGAATATGGAGTAATAATGATACTAAATGAAAACAATAAAAGTAATAAACAGGGGACTGAATACTTACAACGAGAGCCAAATATCTACAACAAGAGGCACCTCTGTCAGCATCAGCATTGCACTCTGTAAAATCTGATTCAGCTCTATCCACTAATCTTCTATTTCTTCTTCTTCCGTTGTCTCTCCTCGCTATGTGTAAATTATCTCTGCTCATAAATCAAATGAATTTTTATATATTCAGTTTGGAAAATTGTTGTTATATTTCGAATCATAATGATTAGAAAAACATGGAAAGGAATTAAAAATTTGGGAAAAAAACATTGAATAGCTGGACTATGTATTTTAAACAATTTCATAGGAAACTTAATTAGTTACCTGATTGTGACAGTTGCTTCAACCAATCGAGATGGTTTTGAAGGTGTGGCCGTATATCCAGGTTTGTAGTCCTGCAAGATTGTAAATTTTATAATATAAAACTCTGACTGCATTAACTGACTTGAAAGTACAAAAATCTGTCAAACCAATTTGCCCACTCTCTAATGCATTTTCTCATTATAAAACAACTTTCAAAATCTTTAGCAAAATATTCCTAATTATCCAGCCAGGAATAGAAAAGTAGGTCCTCCAAGTTTTGTATGGGACCCATAAAACGATGGATCCAGTTACCATTTTTGTTACTAACCGATTGTAATTGCATTGAGTTTCATTTCATTTATAAATAAATAAATAAAAACTCGGAATATGATATCATTAACAGGATGGCATTGGCTCATTGATTACGATTTTTGACGACAACCGAATATTTATTTTTATTTTCTAACTAATGATGTAAAAAGTTTGTTTGGGACACGATCGAGAATGTTTTTGAAACACGTATCGTTTTTGTTGGAGAAACAAACAATGAGATAAAGTTCAAATACAATCGGCAATTCAAAAGTAATCTTTGAACAAAAATTCAAGCTCGTGTGAATTCGGATCAGAATCAAACCTGGAGACAGATTTCGCAAACTGTATTTCCTTTCTCATCGCACCACCGTTGTATGCAATCTCTGTGAGCGAACTGTTCCAACGAGAATCGAAACAATCAAAATCTCTTTTCATTTTCGAATTCAAATCAGCTAGAGTCTCACAAAATATGAAACAGATATTTCAAAACTAACTATCGATTCTCAATACCTTGACGGTTCCTGAGCAAGAACAAGGAGCTTCAAAGTATCTCTCTGCTTCTTCTCCGTGACAGATTCTGCAGCAAGATAAGCTTGGTTTTAAATCATTATCTTCGATGAACAATACTAACTCTCCCATATCTCCGGTCTTTCGTCTCTCCGTTTGAATATAGATGAAAAAAAGCTCTGCTTTTCAAAATTTAAGCTCTGTTTTTCGTTTTCCTCTGAAGAACATATATGAGAGAAACAGAGACAGAGTCCAATTTTAAAAGGTGTTTGTAAGGAAGAGGAGTTTACAGTTTTGCCCTTTTATCCGCTTGCTTATTTGGATAAAATAATAGTATTCAATTCTTATGGTTTATTCGGTGTGTTAATGGTCCTCCTATCCTAATACAAACATCATTTTACTAATAATGTAATCAGTAATAACAATATCCCAATAATGTAAACTTTGACCGCAGGGTTAGTTGTGACTTCGTACTTTGACTGTAAATTAATTTGAATAAACTATATTGAATCTCAAAATCTTAGCAATGCAACGTATTTAGAAAATTAAGAGTGGTTTGCAAAATCTTGAACAATGGATATACAAAAGGCTTTACAATTACGAGATCACACAGGTCAAAGCATCTGTATTTTTTTTGTCTTCTATCTTTTGTTTAGTATACACTGTATTTAGACAATATAATCATATTCAAGTTTTCGTTTCGCGTGTCCGTTAGTCTAAAAGATGCCAAAGATTATACTGTCATTAGTCACAATGTTTAAGTAGGACAGCGACAAACCCCAAACGAATACGAAATACTTGCAAGAACCAATTCTCGACCACTGGATAATGATATTTAGTTATTTTAGAAAGGTTTTTCTTATTTCTTGGGCATTCGTTTCTTTTAAACGATTTTTCATTTTTCGATATTTTTTCTAACATAGTTTTCTTGTTTTTGTGAAATGAAGTTATGTCTTTCTTTTCTCAAAAGTGTGTTAAATGTAAGGGAATTTTCCTAATAAACAATCGCGAAGTACTTCGACTTACAGTTCTTCTGTCTACAGTAATTATTTTATTTGTTTGTCCATTTGGATGTTGGTTCTTTTGGCTTAACATCAGTTAGTAAACTTTATAATGGGAATCAGGCGACGTGTAACCAATATAAACATCAATGATGGTTAGTGCAAGATCTTTGATTCTCTGGTACTTGTGAATTATATAAGACAACAGTATATGTACAGTTCATAAAGGAATTTTTAGCTTTTACCCCACCTTTTGAGTACACTTGGACGCAGACTTTTGAGCTTATCCTGTTTAGTTTCGATCTTATCTACGTTGTACCTTTTATACAGCAGATCCTTATTATTAACATCCGATTAGCACCGTACGTGGACGAAAGAAAAATCAATAATGATGGTCGGCAAAACCCTCCCATTAATCATGATGCCAAAAAAAAAAATACAATATATGTGTATTGTTCAATGTTTAGTTGTTTACTACCCAGTTGACAAAATTTCGACAGCATTCACATCTTTCAAGACTTCACGTAGTTAACAAACAGTCATGTATGTTTAAATCCCAAATCTCGGTTGCTAACTTGCTATAAACAAATAATATTGGAATTTCCAAGTTTATGTACAGTTTTCTTACTAATTCCACAATTTCTATAATTGGAATTTAAATTCTGGTTGTTTATTTTGCCGTGTGAGAGTTGTAGAAAAAAATAAAATGATAGAGATAGTATTTGAAAGAGACCGTTCCACGTTTCCACTTGCTAAGCAAATATCTCCTCTCTATGGACCCTCTCCTTCCTCCAGAAGCTTTTGACAGCTTGTCTAAAATGCGTAGACCCGAACGGCGCCGTTTCATGGTCATTTTCGTTGATTCAGGAATCTACACACTTGTTGCCGTTTCACACACACACACACACCCTTCAGAATCTATACACTGCTTGCCGTTTTGTATACTAATATCCTCTCTGATTACTACTTCTGACGACGATCGCGTCACTACCAGATTGAATTGAGTGGCTTCTCGAGGGTCGTGCAGCGATGTTCTTGGTAGATTGGTTCTACGGCGTGCTCGCTTCGCTAGGTCTATGGCAGAAGGAGGCCAAGATCTTGTTTCTAGGTCTCGACAACGCCGGCAAAACCACCTTGCTTCACATGTTGAAAGACGAGGTTCCATTTCTCTCTTTTCCCCTTATTTCGCGTCCTTCTTCAATCCTGTTCCAAATTCAGCTATGGAATCGACCCAATTCGTTTTCGATTTCCTTTTGTTCTGGTTAGAAATTTGAAATTGTTTGATTCGTCTGGATTTGTTCCTCTACTGATCTCCGTCGCCAACAACATGTTAAATTTCGTATAAAACTGAAATCTGAATGTTAAAAGTGTCTAACTTTGGAGTAGATTCAAATTTCCAAATTTTGATCTTCTCTGCTGTTAGTTTTCGTAATCACTCAATCCAAATCAGAGCTTTACTATATAGTCTGATGGTGTTCATCAAATTTCTGAATCCTTTTTTGGGTTGTGGAACAGAGATTGGTGCAGCATCAACCAACACAGCATCCAACTTCTGAAGAGCTTAGCATTGGCAAAATCAAATTCAAGGCTTTTGATTTGGGAGGTCATCAGATCGCACGAAGAGTCTGGAAAGATTACTATGCTAAGGTAAACAAAAATCTCATTTACACACTAAGTAGTAAGTATGGATGCATCTTTGAGAAGCATTCTAGAATCTAGATATGTGATTCTTGTTGAGGGTTTTTTTCACAGGTTGATGCTGTGGTGTACCTAGTGGATGCTTATGACAAGGAGAGGTTTGCAGAATCGAAAAAGGAGCTCGATGCACTTCTCTCAGACGAGTCTTTAGCTACTGTCCCGTTCCTCATCCTAGGAAACAAGATTGACATTCCTTACGCTGCATCTGAGGACGAGCTTCGATACCACCTTGGTCTCTCCAATTTCACCACTGGCAAAGGCAAAGTGAACCTAACTGATTCGAATGTGAGGCCATTGGAGGTGTTCATGTGCAGCATTGTTAGGAAAATGGGATATGGTGAAGGCTTCAAGTGGCTCTCTCAGTACATCAGCTAGATCGCGATCCATCGTCAAGTCTGTAGATTCTCCTTTGCCTGTTCTTTTCTTTCATATTTTGCTTTCCGTACTGTCTTGTTGCTTTACGAACTCTGTACTTGTTAGTATATTTTAGAGTGTTATTCTGAATACATCATCGGTTTTATGTATTTGACTATTTCATCATCAGCGCTTGAACTTCAGTTTGGGCCACAGATTAATGCAAATGGGCCGTTCCAATGCAAATGGGCCTGCAATTGTTTTCTTCAAAGGAAAATCATAAGCAAACAGAATTACAGAAAACACTAAAGAAAAACAATCATCCGAAGAGATTGACCTGCTTAGCATAATAGATCAGATATTATCATCTTTGGTTAATGGGTGGCAGAGAATGTTTTCCGAAGTTTGCATTCATCGTTTTGGGGTAACGATATCTCACTAAAATGCAGCTACTTCTACTTTGTTTCAACACTTTCCGGCTTTGCCTTCATCACAAGCATTCAATTAATTTTATTTTTTTCACCAATATCCTTCTCTTTTTTCCATCTCCGTATAATATAGTACAACTAAATGGATAATGTAGTTTATAATATGAACCCATATAATTCTAGAAGAGGATAAATACGAAAGGTATTTCTGATGCACAAGAAATGTGTACACACTTGTTTGGTTTGTTCTATAGAAGATGTTTGGTATCAGTGAAAATTGAATGTTTTAAAACTTTCTTATTATTTGAAATACAAAGAATTTAACAGATTATGGGAATGAGATTATTTTATTTGGTTTATATTTTGCTTCTCGTAGGTCCACTGACATATGAACAATCTCTTCATAAATTTACGTAGAAGAAACAAAAACAAATGACAATTTCATTCCTTATCCCTCAGTCGATGGTGCAAGTGTAATATGGATAAGAATGCCCATTCTGTTCTGTGTCATCTTATTCTTTTTCTTTTTAGTTTTATCTCTAACAAAAACGCAACAGAAAGCTTCTTTCGATTATTGAATTCGAGGATTCTTATCAAAATGGAACTTAAAAACTTTTTTGTTTATCTTTTTCTTCACAAGTAGGTTCAGTTTGATAAGTTTTAGCTACAATCTTGTGTAAAAAAATTTAAATCATAAGAATGTTTATCATTTTCGATATCTCACTTTCTAATACACGTACCTGGACTAAGCTGAATATTTACTCGATTCAAAAAATATATCGAATATATTATAAAAAACTAGTTATGATGATTTGGTTCGGTTGAAATGTTCATTCCTATAATGTACAGACAATGATAAGCTGGATATGTGTTAACTTTTTTCTTGTTGGTTGAAGTGATTTAAAAACTTTTTCTGTTACATAATAAATGATGGGAATAAGTAATCAAACAAAGATCCTATCTGCTTATGTCACATCATATGATTATGATGGCGGTGGATAATGTTTAACGTTATAACTGCTGCCTGCTTTTTTCCTTTAGTACCCAACCAAATTTCATTATTATTACGTTAAAAGATATCTTAGTCCCTACTTTGTTTTCAATACTTTGCTTTATCTTCAATCAATCAATTATAGTAGTATATTTTATAATTTCCATAATACGATTCACCCTTTTTCGCCATATGTGTACCTTATTATTGCAGAAGAGGTTAAAACATGAAGGCTATTTCTTGCTCAAAAGTCAAAAGCAAATGGGTGTACACTTGTTATCCATATATCCTCGGAGAAATAATTAAATATAAAGGCAGTATTCTTTATTTTTTAAATGATGCAGCATACAAATCTTAACTAGGATTTTAAAGAAACTTAATAATCATAATGGTCCACGGTAGATAGTCATATATTAATGGAGGTTCGAAAATTACAGCAAAATAGTCTTATGAAGAAGATAAAACTTTTTTTTTGACGACACTTGTACTTTCTATATGTGTGTTTTTCTCTTTCTTTTTAGAGTTATTGATGTTAGTAATAAGCACTATCATTAGAAAGAGAGCGTTATATATGAAACACGTCAATTCAAACAGTAAGGAAGTTTAGATGACCCAGACCCAACCAAGAACTGAGCCACAAACAAGACCTATTCCTAGAAAAACAACCATGAAGACTGCCGCAATTTCTGCTTCTGATGCATGAACCGTTTTGGGAGCCAGGATCATAAGAACGCTAGTGAGATAGCCGTTGGTGAGACCTAACATGAACGTCAGGACAACAACTGGCACTTCTGTTCTAAGCCAATGTGGTCCACGTAGACAAGCAGAGAAGAGAGGATAAAAGAGAAGCCTAACGATACAAGCCCATGTAGCTGATTTTATACTCTGCCATAGATAGAGGGCAGTGAGTGACTTGCCTACGAAATCCGAGACGTTGTACACTGTGATGAGCAAAATAGGATACCAACTCTGGAGAAGTTGGGACTTCAAATTCTCAGCTATAAATCCTGGAAATATTGATAACGTAACGGTATAGATTATTAGAATACCCGAAGCTGGCCACTTGATCTTCCTCCCAATCCCCCATATTGTCATAGTCGAATACAAAGGCTGGTGAAGCCTAAGGCGTTGCTGCATTGCTGGTAACTTGTAGAGTACGTTACAGAAAATAAAGCAGCAGAGTAAGATGATGGAGCTGACTATGAAGTAGCAATGAGCACTGGCTCGCAGCCCCTGAGGTGTCTGTGGCAGCGAAGCTTTAGTCGTAATCCTAAGGACGGAGATGATAATACCTAGAAAGAACAGAAAACTGATAAGCATCGAATAAAACCTAACTTTTGTTCTTATCATAAACCCTTACTTAATTAGCGGATTATGTCAAATTTGTTTGGAGTCAAAAGAGGTTTACCTGAAGAGGCAGTGCCGGCAAAGATTGCTTGCATGTACTGTCTAGGAAGCTTTCCCGCTGAGCCGATCAAACTTCCTCCGACCAATCCATCAGCTAAACCACAGAGCACGACTGATCCAACCATCAAGAGGTAAGAAAAATTCTCACTCTTTTCACCTTTCCAAACCCAATCTATGATTGGCGAAACCATCATGGAGATGATGAACATGGAAAACCCCAAGTTCATTCTCAGTCTATAGCTCAACCGTGTGATCCAAGTCATCGTCAACACCAGAACCAAGAGCGAGCAGCTCATGTAAGCCACGGTGAAAGTCTTCTCTACGTGCTTGTCAGGATATAAGTAGCCGAAGTAATCAACGGCTGTGATCAAAGCGTTCCATGGTATCAAACTGCCAGCACCCAACAAGAAATGGATCACGTACGCAGCTCTATAAGCGTCTCTAGTCTCGACTTCAGCAACAATCACTTTCTCATCCGCCATTCTCTCTTCTCACTACTTTGCTTTAGGTTCTTGAAAGCTTTGTGATGTTGGTTTCATTATAAAGCAAGGGTGATGGGGATTTGATTAGATTGTTGTGAGTTTTGGTGGTGGCAAGACCAACACGAGTCACATCTTAGCATCATTATTCTGGATTATGATTCTTTGATGGCTCTAGAGATCAGAACTAGTACAAAGAAACAAGAAACTATATGGTTTTTGGTGGGACAAAGAAGCAGATGGTTTAGAATTAAAGTTACTACTTTGTGCATGACTTTGGTCGGAACTCGTCTTTTCGGTACACTTTTATATTCCATTGAGTCATTGACTGCTTAAACTCACGATTTAGAAAGAAAAAAAAAATGCCCACTTCCGTTACATTCTTATGATCAATTCCCACTATCATATTTTGTTTCCCATTTAAAGCTTAAACCATATGGTACGTACTAGTTATAGTCCGTGGGATTTTTTTTTTTATTTTTTTAAACATAAAAAGCAGCTAAAGTTTTCGGAGTTCATTACTGCTGATTAGGGGTTTCCCAAGGCTCGCAATAATCAATGAATTATTACTTTAGTATTTTCATAAAAACACCGAAGATATGAGCCAATGGAGTGTGAGATTTGGGACACACTGAAATAACGAGGGCACAAGTTGTTGTCTGTTTCCGACCCACATCCCATACTTGTTTTCTATTTTTAATTACGCTGCCTTCTTCTTCGTGACTTCTTAGTCACTCGAATCGAATTTAATTTATCCTTTCCTATTCTCATGGTCTTTTTTCTGCCTATTTTCACGGTTTCTAATTAAGATTTTGGTCATTGTTTAATGTTTTTTGTTCAAAATATACATTTTCCCATGATCTTGCATGTACTCGTCGTCATACATGATACATGTATACATTATTTTTATTTCTATTACCATATACGTATCATAGCATGGTTATTTGCTAAAACATTAAACACTCGACCAGAAAAAGGTTCTATCTAACATTGTAAAGAGCCGAAAATTTTGTTCCACAGCCCAAAACGATGCAGTAGTACAAAGGACTTAATCGTATGTGTAATATTCGCATATCTATATGAATATAAGAAATGATTCGTGGAACTCCACTTCACCGGCCACATGTAAGAAAAAAAAAAGAACCAATAATATTATTAATTTTCGAACACAGAAGAAGAAAATAAAGATCGTTAGGAATATTTAGAATGGTGACCTCTCGTATAAGCCAAGTTACTTTCTTTACCTGCAAGTGGGAAACATATTGAAGAAAAAAGAAAACGCATTGCAAAACAGATAGCTTCAGATATAAACCAACATTTTTCTTTGTTACGATACAAATGAAATAAAAATTTAAATGAAATAAAGTAAATTACTAGTACATGATTAATAAAGTCGAATTAGAACCAAATCTTTCTAATTTTACAGTAAAGTTTCTAGTAATCGGGACCCACACTGTGACAACTGTCTTCCAACATTTTCTAACCATTACATATCCAAAATGGCAGGTTAGTTCACTCATCAAATCTCCCAACTTGTCTCTCCTCATTTAAAATGTAATATTGATTATTGAACATATACAAATAATAAATATATAAAACCAATTCTTTAGATCTAGTCATCTAGATATGTATGTTATATTTTAAAATATGATATTTCCATTGTAGCGTAATAAAAATCACGAAGAGAGCTACCCATTATCATGATAACATCATTGCCTCTCTATTTAAACACACAAACTTCACTCTCACAATTCTTCATCACATTTTCATTTTTCTCTCCTCAAATTTAGAAGAAACCAAAAAAAGTTAGGAAGAGGAGAAAAAACAAACCTTCAGAGAAATGATTATCCACAAAATGGCGTTCTTGGCCGCTATTCTCTTCTTCTTCATCATCAGCAGCAGCGTTCGCGTTCACAGTCGAGAAACGTTCGCTTGCGATACAAAAGACGCTGCGACAGCGACGCTGAGATTCTGCCAAATGTCAGTTCCGATATCGAAGAGAGTGAGGGATTTGGTCGGACGGCTGACGTTGCCCGAGAAAGTGAGTTTGTTGGGGAATACTGCGGCGGCGATTCCACGTTTAGGAATCAAAGGTTACGAGTGGTGGTCGGAGGCTTTACATGGCGTTTCAAACGTGGGTCCCGGTACTAAGTTCGGTGGGGTCTACCCAGCAGCGACCAATTTCCCTCAAGTCATCACCACCGTTGCTTCCTTCAATGCCTCCTTGTGGGAATCCATCGGACGGGTCAGATCTCTTCTCTCTTTCGTTTTATCTATTTTTGTGACCGATCTAACTATTAAAACCCACACATCAATATTTTCACTGTGAAAATGACGTATGTAATAATATTATTTTTATACGTACAGTCCACATTAATTTAGATAGCTAGACTATAGTCTGTATTATGTATTTAATTATGTGGTTCGAATTTTTAAGTTAGAATACTTTCACTGGACCGAAATATTCTCTTTTCTCGAAATGTTACTAATTTTTTGGTTATATGTAATTGTTTGCTTACTATATCTATAATATGGTTATTTCGACGGTTCTCTCGTGCTCTTTGTCCGGTAGTTCATGCAAAAAACGTAGGAACGAATCTCTTATTAGCATACGCTATTTAAAGTAACTTTCTTTACAGAAATTATTTATTTAAATAAACTTGCTTTAAATATTGTTCCTCTTTTGTTTTTGATTCTAATAATCTTTTTAACTAATTTCTTGATTATTCGGATAATGTACAAAAAACAAAATGACAGTACAATATATAAACATGAAAAGGTGAGGAAATGAAATCTGAACTTATCGTACGCTTTTCGCGAAAAACGAGGCATCAAGTTGCACGATATGGAATAACCTTGCAAGTTGCAATATTAATCAAGCGCATTTTATCAATGATAATATTACTACGACTAAATTGCGCTTTTTGGGGGTGCGCAGGTTGTGTCAAATGAGGCCAGGGCCATGTACAACGGTGGAGTTGGTGGGCTTACTTACTGGAGCCCAAACGTTAACATATTGCGGGACCCACGTTGGGGACGTGGACAAGAAACTCCCGGTGAAGACCCGGTCGTAGCTGGCAAATACGCCGCGAGCTACGTCAGAGGTTTACAGGGAAACGACCGTAGCCGGTTAAAAGTCGCCGCTTGTTGCAAACACTTCACAGCTTACGATCTCGATAACTGGAACGGCGTCGATAGATTCCATTTCAACGCTAAGGTCTTTCTCTCTATAATTCAGTTTATTTTTTTATTTCATCATTTTTTTTTGTTTGTTCTCACGTGAAAACTTGTTCGCACGTGTTTGAAGGTAAGCAAGCAAGATATAGAGGACACGTTCGACGTTCCTTTCCGTATGTGTGTCAAGGAAGGAAACGTTGCGAGCATTATGTGTTCGTATAACCAAGTTAACGGCGTTCCCACTTGTGCCGATCCTAATCTCCTAAAGAAAACCATACGCAACCAATGGGGCCTCAACGGGTAAGATCACGCCACGTCAGCTAAAAACACCTACTACAACTGATTTTCCTTTTTTGTTGAATGAAAACAAAAAAAATGGAGATGCGGGGTATCGATCCCCGTACCTCTCGCATGCTAAGCGAGCGCTCTACCATCTGAGCTACATCCCCATTACAACTGTTGACGTTTTCCTTTGTTTCTGAACAGATACATCGTATCCGATTGTGACTCTGTTGGTGTTCTATACGACACACAGCATTACACTGGTACTCCTGAAGAAGCAGCTGCTAAATCCATCAAAGCTGGTATGTAACTGTTAATGACAATTGATCTGATTTAACAAACATGTTTTTCTTACGTTAACCAATTTTGTGTATTGTGTAGGCTTGGATTTGGATTGTGGCCCATTTCTTGGAGCCCATACGATCGATGCGGTGAAGAAAAACTTGCTGCGTGAGTCAGACATTGACAATGCCGTAATCAACACGCTAACAGTGCAAATGAGACTAGGAATGTTCGACGGCGATATAGTAGGTAAACCCTATGGACACCTTGGACCGGCACACGTGTGTACACCGGTTCACAAGGGACTAGCACTCGAAGCAGCTCATCAAGGAATCGTCCTACTCAAGAATCGCGGCGCGTCTCTACCTCTCTCACGTTTCCACCACCGTACGGTCGCCGTAATCGGACCGAATTCCGACGCAACAGTCACAATGATTGGTAATTATGCAGGGATTGCTTGTGGATATACCAGTCCCCTTCAAGGATTAACAGGTTACGCGCGAACGGTTCACAACAAAGGTTGCGCGGACGTACATTGCATGGACGATAGACTGTTCGATGGTGCGGTTGAAGCAGCTCGTGGAGCTGACGCGACGGTTCTTGTGATGGGTTTGGATCAGTCTATTGAAGCTGAGTTTAAGGACAGAAACAGTTTGCTTTTGCCTGGAAAACAACAAGAGCTCATCTCTAGAGCTGCTCGGGCCTCTAAAGGCCCAGTTATATTAGTCTTAATGTCTGGTGGGCCTATAGATGTATCTTTCGCGGAGAAGGATTCGAAGATTTCAGCGATTGTATGGGCCGGGTATCCGGGTCAGGAAGGTGGAACCGCAATCGCTGATATTTTATTCGGCGGTGCTAATCCCGGTGGAAAGCTTCCGATGACTTGGTATCCGCAAGATTATTTGAAGAATTTACCGATGACGGAAATGTCGATGCGACCGATCAAGTCGAAGCAGATTCCAGGTCGGACTTACCGGTTTTACGATGGTCCGGTTGTTTATCCGTTCGGGCATGGTTTGAGTTACACGCGTTTCACTCACAACATAGCAGACGCGCCTAAAGTGATTCCTATAGCTGTTCGTGGTCGAAACGGCACCGTTTCAGGGAAATCAGTTCGTGTGACGCACGCTAGGTGTAACCGTCTCTCGCTTGGAGTCCATGTGGATATTGAGAACGTTGGATCGAGAGATGGGACACATACGATGCTTGTGTTCTCAGCTCCGCCGGGTGGAGAATGGGCCCCAAGGAAACAGCTGGTTGCTTTCGAAAGAGTACACGTGGCTGCTGGGGAGAAGAAGCGTGTGCAGGTGAATATACACGTGTGTAAGTATTTAAGTGTAGTAGACCGGGCCGGGATCCGAAGGATACCGATCGGTGATCATGGCATTCATATTGGAGACGAGACTCATACGGTGTCGCTTCAAGCTTCTACTCTTGGAGTCATCAAGTCTTGACTCTTTGTCTTTTCCTTTTTTTTTTTGTTATGAAAATATTATTATGAAATCCATTTGTTTCTAAAGAAACGAATTAGATTGTTGTAACTCGTCTATTGATGTGAGAGTAATTTGTAAGGAGAAAAGAAAAGAAATCTGATTCTCGTGTTGTGATTCAAATAAATGTTAGAGTTGTCCCACAAATACTAATTAGCGCTGAAACAGATAATCCAATCTTTCTTTGTGTTTCGTTTGTGGGTTGTGGCAGTGTCTTTTTAAACTCAGTGTTACAGACCGTGAGAGTAAAATGTATACGAATGAACTTTTTCACCTATAAAATGTCTACAACTACACAACCTTTAAAGCCTTGACAATCTCCAACTCAGTCAGGACCGGTATATATTATCAATGCGTGAGCATTTACTCAGTTTTGATATGAGATCAAAGCAACAGTTGTTCGACCATAAAGCTTGTGGGCACGTGCAATTCCATTATGATCTTTGAAGAAAGTACTGTTAACTGTACAAAACCTGTAATAGACGATCACTGCTGACACATGGGATATTTTTGGATTTTTACGTAGGATTTACTTTTCAAACAATACAAGACAAAAAGTTTATGCAGTTGAGAACACCTTTTTGAATATGAATGTCGATCCAACAAAGCGTTTGAAATTAACGTGCAATGAAGACACTCCAGCTAGATTTTTGTGGTCTCGTTTAGTTAGGCGGCGTTTGATTGGTGGGCAACGTGCCTTGTTTGATTGGATAAAACATCCAAATCCATTGGGCCACTTTTCTCGACAACTCGCACAACTGATTTTCTTTTTTCGCAGAAAAAGAAAATAGGATGCGACCAGTCTACACTCTACAGTTGATGGGTAATCTGCTGCGGAAAATAAAAGAAAATCAATGATAGAAACTTAGAAATCATGTCCAGGATTAGACAATTTGCCGCACAAAATATCTTCCAATCATACATTGTTTTCACCACGCTAATAGTTGAAATCTTGGTACGAATAGTTGATAAAAGGCTAATTTTTCTGACTGTGTACATACATGATTGTTGACCAATAGAGAGTAATCAAGTTGGTTGGTCTTCCCACTTGTAACACATCAAATAAAAATCAATTATTTACAGATATTTAAATAATTGGTCCCTTGTGTTCCCTTTTTACTACCTTTCTGCATGAAACCAATGCACCTAACAAGAAAAGCCTCCAATGGGCCCAACAAACAAACAAACAAGATACAATATGAATAAAGAATGATCTAAACCGGCTGGTCATTACCAAAACCCGGTCTAAACCGGTGCAAGCAAACGACCATTCCCCCGCCAAGGAAAACTATTCAACGGAAACTAAAGACGTTGAAAGCTCCAAGGAACAACAACTTAACCGGAAACAACAGAACAACGATCAACGGCATGTGTTGAGACGCCACAAGGCGGCTAAATCTCTGCAACGACTTCCTTCCCGTCTTCATCATCCCTGAGAAATCTTGACCGTTGATCTGTCCGTTACTACCCATCGCAATCCCCGAGCTGCTGCTTCCGGTTTCTCTAGCCACCAGTATCGGCCACCAGAGACTCCGGCGATGCTCCCTCTTCGCTCTCCTTATCTGACTCACTTCTTTCCTTATCACACTCCTAACAGATTTCAGATACGAGTTCATGTCGTGGTCCCTCTGTATGGTCCCACTCGAACCGTAAGCCGCTCTGTCACTAAGAATATCCAGAGGATGCGGCGTGTTCAAGAAAACCGTCTGCGCCGCTCTTAACCTCTGTTCCTCCTCCGAATCTACATCGTCACCGGTGAGAAGATACAAACCATTTCCCGGAGGAAGAAGATCGTGTCCGGGAGAGAATGACTCATCCGGTTGAAGGATTAGAAGCTCCCCCATCGGAGAATACAACATACTCTGCTTGTTGAGACAAGGATGGCTCCGGAAGTTTCCATTAACAGCTTTGAGAAGCTCAGCGACATGGTACGGGTAGTTACAAGAAAAGGCTCTTGGGACAATGTCACGGTGCATTGTGATAGCTTGAACATGGCTTTTAGGCAATCCGAGTTTCTTAAGAAGACGGTCACCTCCACATATTACGAAAGGCGCACCGAATGTTATAACCGGAAGCAGAGAAGAAGCAGCTACTTCGCCACGAATCAGTAGCATGAGGTTTAGCAGCAGCGATAAGCTTCCGCCTAGTGAATGTCCGGTGAAACGGAATTTAGCGCTGGTCCCGTGGGTTTTGATATGAGCTTTGACTTCTGGTAGCATTTGTTCATACATTCCTTTTGCTGCTTCGTATATTCCTCTGTGAACTATCGCACCAAGTCCCTAAAAATATCAAAAACAGAGCTTTTGATTAGTTCTAAAAGATCAAACTTTTTTTTTGTTGGTTCCAAGATTTGTTGTAAACGGAAAAGTACCTCAAATTCAATAGGCTCAAAGAGTAGATTTGCTTGCCAAGAAGCTAGAGATTCAGATCCCTGCAAGAAATTTCACAATTTCATCAAACACATGAGAATGAAATCTCTGAAAAATGAGAACAGAGTTTTGAGATTTTCCTATTTTTTTACCTGGATGACAACGAATCTGGTGTGACTCTGATCATCATCACAGATAAACCAATCGCAAGGAGACGAAATGGTCGATTTCAAATCATCGGCAACTGCTTGCTTCACATCTTCCTCAGCAGCAACGACAGAAGTGACAGAGTTAGTTAGAGAAGAAGCAGCCTCTGATGAAGAATTCTCATCGTTTTTGTCTGAATTATCGGTTTTCGAAGAAGAATTGAAAGGAAGTATGTTGTTGGTACGAGACTGAAGGTAAGAAGCAGCTGATGCAACAATCTCATATGCAGCAGAAGCACTAATCTTTCGACCTCTGTTCTTCTCTTCTTTGCCTTCTTCAACTTCTTCTTCTGCCTCCTTTGGCTTAGTCTCACCTGAAACTTCGCAATTCTCATCTTTTAACGCCAACTCTGTTTTCTCAGCTGATGAAGTTACAAATCTGAGGCCGTAATATTTGGAGAGATTCGCAGGCTGAAGGAAAATACAAACACACAAAGAAACGATAATACGTCAGCATTAACCAAAATTCACAATGCAACAAACGTTACACATTGTCCCTTCTAAATTCTAATTCTTTTTTTTGTTAGTTTAGGACATCAACACGTAGATTTTCGTGATTCGATTCAACGAATCTAATGAAGTAAAAACACAAAACTTTGAAATGGTTAAAAATCCGAACCTTGATTTTAGAAATGGAATAAGCCAAGTTTCCCAAATACGACATTTGAGCATAGAGTTTTGATTCAGGCAACGAAACTCTCCTCAGCAATTTTGAGAACGATTCTGTATCGAGCTGAATTTTGTTTTCTTCGTCACCATCATCTCCCAAAATCGAACATACATCGCATCCACCATCACCTTCAGATAATACGGCGTCGTCTAGTTCCTCTTCTTCTTCTTCTTCTTCTTCTTCTTCTTCTTCATCTTCATCATCGTCTTCCTTTTCCTCTCTTTCTCTCCACATAGATTGGACATCTAAAATCTTCAAAACCCAGCTCCCATTTCGCCTCTCCGTCTCCATTTCCACCGCCGCCGTCTCCTCCGCGATCGGCTTTCTCGAATCGCCGGAATCAATCAAAACGGCGTCGTCCAGAGCCAACCCACTTCGTCTCCTCGACGCAATTCCTCCTCCACCGCCGCGAGACCAAAAGGGCGTCAATGGGTACTTGAAAGAGAACCCAAAAGGTCCTCTTTTCTGCGATGGTGCCGTTGCGGTAGCTCTGACTTCGACAACTCCACCACAACCGCTTCCACCGCTTCCAACCGCTGGAATGACGCCGTGTAAGCTCGTATTCAAACACAAACTATCCATTGTTTTTTTTACTTTTTTAAAAAGCTTTTCTTTTTGTGTTCCTCTCTTTGGGTTTCTCTTCTTATTCACAGTTAAAAGTCTTAACGATGTTTAGAATTCTTGGAATGTGAATTATACCCACAGAAAGATTTAGAATTGAGAAAATCTAGAAGAGAAGAAAAAAAAATTGTTTATCAGCCGAACAGATCGCCGATGAGGAAACTTCTGTGTGAGAGATCTTTTTATGCTATATTTTCGTTTTTCTATTTTAAATACAAAAAGAAGACTTTTTTTCTTCTTTCTATTGCGATATTTGTTTTTGTTTTGTTTTTTAATACCTCTGCAGAGAAAGAATCACAAAAGAAAAGTTTATGAAATGAAAAATTCTAGGAGAAATAATGGAACGCCGTCGTTTAGCTCAAACATGCATACGTGTAATACGCGTGAGTTATCAACTCAACACGTTTTAACCCACGTGGGACCCATCAAGCAAAGTGGTAGTCGAGTTGGTTGCGAAGATTTGCCGACTTGTGTAAAGAAATTTTCTCAATTTAATTAGTAGTTTATAAAAGGGAAAAATATTTATAAGATTTCATTTTAGTGTTGAAACTTTTATTTACGAGAGACAGAAAATCATTTAAACATTTTACTAACTAGGAAATATATATAGAAAAAAAAAGACAACAAATTATTTATCAAAAAAATGACAGAACAATATTTCAAGCTAACTGGAAGTTTCCAAAGATATCGACGTGGGACCACCGGTACAAGGTAGAAGACTGCCACGTCAGAGTCTGAGGAATGTATAAATGGATATAGGTGGACAAACCATGTGACGTGTTCCAAGATTTTGGGCTCTATCCAATGAGACACGTGGCGTAATCAGAATGCTCATCCGCCTTGTCTTCAATTGTTGTGTTGTGTGTTTGCATGTTTCTTGTTGTTTCTTCGTGAGGTAATGTCCAAAATGAAATCCAACTACTTGCACGAAACTAATATCTCACTGTCTCACTCTTAATCTCTTTTATCTTCATAATCTATAATATTACTATCACAATTCTCCAGCCACCAAGTTTCAGAAAGAAGTAAAGCCACACTGTATAGCTTCCTTCGAGAATCCACTAATTTCTTTTCTTTTTCGCTTCAGCTTCGTGATGGCTTCGAAATTTGTTCAGAATCAAATCTGACTTTGCAGTGAGTTTCTTCTTCTTCGATCTCCTATAAGCGATTCGGGCTCTAGATTAGTTTGACCCAACTAAGCTTTGTTCTTGTTTTGGCGCAATATAATTATGAAGCCCATATAATGAGGGGGCCAGGGGCACACAACGTACATTAGTCCCATTTTTTGCTTCACTTTTTCCTTTCACAAATTGTTAGTCACAGGTGAACCTTCGTTGTAATAAAAAATTATTGTAAAATGATCAGAGACTTAAGCGTAAGACTTAAGAGAACAAATGTGATTGTTTTAGTTGCGCTGTCGTTGAATATTGTCCTACGGCTGTCTCAAATATTTTACGCTCCACGCAACCGTTTATCACAGATTTTGTTATGTGGTTTAGTTAAATCATTAACAATATATCGTAAAATGTAACCGCATATACGTACGTACAATAACCTATAAAAAAATTACGGCATTCGAATTCATCTAGCATGTTACTAATTGGAACGACAGACTTTTTTCTTCAATTAAATTAAGTACCAAACTAAAGCTCCTAAACAATTTAAGCTACTGTTATTTAACCCCAATGTTTCAGAAACTATCATTCACACCCATATTTACACAACACATAAATAGAGATCGTCGCACACAATAATAGTCCTCCCAAAAATCTTTCTTCAGAAAAGAAAAAAAAATCTCTCTCCCTGTTCAACCAGGGAGAAAGATTTGATTCTCGTCATCTTTCTGATATTTTGTTTTGTTATTTTTTGTTGTTTTAGTATGGAAACAAAAAATGAGAATGGTGACCAATTAGCGATAGAGCAAATAGACACGACCATGAAGAAGAAAAAGATATCACGTGGGATGCACGTCTTCTCCGTCGTCATGTTCATGCTCCGTCGTCGCCGGAGGAGAAAGTCCATCAACACCGGTTTTTGGCGGCGAGTGGTTGAGTCCGTACGTAAAGTACATTCCGAAATTACGATCATGCCATCGTCCAATTTCATAAACACTATCGTCCTTCCTCCGGCTCCTCATCCGCTGACGGAAAGTGGCGAAGACGATGACAATGATGATGAGGATGTTGACGATTCCGGGGATCGTATATCGGAGGCTATGGAGGTTTTCACGGCGGCTTCTTCTTCATCATCGTCCGGTGGAATCTCAGGATATGGATCTGCCATGAATTTACGTGACTTGGATTATCATTACGATGAGAATGATGATGATGTTGAATGTTATAGCGATGGTGAAGGAGGAGATGATATGATAGACAAGAAAGCTGAAGAATTCATCGTGAAGTTCTATGCGCAAATGAAGATGCAAAATCAGGCTTATTCTCAACGTTGCAGAGACAAAAGGCAAAAGGATCATGGTAAAATAAATCATGATGATTCTAACTAAGACCGTACTATCAATGTTTTACATCATCATCATGCATGGAGATAGGAATGTGGAAATGTCTCGTGAATTGGTTAATTTGGTCGGACGAAGGAACGATCTTTGAGGTTTTCTTTGTCGATTTTGTTTTTGGTATTATAACTTGATTTAAATCCCTATAACTTTTTATTCATTCTTTTGTTTTGTAAGTTGTGAGTGTATTTCAATTCATAAATGAAAAATTAGGAACAATAAAAAGGATATACTCCTATGTATGTGTGTGTGTCTCTTGGGGTATATTAGATTTTGTTTACGAAATAAAGTGTCATTCAATTCATTTTTTTTTCATTTGTGTTATTAATTATCTCTATTTATATCAGTTGGAAATTGGTTATATTAAAAACACATTTGACCAATCCATGGCACTGAATTCTTTTCGAAAACTGAAGAGTTCGAGTTTTTCCAACCATAAAAATCGATGAACATGGACGAATCAATTAGCCGGAGATATCATAGTGAGAGATGGTAGCGATTACACATTTTGTTCCATTTCACGAAAGACTCATAGAAACAACGGTGACAAATGAAGTTTCCACAGCCAAGAACTGGATCCTCGCCGTACGATCAGCATACCAAGAAGATCCAACGGTGATCATCTCTCTAAACTCCAAGACCAATTCTCAAGATGATGCAAAAACTGCTACCGTTCAACTATGCATCAAAACCAAATGCCTAATACTCCAACTCCTTCATATGAACCAAAACACCAACCTCGGAGAATGTCTTAGTGATCTCTTTCTTGATGATAGAGTTGTTTTTGTAGGAATCGGTATTGTGAAAACCGTCATGAGGCTTGACGGGATGATTAGAGTTGTTAAGAAAGCTGATGTTCGTGATTTAGTAAAGGTTAATTATCCTTTTAGTTATGGTGTGAGATCAAGGCTTAGCTTGAAGGCTATGGTTTGTGAGTTGTTGGGTTTCGATTCGTGGCAACCGAAGAGGGAGATTGATCCGAGAGAAGTGGCTAATGAAGTTCTTGATGAAGAGGTTATTAAGTTTTTATCAGTTGATGCTTATGTGTGTTACGAACTTGGGTTTAAGATGCTCACACCACCAATGCTTTAGAGAAAAAAAGGTCTGATTAAAGATATTCTTGTTGTCTGTCGTCTCTATTTTTTTTTTGTTTTTTTTTAATTTAAATGCTATGAAGGACTGCTATTTTTAATAGTGACATTTGTTTTTCATTTTTGTTACAGAAAATCAATAGTGTGACATTTAGACGTCGCTTTTTTGGTCTAACACTATAGACAGCATAAAGATGCAGCAGTACAAAGTGCCATTGTAATTTGTGTGTGTGTGTGTGTGCGTGTTACGTTACGTATTAAAATACAAATTGCAATCAATTTCCTGATTAAAACTTTATACTATTAAAGAAGAAAAAGATCGGGTCAAATTGGGGTTACATACAGATATTTTATACGGCCCAGTGAACAAACATTGGGCTAGTTAAAAGCCTCTTATATTGTAAATTTGTAACAGTCAAATAGGTCAGCAGTATTAAATATTTAATAAAATATCGCGCTATACCTTTTATAGACGTTGAGTTTCAAATTCAAATTTAATGGCAATATCGTGAATAAAACTAAAGCGCAGGCCCAATATCATAATTTGACAATCCTTAAACCGTAGCCTCCTCAAGTCCTGACGCCACGTTGTATAAATACTCGTTTACTCCGAAACCCTTATTCTCTCCTACTTTTCGTCGTCTTCTTCGCTGAATCCTGAAATTCAAAAACTCCCATCGATCATTTTTTTTTAGTGATTCGGTTTTAAGCGAACATGTCTCTTAAACCTAGCACGAGGACGGAGGTTCGAAGAAATAGGTACAAGGTTTCCGTGGACGCCGATGAAGGTCGCCGGAGACGGGAGGATAACATGGTGGAGATTCGGAAGAACAAGAGAGAGGAGAACTTGCAGAAGAAGCGGCGTGAAATTCCAACTACTTCCATGGCGTCGGGCACGCAGCAAGGGCAGGATGTCCTCTCGTCTTCTCAGAGAGTATGTGCTTCGTGTTTCACTACTATTTTTGCTTCTCTTTTGTACAGATTCAGATGATTTTAGATTGTGATTGATTCAGATCGGGATTTGCTTCATAGCTAGATGCTTGATCTTCTCACGATGAACTTTAATTGAATTGAATTTGAATTTATCTGGTCTAGGTTTGGCTTAATTAGATTTGGAAAAATAGATCAGGAGTACTGAATTTTGACGGATAGAGAACCTTAATTCAAAACTCAATTGGAACCATTGCTATGAGATTGGGTAATTTGCACATCGAATTGCAGTTTCTTAACCATAAGCTTATTTCAACTGCAGTTGGAAAAATTGGCACAGATGGTTGCTGGAGTTATGTCAGAGGATGGAAATGTACAACTCGAGGCAACGACTGCCATTCGGAAATTGCTTTCAATTGGTTAGTGGTTTATATATGATGATGATGATGATGAATCTCTGATGTCGTTTGCTCCTTTTGGTGGGATTTACTTATGCTTACGGTGGTTGATTTTGTAGAACGTAGTCCTCCCATCGATGACGTAATTCAATCTGGTGTTGTTCCTCGCATTGTGCAATTTCTTTCCAGGGATGACTTCGTCCAACTTCAGGTGAGCCTCATAGCTTTTATTTTGAGGCGTAGCTTTGTGGTTTGAATTACATGCTGATTTGCTGTTTCTGCTTCTGTTTGCTATAGTTTGAAGCAGCTTGGGCGCTCACAAACATTGCCTCAGGGACATCTGAGAACACTAATGTCATTGTTGAGAGTGGCGCCGTCCCGGCGTTCGTCAAGCTACTCAGCTCTGGAAATGAGGAAGTCCGAGAACAGGTATCAGTTTGGATTCACTATCAATTTGTTTATTGTTTATTTGTGTCAATTAGAAGATGACTCAATTGGGGACTATGTTACCATTTTGATTACAGGCTGTGTGGGCATTGGGAAACGTCGCTGGTGACTCACCAAAATGCCGTGATTACGTGTTAAGCTGCGAGGCAATGATGCCTCTTCTGGCTCAATTCAACGAGAATGCAAAGCTCTCCATGCTGAGAAACGCTACATGGACATTGTCAAACTTCTGCAGAGGGAAGCCGCAACCTCATTTTGAGCAGGTATCTTTGCATATATAGTATTATATAGGCTTGTACCAAACCAAATTGTAATCTTCTCATCTGTTTCTTTTATTTAAGAAACGTTTCGTTGGTTTTTGTTGAGTGCAGACTAATCCATGTCTACTAGTTCTTGAGCGTCTTTTGCATTCAACCGACGAAGAAGTTCTCACGGATGCATTGTGGGCTCTCTCGTATCTCTCAGATGGTGAAAACGAAAGAATACAAACTGTTATCGACTCGGGTGTTATCCCTCGCCTCGTTCAGCACTTAACGTAAGTAAATCTGTTCATTTGTGAGGCTTTTTAGCAACAAATTACATATGAATCTTTATTTGATTTTGTTCCTCTTTGTCTTCTTAGTCATCCAACGCCAGCAGTTTTGATTCCAGCTCTCCGTACCATTGGTAATATTGTAACCGGAGATGATACTCAGACTCAGGTGCCAATATTATCCACAACCTCTCTCTACTTTAAATATATGCAAAAGCTCTCCTATGGATTTGAAGTTTGAAGTAAGTCATGTTTGTGTTTGTCTTAATAGGCGGTTCTTAGCAATCAAGCGCTTCCTGGTCTCTTGCACCTTTTGACAAACACACACAAGAGGAGTATCAAGAAGGAAGCTTGCTGGACTATCTCTAACATCACTGCTGGGAACGCAAGTCAGATTCAGGTGAGTTTATTTACATTTATCAGCAACTAATTACAATTTGTTTCTTTCCTTTGCAAAAGATATTAAACACTGGAAATTTTGTTGATGTGCAGGAAGTGATTCAGGCAGGCATTATGCAGCCTCTGATTCACCTGCTCCAACACGGTGAATTCGAAACTAAAAAGGAAGCTGTTTGGGCAATTTCTAATGCAACATCTGGTGGCACTCATGACCAAATCAAGTAAGAACAAAAGAAACAAGAAATCTTTTTTTTTTTCACTTGTCACGATTCTTGAAAACTGAAGCCTCCGTAATTTGCCTTGCAGGTTTCTTGTGAACCAAGGATGCATCAAGCCACTTTGTGATCTCCTCGCGTGTCCTGATCCAAGGGTCGTGACAGTGGCCATGGAGGGTCTAGAGAACATTCTCAAAGTAGGTGAAGTCGATAAAAGTCTAGGCAACACAGGAGACGACAACCTCTACGCACAGATGATCGACGATGCAGAAGGTTTGGAGAAGATCGAGAATCTTCAGAGTCACGACAATCATGAGATTTACGAGAAAGCTGTCAAACTACTCGAGTCGTACTGGGCCGGGGAAGACGAAGACGATGAACCAGATTACGATGCTACTGACAATAATCAGTCTTCCGGTTTCCAGTTCGGAAACCAAAGTGGCAATGCTCCTACCGGTGGATTCAAGTTTGGTTGAAGGTCCATGCTTGGAAGTTGGAATCAACAGCTTCTAAGTTGTTTGCTCTTCAAGCTTACATCATCATTTTAAGTTTTAAAGCTTTGGATAGAACAATTTCGAACCGTGATAATGTTGACGAAGAACAGATATATCTCTCTCGTTATTTCTAAAATTTTTAGGGCTCTCTTTTTTTCGATTACTTTATTTGTATTGTTCTCTTTTTTGCGTTATCTGCTCTTGGATAACAAAATCAGATGATACAAAACAAAGTTTCAGTTTAACAACTTTATGCAAAATTAACTTCTGTTCTGCATTTTTAAAAGGGCTGTTCTGCAATTGTAAAAATTCACGGTTAATGTTACATAAATTTAGTAATTATGAGGGCTTTTTGTATTTTTTCCCAAAAAGTTCAGCATCTATTTTGCTTTTCTAGATTAAGATGAACAATTCTAGGGACACCGAGCAGCTTCTAAGCTTTTCTAGTCACTCTAGATCTGCCACGTCATTAACAACAAGGCAACGCATCGACACGTGTCATGAAGAGTCTCGAACTTCAAAACGCTGTCTCCTTCGCCTTCTAAAAATCATCAGAAAGTGATCAAGTACTTTCTTAAACAGCGAGAGACGCAGAAAGTATTGTGAAGAAGATAGACGATGATGCAATCCCGATTACTAACGTTTGCTTCAGTGGCACGTTCTCGGGCTCGACCAATCGCTCAAAGGCATTTAGCGTTTGGATCATCCACGTCTGGTCGCACCGCTGATCCAGAGCTCCATTCCGGTAACGATGGAGCTGATCCAGCTATTTATCCAACGGACCCCGAAGTACAACTTCTCTTTTAATCTTTCATTTTCTTAGCTAATAAACTCTTTTTAAAAGAATTTGGTTAATTGATTCTGTTTCAGGGTATGGATGATGTAGCAAATCCCAAGACGGCGGCGGAAGAAATAGTAGACGAAACACCACGACCGAGCTTAGAAGAACAACCGCTTATACCGCCGAAATCTCCACGCGCCACCGCACATAAGCTAGAGAGCACTCCCGTCGGTCATCCGTCAGAGCCAAATTTCCAACAGAGACGGAGAAGAAGCGCCACCGCCTCGCGTGATACCGGGAGCTGTGCCGGTTTAGACGGCTCACCGTGGCCGAGAGACGAGGGAGAGGCTGAGGAGCAGAGGCGGAGAGAAAACGAAACAGAGAGCGACAAGGAGTTTTACAGACACCACAAAGCTTCTCCGTTATCGGAGATCGAATTCGCCGATACTCGGAAACCGATCACGCAAGCCACCGACGGAACGGCGTACGCGGCGGGAAAAGATGTGATTGGATGGTTGCCGGAGCAGCTAGACACGGCAGAAGAAGCTTTGAGGAAAGCAACAATGATATTCAAACGCAACGCAGAACGCGGCGATCCTGAAACGTTTCCTCATTCTAGAATCTTGAGAGAAATGAGAGGCGAGTGGTTTTAAACTAAAGACGCAGTAAATGTTTTGTGTGTATAAATAAACCTTTTCAATTACTGTATGTAGCTTCAATGGTTATTCCAAAACTGGAAAAAAGGCTCAAAAACCCTGTTGAAAGGAATTTGGTTCCAACATTGTGGATTACAGTTTTCACATGGTCCAAAAGACTTTTGTTCTTCCATTCAGAGCTTTAAATTTAAGCGTATCAGATTCCAAAGTTTTTTGCTTTTGAAGGTTCTTGAGGAAAGTCAAGTTCTTTAAAAAGCCAGACTTTTCTTACTTCCGTCTTCCAAACTGCAAAATTTTCTTTCTTCCCCTTAACAATGAAGTTCCTCTGTTTCTTCACTCTGCTTTTGGTATCACAGTCTATTGCGTTGACAGAGAAAAAGGAGATTGAATGTGAAATGTGCTTAGAATGTGAGAATCCATGTGATCAGCCACCACCTCCATCTCCTTCGCCGCCTCCACCGCCGCTAGAGATATTCTGTCCTCCACCGCTTTCCCCACCTATGCCACCACCACCGCCGCCGCTAGAGATTTTCTGTCCGCCGCCACCTTCTCCACCACCGCCTTCTCCTTCTCCTCCACCCCCACCTCCTTCACCACCACCACCGTGTACTCACTGCCAAGTACCGCTTCCTCCGCCATTGCCGCCGGTTTGCAATGAATGCGTTCCCAACAGGCCAAAACCGCCGATCATCATCACTGCCGCAGAAGCGTCACCAGAGGTTTCTGCTACAATAAACGTCGTAATCGCTCTTGCCTTTCTCGTTTTCTCTTTGCTTCAATCAATCAGCTAGCTTATGTATGTTATCTTCGCATTTAAATTCTTACAATTGTTAAGGCATTCCCATTTCTCTCAATCTATGAAATATTATTTTTACTCAGTTGTAACTTTTCTCTCCGAATATTATAATAAACAAATACAGTAGAAAGGTCTATATGGTGTTGGATTTGAAACTATAATCTTTCTCTTTGGGTCTAGTTAATTTGGAAACAGTAGTATTCATTAAAAATCAATCAATCTGATTACAAACATGAAGCCGAGAAGTTTCATGCCTTTGCACCACACAAACAAAGAAGAAAAGCCCTAAAAAAGAATCAAGGGAACTGAAACTGCATAAAGTCTTGTCTCCCAGAAGGAGGGTTGATGTAAACCCAAAGCAGCGACACAATGATCGACAACAGACCTGACCACACGAACACAATCGTCGGCACTTTCCCTCTCCTTCCCATCAACCCTTTCGCAAACGGATACAGATGAACAAGCACCCAAAAGCTGAAGAACACTCCTCCCACCAGCTTACTCCACTGCGGAAACGGACTGTACAGAGTCCTCGCCACCCCAACCGCGATCGCAATCATGTTCACCATCATGATCGTCAACGGAGGAACCATCAGAAAGCTCCACTTCACCACATACAGATCCGCAAACTCGTCGTCTCCATCTTCAGGCGTTGATGACTTGGACGTCAAGGTAAACGAGATATCGACTCCTGCAATCACTTTCAAAAGACCCTGAAGAACAGCTGCAGGATGTGCGCTCGTCCCACCAATCACCCAGAACTGCTCGTTTCTCCACCACTCATGGAGAGTGATCCCTGACCATTTCACCTCCAGGAGAGACAACATACATAGAGTAAGCGTGATCGCGAGGAGGAAGATGAGGAACGTTATGTCGAGTGACTGGACTATGAACTGACCGGAGAAGAGCGACACCGCCGGGAGGATGCAGTAGACGATGAGGAAAAGCGACGTGAACGGATACATCCCGACGTTGAAGTAAGCAACTCTCTGCAAGAACTTCATCCTCCGGGTTGCGAACATGGCGTTGTTCCTCGAGAAGAAGATCTCCACAGATCCCGTTGCCCATCTCAGAACCTGGTGAAGCCTGTCCGTCAGATTGATCGGAGCTGTTCCTCGGAAAGCGTCTCGCTTCGTGACGCAATAGATCGATCTCCATCCTCTGTTGTGCATTCGATATCCCGTGACCACATCTTCAGTCACTGATCCGTAGATCCATCCGACTCTCTTGCCCCACTCTGTTTTGTCCTCGTAGAAGCAAGAAATCACACTGATGGCTTCAGCTACAGTGGCTGCATCGAGCGGCTCTCGTGGCACAGCGAGTGATCCAGCTGGTCTACTGTTCTTGCCTTTGCCTTGCAAGTCCTGCAAGAGCCTTCCTTGGTACTCTGCAACCGGAATCGAAGCAACGAAAGAGTTTGAGTTACCGAATCTCTTCGGGAGAAGCAGAGATTCAATGTCTCCATCATCATTATCCTCCTCGTTGTTGTATTCTCCGTTCATCGGCAATGAGATCTCATCGTCTTTCTTCTTCGTCGTAGCTTTCGATTGCCTCAGAGACAGCTTCACCTTCCTCCTCCCAAGCCAGCCGTGATGCTCTGTTGCTCTCGGAGGGCTAAAACCGTAAAGAGCTGTTCTCCGGAAGATGCAGCCAGTTCCAACATACATTGGACCTTGAAGTCCATCCAAAGCTCTCATACTAACATCAAAGAAGACTGTGTTGTGGTTCGCGTAACGATCATTCGGGTCGATGCCTTCAAACCTCTGAGGGAACTGAACGTAGCTGATTCTGTCGCCTCCTCGATCAAGCATGAAGCACATTCCTTCCCTCAAGGCCATGGAATTGTAGATGTAATGGTCACAGTCAAGATTGAGGATGAATGGGCCATTAGACATGATTGCGCTCGTTCTCACCAAAGCATTCATGGCTCCTGCTTTCTTGTTGTGGTCATAACCAGGCCGCTTCTCTCTCGACACGTAGACCAACATTGGCAGCCTGATGTCAACCTCTGTCGTGTCGATCAGGTTGTCAGCGTCTGCTTCAGCTCCGTAAACCAGCTCTGCGTTTGGAGGAGCCAACATCGCCTGCAGCATACACACAAGAACACAATTAACACCGAATCTAATAAACATGGAAACTGATTAACAAAGCAAACAATCTTGACTGAGGAAGTTACCTGAATGATTCCCGCATGGTCTCCTCGGGAGTTATCGATCTCTCCAGAGGACCAAGTCCCTGGCCAGTGGGAACCATCGGACATCCAAGTAGCTTTAGGAACTTTGACGGTTTCTACAGGATTAGTTCCCATCATCATCTCCATCTGTTTCTTCTTAGCTCGTAGCTCTTCATGGACATTATACGCATCAGACCTTCTTCTTATCGCCTCTGGCAGTGAATTGACTCTCACTTTAAACTCGTCATACTCTCTCTTCACTCTCCTTCTCTCCCTCACAAAGTCAAGCCTCACTTTGTTCTTCAGGAAGTTGCGCTTCTGGGCAAAGTAGGCCTCTGGGTTCCTCGGCTCTATGTTGTGCTTCCTGCAAAACGGCACCCATGTGCTTGCAAAGCTTGCCGTTTGAGCTAAGGCCTCGAATGTCAGCAGAGCTCCTCCATCGTCTGATAAGTAGCAAGCGACTTTCTCCACAGGGTAATCAACGGCTAGGATGGAGAGGATGGTGTTGGCTGTGACCAGAGGCGGCTCTTTCTCAGGGTCCGCAGTTGAGACGAACACATCTATTCCCGGAAGGTCTGATCTTCCTTTGGGGTTTCTGAGGTTTGGAGACTCAAAACGTTCTTTGAGAACATCTAAATCGGTGATTCTGTTGACAGGACAGAGCTTTGGAAGCTGGTCCAAAAGCCAAGACAGTGCAAACCAAAGCTCACAGGTCGTTGACATTCCCCACAACCACATTGCCTCTCTGTTTGGGTGCCGAATCCTCCATGTCAGGAACAAACCAAGAGCCACCAAACGCAGCGCAATCAGTAATCTGTTTCATCACATCACACAAACAAGATCAAAAGTTTAGCAAAACTCAAAAATGGTATGTCCAAATACAGAGCATAGTATATCAATTCCATCAGCATAATTCAACAAAGTATGTCCAAATCTAAACCATAGTAAACCAATTCCATCAGCATAATTGAACAAACATCAGACAAAAACATACTAAATCAGAAAACAGCTAAAGCAAGTTTTTACCTGTAAGGACTGATAATTGCAGCAGAGACGCTGACTTTCCTGGTAAGAGGTCTCTTGCTTCTCTCCCCAAACTCTGGTGGTTGTTCATACCCGTTTCCATTGCTACCACCCGACCCGATTCCATACCCGTCTTTAGGCCAAACTGCGTTTCCATAGCCATAAGTCCCTTTAGTCTCAAACAACCAACGCGTGTGATCGAAATCGCCAGTCTGATTCTGCGCTTTAAACGACTTGACAACCGAAATCCTCTTGTCGAGCTTCGAATCAGCCATCTGAGGAAGCGGTTTCGCTTCGTCTTCGTCCTCTTCCTCCGTGTCCTGATCATCGTTGATGTCTTTGTAAGGCTCTTTGCATCCAGGACACTTTCCTCCGCCGCTTGTGATACAATCAAAGTAACAATCTCTACAGATTCTGAAACCACACTCGCATCTCCCGTGAACAACCTTCTCATCACAACCTTTCAGCCAACAGATCTGACCTGATTTCTTCCCCGGATCAGCTCGATCCATAGAGCAGTCGATGACGTGTCCACGTGTCACCGATTTGAATCCACCGGTGAAAATTGTGCCGGAGAGAAATCCCTTGTTGTGCAAATTCCCTTTTAGAATCTCGTCTTCTTCAGCCATGCTGCTTTCCTGTGAAGCGAAGACCGTCTGGTGATCCGGCGTGGGCGGAATATGAACAGTGTAGCTCAGAACGCACTCGGAATTGGTCTCCGCCGTGAGATCTTCCACAGACATTGAACAGTATCTTCCTTCGCCGCCGCTAGATCTCCGATTCCCGCCGCTAAGCGAGCTGCGACGTGGACCTCTAGAGCTTAGAGGAGAGTTTAGGTTGTTGGAGACGGAGGCGCGTGGGATGGGACTCGTCAATCCAAGGCTTCTGTCGCCGGATCCTTTACATGGTGACACCGTTATAGTCACCGGAGAAGAAGAACAAGCTGCTGATTTCACCATTTTCGGTTCACAATAGCCGTGAACCTCAAAAATACGAGAGAAAAAATCAAAGATCAAGATGGAAAAGAGTAGATCTCAAGCTGATATCAGAGATTTTGAACTTTGAAGAAGAGGAAGAGGAAGCTGAAGGAAGCTAGTTGGAAGCAGAGCATTTTAGTTTTCAAAATCAGAGATAGAGAGAGAGCGATATAAAGGACAAAGGGAGTTGCTATAAACGGTCGAGAGATCTGAACCGTTGGTTGCCTCACGTCGCAACTGTGAGATCGGACGGTCATTACCTAATCTAAACGGTAAGTTTGCAAGATCATGTGGGGCCACCAGAAGGATCTATAAAGAAAAAAGTCAAATAAACGGAAAAAAAAGAAAAGAAAAGGGGGGGTTTATTTCTCTTTCTTTCTTGTAACGGTCAAATAGTTTATATTGGAGCTGAATTTAATATTATATGCTTTTCATTCCATGTGGTTTAATAATTTTGAACTCATTGGTACACATTTTTGTATGACATTATGATACTACTCGAGTAGATGATCATACCTTGCAATACATTGGTAATTATTATGTAGTATAACATAAACTTATCTGTATGAATAAACTTGTTTAATCCGGTTTCGCAGAATATGACTCGTATTTATTTCATTTCTTTTGACAGTAATTATGACTTGTTTATGTGGTAGACGTCAAAAGATTTGAACTGTTCATACTGTACTAATTTTAGCTAATTAATTAGTACTAGTATTACTTTAGTTATAAATGACTTTAAATTTATAAAGTCACTCTATTACAGATTTTAAAATTAATCATAAAAGTCTTGACACCTGGAATTTTACTTATATACAAACAAATTGGAAGAAAGCTTAAAGAAATTGTCACTTCATGGCAACGGTCGATAAAACTACACAGTAAAAAGAAGACCATTGACGCCTCTCCCACAACGGTAAAAAATTGAAACAGTAATTAACTTTTAACCGATGTCAATCTGAAGTAGCTTTGCTATGTCCAAACACACATTAGGCTTTGCTATAAAAAGTAAATTTTGCACTGCTAGATTAGTTAAACAAATATGATCCACTAAATTGCTCTTTATATAATTGGTGATGTAAGAATATGATCACAAACAGTAAATATCATTACAAATAATTACTGCATTGATTATTTTCATAATCGAGAGACACAACAAACCCTCATTGCATTACACATACTACAAACAATGTAAATATACTCGGAAGATAACATGAGATCCTACTCTTCTTCCTCTTGATTCTTCTCCATTTCTTCCACTGCTTTGTATGCTGATATAAAAAACGAATTCTGGTTTTTCCTCAAGAACCTGCGTACCATTATCATTTATGTCTTCATTAGTGGCTGAGTAAGTGCAGAGCTGTGCACAATCCACAAGTTTGAAGAAAGAAGGAGACAAGAAAATAAACCTGAGAATATCAACAAAATTGTCCTGCAATTCCTTCAACGTCTCTTCTGCCATCTTCACATGAACTAGCAACCCCGGTAATTTCACTGCAAGACTCAGTAATAGTTAGTTGTTTGATAACAAGATAACTATTATTCAGTGATCATTTAGCATAACAAAGAATGATGATGAGCTTACCAAAGAGTCGTAACAAATGCTCAGCTCCGTACACAGTTGAGGGAGGAACATCCGGTGAAACAGATTCCTCATATTGCTTCCGTTCATTGTCGTTGTAAAGCAACATCACCGGTAAAGCATTGTCAAAGTAGCAACGCAAGCCTTTCAGAACTTCCTCTACTGAATCACTTACCCTATAGACTCACCAAAAGAACGTAACTGTGTTAATAATAACTTTGACTCTCTAAGCGAATATGAGAAGAGCAACAAGTGTAACGTTGGAAATGACATAAACAAAATAATAACAAAGACCCTCTTACCTGCTCTGTTTCTTCAGTTTGCTGTCAGTGTACTTCTTCAAGATGTCATCCACATTTGGAGAGCGGGGAAGTTCCACAAGCTGCTCACACAAATGCCCAAAAAGCTATAGGTTACTATATGTAGATTGTTGGGTTTTCTTCATTTACGTATCATATACACTTATTAGTACATGAATTAAGACTACCTTTTGCATCTGAGTAACAAATTCACAATCATCAATCAGTTGCTTCCTCAGCGCTGGTGGGATATGGAGGGTTAAAAGGTTTTCAGAGGGAACCATCTTCTCCTGTATTCAGCCAAGCAATAAGATAGTTAAGTTAAACTATCTACTGATCATAAACCCTGATATTGGGAAGCTGACAGATAAAGCAAGTAAACCCACCAATGTGGACACAGACACAGCTGTGTCTGCAGAATCTTGCTTTCGCTTTTTTCCTCTCGCAACTGCAAAAAAAGACAAGGAAAAGTGTTGGACAGACCATCAGTTGACTACAAAATATTCACCGAGAAACTATTATGCAACATAAATGAAGAATAAAAGAAGAGCAAATAACCATTATGGCTTCTAGGTTTCATCTTTGACACTTTCCAAGCCATAGCACTCTTTAATCCTTGCTTCATTCCGAGTTCCTGCTGTTTCTCAATATTCTCCTCTGTGTGTTTCAACACATAATCCTCACCTATCCATTCGTCCCAACTGTTCAGCGGCAAAACGAAACAATCATTTGTCTGTCACGCCTCTAAATTATCAATCGATATGCATTAGAAACCAAAAAAAAAAATGAGATCTTGGCAAACATTCGATACAGTAATCAATCCACATTTTGTTGTCGGAAGATCTACTAACCTTTTGTTCCAACCCTGACAAAACCACAAAAAGACGAGAAAAAAAAATCACATCTTCGGAAGTAAGAACGATAATTCAGTTATGGCAGGTTACTGTTAATTTTCATCTTTTTATAAACAAATCAATAAATGTCTTTCCTTATTAATTATTCTTAGAAACAATATTCAGCGTAATCTTATCTACTTACAATGTAATGCACAAAATACTTCCATTGATTGCCTTCATATCCAACCTGAAGAACCTGAGGGAAACCAAAAACAAAAGAGATCACACTCACACAGAAGCACAAGCACGAAAACAACACTCTAATTAAAAGATTACAAAGACGAATTACCTTGGCTTCGTAGAAGCAATCATTGTGCTTGGCTAAAATCTTCTCTCCTTCTTCGAATTGGCTCAATTCCGAAGGAGGAGGAAGAGGAAGCAAGTCTTCTCCGCCGCGATCGGTGTTGGACTGTGTATCGGAGCCGGAGTCTCGTCGCGTGTCTCCGATGAAATGGGTTGAAGGATCCGTCTCCGTGGCGGAATCATCTTTCGCGGCGGCGGCGTTAGGGTTACTCATCAAAAGAGTTGGAGAATGGAGAATGGAGAATGATGGAGGAAGAGATTGTGATGAACAGAGCAAAGTGAAAGCGACAAAGAAATAGACAAAACAATCTCAAATTTTGTCGTATCTGGGCGGGGCTTTGTCCGAAAATTTCCCGGGACTTTTGGGATATCTCTTATCGACGCGATGGATCAAATAAAACAAAACCGAATTGACTTGCCAATTATGAAAAAAGTCCAATAAATACGAATACGGGCTTTTAAACTCAGGCCTTTAAGCCCATTGAACATCCTTTTAGCACTCTGCTATTTACTTGGGGAGCAATGCATTAAATTAATTTTATAAGACCGAAGAAACTTAAAAGACGAAACCACCCCTGGTCTACCATGAGGATGAAAAGTCTACAAAAGGGTCGGTCGTTGAAGGGCATTTGAGTAATTGTATCTAACCGAAGTATTCTTGTCCATTAAGTCTCTCGCTCCATTAATAAAATTAAAAGGTCTCTCCTTTGGTAATTTCTTTATTGGCTTGACATTTTCTATCACACAAGCGAGTCTCATAGCTTCTGAGCTGACATGTGCAAGTAAACCACACGACGAGTTGGTCTAATAAACCTAATTAAATAAAGTTTTATCCGAGATTATTTAAAGGGGCTCAAAGCTTTCGCCGATTTGTGGAGATTCAGAATCAGAAGATGGAAGACGATATGTGGGCAGTTTCTTCTTCTGGTTCTTCAATAAGCCATCGATCAGCAACAGCTGCTAAGTACCAATCTGGTTATCATCTAAACCCCCTCGTTCGTTCTAATTAGATTTAGTGTCAAGATTTTGACTTTAGGGTTTTTGATTTAAGACGGGTCTGAATTGGGGTTTCGATAGAGTATTAGTATCTGATTTGATTTTGATTGGAAGTTGTTTTAGCGATCCGTAGAGTTTCTTTGTGTGCTTTGTTGATAAGAAAAATGGTAGCTTTACGTTTGCTTTAGATAAAAAGACTTTTTTTTTTAATTTCTTCTTCTTCTGAGTCAATTTGGTTTTTGATTTATGGCGAAAATCACAGGTTCTTATCTAGATGCGGAAGAGTTTGAAGAAGACGATGATATAGCAATGGAATACCCATGTCCGTTTTGCGCGGATGATTATGATTTGATTGAATTGTGTCACCATATCGACGAAGAACATCAGCTTGAAGATACTCATGGGGTATGTGAAATCGACATCCTATCTCCAATCATTTACTGCTTTGACATTGTGAAGCTTCACATGATGTAGTTTAGCTTGTAGGATTGTAAGAAACAGGGCTTTTCAGTCCTCGATTTGAGTAACAGTAGTTGGATTTCAATACTTCTGGAATCCGACTGCAATTGTGAATAGTGTCAATTGAGATATGTGTTGAAGCATTGATCGATTTCAGGAAATGAATGTTTAGTTGTGTGATTGATTTCAGGTTCTTTAGATTATCTTGTGGTAACACATTTCTTACAATTTGTCTTTTGTTGTTTGTGATGTTTAGATATGTCCGGTCTGTAGCAAAAGGGTGAAGATGCATATGGTGGATCACATAACCACACATCATAGAGATGTCTTGAAGATATCCTTTTCTTTGTCTTTTCCAAACATTCTCTTTAAGCGTCTCTATAATAATGAATGAATTCAATTTATTTGAGTTTCCTTGACAGAGAGTTTACAGTGAACAGAAGGATTCATCTTACATGGAAGATCCATATTCATCGGATAAATATATTGAACCTCTTCTTGATGACTTGCCGCCATCTATGAATCATCATCATACCACCTACAAGTCCGCTGTTGCGGAACAGTTTTTATCGTTCATCAACAATTCTCCATTGCAGAATCAGACCGAGAATGTGCAGCCTGATTCAAGTGTAGATGACATGAAGTCGGTTAAGGATTCTCCTATAGAAGAAGACAAGAAAGTGTCGCCTCCTCTATCAGATTCTGAACAGTTGGAGAAGGCGAAGAAGTGTGAGTTTGTACAGGGACTTCTGTCATCAGCTATGTTCGATGATGGATGTGACTTCTTCTGACAGAAGTAAAGACAAAATAAAGATGTGAACGATCTAATGCTAAAGGCAGGAGATTGGAATTGTTGTAATTTTATTCAGTTCTATTTATGTATATGTATCTTTTTCAGACATTATATGTAGTTTTAGTCTCATAATGAAAGCCAATGCATTTTCATTTTGTACAAAGCTCAGTCCTTACAAAGTTCTTTGCTTTAAAAGCTTACAGAACCGAAAAGGTAGTCGTTTTAGTCTGATAATGAAGGCAAAGTGCTGCTGGTTACACATGAAGCCCGTCTAGCTCAGTTGGTAGAGCGCAAGGCTCTTAACCTTGTGGTCGTGGGTTCGAGCCCCACGGTGGGCGTTTGCTTTTTAATCTTATATCTTGTGAAGTACCATTTTTCTTTGAGAGACAGCGTCATCAATTTTGCGAAGTCGTCGGCGTCATATATTGTGAAGGTTTTTCAAAAGATTCTGGAGAGACAGGTTCTTTATCAAGTTTCATTGCTTCTTTTCTAGACACGAAGTTTACAAGAAAAATTAACTTTTGTGTATTTCGTGTATTTCGCTGATTCTAATTAACTTTTGAAACCCAGTTTCCATGTTCACATTTCGCAGATGAATTGACCTCATAGCTCAGTGTTCAGGTTGAAGTTTGTGTGGGTGGTCATGAAGCATTCTCAATCCAAATCATCTCATATAAAGTACATGACTTTGATAATCTCATGTTAGCTTCAATAATCTCATAAAATTGAGGTTGTACTCATCAACATGAGTGAATTAGATTTTTAGATTTTGTTTTGATAATCTGTAATCTCATGAGGTCGGCTTTGTTACTAAAATTAAGTGATGGAAAATAGAGCTAACAAGAAAATAGACCCAAAAAAAAGCATAACTTTATGCATAGTCGTCTCTTAAAACACTGTAAACTAAAAATCTGAAAGCATAAACTGACATAGATAAGGTTCTTTGGGCAATGAAAGTAGTTGAACAAACCAAACATCATAAAACATTCAAAACCTTCCAAGTCAAGTGAACTTTGATCTGTATAGATTTTCACTATAGGGATGCTCTTCACTTCTTTGCCTTGGACTTCTTCTTCGGAGCCCTACACAAGTATTATAACCAGTAATCACATTAGAATGTTCCGAAAGTTGGGAGGCTAAAATCAAAACTCCATTCACCACAGAGATTTTAATACTTACTCTGCAGGTTTTTCAATAGTAGCAGCAGCAGGAGTAGAAGCAGCAGCTGGTGGTGCAGCTACAGGCGCAACATCTCCTCCAGGACCCTACAACAACAACAAAACCGAAACGATATTTAAGAATCTGTAATCAAAGTCGAAGAATATTGAGAGGGTATCAAGGTAAAAGCTAACCTTAGCAAGACGCTCTTCTCTCCTAGCATGTTTCCTTTCACGGCTAGCCTTGTTCTTAGCCCTCTTAGCCTCGAACTGGTCAGACAAGGTCTTCTCTCTGGCCTTCTCAGTCTTGGACTTGTGGATGCTCTCCATCAAGACACGCTTGTTCTTGTAGACGTTACCCTTGACCTTCAGGTACATTTCATGGTACATGTGCCTGTCAATCTTCTTCGTCTCTCTGTACTTCTTCAAGAGACGCCTCAGAACACGAAGCCTACGCATCCACAGTACCTTTGTTGGCAACCTTGCTTCACGGGTACCCTTCCTCTTACCTTTTCAACCAAACACACAAAAGCAAAGGGAACAAGTCCATGTTATACAATGCTCTATGACTTCACAAATTCAGAAAGAAAAAAACGAGTGGCTTCTCAGTTTTCAAGTATACATACCATAACCAGAGTGACGACCCTTCCTCTTGGCAATGTTCAATTGGCGAGCTCGGGAACGTGAGTGGATCTTGGTTGGTTTCCTGATGATGAAACCATCCTTCACAAGCTTCCTGATGTTTTGGCCTATCAAAAAATATTCTCAGAAAATCAGAACAATCCTTAAAATGGAACATCATACTAATCCACTATCTATGAGAAGCAAGATCTACAATCAATTTCATCGTCCGCATAAACATAATGGTAACACAAATCTAAATCGATTCACAAGACAATTAAACATGACAAAATCACAGCTCAAAATCAAGTAGCAGCACTAGAAACGAGCTTAAAAATGATCAGATCGGAAACTAAACTAACACATTGATTCAACATAGCCCACGGATTGCAGTTTAAAGTAACTCAAATTTCTACCAGCGTAGCAGACAAACACAGGACAAAAATAAACCCTATGAAGAAACGAAAGACGAGGAATTGAAGAAAACGAAAACATACGGGAATTGGCCATGGAGATGTCGGAGCTTTCGTTCGGGTCGAGCCATACTTTGCCCTTCCCGCACTTCATCACCGATGCGGCGAGCCGCTTCTGGAGCTTAAGCGAAACCATTTTTGCTTCCTTCCTCTCTGGAAGATTGATGTGGCGGAGAACTGCTTATCGAAGAAGACGAAATAATTTATATATCTGATTTGCTCTAGGGTTTCTCTCCTCTTCGAGCTATCCATTGGGCTTTGGTTAAAAACAGGCTTTTTTGTAAGCCCAAAAGTTTAATAACAATAGGCTCATTTTGTGTTGACTTATTCTTTTTCGGGGGTAAGGTTTTTCTTTTTGATAAAGAGTTTATTAAGGTTTGTTTCCCGTAAAACCTCTTACTGATTACAACAAATTTTATAAATTTAGGTTGACAACCACGATTATATGATGAAAATGTTGTTTAGCTAACTTTTTCATAAAAATACGACAAATCAATAATATTATTTTTTATCATTTTACGTAATGATATTGGGTTTGTGTAAAATGATAATCGGAGAGGGAACATCAGCTTGAATCTAATAAATTAATAATTTTTCAAGTTGTGAAATGAACTTGAGGAACGGAGTTGGATAAGATCAAGCTTCTTGAAAAGGTGATTGGTGCGAAATCAAAAGAATAGGAACCAAATTAATCGGAGAGATTCTTGAGATGTAGACATCAATATCTCAGTTAGCATGTCGTTTTTATATGCTTGTTCCTAATATAATAAGAACATATATTCAAGTAACTCATGAATAACTTGTTTTAGAGAATTTATGTTTTTTTCAAGGATGTTTTTCTTAATTGTACTTGGACATTGTGTGTATGAACTTTTTTAGAAGGAAAGGAGTCGATTTTGTTTTTTAAGTTTCACAAGTAGTTGAAGCTAGATTTAAGAAATACAGAAAGCTTCAGTTGGTTGGTAATGCATATATATATATATTATTTTTATGTAAAACGGTTGTATTATATAATTCTAATATTTACGGACCAATTTTCTAACCAGTAGGAACCAGCCGAAAGGATCCATTTATTATACATAACCAAAAAACTCAAAAAAAAAACCGAAGATAAACAAAAAGTAGTGAAAAAACCACCAAAAGTAAAGTATTCCAGTGATTTATATCTTGTGGATAAAATCCGAAACTAACTCACAAACATGACAAATTGTTTGTGGAAACTTTTGATAATTTCTTATGATAATTTATTAATATTTTATACCAAAAAGCCTTATTTGGGACACATAGGGAAGCTAAGTTTTCCACCAAAGACAACATTGGCGTTGTCGCAAAGAGCTCCGACCAAACCTCCTGACGATGACTTTTGTCCTCCTGCCTTTCCTACGAAGTTCAAGTTCACGTCAACAACGTTGACTCCTTTGCACGGAAGCGATTTGCTGCACATGAGCTGGACAATATCTTTTGTGATTGTTGTTCCTCTTACGTTCTTGAACAACACATCGCTAATCGCAACCTTTGAATCCTACAAAAAAAATATAAGTTTTTGTAAGCTACGGACTGATCAAGAGATTAATATATATATGAGGTTAAGTTTAAGTTAGATATACTTACTCCGCCTCTTGAACCGTAGTTTTGATCAATGATGATTGGGTTCTTGACGTTTTCCATGATGATATCTTCAAAATGAATGTTTTCAGCCCTACTTGGACCCGAACCACCCCATGTCTTGATTCTAAGACCATTGTCGGTCTCTAACATGGTGCAGTTCTTAACGTGAACGCCGATAACGTCTTCCTCGTTCTTGTACTTACCAAGACTACCGACACTTAGGCCGTGTCCCGGACCGCAAATCACGCGCTCGACGGTTACATTGTTGCAGCCACGACCGACGGAGACGCAATCATCTCCTGTCGCGATCTTACTGTCGAGGATAGCGACGTTGTCAGCATTGCTTAGATGGATACCATCGGTGTTAGGACTTTCAGCTGGGGCGATAAGCTTAATGTTGTTGATCTTGACACCATCGGTTTTCACTAAGAACATGTGGAAGGCCTTTGCGTTGATCGAGGTAATGCCGGTAACCTCGAGATTTTTCATGTTCCTGAATTTGAGAGACTGCAATGTGTACGTATGGTGTCAATATTAATACGAAATATATATGTAACGTTAATGATACGCTAGATATATATTGTGTGTATACATCAGTTTTATAATTCTTACCGTTGGGGGAAGATTGCATTGAACCTTTTTGCCACAACCATCTGCTTTCCACACATCTTCTCCTTTGCCGTGGAATGTGCCGGTTCCGGTGAGGACGACGTTGTCGACACGCTCGAATAAGAACCATTCGGGGGTCGCGTATCCGCTTGTTGTAGCGATGATCGTGCCCTGAACTTCGACGGTCACGGGGCTCTTGCATGGACCGGCAAAAATAACTGGACCAGCCAAGAACTCTCCCTTAGGAACTAATAGCGTTGCAGGTGCAGGACTTTCACACACTTGGATCCATGTGTTCAAAAACGCCTGCATTCCATGTCCCCAAAAACGTTAGAAGAGACAGTTTCTTCTCTTTTTTTTGTATAAAATTTGTTTGTCACGTGTATTTAACTTTTAAAAAGACAAAATCTTACCTTGAAAGAATTGGTGGCACCATCTCCTACGGCACCAAACTTAGTGATATCAAAGACCGTAGGGTTGCCGGAATTAGCGGCTAGCCCACGGCGGCCGCCGAGATATTCACCATTGACCACGCAAGAACCAAAAACCAAGGCCATTAAGATTAATGAACCTACTACATTAGTGTTATTTGCCTTGGCGACCAACCTTCTTGCGTTAGCCATGGTGATGATATCTTTATTTTTTTTTGCTTTTTTTTGTTCTTTTAAAAAAGTGTAAACAAATTTAAAAGTGGTTTGCTCATTGGAGGATTCGTCATGTTTTTATAGTGTTAGTTCCATGCTATTTTTAAATCTTGATCTTCTTTTTTTAGAGTAATATGGTTTTGAGGGAAAATAGAGTGTGTGATCCCATCTTCTTTTGCGGATATTTGACCCCAAATGATAGGATGATAACGAATCTGATTTCACCATATGTAACCACCTTTCTTTGTCTAAGATTAAAATAAATAAACGAATCTACTGATTAAGCGGATGAGAATGATCAATATTACTCGGTAACTATAATAATCTAAAAATGCAAGCAACCAATTACTTACCACTTTTTTGTAAATGCTTTTTGCTTATTCCTCGAAGTTAATAAAATACAGTATGTTTATGTAGCAACAATGCAAGATTAATTAAATGTGTATTAAACATAAGACTCGCAGCAGAGACAATTTTAATGACAGGTTTAATCGACCCATCATCTCTTTCTATCCTATCAATTGCTCGTTTCCCTTGAAAAAAAAAATTATAAAGTAAATATTTCGTCTTTATAACAAAAAAATTTCGAAACTGGTGAAACAAATTGCACTCATCTCCGTCTGTAAGTAGTTATATATTTACCGTCTGAGTATAATACAGATATCCTTATCCCTAATTGTATATAGAATCTATATCGTTACGTTGTGGATATTAGTTGGGTTCGTATTGCATGTTGCTCTCACTCATCTAAAACAAAAGCCCACCTATGCGTCGTACATGTTTATGTAAATTCTTTGATTTCATAAGAATTTAAACAAATACTAAAATTTAATTTTGGAGAAATTAACCCCAAAATTCATTCGTTACAGCAGTAATAAGTCATACAAAAATAATAAATTCATAACTAATGAAATACAAACAAAAATAACCAGTAAGTCAACAATTCATGAGTTAGAACAAGGAAAAATCAATTTTCTCTGGTAAGATCCCGACCGCTACACAGGAGCCATTCCGAGCCATTGTTCCCACAATCTCTCTCTCTTTCGATCTCGAGGATTTCACCGACTAATCGGAGTTTCGATCAGAGACTGGATCCTGGAATCCACCGATAATCCTTTGTCGATTTTGGATCTGTAAGTGGCACTCTGCTCCATTTAACCTTGATCTTCTGTAAATCTACTTGGTTTTCCAATTGATCCCCTCGCGAAACTTGCAGATCCGTCGATCTCTCCCGGAGATTTTGTGGGTTAAGTTAGGGTTTTGATCGTTGTCGTTCTCAATTGATGGCTTCGACTTCCCAATTCCTGCTCGATGATCAAACGGACGAGGATTTCTTCGACAAACTTGTTGATGATGCCTATTCCCCCAGCGAAGCTCACGCTTCATCTTCTGCTCAACAGCTGAATTTTGACGGTGGAAGCGACTCCGATGACGCCAGAGCTTTTGCGAATCTCTCCGTCGTTGACGATTCTGTGGGTGATGAAAATGGAGCATTGAATGAAGCAGACGGGGGGAACGATGTTTCAAAGGAGGCTGCAAGTAGTTCTCTGGGAAAAGAAGAGCCTTCGTCTATTCCGCTGGGAAAAGAAAGTGATGCAGTCGACGGATCTGGGAGTCCCGGGGTTAAGGAGGTTGATTGGGGCTCTTTTTATGCGGATCATCTGTAAATGACGTTTGTGGGTTTGGTTCATTTCTGATTTCTTCACCGAGTTGGGGGATCTACAGAAGATTCACAGGGAAAGCCGCAAGTGGATGTGGCCAATGCAGGAAACTTAGTATCACATGATACGAAGAAGACGAGTGTTGCTTTAGATAATTCGGCAGGTTTCGAGCAACATCAGGGTGAAATGAATAGCGATTCTGCAAGTGGGCAGTATGTGGAAAACAGTCAATCTTGGGAAAATCTCTACCCTGGATGGAGATTGGATGCAAATACTGGCCATTGGTATCAAGTTGATGCAAACATTATTCCACAGGAGAGTTATGACAACCCAACGAGTAACTGGGAAAGCGTTGCTTCTACTGAGACCTCGGATGCTGCTTATCTGAGTCAGAGTACAACATCCGCAGTGGCTGGCACAGCTGAGAGTGTGTCCACCTGGAACCAGGTTTCACAGGTGAGCAATGGATATCCACAACACATGCTCTTTGACCCCCAGTATCCAGGGTGGTACTATGACACTACTGTTAGAGAATGGCGCTCCCTGGACAGCTACAACCACAACCAGGCTTCTCAAACAACTGCATCTGGTCAAGCTCATGGTCAGCAAGTTCAGAATGGTCATGCTAGCATGTATGATGCTAACGACAAAAGACAGACATTCAAAGTTCAAGAGTTTGGTATGCAGAGCGAACAAGGAAGCTGGGACCATTCTTACTATGCCAACAATCAGCAGGCTACAAACACATGGCAACCAGAAAATGGAGGTGGGGCTGAGGTGGCTGTAACTTCTGCCTCATTATCAAACTTCGGAGGAAACCGGCAAGTAAATAGTTTGTACAGTACAGAATCTGTGGCTGAACAGTTTAAACAAAATGAGGTTGGAGTTCAAGACTTCATTCCTCACCATATGAATGTGGCTAGTGTCACGCAGAATGGTCAACCGAGTTTCTCAAACGATTTCTATAATAGACAGAAATCTGTAGATGATGCTCAACAGTCATTTCAGAGCAATCAGCTTTTCTCCCCAAGTACAGGGAGATCACCTGATCGGCGTCCACCACATGCACTTGTCAGTTTCGGGTTTGGTGGGAAGCTCATTGTTATGAAGGATAGTGATGGCTCTGTGCAGAATTTGTCATTTGGTAGTCAGGTAAGTCCTGAAGTGTTATTTTCCATTAGTTATTTCTTACACCCTCAGAACTTTATGCAAACTATTGTAGGTGTATTATTAATTTTGTATGCCTATAATTGAACATATATGAAATAATAATATCAAAAAGTGAATTTTAATTATGGTTTTAACTGCTACTATTTTATCTATAGGGAACAAGGGGAAGCTCTATCTTTGTCTTAAACTTGGCAGAAGTTATTTCTGGGAATTCCTCTTATTCAAGTCTCGGAGAAGACTCTTCGGGTTACTTTCGTTGTCTGGATCAACACCCTCTTCCAGGTCCCTTGGTTGGAGGAAATGTTGGAAGCAAAGACTTACATAAGTGGCTTGATGAGAGAATTTTGAATTGCGAATCTTCCCATATGGACTTCGCAAGAGGGAAACTTCTAAAGATGCTTCTTTCTTTGCTCAAATTATCCTGTCAGTATTATGGGAAACTCCGGTCTCCTTTTGGAACTGATGCAGCGCAGAAGGTGAGGAGTTATGGAGATCTCTTGTCAGTACACCTCTTAAGGAAACATTTATGTGTTACAGTTTTCTCATCCTTGTATCTACACTGCAAACAGGAAACGGATTCTGCTGAAGCAGCTGTTGCTAAACTTTTTGCATTTGCCAAGAAAGATGGTTTCCAAAATGGTGGTTATGCTCCTTTTAGCCAATGCTTGCAGCAGTTACCACCTGAATCACAAATGCAAGTGAGTATTCAATTCTCTTTCGAGGGAAAATGTTATAGAATAGTGGATTATTTTATCTTTTCTAATTAACTCATTTGGAAGGATTTCCCAGGTAACTGCTTCAGAGGTGCAGAATCTTCTTGCTTCGGGTAGGAAAATGGAGGCTCTGCAGTGTGCTCAAGAAGGCCATTTATGGGGACCAGCGCTTATTATTGCGGCACAGCTTGGGGATCAGGTTCTTTTCCCTTGATTACTGTATATCTAGACATTCCGCTCCTGTGGTTGTTTGACTGACTTGGTCGATGTCTTAAATTGATGCAGTTCTATGCGGACACTGTGAAACAAATGGCCCTTCGCCAGCTGGTACCTGGGTCACCTCTGCGGACATTGTGCTTGCTAGTTGCAGGGCAACCAGCTGAAGTGTTCTCCAATGGCAGTACAAGCGAAATCAGTTTTCCTGGTTCCGGAAGGGTGCCTCAACACCAGCCCGAGGTAATACTGTAACCATCTATTACTTCTCCGTCAGACAGTGTGATAGATTAAAGAGTAAAGAAAAAGTTTAGAGACAGGCTGAGCAAATTTGTCGAGATTGTAATCTCCTTAGAAGGAAATGAAAATTCCTGATTGAGGAATACCAAGTAACTCATCAACAAGAGGCAACCCTCTTGTTCATCGAAGAATCCGATATAGCATACCACCTACTGCTCTTTAAGAGCTTATTGAAAATTACATAGGTAAACCCCAAAACTCCAAAATAGGGAAAAGCCAAGCATTACCCCCTTAGTTCTCTCATGATTAAGATACTAAATCAATCAATCAATCAATCTCTACCTTATCATTGCTAAAGATCGATTCATGATTTAAGGCAGGAACTGTATAGATGGTGAAAAAAAAACACTGCAAGACGAGATATTTTCTCGACCACAGGGAACTAGTTCACTCTTCCATTTCAAAGGACATAGTTTCTTTATGCTGCTCTCCCCGCGAAGTTTGCTAATATTGTCTCTTTGTTTCGTTGAATTACAGTTTGGAAGTAGTAGCATGCTTGACAATTGGGAAGAGAATTTGGGTATAATAACTGCTAATAGAACCGCAGATGATGAGCTTGTGATTACTCATCTTGGAGATTGCATGTGGAAAGAAAGGGGCGAGGTTAATTTTCTGCCTTCTTACATTGTTTTACTTTACGGAAGAATTTATATATCATGACATTTGAGCTGCTGTGATGAATCAGATAATTGCGGCGCATATTTGCTATTTAATCGCGGATAAGAACTTTGATCCATACTCAGATAGTGCCAGGCTCTGCCTTGTTGGAGCCGATCACTGGAAATATCCTAGAACTTATGCAAGTCCAGAGGCTATACAGGTGATTTGATCACTGTGGTTTTAGTTATCATCATACTAGATGGGAGGTTCTATTTTGAGCATATCATAAGTAGGCTAGCGTCCGAGTTCCTCAATGTGTCTATATTTTCCCTAATTGTTGGTTGGTCTTTGCATGGGCAGAGAACAGAGTTATATGAATACTCTAAGACGCTGGGAAACTCTCAGTATATCCTCCTACCGTTTCAGCCGTATAAAGTCATATATGCCCATTTGCTGGCTGAAGTTGGTAAACTTTCGGCTGCACAGAAGTAAGAAGATTCACTTTCTACCACTATTCCTTGGTTAGACTGTATATAGCTTGCTGATGGCCTTGTGCTGTTGCTGAATCAGGTACTGTCAAGCAGTATTAAAATGCCTCAAGACTGGCCGATCACCTGAAGTGGAAACGTGGAAACAGTTTGCTTTATCACTTGAGGAGAGAATCCGTTTCCACCAACAGGTAAAGCTCAGACAACTTCTAGGTCCAATAGAATTACATGAATTTGTTGATTTGACTGGTGGTTTACATCTGTTAGCTGTTTTTTCCTTTAAATGGAGGTGCAAAAAAATATTTTCATCTGCTAGTTTTCCTTCCTTTGATTGAAAATGTGAAAGAGAAACTCAAGCTCATGGACTTCCACAACGCTGGGAACAAGCTTTACTAAAAGATCCTACTTAACCGGACATTCCTATTTCAGGGTGGGTATACTGTAAATTTGGCCCCAACAAAACTAGTTGGAATGTTGAAGAACTTTATTGATAGTACGGCAAATCGTGTTGTTGGGACCATGCCGCCACCTGCACCACATTCAACAACAGGAAGCCTACAGCAGGTAAATGAGTATCATAATCAACAGCAGGGGGCCAGTAAGTTACCATATAGTCAATCGGCTAGTACAATGCAATCGTTGATGCCACCTGCTTCAAGGGAACCCACACATGACTGGAGTGGGAACGGGAGGTCGATGGCAGTGCATTCTAGAAGTGTCTCAGAACCAGATTTGGGTAGGACGCCGATACAGGTAAATATCACTAGAAAATCATATCTTTTTTATTTCCTTTATTTTTATTAGCATCAGATGTCTGGTTTGCGGCAGTGCTTGATTTATTCTGAAGGTAACTAAGTATTTGGCATGCAATTTCTGGCAAGCACACTCTTGGATAAATATATGGGTCTGAGCCCAGGACCGACCCTTAAGGGTTCAGAAAACCATTGATTAAATGGTTTACCTTTTTTCTGATAGGATCAGCCTGACTCCTCAAAAGACAAAGCGACTGATGGAGTGACACAGGTGAAACCAACTGGGAATGTGACAAGTTCGCGGTTTAGCCGCTTTGGTATTGGCATACTGAAGAACACCGTAGGGAGGGTCTTACAATCTCGGTCATCTAAAGAGGTGCACCTTGCTAAATGTTTAGTTGGTGATGTTGTCTTGTTGAACTTTTATTCTAATTTTGGGTCATGCGTTGGGTGAAGGCCAAACTGGGTGAGGAGAATCAATTCTACTATGACGATAAATTAAAGAGATGGGTGGAGAAAGGTGTAGAACCCCCTGCTGAGGAAGCTGCACTGGCTCCTCCTCCAACACTGGGCACGTTCCAAAACAAGTCATCGGGTTATGAAAACAAATCTGACATGAAGAACGAGATGTCTCCGTCTGGTAGGAGCTGGAGCACTGGCAGCCCAACTCCGTCGGAGAATTCTTCAGGAATGCCACCAATCTCACAGGGCTCAAATCAATTCTCAGCTCGTGGACGTATGGGTGTTCGTTCAAGGTAAACAGACCACTTGAGACTCTTTAGAAATTATAACATGCGTAGACCATCTGGATCTTTTATCATGAGCGCAATTGTAGTATTGTCACAATAGAATGGCATTCAGGAGTGAATATTAGCTAAAGATATGCACATTTCTCGATTGTAGTTTGCTGGTTATAATTTGTCACCATAGCGTAAGTGTGATAGAAGTAAGATAATCAGAAATGCTGCTGGCATCCACTGGAATCAAATGTTGCCTTGTTAGTGTTTTGACTGTAGATAATGTGTATGCTATGGAGTTGAATCATTTTACTCTCTTTTTGGGGCAGATACGTTGACACCTTTAATCAAGGCCGTGGAAACTCTCAGGCCATGTTTCAGTCACCTCAGGCACAATCTGCTAAACCACCAATCCCAACAAAAGCAAAATTCTTCATCCCAGCAGCACCTGCATCGTCTTTAAACGACCAGGTAACGGAATCGGCTGCTGCTGAAACCAGACAGGAGGAGTACTCGGGAGAAGAAGCTTCTGCAGGGGCTCCACCACCACCAAGCCAGTCTTCGTTCCAGTCCCCGACACCATCTCCGATGACAATGCAGAGATTTCCAAGTCTAGACAACATCAAAAGAAGTGGATCAGGAATAAGCCTCAACCTCAATGGTGATCTTCCTCCTTCAGGATCAAGAAGGACAGCTTCATGGAGTGGAAGCTTCAACAGCTCGTTTGCATCTCCAACGGGACCATCACCATTCAAACCAAGCCCACTTAACAGTAGTAGCAGCAGCTTAGGAGAGGAGCTACAAGAAGTGGAACTGTAAGTTGAAAAATCTGTAATATCAAAAAAAAGTTTTGCTCACTCTCACAGGTAGACCAATCAAATGTTAATCCATGAGTTACCCTATACAGAAAAGTCTCTGCTTCAGTCAATGATAGGGGCAATATGTTTGCAGCTTGTACTGTTTGTTTTTTCTTTCGTTATAAATTCATTAATTTTTCCTTTTTAACAGACTTCACGAGTACACAATAATAATTAATACACATTGATGTTTTGTTCATGAGTTTGTAGGGTTTCTAATGATCAAATGTTCTTCTCCACGTGTTAGTCTATTTGTTAAGCCAACTCCTTTTTAGCACCAAGTTCATAAACTACAAGCAAAGTAATCCATATAAACATGCCCCTTGCCATATTTATCATACAAGCTAACATAGGAACATGGAGGGGCTTTTACTAATACTTGGAAAACTTTTATCATCCGTACACTTCCGAGGCCCAAAATAATAGCTGGGCCGTATTGATAACTAGGCTTATGATTCATGCTCTCTCCACGGATTAGATTTAGCTCGTGTTCGTTTATCAATACTGTATGTACAATTTTTTTATTTGAGAGAATCTCGATCAAACAAACAAAATATTATAATGCAACTATGTATATATGTTCTGCAAATCTAGGCCAGAGTCGGTCGCTTCCGGACCGTTCTGCTATGAAGCTGTTTTCATAACATTTAATTTCAACGTCTCCAAACGTCTGACAAATAATTTAATTAACAAGTTTTTTATACGAAACACAATTAAGTAACTATACATAGCACAACGTCTCCAAACACAATGGCTTACTGTGAGCACATCGAGCCTCAGTTCAACGGTTAGATTTTCATTAACTATATGTGCCTGTTAACAGATCAAGAAAACGAGCGTAAGCGCAACACTACTAATAATGAAACCATTGATCAATCACCGAAATCGAATAGAATATTGTAAATCACAATTCGTACTATACATAGCAATAGCATGATATACGAAACGGATCATTATAAATATCAAAATTGTAAAAAAACATATGGCTCTGCTTCTGCTCTAACAGCTAAGCAACTCTGAATATGCAGACAAGAGTATCCGATGATTATTATATATCGTTCCACAAACAACCTACGCGTTTTTAAGACTCCCAAACCAGTTGACTTGGAACAATAATCGCATTCAATATTATTATTTATGTTACGCACCGATCAAACATTTGATTGATATAAAGTAATTTACGAAATGGACCTACCTCATCCTCATCCATCATCAACAGTTCAACACACTCTATATAGACCACTAAACCTAAAGTTTTTATTCACATAGAACCAAGCTTAAATTTCAAGTAAAAATGGCATCTCCATTGCTCTTTCTCATCGCCCTATCATTCTTTTTTCAGTCACTCCTCGTTGCTTCTCACAATCTATCAAACTCTTCAATTATCTGCAAAACGACGCCGGATCCAAAATACTGCAAAACCATTTTCCCACACAGCCAAGGCAATGTTCAACAGTACGGCCGCTTCTCACTCCGCAAATCGCTATCGCAATCGCGAAAATTCATTCGCACGGTCGACAGATACCTAAAACGCAACGCCCATTTATCTCCACCCGCCGTTACCAGAGCGCTCCAAGATTGCCGTTTCCTCGCCGGTTTAACCATGGATTATCTCTTGACGTCGTTCCAAACCGTTAACGACACGTCAGCCATGTCGTTTCCAAAAGCTGAGGATGTCCAAACGCTTCTTTCCGCGGCGCTAACTAACGAGCAGACGTGTCTCGAGGGAATTACCACCGCCGCTTCTTCTTCCGCCACGTGGACTGTACGAAACGGCGTCGCCTTGCCTCTCGTCAATGACACCAAGCTCTTCAGCGTCTCACTCGCTCTCTTCACCAAAGGATGGGTTCCCAAAAAGAAGAAACGGGCCGGGTTTGCTTGGGCCCACCCGAGATCCGGATCGTCTACTCACACAAAACCGTTCCGTTTGTTCCGTAACGGAGCTCTGCCGCTAAAAATGACCGAACGCACAAAAGCCGTTTACGAGTCTCTCACGAGGCGTAAACTCGCAAATGTCGACGGTAACAGTAACGGTGATGGAGACGATGGAAGCATGGTTCTAATAAGCGATATCATCACCGTGATGCAAGACGGAACTGGAGATTTCAACAATATCACGGCGGCTATTGCGGCGGCGCCGAATAACACCGACGGAAGCGCCGGTTTCTTCCTTATCTACGTGACGGCGGGAATCTACGAAGAATACGTCTCGATAGCTAAGAACAAAAGGTATTTGATGATGATCGGGGACGGAATTAATCAGACGGTTGTCACCGGGAACAGAAGCGTCGTCGACGGTTGGACCACTTTCAACTCCGCCACGTTTGGTACGTCACGCACCGATGTTATTAATGATGATGTCTTGAGATCTTAAAATTATTTCTCCAATAACATTTAATTTCTCAAGTACGTTGATAATGCACTTTAATTATTGGTCAAAAAAGTTAGATTGAAAGTGGTGAATACGAGACAAGATGCAGTTATACAGAATGTACTAATCATTTCAATTATTTATTTATTTACATAGCTGGACGATGCAGCCAGTATATAAATGATATATGGTGTTCAATGGATAATATTAATAATTGATCGTGCATGTGATTTATTTCAGCTGTGACAGCACCGAACTTCGTTGCGGTGAACATAACTTTCCGGAACACGGCCGGGCCGGAAAAGCACCAGGCGGTTGCGTTACGGAGCGGCGCAGATTTCTCGATCTTCTACAGTTGTAGTTTCGAGGCTTATCAAGATACGCTCTACACGCATTCTCTAAGACAGTTTTACAGAGAATGTGATGTCTATGGAACGGTCGATTTTATATTTGGAAATGCGGCTGTTGTGTTGCAAAACTGCAATTTATATCCGAGAAAACCGCTGCCGAATCAGTTCAACGCCATCACCGCACAAGGCCGGTCTGATCCGAACCAGAATACCGGTACGTCGATCCATAACTGTACGATTAGACCAGCGGATGATCTTGTTTCGAGTAACTATACGGTTAGAACGTATTTGGGTCGACCGTGGAAAGAGTATTCGCGGACGGTTTACATGCAATCGTACATTGATGGATTTGTTGAACCGGTTGGTTGGAGAGAGTGGAACGGCGATTTCGCATTGAGTACGCTGTACTACGCTGAGTATAACAATACCGGACCGGGTTCAAACACTACAAACCGTGTTACATGGCCCGGTTATCACGTGATTAATTCGACTGATGCAGCTAATTTCACAGTCACCGGTTTATTTATCGAAGATGAGTGGATTTGGAAGACCGGAGTGCCTTACACCAGCGGTTTAAATTCATAGCTTTTTTTTTCTTGAGGTTATTTGCCTATAGTTATTTTTTCTTTATTAATTAGTTGAAGAAAGAAACTGTATTCTTTTTGTTGGAACTGTAACAAGCCGAAAACCAAGCTCAACGCCAAAGAAATGTTAAGCATGGTAATGTAGCTATGTTTGTGCAAAAATAAATAAATGTTTTAACATCAAATTTCACTCAAAAACGATGTCGTTAAAATACTTTTTCACACATGACCACCAAGCCAGTCAAATCTCGACCGTTCGTTCCCTTCACGGTACCATCGCAAGGTCACCCAACCCAACTAATCCTCTCATCGTCCTCTACTTATAAACCCAGACACATCAACTTCTAAAGGTATTCCAGTACACGACTTACAATTAACAAGATACAAAACAATGTCTATTTTGATCCTCTCTCTACTTCTTTTTGCCACTTCTTTCTATGTTTCCGCCCAAAATCTAACTGCTTACGAGGTTCTCCAAAAGAACAGGTTACCACGAGGAATACTACCTGAAGGCATCGTCGACTACGACCTAAACCCAAAAACCGGCTTTTTCAAAGTCTATTTCAACAACACGTGTCAGTTCCCCGTGGACGCATTCAAGGTCAAGTACGAACCCACAGTGTCCGGCTTCATAAGAAACGGACGGGTGACGAGACTGATAGGCGTAAGCGTCAAAGTTGTTTACGTTTGGCTCAACATCGGCGAGGTGTCTCGTGAGGGCGACGAACTCGAATTTTACGTTGGTGCTGCTTCGGAGGAATTCCCGGTGCATCGTTTCGAGAATAGCCCACAGTGTGGTTGTGGGTTTTACTGTCGTGAGCTTATCTATTCCTCTTGAAACCCATAGGCCTAGCTCCATATTGTTATGGAATCAATAAAATGCACACTTTTTCTATTAACTGAATAAATTGTAGTATTTTAGTATTCACACTAAAAAACTTTTTTATTAATAACATAATGTGATTACGAGAAGTTCGAATGATATTTTGATCAAAACATTAAAAATCTAAATATCGTTTGGTTACGTTTTCGGTCTACTTAAAGAAAAAAAATTCATTTACAACTCACTCGACTAATTTGCATGTGAAATCCAGAAAATCCAACAGTACGATTTGTAATGTAGTTAATTAATTTTGATGGTTAACAAGCTAACAAGAAGTCAACTAACTAAGATTTTATAATGATGAAATGAAATTGTTTTGTTAATAAAGTTGGTCATTTTACTAACAAAATGACAAAAAGGACTCTGTTATTACTCCGAAAAGACACGTCATAATGTGCTTACCGGTCTCTGATGACACGTGTCCATTGTTTGGTGAGAAAGCCGTCGTTGATTGGTCTACAGATATTTGTCAGACGGGCCAGCTTTTAAAGACTCTCACCGAACAGTTTTAACTCTCTCTCCGAATGCGACGGACGGAAAACGAAATCCAAACGGCGATAAACATAAAACCCAATTTACTCGCTCCGATTCCTCTAGAGATTCAGTTTGGGTTTCGTCTGATGGAAAGAATCATGTCTCTGCTTCCAATTTCAACCGCCTTGTTTCTCTTCCTCTTCTGCGTTGCTCCGCCGATCATCACCGCCGCTACGGATGACGATTTGCCGACGGCGTACTCTGTTCTCCAGAGCTACAATTTCCCCGTCGGGATTCTCCCTAAAGGAGTCCTATCGTATGATTTAGATGAATCCACAGGGAGATTCCACGCGTATTTCGACAAGTCGTGTAAGTTCTCTCTCCAAGGCTCTTACCAATTGGAGTACAAATCGACGATCTCCGGCTACATATCGAAGAACAAGCTCACGAAGCTTACCGGCGTGAAGGTGAAAGTTCTCTTCTTGTGGCTCAACATCGTGGAGGTCATCAGGAACGGAGACGAGCTCGAGTTCTCCGTCGGGATCACATCGGCGAACTTCGCGATCGGTGAGTTTTACGAGTCGCCGCAGTGTGGGTGCGGGTTTGATTGCAAGGGATCGAAATCGAAAACGGAGAATTTTGGAAGAAACCCTTTTGTTTCTTCGGTTTGAAGGTACTTCACTTGTTGTTATTTATGCGAGTGAGGGCACTTTCTTACAGGATTTGTACTTTTGGGATGCTTTTGTTCTTTAGACAACCATTTGATAATATTAATAAGTTCCGTGGTTCTTTGTTTCAACCATTGCTTTGTTTTGTCTGTTCTTACTTCTTAGGATCGTTCTAGTACTCAACCGATGTTTTGTACTTACGATCAATAAAAACGGTGGAATAAAAAGCTATTCTTATGTCTAATGAAAAAAAATTGAGGATTTTGATCTTCATTTTTGGTTGATCAATGGCCTCTTGATCTGTGTTGGTTTTGTGACTCAGATTTATGATCTCTTGATTTAATTGAGAATTTGAGTAATGGCTCAAGATTCTATACCATTGACAAGATCACATCTTCTTCATCAGATAGTTCGATATATGGATAATATCCTCCAATTTAAGTTACCAGGAATCACACTTGAACATGAACACGAGGTTGAATGTAGTGTTGAACCTACAGTGACTGGAAATTCTTGCGTAAACTCAAGAGATTTTGGTTGTTGTAAATAGTAATTTTGGAAATGAAGAAGTAGCTGAGCAAGTCGTTCAAATGAAATAGTCAATTGTATAAAACCCCAAATAAATTAGATGGCCGACTTATTTATTTTGGGAATGTATTCTCCCCCACGTATTGTTTGATTCTACCGAACTCGGAATTTGGCTTCATGTATTTTCCCCGTATTAAAAAAAAAAAAAAGATCTGCGGATTGTGATGCCAAAAAATAAACACACGATATTTTGTTAGCCTAACAAAATCCATTTTAGTTGCGAATGTGAGGTTACAAACTGTCCGTATGTCGTTTTTTGCAAATTGGCCATTGAGACTTAGTATGAGCCATTTCCTCTCTCAACCATTAACACGGAAGTTATGTGGTCTTCTTCATACTCAAAAGTAGATTTCTGAGGCTCACAAGTTAGAAGCTTCTCGTCTTCTTGTTTTTCTATTTAAATTTGTTTAAACTTTACTTATTTCTATGATCAACAGTTCCCCTACTCAACATGGCTCTGCCACCTTGAATCTTTTATGGCTTTGATTTATTAGTGTTGAGAACATATCTAAAGATGACAATTTTGATTTTCTAAGTATTTTTAATTTCGTTTTTATTTTCTAAGCGATTGTTCAATGTTCACACATAACATTACGTCAAAATAATATTTATAGTTGCGAATCTTGCGACAAAAGAAAAAGGGAAAAACAGAATAGTTGTGGGTAGTTAAATCTTGGGCTTCAAGAATACGTACTGACCATATTATTAGCAATCTTATGAAAACCAAACTGACCATATCATCGGCTGCAAGGAGTGAGGAGACTAAAGACCAATTCTTTCTTTAGCTGTTGTTGACATCAAAGTTTAACTAATATATTAACTAAATAGATATGCATAGAGTACTAGTAAGAATCGATCTAATACGTTTGTGATCTTGAAGGTTTTCTTCTTACCAATCACAAGATTCTAGAGAGTTGCTCTTAATTCCGATTTTTCTGCTATTTATACTAACTACTACAAAAATGATCACATTCACTGGTTTTTCAGCCTTATTAGTTTTAACTTCTGCTTAATAATATTAGTTTTATCTTGATTAGCACCAATTGGAATATCTGTTTGTTCATGACTCATGATAAAACTTTATAGATGAGACGTTTTGAAACTTATTAGGATAGATCCAACGATTGTTACAAAATTTTGCAACAGAATAAGATTGGGTTTCACCACAAGGATTATCACCCGTTTTCCTAATTCAAAACATAGCAATAGCACTAAACAACGTTAACATAATAAATTATTAAGCGTTTTTTTAATAAAAATTATTGCTTGTTGTTCAAGAGAACAGCTCGTAGCTCCGCCGGATCAATCTCCTCAGAAACGGTCTCCGGTCTGTAGTAACCAGTCTTAGGATCTGGGACCCACGGCGCCTTCTCGGTTGACTCTTGCCCGACTTTCTTCTTCATCACCGCTGCAGAAGCGGTTTCAGCGCTCGAAACGCTCCCCTGCGACGCCGTATTGGCTGCGATGGCAAACCCTCGTCTGAAACGAACGCAATAACGTCACAATGACGAGAAAACAGAGCTATATACGTTTTGCACAGATGATGAAGTATTTTTTTTACCTGAAGATGGCGTTGGAGAGCTCTTCCTTGACGAAGACGGAGAGGATCTTAGCGTGACAGAGAGAACGAGCCATTATGGTTTTGGGGTTTGAAAGAAAATAGAGCACACGAGAGGTTTTTGTTCGTGCAACGAGATCGAAGAAACTTGGTATCGTTCTCTCTCTCTCTCGATATAAGTTTTCAGATTGCTTTGTGGGATGAGAAGGAAGAAAAGGAGAGGGAGGGTTTATATAGAGGAAGGAGGAGAGATCAGAGAAATAGCTGCGTCAATTTAGGATTTTCACCCTTTTGTTTTTTTTTTCTGTTTCTTTTCATCTAACTGCGTCTTATTAGGGTTTTAAAACTGAAAGTAACATTAGTTGTAAGTTAACTTGGAATGTTGGACTGTAATGTAATTTGTTTTAACGTCGTTTTGTATTTTTTTTTTGTTAAGGATGCTTAAAAAAGAGTGGTTTTAGGAATTTGTTAAAATACTGTATACCGAAAACTAAATATTTTAAATAACCAAATGACGTCATTTCAAACAATTTGGAAATATATCCTTAAGGTATTATTCATTTTAAATAACCAAGAATTTGTAACTCTGTTTTCGGGAGATGACAAAAAGAAAAAAATTCTGAGTGTCATAAAATCAACAATTTGCCGAACAAGCCCTGGCAACTAAAATTTAGAAAGTTCAGGACAGTTTTGTAAATATCAAAAGCTATTTGACGGTTTTGTAAATAGTAATAAATACCAAAAGAATGACAGTTTTGTAAATATAAAAAGTTCTGATCCAGTTCTGTAAAAATACCAAAATATCGGGTAATTTGTAAACATAGAAAGTTATAAATATGCAGGGTTATATAAATACGAGAACTGAAGAGACTAATTTGTAAATGCCAGACGATTTGGGGAACATCAATAAATAACAAAAGGTCCTGGGGCTTGTATGTAAATATATTACTCGACTACCCCGAATTGTTTTGTCAAGGCGCACGTGACGATCTATCTGCAATAGCTTCGTGTCCCATCGTCAACTCCAAAAACCCTAATTCCCAAATTTCGGAGATTCCCTCACCCACCACCACTCAAGCGGATATCTGAAATCGACGAACAGGTTAACTATCGCTTCTCTGCTTTCTGGGTTCTTCGGGTTATTTTGAATCTGAACCTTGGAGTTTGTGTGTTTTGGAATTGAAAAAGGAAGAATGAGCAGCCGGTCGAGTAGAACAGTGTACGTTGGAAACCTTCCTGGCGATATCCGCGAGAGAGAGGTTGAAGATTTGTTCAGTAAGGTATATCACTCATTTCTACGTTTTGTCTTTGCTACTTGTAAATGTGACACTTCTTTGTCTCAAGCAATTTATCAACACATTTCTTCTTCTTCTTCTTCCTTTTGTTGCAGTATGGACCTGTGGTTCAAATCGATCTGAAGGTCCCGCCAAGGCCTCCTGGCTACGCATTCGTTGAGGTCAGCTTACCATTACCAACCAATTCCCCCAACTATAAGCTCTTTTATTCTCTAGGCATTGCTTCCATCGACTATAATAATTGATCTAGTTTGTTTCTGTATTTCTGTTTAGTTCGATGATGCTCGTGATGCTGAAGATGCAATTCACGGTCGGGATGGTTATGACTTTGATGGCCATCGCTTAAGGGTTTGTTATATAATCAGACTTCATAAATTTTAAATTAAGCAACTTCGGGTTGGTTTTCAATCTATGCTGGCGTATTTAGGTTGAATTAGCGCATGGTGGGAGACGTTCAACAGATGATACTCGGGGTAGTTTCAATGGTGGCGGCCGTGGTGGTGGTGGTCGTGGGGGTGATGGTCGTGGTGGTGGCGGTGGCGGAGGTGATGGTGGTAGTCGTGGACGCGGGCCGTCTAGGAGATCCGAGTTTCGTGGTATGTAACCATTTATAGTAACATCCCTCTGTTCAAATTTGTAGGAACAATCTCTGGTTTGAATTTTACTTTTCTTTTTCCGAGCGCAGTTCTGGTGACAGGCTTGCCTTCATCTGCTTCTTGGCAAGATCTCAAGGTCGGTTCATAACTCATTCGTTTTCCTTGCTAATATTATATAGGTATCAAATGAATGTTTTTTGAAGCCCAGCAAGCATGAATATGAGTTTTACTGTAGGATCACATGCGTAAAGGAGGAGACGTATGTTTCTCACAAGTGTACCGTGACGGTAGAGGTAAGTCTCCATATATTACTACAGATACTTGTCTTGTCTTAGCTTGCTTGCAATCAAGTTGAAAGATTTAAATCTTGGACCTTCTTATCTGTAGGTACAACTGGAGTTGTGGATTACACCTGCTATGAGGACATGAAGTATGCGGTGAGATTTTTCCCCCTGTTTCTGTCCTGTGATCGAGAGTTTGTTATGCTCATCCTTAATTTACTCTTCATTTTTGCCAGGTGAAGAAGCTTGATGACACTGAGTTTCGCAACGCGTTTTCTCATGGATATGTTCGGGTTAGTTGAAGCTGAGTTGTCTTGTCTGTGAGTTGTATCCTTTTCGTTGCTGCGTTTAACTTAATTCTCCTCACATCTCTTCTGTCCAGGTTAGAGAATATGATTCAAGGAAGGATTCTAGGAGCCCTAGCCGGGGAAGATCCCACTCTAGGAGTCGTAGCCGCAGCCGTGGGAGGAGCCTGAGCCGAAGCAGGAGTAGAAGCAGGAGTCCAAAGGCCAAGTCCTCGCGTAGGTCGCCTGGAAAATCTACATCAAGGTCTCCTGGCTCTCGCTCCAAGTCAAGGTCGCTGTCTCCAAGAAGGTAACTGTTGTATTCTTTTTGAAGATTCATTAGATAACACTTCTTAAGTCAGTTGATTTTTTGTTCTGTGAACTTCATGGGAATCCGATTAGAAACAAAGTTCTTGTTAATAAGAAGAAAATGATTCTATCTCGTTTTTGGTACCCACTCCTGGGAGATTAGATTAGCCTTGCGTCTTGTTGTAGTTGCATTTTCTGTCTGCTCTTTGATTTCCTGAAAAGAGAATCTTTTGTTTCATAGATTTCATATGGATATACATTCAATGGACTAGAAAATGGGAATAAATATCTGGATGGAATTTCTTGGTTGTTTCGACTCAGAGGTATGGGAAAACTTTGGAATCGAGACTATGTTTTTCTTGGCTTTCTTATGATAGCATTTACTGATTTCTGTTGCTGCCAGATGGATAACACTGGGGACATTGGATCGCAATATTATATCTGGATTTCAGAAAGAAAAAAAAAACTAAATTGGCCCCATGTATGTTTGACAATATGGTCGCTGGATATCACTTTATTTTTTAAGTGTCACCTGCACTTCCATAAGCCATCTGGACTCTTGATTCTGGTGGGACGTTGATGACACATTGTTTCAATTTTTTTGTTGGTCCCTTTGTATCAATGGTAGTAGTGCAGTTACTTCGTTCCTAGTAACATCTTGATAAAGGATGTTGATGAACGGTATTAAATAGATGTTTTGTTGGACTTTTGCAGGTCTCGTTCAAGATCAAGATCTCCTCTACCTCCTGTGAGTAACATTCTTCAACTTTGACCCATCTTTTGGTATTATAAGCTTCATGTTCATCATCTTAAGGGTGTTTTGTGTATCCGCAGCTTCAGAAGGAAGGAAGCAAGAGCCCGAGCAAACCGGCAAGCCCAGCCAAGAGCCCTATCCGCAGCAGGAGCAGGAGTCCAATACCGTATGTATATATATACTTTAACTTTGCAGAGAACAGTCTAGTTAGTTGTAAATCTGAACACTTGTCCTTTTTTTTTTTGCAGGTAAAATGTGAGATCCCCAGATGAGCTAAAAAAGAGAGAAAGAGAAGCGTCACCTTTGGCTTCATAATTCTCTTTTCTTTTTTCTTTAAAGTTGATCATGTCTTGAGAAACTTATTCGTGATTGAGGAAGATGAGACAATGACTGTATTATGGTAATTTAGACTAATGATCATGGTTTTGTTACTTTTATAACACTCTTGCCGTTTATTCGTGTTCAGGATCTTTTCTTTATTCTGACGATGTTTTCACTATTGAAGATTGTTTTTATTTCTGGAATCCTAAAATTTTTGATGGTTCAAAACGATAAATGAAGAAGATTCCAAAGTCTGAAGCAATTGCTGTCTCTACTATGCTTTCAATAGGTCCGTTCTGGTTCTGAATCACAACCAAGAAAAACGCACCGTTTTTGTTCGCTTTGAGAGAGTCGTCGCATGCCACACATCTTAGTTTGGGGAGTGGGCCCTACAAACAAAAGAAGAGAAACAAGAGGTCCTTACTCGAAAGCCACATGTGTCTTATTTCTTCATCCGTTGCTGCAGCTCTTCGTGTTTCAATCAAACTTTTCCTCTGCACTGAAAATACAGTAATAAATAAATAAAATCACATTGCTTGTACTTGCTTGCTAGAGTTTGTTTGTGGTGCTTTAAATCATCTACCTTCTCTCTGTAAAGAGATGAAGTCGTTGAACACACTCTTTCTTTTGGTGGGTCTCGCTTTTACGGCGGTGTCGTCCTTGTCCCTCGAGGCGTACAGCAGAAATGACTTCCCTACAGCTCCAGGCTTCGTCTTCGGCTCTGGCACATCAGCTTATCAGGTTATTCTTCAACCCTTCATGTTGTCATGATATGTAATGTAAGAGACTAGCAGATCATAAAACAATTTTGTCCATGATTTGATTATACAAACAGGTGGAAGGAGCTGCTGACGAAGACGGGAGAAGTCCAAGCATTTGGGATGTTTTTACTCATTCAGATGCAGGTTTTGTCTGATTTCCTATTTATTACCACATCTTCATCTGCTTTAGGAATGATATTCTTCTTCAGTAAGCTGGATTGTTCATTAATGCAGGACACTCTGGAGGAGCAACTGGAGATGTTGCATGTGACCAATATCACAAGTACAAGGTTCTATTCATTACACAACATCTGTCCATCTCGTGTGACACGTGGATATTTGAAATTGACATCAATTGCCTCGTGTTTGTCTGCAGGAAGATGTGAAGCTCATGGCAGACGTTGGATTGGAGGCTTACAGATTTTCCATCTCCTGGTCAAGGCTTTTACCAAGTATATATGCTTTATCTATATATTGAGAACTAATCCAATCCAATCCAAGCATTTCTCAATGGAATATGAAAGCTTGCCTGATCCATTTTGCATTTGTGTCAGGTGGAAGGAAACCAGTTAATCCAAAGGGACTACAATACTACAACAACCTTATTGATGAATTGGTCACTCATGGTTCAATTTGTACCTCTGTTTATCAGCTATACAAAGACTTATATAAAGAAATGATGTACCTTTTAATTAATTGTGTTTCTTTGTCTAAGCAGGAATCCAGCCACACGCTACGTTGCACCACTTTGATCTTCCACATGCCCTAGAAGATGAGTATGGAGGTTGGCTCAGCCCACAGAGCGTGTATGCATTGATTGATTATTCTTCTTTTTGTCATCTTTCTCTTTTCTTGTATCAAAACTGATTCCTCATCTATCTGCTCTGCTTTTCATTAATGACTACTTTAGGAGAGACTTCACAGCCTATGCAGATACTTGCTTCAAGGAGTTTGGAGACAGAGTGTCACACTGGACAACAATAAACGAGGCCAATGTGTTTGCACTTGGAGGGTATGACGAAGGAATATCACCGCCTGGTCGATGCTCTCCTCCTTCTGCAGTCAATTGCTCCAAAGGAAATTCTTCCACTGAGCCTTACATTGCCGTACACAATATGCTGCTCGCACACGCCTCTGCCACTAACTTATACAAGAAACATTACAAGGTGACTCTTCTTCTCTTCTTTCTTCCATATGCATTTTCTTTTATAGCTCAGACAGTAACTCCTGATCTTTCATTATACACAGCACAAGCAACATGGATCAGTAGGCATTAGTGTATACACATACGGTGCTTTCCCATTAACCAACTCTGCAGAGGATAAACAGGCAGAATCTAGACTGAATGACTTCTTCATCGGTTGGTAAGTCTTTAAAGAAACTCAAATGTTGAAGCATGTTTTGATAGCTAATTCTTTTACTTAATTCGGTGTTTTTTGTTGTTGTAAGGATATTACATCCGCTGGTGTATGGAGATTATCCAGAGACGATGAAGAGTTTTGTTGGGTCAAGATTGCCAGCTTTCACAGAGGAGGAGTCAGAGCAAGTTAAGGGCGCAATAGATTTCATAGGAGTGATCAACTACATGGCACTTTACGTCAAGGATAACTCTTCTTCTCCGAAACCAAACCTCCAAGATTTCAACACTGACATGGCCGTGGAACTCACCGGTTAGTTTAACATGTATAATATTAAAGGCAAGGTAAAGATTAAAGCTCACTGATTGCTCCAATTTGCCTTGCAGTCGTTGGAAACACATCCTTCAAGAATCAGGTTTGTCTGATCACTTAAAACAGAGAGAGACTAATTCATGTCTGATGATTTGCTTCTTTCAGTATGCAGACACACCATGGAGTCTGCAACAAGTACTCTTGTATATCAAAGAAGCTTACCGCAACCTTCCCATCTACGTCGCAGAGAATGGTCTCTCTCTCTTTTTAGTTCTCAAGTGTCTGAAACTCTGTTGATCTGGTGAATGATTCTTCATTACAGGTCAGATGACTCCTCGAATCTCATCACCACTTGAGGACACAACGAGAGTTGAATATCTGAGATCACACATAGAAGCAGTGCTTCATTCACTCAGGTAAAACACCGTAATCACTAGTGGAACTTCGATCCATTGAATGTGTCAGATTCTAAGGTTCTTAAGATCTCAAATTGAGCAGGAAAGGAGCGAACGTAAAAGGATATTTTCAGTGGTCGCTGATGGATTTGTTTGAGATATTTGGTGGGTACGAGATGAGCTATGGATTATATTACGTGGACTTCAAGGATCCTTTTCTTACGAGATACCCTAAACTCTCTGCTCATTGGTACTCTTCTTTCCTCAACGGAACACTTCACCATCGATCGTATGCTTCATCTTCAGCTCTCTGATCATCTGGTTTTCAACCATGTATGTGTTTCTTTAATTTCAGTCTTTTCAGTTAATGTTGTTAACAAGCACTGTATATTCAAATAATTGGTAGGCACTTGACATTTGTCTTGCGCCTGAAGTAACATTATGTATTGGGATTAATTGATACTTTTAAATATTGTTTTTCCGATTTATGTTTTATTCCTTAATCTTTCGGATTAGCATTGGAGCTGGATTTAGCGTGTTTGACCTATTTAGAATATTGCGCAGGGAATAAGAAATTACACGTTCGCATAAGAGACAAAACTTATCACCTATCATTCCTAGGTGTCTTTTGCATTTCATTCACGCAAGACACGATGGATGCTTTCTCGTCGCATTTTAAATTCATCACATTACTTATTTGTTTATTACACATTGTTCATTGTTTTGTTTTATTTATAAATTATTTTATGCTAAGTTACGAATATCTTTGACTAACTTTTTTCCTTTTGAAAATTAAATTCAATTTCGGGGCCTCGAAATGTTCACAGCCAGTCGAATTGAATAAAACAAAGAGCACTCAGAGCAGTAAATTAGTGGTCTGCCGCTTTCCAAGAACCTTTTGTCGATACTTTGGAACTTTTTCGTACGAGAAAAATTATGATACTCTTTCAACCATTAGAATTTGACCATTAAAAAATTCTTTAAGCTAGCTTAGGCACAAGAACAAATAGTAAGGTATCGGGGTAGAAACGTTCAAACGAAGAAGATAAGCCAGAATGAAGTATCATGATATTATGTCTTCACATTACCTCATTGTGTGATCATGTAGTAAGAACTAGTATGACTATAAAAAAAAAAAAAAAAAATAAAAAAAAAAAAAAAAAAAAAAAAAACTAGTATGACTATGATGCATTATGCACATAACTTTCTATTAAACATCTAAATTGCAAGGGTTTAGTAAAACACAAATAAATTAAAGAAGAAAAGGTACAAAGTGTGAAGTTAGTTTTTCGTTGCCACCTGAGCATCTTCTTTGAAACTTTTAAAAAGCTAGAGACTAAAACGCATATCCCTGCAAAAAAAAAACTGTAAGATAAATAAGAATCATATTCTTTGAGGGAAAAAAGGAAGAGTTAGTGAAAAATGCGAATGATTAAAAGTCGTAAATAAAAAGGACAAAAATGAACTAGAGAATAAAAAGACTGGTGGTGATTAGTGAGGGACTAGAGCAAAAGCAAAACCATAATACAAGGGGGACAAAAAGTTTAAAGAAACAAAATGCGCGGCTTGAAAATAATAAAGCAAGATTTAGTGGCAAAATCCAAATCGGTCTAAATGTCCAATAAATCGTAATATTATGATTATCATCAATACTTTTTTAATTAGACCCTACCGATAAGAAACAAATCCAAAGCGTAAACCCTGTGTCTGTGGTGGCATCTCTATCCAAATCACACAGTTGATACTTACAAGTTCATAATGTACAATCATCATGGATATGTTTTGTGTCAACTTCTTGTATCATATCATTAAACTCCACTGATTTGTTGCATCTATATACAAATAATATTAATTTTTTGGGTTTTTAAACTAAGTAACCAATACTAAAAACCACCCATTTTAGATCTTCAACATATCATATAGATCTTTTTTTTTTTTTTTTTTTTTTTAATTGAAAGCATATAGATCTTCAACATATTACTGTTTCTTATAGTTTTATATCCGTTGTTCGACATTTGCAATCATAAATTCGTCACCATTACTACCACCAATCGGATACTCTAAACTCAGAATCCAGACATTCGCATCCACTTGGCATTAAGAAATAGATCGAGATTCGAGAGTAATGTTTATATACAAGAAAATGTGGTCATAAATGAAATGTATATAGTATCATTAATTAATCGTAACGACTATGTCAATTACCTAAAACAGATTAAAGAAGTAATTGAAATCGAAATCGACCAATAGTCAAGCCTTTTCCTATAATAAATATTATTACCATAACTCTCCATACACACAAATATCACCTTTTAAACCAGATATGTTCCCAAAAAAAACGTTTTGACTTTTGTTCTTTTCTTCACAAGTTGTTTTCCGCCGACCTCACCACCTTCTTCTCCTTCCTCTGTTCATAAATACGTCTCTGTTCTCTTTTATTTGTTTCATAATAAAGCCATCACGAGACGCAACAGAGAGAGAGAGAGAGAGGGAGAGAAGAGAAGAGAGAAAAGAAGAAAAGGAAACTCATCGAGATTGTAGTTTTATTGATCGAATCCTGTTTGATCAAGGGCTGAATTTGTTGATGGTCATCTAAAATTTACAAAAAAATAAAAATTTAACGCATTTCCGTTGAGAAATCTGTGGAAATGAAGTTCTGTAAGAAGTATGAGGAGTACATGCAAGGACAGAAGGAGAAGAAGAATCTACCTGGTGTTGGCTTTAAGAAACTCAAGAAGATTCTCAAAAAATGCAGACGAGATCATGTCTCTTCTCGGATCGCTTTAAACGAAGCAATCAGTCAACAACACGGAAACAATTGTCCTCGTGAATGCACAGGTACGGTTCGACATAAATCCCCTGAACACATCTCTTTCTTTCTCCTTTTGAGTTTGAGAATCAGTCCTGTGAATATGCAGTTTGTGATGGAACTTTCTTCCCGGAGCTTCTGAGGGAAATGGAGGATGTTGTAGGATGGTTTAACGAGAATGCTCAGAAGCTTCTGGAGTTGCATTTAGCTTCTGGTTTCAAAAAGTGTTTTGCTTGGTTCAAAGGCAATAATCGGAAAAAGGACCATCTTGGTCTCATCCAAGAAGGCAAAGACTTGGTTAGCTACGCTCTCATCAATGCCGTCGCCATTAGAAAAATCCTCAAGAAATACGACAAGGTTGGTTTTAATCATCTTAATATCTAATTAAGATCCAAAAGCGGCTGATGAAACTTCTTATGTATTTGCATCTTTGTTCTGCAGATTCATGAGTCTAGTCAAGGACAAGCGTTTAAGACACAAGTCCAGAAAATGAGAATCGAAATCCTTCAATCACCATGGCTCTGCGAGCTTATGGCCTTTCACATCAATCTGAAAGAATCTCAGAAAGATTCAGGAGCTGTTTTGGCTTCTCCTGCATTGTTTGATGGTTGCTCTTTGATGTTTGATGATGGGAAGCCTTTACTTTCCTGCGATCTCTCTGATTCGGTTAAAGTTGACATCGACTTGACTTGTTCAATATGCCTGGTAAGCAACTAAAAATGACTTGAAAGAATCTCAATGCCTAAAAAACTGTTAGTTGACTTTAGTAGTAATCTCAAACATATAAGAACGTATCAGCCTATAAGAATAAAGTCTTAGCTTTTGTTGTGTCAAAGTGCTATTCCACTCTCCTCTTGTAAATCCAGTTTCAAAGAACAAGTCTTTATTAGTCTCTTTATCTGGTTGAAAGAATCTTGTGCTAACAAAATGAATCTTTTTTTTAAATGAAATGAGTTATGAATAAAGTCTTGAAACTTACGGGTTACAACTGATGGTGAAAAACAGGACACGGTGTTTGATCCGATAGCTCTAACCTGCGGTCACATATATTGCTACATGTGTGCTTGCGCTGCTGCATCAGTAAGTGTAGTCGATGGCTTGAAAACAGCAGACCCGTCTGAGAAATGCCCTCTTTGCCGTGAGGTTAGAGACCCGTTCTTCACTTTAGTAATCTCCTAATCTTCCATGTTTCATGCTTTTATTAATCCTCTGTTTTTGGCCAATTCGATATCAGGTTGGTGTTTATAAAGGTGCGGTTCACTTGGATGAGCTTAGTATCTTACTTAGACGAAGGTAAATGCATATACATACAGCTAATCTCCTTTTGAGTTTGCGAAGGTATTCATTTTCAATAAACATGTTTTGAGACGTCTTTTGCAAATGTATTTGCAGCTGCAGAGAGTATTGGGAAGAAAGGCGCAAAACAGAGAGAGCAGAGAGGTTGCAGCAAGCAAAGGATTATTGGGATAATCAATGCCGCAGCTTCACTGGAATATAAACAACTTGATTTGTGACTCTCATGTGAGAAATTTTATCCTTTGAAGATTCTTGGTTTTGATAATAAGCTACTAATATGATGTTTTTTAGAAACTAAAACTTGATTATGATTTCCTTTCTTTCCCTCTGTGAGTGTGTTTGGGTTACGCAGAGAGTGACGATTTGTTTGTGACAAGTGAACTCTATAATCTTATTTTTCTATGGTAATTTAAGTTAAACAGCTCTTAGTACAAGAATTCCTGAAAAACGAGACTTTAGATATATAAAAACTTGATCAACATTCTAGTGTTGTTGTAAGTTTATAACAAAATTGAGCAGAAGATACAAAGATCTTAACATATCATCATCATCATCATTCATCAGAATGGAACTAAAATCGGGTTCGTGTCTTTGTAAATCTGATATCTCGTGCATAGCTTACGGAGTGTTGCAAGCGAATGCTGCATCGAGTTTAGCTTTCTGTCTCGGCTCATTGCCTGATCAAACAAACATACAAACACATGTTGTTAGCAAGAGGATCACACACAAACAAACAAACAAACATAAACTATAGAATCATTAGCTCATAAATCTAACCTCAAAGTCATCTCCATGTTTCTCGACCAAACGACGTATATGTGTACGTTGCATAGTTGTAAGCGGTTGCAAAGGTGCACTCTTTCCATCTTTCCTCTGCTTCCCCAATGCTGTCTTAAGATCTACATATCTCAACATACAAAGCATTTTCAACAGTTAGTTACCAAATAATGCAGTATGAAACTTGCATCAGCTCTGTAAATTGCTTCGACCAGATATAGAGAAGCTAATGAAGCAGACTCAGGCTTAATTACAGTTACAGTGAAATTTCCATCGATAGCATCAGTATATGTTCACGACTATCTGAATCTTTGTCTTATAATGTTCTTTTTCTTAGTGCTATCCAAGCATTTTGACAAAGTGATGCAGAATAATCCGTAGTTGATAATCAAAGAAGGAAAATCGTGATGTTCGTTTCAAGTGGTTAGCTTTTTAACAATCATAATCTATGATTCATAGGCATAATTAGTTTCCCCCAAAATATCAAGCTAAATCCCTAATTTCGAAATTCCTCAATAGTCAATACCAACTCGAAAATGAATCCATAAGACTCCTCCAGCTTCAAATTGAAAGTACAATCAGAGAAGAGGAGAGAAACGTACCGTCTTCCTCGAGGTCGCTGCCGGAATCGATGGGCTCGAACTCCTTAGCAATAGGATCATCGGTCGACGGCTCCGGAGGAGGAGGAACGTTAAGGGAATCGTCCTGGATCATATGTTGGGTGCGAGATCGGATACCGAGCAAATTAGGGTTGGAGATGACGCCGAAGGATTTATAGTTCTGGATGACGCTAGCCTCGTCGTCCCATTCGGGGACATTGTCAGCCATGAGAGAGCGAAGCTTGGGAGGGAAGTTGAAAGCAGGCTTAAAGACCTTGGGGTGCTTCTTGGGAAGAGCAACGCGAACTTTTGCTCTAGAGTTGCTGTACTTTCTCCTCGACCTCGCCATCTCTCTGTCTCTCACAGACTTTTTTTTTGTTTGGATGAAGAAGAAGAGAAAGCAGAGAAAGATGAAGTTCGCGGCGGAGATGGGTTTAACTAACCTCAAGGGTTTTGTAAAGCGTTTCCTAGAGACGACGTCGTTTTATTGCAGACTACCGAAACTCACTAAAAAAAATTATGTTGAGAGAGCTTATTTGGTGATTTCTGTGGCCTAAATTTTAAACCGACTTTGATGAACTTTTGTTCTCTCACAATTATAGATTGCTCAGTGTATGTCCAATCTTTGAATTGTCATTCTGCACCTAAATTTTATTGCTTGCAGCTAATTTTAAAAAGTAGCTCTTTCAAAGTCAAAACTAAAAGCATCTCACCCTATGTTTTTAATTTCAGTCATAAACAACAAAAAGGGTTGCGTACGACCGATCGTAGCCTACATAGGCTGCAAATGTTATGGAGATGAACAAACTTACGAAGAGCTTCTTCTCACAAACTCTTACTACAACCCAACAAAAAATATTGCAAGTTCAAGAACAACACTGATCGAAAAAAGATCGGGAATTAAACACTCCAAGTAGCAAACTAAGCAGCGGGTAAGATTTAAAAGAAGAAACCATTCCGCGGCATTCATAAACGCATAAAGACTCTTCTCGGTTGGTCATACCATACGGCCTGGGACAATTGTCTTCATTTGTCACTCTTAACAGCTGTTTGCTCTTCGGTTTTCGGCTCCACTGTTGCAGGAGTAGGAGCTTGAGCTTCCTCCTTTACATCTCCAGACTTCACTTCTTCTCCTGCAAATACAAAATCCATTGGTTGTAATTAACAGGATACAACACCGCGAAAACATATCATAAAAACATCTTACCTTCATCATCACTATCCTCAAATTCTTCCATGCCACCCATTCCACTCATACCACCCATTCCACCGAGCCCTTCAAGACCTCCCATACCACCAAGCTCTTCGAGACCTCCCATACCACCCATACCTCCCATACCGCCCATTCCACCAAAGTTCTACAAGAAGCAAGAAACATGGAGTCTTTCTCAAACCTAAGTAAGAAGCAGACGACAATTAACACTGTAACTTAAAGCACATACCGAGAAATCCATTCCTCCCATTCCACCCATTCCGCCCATATCCATGTCTCCAGGACCTATTCAAAAAGAAGAAGAAACCAAAATCAATAATGCCTACAAGTTCAAGTTCATATAAGCATAGAGGATGAAGTTGATTATAGATATGGAGCTAACCAGGGCTGGTATCTTCGTCCTCATCAACCCACTTGTCCCAATCAACTTTAACATAGTGAGGCGCTTTCCCTCGCAACAGCTTATTCCACCATTTCGGTTCTGCTTTCTCCAAGATGCACACTATGCTTCTCAATCCGATGTTGATTTTGCTTTCCTAGGTTCGTACACACGAGCAAATTAGAACCTAAAATAGTAATAGGCAAAACACAAAAGCAGAAGAAAAAAAACAAACTCACCTCCACATTGACCTTATCATGAAGCTCAAGCTTGAGCTCATAAAGCTGGCCCTCTGCTCCAGCTTTGGCAGAGAAATCAAAGATTCCCTCAGGCTCAAGTTTCACATCTGCATCCTTGGCATCAGGCAACAGCACCGTTAAGTAAACCTTATCGGCTCTCTCCGCCCACTTCACTTCTGGATGATGACTGCCAATTCAAATTCAAAACATTCAGATCGAAAACACAGATCCCACAACCCAAATTCTAATCAATCCACCGATTCTCAGTAGGGGTTATACCAGAGTTCATCGAAGCAACATTCATAAACAGTCGATGCCAAAAACGAAACCAATACAAGTTACTACCATAAACCTTAGCTCGGAATCTAAAACCCCCAAATGTATTTTGTTCCACATTTTACATGAATTTAAATGAAATCGAATCCCAAGTAAAGGAAACCGGTTTTCTAAAATTACCTCATAATGAACGGGAAGTAGGAGGAACTCGAGTAAACCTAGAAGGAAAGAAGAAGAGCGATGACGACACAGAGATTTTCTTTTGATCGACAAGAGCGAGCTCCTCCTAGTTTCTTCAGATAGACTATTGTTATAGTACCATCGAGTCATTATCCCATGCGTGCCAGTGTACAGAAGTTATGTCAATCGTACAGAATTAACGGCTGAGATCGTGGTTTATGTTTCAGAATTTGACGGTTCAGATTTCAGGGTTGTTCTGGACAGAAAGCAGAACCTTCCCCCTTTAACTTTTTCGGAACACTGAACTACTTTGTCGCCCAAATTCGATACTTTGCTTAACATATGATTTTAACTAAAATCTCAAATTTGATCCATCGCAAAATGAATAAAACTGAGGTAAATCATGAAACAGCTCTTCTAAATAGCTTTTGAGTGCATATATTACATTGGTCCGTAGACAAAAAGTAGAATGCAGACACTTAATTAAGGAAACTTGAACCCCATTGCTTTCAACATGCCAACACAGCTCTGAGGTTTCCCCTTTTCTTCATCTCCTTCCACTTTCTCACCAGAGTTTCGAAGTAGGGCTTCAAAAATTTCCTTGAAAGGAATCGGCTCATCACTCTCTTTCTCCTTCTCCTTCTCTTTCTCTTTCTCCTTCTCTATCTTCTTCCTTTTTCTTCCGTCTTCTTTCCATTTCCCACCACCCCATTCGTATGCCGGATCCATCCACGGTGGCAATACTCTCCCCTTCGAATTTCTTCCCTTGTTTGAAGCTGAGGCTCTGATTTCAGTCTCTTTCTCTACCTCTCTGGATGGATTCGATCTGGCATCATCAGATTCAGATGCAGTGGGAACATCCCAATCGCCCAAGATCTGTGAACTCTCTGTTTCCGACTGATTCTCCATTCTGAGCGACCAACAAGACGAAGGCAAATATCTTCTTTGATCTTTACTGATTTTGTAGGGCTTCTTTCTTTCCCTTCAGATTTCATTAAATTACAAAAGTAAATAAAGGATTTTAACTATTTTACACACAAGTCCTCAAAGTATTTTATTCTTTCAAAATCTAGACCACGAAAACCAAATGTGTACTTTTCATATGTAATTTTACAGATGATTGATTATAAATAATACAGTATGTTGTTTTTAAATCCAAATTGAAAGGTAAGCTATGGAGAAACATCCTTACCGCGTGAATTGTGCTTCTAGTGGAAAGATGGAAAGGGTTCGACTAATACTACCAAACTAAAGTTTCTTTTAGGAAGTGACTTAACATAGAGACTACTCATTTCATCACTTTTTGAGTTTTGTCTTTAAAATAGTTAGTCTCCGATAGCTACCACTGTACCAACATCCAGTCACATTTCGCTTCGGACAAAACATACATCAAACATAATTCCCCACACGAAAGTAAACGACAAAACCGATGGATGGAAATAACCTCATGGAAATGCACAAAAATAAAATAATTATAACGATGGCAATGGTAGGGAATAGGGATGGTACAAACACATAATTAGTCTTACATACTGGTACAATGAAAAGTGAAAACGAATAAATAGACACATTCAAGTAATGCCATCCGTTGAAGAATATCGTAGAAAATAGCAAGAGTGTCCTTGCTTGCTACAGCCTACAGGGCACGCTTTAAGGTGTTGTCGAGTCGTGTTTCTTGATGGATATAGTCCACAGAAGATCTGAATCCGATTCCACTGTGATTTTCTCCCCTTTTACAATGTTCGACGTGCTTACCAACCCACCAAATTTCATCTCTGTGTCGGCTTTAATAAGACCATGATAAAAGCAAGGGTACAATCGTTAGATGCGATGATGCTAATGAAAGTAATGATGCTTTTAAGACAAGACGTGTGTTGTACTTACTGAGATCCCATTGAAGCCCTGTGGTTGTGGTTTTGGAAGATGAAGTTCCAATAGGGATGAGTCCACAGTGAGGTCCTTGTAGAGAAGACTGAATTTGGATCTCATGTCGATGAGTCTTTGGAAGAAGCTGGATGAGGCAATCATCCGATAAAAGGACTATCCTTGTCTCCGGGTATCGATACAAGACGTTGAGATTACCGGCTTCGTGATCAAATCTTCCCCCGAGTGCTCCAGTCGCAAGAATCTGGAGCTGACATAACAAATTTTTAAATAATGTTTTCGAAAAATACACAAATGCAGAGACACAGACAGAGCTTCACAGACTGTGAAAGATAAAAACTTACTTTAGAACTCTCTTGATTAAGAGAAGAGTCACGGATATGCAAAATGCATTTATCAAGATCGGTGGTGTCTTGATCGTGAGACTCATCTATAACCTTAGTTCCCTGTAAACAGTAACTAAGCGAATATAAGCTATGCTGAATCAAAATAAGAACACACAGGTACACGAAGCAGAGCTTACCAAGGTTAGATAAAAGTCGAGGACATCACGACGAATAGAGTCCATATCTCCCTTGATCACGTCAGGCTTATACCTGAACAAAATCACCATACATTCTCAGCTCGAAACAGATCCATCTTTGGTTACAAAGACAAGATCTTTCAGTTTCAGGAAAAATATCTTCACCAAGTCTTTCTCTTTGTGTATAAAAATCAAACCAAACAGTAAGGTAACAGTATGGATCTATCAAACAGTTATTTGAATTTGAATAAGTCTCTTTGGAGTTTCTTAAATGTAAAGAAGAAATTAAGAAATCAAACAATCAAAGCTCCGAAATTGAACCTGTTTCTAATGACAAGAGCGTCTTCGTCAGGGAAGAAGAGAGGCAATTCGTCGTAGATACGATTCGCGCCTCCATCAGCACAGAGACGAAGTTTTGCTGTTCTACACAGAAATTTCGAAACATATAAACAAACCTAATACCCCAAAACAGACATGATTAATGACGATTGATTCATGGAAAGAGAGGAGAAGGTACCATGTTCCCAGAGCAGAGGAGTGAATCGTGGGAGATTCTGGTTAAGAACAACGATAGCGTATCCCGCCGCTGAAGTTTTGTCGGCAGGAATCGACGGGAGGAGAAAAGCTGAAGAGTGAAACATTACTTCCATGGCTGGCATCGGAGAGAGCAGAGAGAGAGAGAGCAGAGGGAGAGAGAGAGGAGAGAGAGAGATTCTGATAAATATTTTCTGTGTTACTTCGTTCATTGCTGGAGGATGATGCATAATACATAAGTAAATATGATAGCGAACCGACCAAACGTTGACTTTTCAAACATTGATAAAAAAAGGTCCACGTCTCACTCTCAAATATTATATGACGTTATACTAACGTTTCATTAAAAGCGCATATTTATTTCTAACATTGAAAAGTTGCCTTTACATACAAACTAGTATAACCTATAGTTCGATATTTTGTTGAGAACTTGAGATATTTTGGCTTGCAATTAGAAAAAAAGGAAAAACGACGTCGTTTCGTCCTCTTATGTTTTCAAGCTTATGATTAACGAGGGTAGTTTCGACTTTTGGCATAGAGAATGGGGCTAGGGTTTTGATCAGCGCCAGTTATGTATATATCAGCCGCGTGAATTGTACATCTCCTTCTTCTTCTCTTCTCCATCTCTGACAATTATCGATCTGTAGATTGTGTTGTTCAATTGCCCATCGTTTTATAGAATCGTTCTTCTCTTCTCCATCTCTTTCAATTGTCGATCTGTAGATTTGTGTTGTTCAATTGCTCATGGTTTAATAGAATTGAATAGGTTTCGCAGGAGCCTCCCGGGCTAATCTGATAAGATTACTTGAGGAAACATGCCCCAAAGCTCTTGCTAGATTGCTTTTGCCGTTTGTGTTGCAGGCTCGCCTTTTTCTCTGGGCTTTTCTGTGTCAAAAAAGCGGCTAAATCTCTTCTTCGATGTCTAAATTGATTTGTGTGTTACTTGTTTGATTGATTCAGTGTGCTTAGTTTGTTAGTTTGATGGCTGTGATTATAAACTTACCCGCGCTTCTGAGATCATTAGGTCAATGAAGCATATTCGGTAAACATGGTTGAATTTCTTAATATGAGCCAATCTCTCGCTTCCTTTTTGATTGATTTCTCGTCTCAGAGTTATTAGGGTTTGTTTGGCAGTGATGATTAAATCTAACAGCTTACGCCAGTTCTGCTTCAGATAATTCTTGATCGAAAAAGCTGTATTTATACCTGAGCCAATTTACATTGTTTCTTTTTTGGTTTGTTGTTGATATTTCGGAATGTCGATGATGATGTAATCCAGTTGCACGAGGTGCAGTGTAGTCGAGACCCTGTTTACAGGGAGAACCCCTTGGCAGAAACTGCAATTTCTTTGATTTCAATGGATTTAACTGAGACTCGTTAGTAATCATGATTTATTGATAGAATTAGTTGTGTTCATATCTTAGCCGTAAGTTTGAATCTAAGTACAATAGTTTCTTATGTTTACACGTTTTTGTTTTAAAAACATTTTGGACTGTCAATGAGGATCTAATCCAGTTGTACGAGGTGCAGTGGAGCTGAGACCCTGTTTACAGGGAGAACCCCTTGGCAGAAACTGCAATTTCTTTGATCTCAATGGATTTAACTGAGACTTTCCATTGTTTATCATCTTTTTATGCATGGTTTATTTACATCCTGAGTTTCAACTATACACTTGCACTAGTATGTTTGTGCTTGGCGTCTGAAAAAAACTCAGATATCACCAGTCAGATATACACTTGCACTAGTATGGGTTGGTAACCAGTTGTGTGAACAGTCGGTAAAGCCCAATTTTATTTTCGAATCGGCCTATCTCAATTTTATTTTGACATGGCCTGATAAGAAGCCTTTTTATAATGGTATGGGCTTCAAAAGCCTAATATTTATGTCAGTCGGCCCTAATTCATGTCGGAATGTTTATGCCCCAACGGTCTGATAAGAACACCAGTTTTGGTCGGGAAGTTTTGTATCTTAACGGACCTAAGTAAGACACCTTATGTCGGAAAACTTTATATCGGATCGGACCGATATTGTCGGAATATTGTTGTGTCGGAAAAGTCCGTGATTGAAAGTCCAATTTACTGTCGGAATATGGTTGTGTCGGAAATTTTACGTCAGATCGGACCGATATTATCGGAATATAGTTGTGTCGGAAGCCCATATTATGTCGGAAAGTTTTGTGTCTGAACCGATTAGAAAAACATCTTAAATCGGAAAATTATGTCGGAACGGACCAATATTGTCGGAAACTGTTATGTCGCAACAGGCCGAAATTTATGTCGGAATGTATTATGTCCGGACGGCCTTATCAGAATGCCAGTTATGTCGGAAAGTTTTTTTTGTCTGAACGGACCGATTAGAGCACAATCTATGTCCGAACAGACCAGTATTGTCTGAAATGTGTTTGTCGGAACAGGCCGTGATCAAAAGGCCCAATTTTGCTTTGGAATGGCCCGATAAGAACCCTTTTTTAATTGGTACGGGCCTATTAAAAGCCCATTATCGATGTCAGGAAAATATGTCGGATCGGCCTGAATTTATGTCGGAATGTGTTAATGTCCGAACGGGCTTATCTGAAGCACAATTTATGTCGGATTTTTTTTGTCTGAACGGACCGATTAAAAGCACAACTTATGTCGGAAAAATATATGTCGTTTCGGACCAATATTGTCGGAAAATATGTCGGAACGGACCAATATTGTCGGAAACTGTTATGTCGGAACAGGCCGAAATTTATGTCGGAATGTTTTATGTCCGGACGGCCTTGTCAGAATCCCAGTTATGTCGGAAAGTTTTTTTTGTCTGAACGGACCGATTAGAGCACAATCTATGTCCGAACGACCAGTATTGTCTGAAATGTTTTTGTCGGAACAGGCCGTGATCAAAAGGCCCAATTTTGCTTTGGAATGGCCCGATAAGAAGCCTTTTTTTTAATTGGTACTGGCCTATTAAAAGCCCATTATCGATGTCAGGAACATTTGTCGGATCGGCCTGAATTTATGTCGGAATGTTTTATGTCCGAACGGACTTATCTGAAATAGTACAATTTATGTCGGATTTTTTTTTGTCTGAACGGACCGATTAAAAGCAGAACTTATGTCGGAAAAATATATGTCGTTTCGGACCAATATTGTCGGAAAATGATTATGTCGGTCCGTTCAGACAAAAAGCCCAATTTTATATTGAAATGGGCCTATCAAAAGCCCAATTCTGTCAGAATGGCCCAATTTTTATATATTAAAATTAATGACATTTTAAACCAAAGAAGAAGAAAGGGTTTCCGGAGAACTAAACAAAATTAGATGAAAATTATCTGAACCCTTCTATATAATATACAGTAGTTCCTACTACATGAGCATGTAAATAGATTGTACATCGGACTGTTTATGAAAATTCGGGGACTAATTTTGGAGAACGAAAAGAATTGAGGGGGCTCCGAAAAAAATAACATTTCAGACAATTCAAGAGGGACTCTTCTCTCTCTCTCTCTCTCTCTCTCTCTCTCTCTCTGTACACAAATTTATAGTAAACTAAAGGATCAAAAGAGAAATTTCTTCTATATTTGATAATGACGAGCGAGACGCACAACCTCTCTCTGATTCTCTTTACATGAAATAGCTTAGGGATGTCTTCTTCCTCGAGCCTCCTTCTCCATAAAGCTCGTTCCATTGCTGAAGCTCATTCATGTTCGATGAATCAGACGACACACTCGCACATACCTACAACAACACCAACAAATAAACATTCCATGAATCAAAATCCCAAAACTTGACAGACCAAATGTGGAAAACTAATTTGTATTGTTTCAGTCTCTCAAACCTGTTCATGTGCGGCCTTGAAATCACTCATGTTCAAGGGTCTAATGTCTGTGCTGCTATATAATTGTGGCACTGGTCTCTTTTCAGCTTCAGCCACACTTTTCTCCTACAAATCAAAACAAAACAAAACACAATTGAGTCCTGGTTCTAATAAGGCAACCACAAGCCAAAACCACTACGATTCTAAAAACGGAGCCATACCTTCTTTTCTTTTTCCAGTATCTCTCGGATAGGAAGATGTGCCGCGGTCACACAAAGATTCTGCAAGAACAAAATTATAGATTTTCTTATGTTTCAGAATAAGAAAATTATATGTTTTCTGGCTATGGCTATGGATGGAGAAGAAATTACAGACCTTTAAGTCACTTCCGGAGTAGCCATCTGTCATATTTGCTAAAGCTTCTAAATCTACGTCTTGTGCCATCTCTTCTTTTGCCAAAATTACGCTCAAGATCTTTGCTCTGTTTGCTGCATCCGGCAGATTAACCATCAACCTGCACATAAAATCTACTCTTAGACAATGCTTCCAAGACGACAACAATACATAAAACAGAGAATAGTTGACGGGTTATGATATGACCTTCGGGGAAGTCGTCTGATTACTGCTTCGTCAAGGTCAAACGGTCTATTGGTAGCACCCAGTACTAAGACTCTTTCTTTATCCTTTGTGCGTAAGCCGTCCCAGTTTATCATGAATTCGTTCTTCATCTTACGCATTGCCTCATGTTCTCCTGGATTCTCCCGTCTTCCCAACATGCTATCAACCTAAATCATTTCATTCCCATTATTAATAAAAAAGGCATTTAAAGAAGCGTACAGGGGAGGAGAGCTGTATTTAACGTCTTGCAACATACCTCATCAACAAAAATGACGCTTGGGGCTATCTTACTTGCTAAAGAGAAAACAGCTTTTACATATTTCTCTCCCTCGCCAAACCACTGCAAGAAACAAACTAAATGTCAAGTCTAGGCTCAAAGGAAACACTACCGAGTCAGGTCACAGATTTAAAAAACAAATACCTTTGAAGTAATGCTAGACATTGAAATATTGATAAAGTTTGCACCAGCCTCGGTAGCTACCGCCTTTGCGAGCATTGTCTTCCCCGTACCAGGCGGTCCAAACAACAATATACCCTTTGTAGGCTGCATGAGATAAACAGTTATATTTTAGTTTCCAGAGAAGAGAAAGTGAAAACAGATAGCGATATATAAGAAACACATTACCTTTGTAAGCTGGCCTTTGCCAAACAATTCAGGTCTTTGAAGAGGAAGCATCACCAACTCCTTCAAAGTGTCTTTCACATTTTCCAAAGCTCCAATATCGTTGAATGAAACACCGATATCGCTTGGAGGAATGACATCTGATAGGAGTTTTTTCTCGAATTCATTATCAGTTACGACATCCTGAAACAATATAGCATTACAATTGTTAAAAATCCAGAAGAAACTAGGTTAGCCTAGGATGGAATATGATGTAAGGTTTATGAATATTACTTTAAGAGATTTCTTTGTGCTCTTGTTCTCGTTTTGAATCCCATGCAACACCTGCAAGCCATATGTGAGGCTGCAATGCACAAGAAAAAGTTTATTACCAAGAAAATATCGCAAGTGCAATCCGAGTTATACTGCAGGATCTATATTTCGAAGAAGTTCACCTTTCTGCCGAGATGATAAGCTTGTTGTCTTTGATCGTCGGTTCTGAGCAATTCATAAGGTGGTGACACAAAGCCCAGCCAATCACTTTCTCCACACCTATTAATCATACAGTTTTCAATTAGACAAATAGGCAGATGCTCAAGGAAGAAAGACAGAAAAGGAAGAGTGAAAGATGCTCACTATCAGACGGAAGGGTTTGATCTTTGATGCACAAGGTTTCAAGGTCAGGACAGTCTAAACGGTTTTTGTTAAGGACCTGCAAGAATCATAAACAAAGACATAAGGAAAACACGAAAGGAGAAAAACCAGGAACATTTATATAGACAAAGGACTTCATTGAAAGATGCTCACCGCACGGATGGTAGTAATATTAGCTTGAGCCTTCAGGATCTCTGTATCACGTTCAAGTTTCTCCTTCCAGTCCAATAGCAAGGCTTCATCCTGTCATGTTTTAAGAAACAGAAGAAAATGAAACAAAAAGAGAAACAAATGGCTCTAGACAAGGAAAAATGGTGTGAAGGCTCAGACCTCAGGTAATTGTATGGTCACTTTGTTAGGAAATAGTCTAGTGACTTGTTTCACCGATTTAGGCATTTCTTTGTTCCTATCCTGCAGTCTACCACCAAAGTTCTCCTGCAGATGAAATGAAAAATCACTCCCACCACATCAAAGAGAGAATATATAATTTTTTACATATGTATGCTACATCGTAACTAACAAGTAGCAATTCAGGGAAGAACATATATAAGGTGCCTTGGAAAATAAAGAAGTTGGGTTATCATACCGGAAATGCAAGATCTAGCAATGCAGTCTGGCTACTGCCGAACTTTGTGAATAAGAAACCTCCAGGGTGGGACTGAAAATGAAATTACGAAAAAAATCAAATTTACCATTTTTAGAAGAACTTAATAATAAGCATACAAAAAGAGAGATTAAGTAGAAAATCCTACTTTCTCCTTTCGGCTGTCCAACTGGGTTTGTGAGGCTATGACAACAATATTCTCCGGCAAATTCTCAAGCTTGCTCTTCAAATTTACATACACATCAGTGCTTCCCCCAACAGATTTTTCAATGTCTTTAAGGAACAGTATCAATGATCCTCTTTCACTTTCATTAAAAGCCACCTACCATATCATTCAAAGAGATTAAAGGGCTGTTGTAGCTACGAGGATTAAATAGTACTCTTCAAATTATATAAAGAGGCAACAAAAAGTGGGAAAAACTACCTCAAAGATTTCATTAATGGCAAGTTTATCAGCATCGTCGCTGGAAGAACTATCTAACCGAAGCGAACTCGCTGCACAAAAACGAATGTCATTACTACAACTCACTTTTAATTCAAATGTGTCGATATTATCATGAAACTTACCAGTACAGAAAAAGCCACGGTCTTTTTCACATAGACCACCAAGATCATTGCCATCTACTATCGGCCTATCGAATCTAACACCGATTTTTGAAGATCCATTGTCTTCAAACGCAAGGAGTACTTTTCCCTGGTAACTTACTAACGGTCCCCTAGATAAAATAGCAAAAATTAAAAGTGAGTCATGATAACAACAATCTACATCAGATAAAAAGACCTCAAACAAATGAAGAGAAGAAAAACAGCAAACAATACCTAAATTGGGCTTGGAAAGAACCAAGTGAAGTAGCTGAAGGACCTACAAACTTTACTCGATCCCCTATAGATTACAGAAGTGCTTGTTTTTAGTATTACACCGAAAGTGGCACAACAATGAACTGAAAAATAATACTAGATGAACCGTACCTGCTTTGAAGGTGTAACTTTTAGATGTTGCAGTTGATAATTCTTGCCGAACAGCCTGAGAACTCAATGTTGATCCACCTGTTATATCAGCTTCAACACTTGAAGTTGGTTTCTTGTGATGCAAAACAGCAGCTTGGGCAGCCTGTACGCGTTTAGCAAGTACAGACAGTCTTTCACGCCTAGAACTTTCTTTTGTAGGATCCGCTTCCTTCGCTGTCGATCCCTGAACCCGTCCAAAAACAGTAGAGAATCAATGCCAATCCAATAGTCACAGTGCCAGTTCAATACCAATAGGTTCACTATTTTAAGGCAATAAACACTGATACGAATATGCATAAAATCAAACACTCAAAAGAGAAAAAGAAAAGGCTAATGGAAGTTACCCCAGGTAACAAGAGAGAGTCAACAATCATCAATTTGGCCCCAAAATCTTTTGCAAGCGCTTTTGCTAACATTTCTTGATATATCTCAGAGCCTTCAAATATTCCACATGAAGATTTAGTTAGGAAAACGGAAATGAGAAACAAAGGATCAATAAACAATACTTGTTTCCCTCGTACCAGCTGGTCCAGAGAGTAAGATACGAGGACACATTGTTGACAAATCCGATGCATACTTCATGTACTTGCTTTCACACTTCATATGGACATATGTTGATGTAATCAACACATCCTTAGTTGCGCCACTGTGACAATTAAGAAAGTTGTTTATCCAAACTTAGAAAACAATACGTGTTGTACATCTTTCCATAGTTCTGCGCAACAGAAATTTTGATATTAGATGATAACCACTACTAACCTTAAGAAGTATGGGAAGTTCTCAAAGGTAACTTCTATGTCCTGAGGGCTGAGTACTCCTCCTTGCAGACTATCCTTATGAGCTTGACGTCTAGTTGATACCAAAGCTGATGATTCTTTAAGCATTTGCTTCTTTTCCCTTGGATCATCCACCAGTATTTTGGAAATACTACCCTTTAGATCAAGTTCACAAGGATCCCCAAGTACACGAAAAACTGGTCTCATTTCATAGCCAGAACCAGGAATATTTCCACCATCAGCTTCTTGAAAAGGATCCATTCCATTTACATCGGCATTCTGGTCATCGTTGGCAGCACAAGAGGTGGAAGCAACAGTTTTCTCCGTTGAAGCAATAGCAGCATGATCATTATTACTATCAGCGTCGTTCATGTCCACATCCGGAAGACAATCATTGCAACTAGAAGGTAGCACAGGGACCTCTGAGTTTTGCTGCCTATTGGCATTTTTAGCAGTAGGTGGTAGAAAAGGCACATTGCGTAACTTTTTTAAAGATGCCAATAAAGAGGTCCGAGTAAGAGATGAAGAGCCCCCTGCTCTTGTCTCAACATGAAGCCCTTTCAGAGGGGCACTTTGCGCTTCAAAAATGCTCAAGGAAGAAGCTCTGTCTGGAGCAGTTAGATTTCCATCTTTCAGAGGTTGAAATATCTTTACACTCGTCAAGAAAAAACAACAGGAGATAGCAAGAAGCTCACAGATAGATAGACAGAGAAAACTATAACCCCTAACTAGGAAATATGAATAAATTTTCAGAGCATTGGTGAAAGGATACGTAAGAATGTTTCCCAGGGGTGCTGAAGACAACCTCATCGCCACCTCGGAGATGAACACAAGTACTCCTTGGGTAATTCTTTCCATTGACCTGAACAGTAACTCCACTTCCTATTATCTCCAGCGATGCAACTGATGTACCTCCGTGCTGAAAAAGAAAGCACACCGTAAGCAACAAGACTTTTTTGTCCCTTAGGCTAGTAGAAGACCAACCAGATAGATGTCCATACCTCGGACTGCCTCACTTCACACAGAACGCTGGGCATAGTTTGATTCCTAATACATAAATCGCATCCTCGCCGTCCAACAGTAAACACAGAGCCTCTCATAACAACATGAGGGTTCTGAAATTGCAAATAGTTTTTTTCAGCCCAGTCAGAAACAGCATAACTAATAATCACAGTAAAATTATAAACAGTAATCCCACAGTGTCCAACTACAAGAGAAACGGGCCCTTTGAACATGCAGCTGAGAAAAACTCAACTGCCCACAATTCTTACTTATCAGCTACCATTGCACCCTTTACTAACATATCAACAGCAACACACAAAAGGGACAAGCTTTGGGGAAGCTTTCTATTGTACATAGCCCAAATTGTTTTCACAACATGCTCATATTATCACATGACATTGCAACCGACTAAACTTGGCCCCATAAACCAAAAGCCACCATCTTTGCTGAATTCCCCAATCGCAGACAGGCCACACCCTAATTCGAAACATGCAAAACAACGTATAAACAAACCTGTGGATGCTGTGAAAGAAGTTTCGCCCAAGGAGCCTTCTCAGCCTTCTTCTTCGCCTTGGCAGCTTTCACCACAACTTCTTCTGAACAACCAAACTATATGAGAAAAAGAGGCCACCTTTTGTTTTTCAATGAAGAAACGACAACATGCAACGAATTAACGATGCTAACCTGCGGGAGTAGGTGTTACCAAGCCTTCAACTTCTGGATTTGTGTCGGTCTCAGGACAATTCTCCATCGGCACATCGGTTGTAGCAACTGGCCTTTCCGCACCATTACTCTGTGGATCACAACTTCTAAGTTCCGGCTCTCCAGATTCCGATCCAGGATCCGACACCGGATTCTGATTCTGATTCTCAACCGGCACTTCGCTCGCCGACGAAGACCCTGCCGGTTCTTCCGCCGCCTAGGGTTTTCCAAAAGATAAAGAAAAAAACTCGAAATCAACGGAAGGAAAAACACGAAATTCGAAATCAAAAACCCAGATTCAAATCCAGGGAAGGATAATTAAACCCCTCTCCTCGAGTGAAATCCACAATTTCAATAGAAACAATTACGAATTGAAGCAGTAACGTTGGTGTCGATTTTAACCTTGGATCGTTTGCTAGGCCGTGAGGATGAAGTTTCAGGAGAAGAAGAACACAACCGTTTAGAAGCCGAAGAGCTACGCCTTGTCTCAACCATGTCTAACCGAATTCTCTCGACTTATTCGCCGCCGCCTCCGCCGCTTGATCCAGAGAAGAGTCGCTTCGAGAGAGATTTCTTTAAGGAATGGAAGATTTTACTGCAAAGTCAGTTTATCTTTGTGTATAAATAAATAATTAGAACTCCAACTTCCTCTTATTCCTATTATATATGTAAGTGCGTATCTGGACATATTTTATTTAATTTACATTTTCCTTTGTTTTGCCATATTTCTATATACCAAAAATAAAACAATTTGTTTAATTCCTTGAAAAAAACTTTAATAAAGTATTTTTATGCTCGTTTTACATCTTTTTTTTTTAAACGACGAAAATAAATTTAAGTACGAAATCAGCTCCACTTGAGCTTTTGACCAGAGACGCATACAATTAGTTTAGATATTTGAGGGAAGTAGATTCTCTTCCTACTTATTCTTGATTTATCAAAAATCCAACGCCCAACGGTCAATTTCTCTTCTTTCTATTTTGCAACAAAAAACATAAAAAGACCAACAATTATATGCTTCATGACTTCCAACTTTTACAAGACCGGAGTTGAATGTTCTATTATTTCAGTTCTTTAAATGTTGACAACTTCACTATGACTTGTAAAAAAAGAAACTAAATTGTTGACAACTTGACCATGTTGACATGCGTTTATTGCATACGAAGGAACATATAATTGCAGCAAATCCATTTGATAAATTACTTTAAAGTTTTCACAATAATGTTGTAACCGAATGTTTGATTAAGCACGTGTTCGCGTGATTTGATCCCCGCCATTATATAAACAGTTGACTTACTAGTTACTAGTTTACTACTATGTATATGCAAATATGCAATACTAAAATCACAACTATACACAGAAAATAGGTAAATTAAAGGCCCATTAGTGTAGTGACCCTCTAAAGCTCGATCCATTAAGTCTGTAGGCACATACCAGGACAAACTAATGTGGCGTGAAAGAAGAAGAAAATTTTGTTGCCAATCATTTTGGGAGATAGGAATCAACGAAAGATGATTATTCCTGCTTGTAAATATAAAAGCTCAATCGTAAATGTTATCCTATGTTTTTTGATACTGGGATAGGGAGAATATGAAACCAAATTTTCGTGAATCCTATTTCTTTGGTTTTGTTTTGCTCTTAAGATAAAGATACGGGCAATTAGTATTACAACTTCGAACCATGTTGTATATCTGATCAGCGACATGTTGTGATTATATAAGAACCAAAAGTGTTGGTTTTGTTTTAACGATATGCCTGCATATTACACGGTCTTTGTTTTAATGGTGTTACTTTTTACTCGTGGCGAATTCAGGAAAAACCTAAGTTTCAATTTCCGGTTTGATTTGATTGGATGAGTAGATTCGATTTTTGACAAATTCTGGTGTGAAAAGAGCTTACTTGATGAAGCAACTCAAAGTCAAGATCTTCTACTTTTTTTTTTTTTTTTTTTTTTACTGTTTTAGTTGTTAAGGGTTAGGTTGAGAGTTGGTGACTTGTGTGTTACAGCTTGAGCACATAATTAACATTTTGAAACCGGTTTATCAATCCGGCTTAACGTACTTACTACTTACCAAACCGGTTTGATAAAATATAGACACTATTGTGCATAGACATGAGTATTCAAACACTTAAATTATACAAAACACTTAGATGGATCAATGAGCCCAAGTTTATTCACATACAAACCTACCCGATTTGATCAAACATAGGTTTGTTTGCTATTGTGCAGAGACATTAATATTCAAAGATTTACTCAAAACTAAACACTTGATGGTTCATAAAACCCAAGATTCCATATCCAAACTTAAACAACACAGAAAGAAGAGAAGAGAACTGGTTTTGTGTGGCTCTATCTCTCGCAACGAGAGATTTTGCTGCATCCACGACTATAAGGATTAGCCTGAGCTCCGTTCTGACAATTGTAATAAGAAGCACCTCTTCTTGAACAAGGCACACTGTTCCGTTTCAAAGATTGATAGCTTATGTATTTTGTTGTCGCCAATATTCTTCTACTGATCTCCGAGTCCATTTCCTCTTCCTCTCCCCCGACACACTCTGCTATTGACCCGTGGCAGCCTGAGCCGTGGACTCCCTTCGTGGCCCATTCTAGACTGTCGATATCATTGGTGAAGCCGGCTTGAACCGGAGGTGAAGAGATGGTCGTGATGAAGAAGATAAGTATCATAAGGGTTAGGAACAGAGCAAAAGACTTTGCCATTCTTTGGTCTGTCTTCTTTCTTTATTAAGTTTGTTGTTATTTTTGCTTAAGTTGGTGTTTATATATATACATGGTGAGTGCGTGGACTCTGTTTTGTTTTTGGTGTGTTGCGATAGTCACAGAAATGCTACTCGACAATGAAATTCGAAATGATTATGAAAATGAATGATTTTTTTAAAAAAATGGAGGATTGTTGGGAGTGGTTGAATATTTGTTAGAAACCGACACGAAATGAACCAAAACGATTTTTGATAGTTGATACTTTTGGGCGGTCAAGGCTTTTCTCATTATCCATTTGAATTTTTAAAATTCAACATTATCATTTTTATTTAATGATCTGAAAACACTGAATCTAGATGACATGATTAAGATATAATTGGTTATTGGATATATCAAGTTGCAAATTACAATTCCTTACGGATAATTGAGTACTTGCATTGATTTTGATATCTTCATTCACTATCTGCATTTTGCCATCGATAGTTGGCATCAACCGAGATCAATTAGTTATTGTAAATTACATTTACTAATGAAGAATCCTCTTTACTACCAAACTACCAACTATTTAACTACTGAATTTCAAATATACAAAAAGGTTGTCATGGTTGGCTTTCTAAATAAAATACGTATGTTGAAACAAGGAAAAGCTATGATTCGTTTTCTCTTCCCAGCGACTATAATAACGAGTTGGGACATCGTTATCCCAATTCCCAAGTAAACAAAGAAAATAAAACCTAACCCCTCTTTAACTAATCTAAAATAATCCAGAATTATTAGAGTACCACTTTCTAATAAATCATGCTTAAATTATGTAATACTTTTGAAATATCTATTTTTCTTCCCTCACCGAATCCAAACGCGTTTCATAGAGCCTTCCTATTCACATATGAGTGTTTAGATCCATGAATCAGTCGTATCATAAAACCATGAATTGATGATGGTACTATTGTACTGATAAACTGCTGACAAAAGAAGAAGAAAGTGATGCTAATAAATTAAATTTTCATAACAAACCAATTTGTGAGCACAAACAAACAAATACATCAGAGCGTTTCTTCTCCTATGAGCTCTCTCTAGTCTCTTCTTGTAAGGTTTTATGAAGAAGATACATACAATATGTAAGAAAGCTTCACAGTTTCATCTTTCTAACTTGCTGAGCACGTCGTCCATTCGTGGTAACTCCTTTGAGATCTCAGCCCAATCCGGCATCCCCTGAAAAACAGAGTTTCAAACACCGATAGATAGATAGGCCGTACAACTATTCTTTAGTTACGTAAGACCTAAAAGAACCATTTTTGCACCAAACATAACATATGAGAGACCAGAAGAGAGGATGAAACTTACTCTACCCGATCTGCGGACACGACCATCTAACCGCAGTATGATGTACACGTCCTCACCTGGAACCACTCCTTCAGCTATCTGTTGATCTCTTATCCACCTGAAAACAAACAAAACCAAAGACATCTTTAAGACTCATATGAAAAGTTTCCATCTTTGACCAGTATAAAAGGGGGAGGCGATGAAAAGTTTCGACCTTTCCCATTCCCCAGGCGAAACAGTCTCGGCCTTGAACCTGATTTCACCTTTCAGCTTCGATTGAGCAACTACCGATTGAGCCCGTGTATCGAAATCTTCCTACCAATTAAAGAAACATCAATGATTTTGCCAAATGAAGATGAAAGATGAATATTTTCTATTTTAGTTCCAAAAAGATTGAATTTTTCGTTACCCCAATAGAAGGAAGAGATGTAGCTGTCTTTGAAGAAGCTCCAAAACCAAAACCCTTTTTCTTCTCAGTTTCCGGTGCTTTACGTTCACCCCACACCACAGGAACTAACAAAACACCTCGTCTTAGGAGCTCTGTTCTGAACCTATCCGCCTTCTGCATAGCCAGTGTAACAGTCTCTTTCTTTCCAGCTAGAATTACCTACTCAATCACTTTACTGATTTAGAAACTCAGCAGAGAATACTCAAGAGGCTTTGAAAACGTGGGATAAAAGACTCACAGGTCGAACTGTATCCCTTAGCTGCACAAGTTCAACAACACGGTTGGTTGAGAGGCGTAGAGGCAACCGAGAAAGAGTTTCATCACGAGTTATCTGAACCATTTGTTCTTCCTCTTTCTTGTTCTCCCAAAGGAACAACGAAACCAGAACAACAATACCTGTAGTACATTGCTGTTCCAAAAGCTTAGTAGTCACATCAAAAATGAAAATTTCAAAAACTTTTTCTATGACTCACCTCCAATGTTGATAGCAGCATTTCCTGTAGTTTCAAGAAGATCCGGAGCACCATCGCCGCCTCTAACCGCCTGAATCAGCCTTGGTACGGTGAACAACGTTGAGATACCTGCCGCTGCTCCAAATGCAAAGTAAAAGAACTTTCTAAAGCCACGAAACGGTGCTCGTACTTCGCTGATGAGTTTCAGATCTCTTCGGAAACTATCGCCGATATCTTCCCCGCCTAACCTAGCCTGCACCAAATTTGGAACAAGTTTTTAGCCAATGACAAAAGTTCTTCTTGAGGATCATAACAAGAAAAGTATATAAAAAAAAAGACCTCTTCTTGCAGCTCCTTAAACTCAGGTAATGCGCGAAAGGATGCTAAATCAGGATCATTAAGAATCGTGGCAAACTTGAGATCGTAATCTCTCAAAGCGATTCTCAAACAATCAGCTGCCTTTTTTCCTTCGCCCCTTACCTCAAGACGATAAACAATACAAAAATAATCTCATCAGGAGCTTCCTTCCACATTGGTGATTCTTAACGATTTTATGGTTCGAGATTCTTACCGGTAAGCATGACAACATGCTTTGTTATAGTAAGCCGCTTGTGACTCAATAGGATTTGGATCCAAACTCAGTGCTCTTTCAAACTGGACAAGAGCATCTTTGACCTGAAAGAAATCCGAAATCAACAAATCAACTGAATCTGTTTCAAATAAGATCATAAGAGCGAATTGCAATTTAGTTGAAGATGATGGAAAAGGAGTTAAATTTCATCAAGATAAGGTAAACCCATCTCGCAGAATCATAGAAGCGTCGTAGTAAAGTCAAGTGCAACCAGAATGTTTACAAAGTTAGAAGCTCGCTCACAGAGAAATTTTTGTCACAGAAAACCAAAATCGACTGAAACATTTTTGCTACGATCACAATTATCATCTGAATTGAGTCATAGAACTTACCCGTCCCCTCTTAAAGAGATCGAGGCCAGTATTAACGCATGACTCTGCCGTGAGAGCACCCGTCGGAGACGGAGGTGAGGATGGAGAAGAAGAGGAAGCGAACACAAGGAGGTGGGAATCCCACTTCCGGCGAGAAGTGAAAAGGGTCGCGTCCCATGGCCGTCGTTTCTTGACTCTAGAGAAAGGGTCCGAGAGGCGGCGGAGGAAATGGCGGTTGAGCGACGGAGCAGTAGCCACAGCCATTCAATTTTCTTCTCCGCTTCCCAAAAAGAAAACCAAAACTTTTATCTTAAAATCTCTTCCACCCTTTTGATTTTTTTTTTTTTTTTTTTTTTCGACAGCCTCTATTTCTAAACCAGTTCGGGAATCCAAATTGGCGAAACAGAGTTTACATAATACACATCAGTAGGTAGAGCTCGAGCACTCCGTGCTAACTTGTCTGCCTTCGTGTTTTTCGTCCTAGGTATGTGCGCGATGGAGAAGGAGGTAAACCTCCTGTTTACACCGGTCAACCTCGTCAAGAAGTATTGCGAACGCTGGCCACTCCTCTGGCGTAGACACCATCTTCACCACATCAGAGCAATCCGTCTCAAATCGCGTTAGCAATTTATTATGCCGTAGCATACAATGCATGGCCCAAATAAGTGCCTCCAACTCCGTTTGGAGGGGCGATATTCCCCTTCTCAAGTTACGAGTTCCCATAGCTTTTCCTGAGTATTCATGTTCAAATAAAACCATCCTAGCCCAGCTCGACTTCTGTCTCCTTCCAAGCCCCATCTACTTGACAAATATCACCCGTTCTAGGGGATTCCCCTGAGGTTGTCAGTGGTGGACATAGCATTACATTTTTTTCCTGGGCGGTTACCCATGCCGAAGATTCCGCTGTTGCTTTGATTATTATTTCATTTGGGTCCCAGTCCACATTCGCCATAACCTTATCATTTCGTGATTTCCAGATATACCAAATTAACCAAGGATACATCCGCATTCTATCATCGTCTGGCAAATTCCAAAAAAGATATGCCATATTTGCAAACAAACTTCCTGTAGGGAAACGCTGTGGAGCCGTTGGAATTGGAGATAGAGCCCAAACTTGCAGTGCCGGTGGGCATTCAAACAGTGTGTGGTTCACTGTTTCTGCCGCCATCCCACACCGCATACATTGTGGGTCTATCTGCATACCGCGACTCTGGAGTCTCACCCCTACCGCTATGCATCCCGTCAAAGCTTGCCAAATAAAATGTTGTAATTTCTGAGTACATTGTACCTTCCAAACCTGTGCTTGAAGACGCCGTGTGTCCGGACCAATAAAGATGGGCCTATCAGCGTCCAAACTTTGTTGTAGGACCGTGTAACCCGATTTTACCGTGTATCTCCCCGTCTTCGTAAAAAACCATCCCATGGAGTCTGGTCGAGGCGACATTGAGGTTGGGATCCCGAGAATTAGAGAGACATCCATACTGTCAAACAATTGATTCAATAGTGGTAAATTCCACGTTGTTGTACTGGGATTAATCAACTCACTCACCCGGAGGTGAGGGTAGTAATTAATCCCATCTCCTGTGGCTGGCCTCGGGGTAGAAGCTGGAATCCAGGATCATCCCAAACAGAGATAGATGTTCCTGAACCAACCCTTTTGATAAGTCCTATTTTAACCAGAGGTCGAGCTGAAACTATACTCCGCCATCCATAGGAGGGAGAGTAAGATCGAATAGGGTCCATAGGAGTTGCGTTCCGATAATAACGTCCTTTGAAAACCCGTGCGAATAACGAGTCGGGGAAGTTAATGAGCCTCCACAACTGTTTTGCAAGTAAAGCCGTGTTAAAATCCTCAATAACACGGAATCCCAGGCCGCCATCGTTTTTGTGCCGACAAAGTTTTTTCCATGCTAGCCAATGCATTCCCCGTGTCTGTCCATTATTACTCCACCAGAAATTTGAGACTGCGCTAGAGAGTTTATTTGTAATCCCTTTAGGCAGACGAAAGCATGACATCACATACATGGGCATTGCTGAGGCCACAGACTTAATTAGGACCTCTTTTCCCCCTTTCGATAACCATTTGGAGTGCCAACCATTAATTCGTTGGTGCTGTCTATCTATCAGAAAGCTGAATATCTTCGTCTTGGCACCTCCGAGACTCTCCGGGATACCGAGATAACTCCCCACGCCTCCCACATTACTAATTCCCAAAATCTGATGTAATTCCGCTCTCACCCCTGCATCAACCTTATGTCCAAACTGTATTGAAGATTTGGCAAAATTAATTTGTTGGCCCGAGGTAATTTCATACTCCTTTAGGATTTGGAGTAATACCCTACTTTCCTCCCCCGTCGCTCTGCAGAAAAAGAGACTGTCATCGGCAAAAAGGAGGTGAGAGACCGCTGGGCTCGCCCGTGCAACTTTAAGACCGGTCAGTTTTTTCTGTTCTTCTGCCTTTTTCATATTTGCAATCAACACTTCCGTACATAAAATAAAAAGATACAGGGATAAAGGATCTCTTGTCGTAAAAAAATCACCCTTTTGACTTCTCTATTTTATTTCGGAAAATAATAAATTTTAGCTATATTACTACTTTTTGGGGTCAAAATATATACTAATTATCAAGTCACTCTTTTTTGGTGCTAATCACCCATAAAAAAAACACCATTGTTGACTTGAACTTCATCCATTTCACAGTAACTAAAATCAAATTTATAGTAAAGCAGTTGACTTTTATTATATTTGACTTTGTTTTTCAATACTCCATATCAAAAGGTTACAATATTAAGACTCATAACTGAAGATTGCATTCAAATCAATCTCGCAGAAACAAAAACAGAGCACACGTTGAAAGAAAAACAGAGGAAACAACACACACACACGCACAAACAACACATAGCTTATCAGCTTCCGAGGATTGGGCAATGAAGTCGCCGCCACTTATTCAGTATGTGGACAAACGATTTGACTGGAAACGCACTTAAACGAAGACCTTCTTAGAAGAAGGCCTAGAAGTGATGTCAGCAACCCAAGCACTAACGTGTGGACGCTCATCAAAGAGCTTCTTAGTTGGAGTTTCAAGCAAATACTGAATCACAGGGATATGGTGAAGGTCCACCAAAGTGAACTGATCACAAGACAAGTACTTAGACTCACCAAGCCTAAACTCGTAGTTGTCTAGAACTTTGGCTAGCTTAGCCTCTTCTGCTTCAACAACGGCTTCGTCTGTGGTCAAACCGAGGAAGTGCTTGAAGGTTCGTTCCCAACCAATCTTTGAAGCAACTGGGTCAAACTCATGAGCTTCTATTTCCATGCCCATGGACATGATTGCCATGTTCTTGGAGCCAAGTGAGAGAAGTTGGTTTCCTTTGTCAGCGTATTCATGGGCTATGTATTGAGTAATTGCTCTTGACTCTGTCAAAAAGAGAAAACAAAATCCAGTTTTGAGTGTTTCTGCTTTCTTTATAATTGCAATGATCAAAAACAGAGTTTTAGCCTAAGTTTAAGTGTTTACCGAAAAGCTTGAAGTCTCCATCTTCAAAGGCTGGAACTTTACCAAAAGGCTACAAAACAAATAATTTTCAAGATTTTTCAGACCAAGATTTTATCTTGAAAAGTATTATTATATTGGATATATATACTACTTACGTTGCGGGAGAGGAAAGGCTCTTTCTTGTGTTCACCATCTTTGAGCTCGACATGAACAAGTTCGTAGTCAAGATCTTTCTCGTGAAGAGCGATGAGAACTCGTCTCGTGGCTGTAGAAGCAGGGTGTCCGAAAACTTTGATTCCTGCCATTGATCAAGTAAACTAAAGCTGCTCTTCTTTTTTTCTTTTAAGTAATGTCGAGATGAATCAAAGTAGTAATGTTGATGAAATGAAAGATACCAATAGTGGAGTGTATTTATACAACTAGTGAACTGATAAAACCCAAACCGGCGGCGCCACTTATCTTGAATAATCTTTGTAAGGATTATTTCAAAGTCATGTTGAATTTTTTTTCTTTCTTTGTCTGTGTGTGTGTGTGTGTGTGTGTGTGTGTGTGTGGGTGTGGGTGTGTGTGTCGGCAACGGCAAGTCAAGTTGATTAGTCGTGTCTATCGGTTCTAGACATATAGAGCATTAAAACCAGAGTTATTATCATCAACCGCCGCGTGATAACGACCAAAACTCTTTCTATCTACTAGTCAAAGTTGATCGGCATCACGTGGATTGTCGGGTGCTCAAATTAATTTATCGAAATTCATTGTACGTAATATTTACATTCGATAAAATGAAAGAAATTCAACACAGAGCAAAAGACTTACGATTTCACAATTGTGACATTATGGTATGCAGATTAGTAGTCAACAAAGTATCAATCTAGTTGAAACAATGATGGAAACCAACCATAAATTTGTGTAGATACATTACTAAAGTCACAAAATAGAATTCGTATAGAAAAAAATCAAAAAAAAAAAAAAACGAATTCTTACGTTTTTCATATCCACACAAAACATTGCATTTAAGCTGCGACCATTGTTTAAATTTGTCTTAAATTACTCTTTGGAAGTTGCGACCATTATTTGAATTTCGCAGCGAAAAAGAAAGAAAGAAGAAGAGTGTACTCAAAAAAATAGATAAATAAAAAAATATAATTTAACTTTTTATTCCAGTAGGAATCGGTTTCTATTACGGACCATCAAAAGTTTTACCCTTTATTCATATTTCATAACATTATCTAATTTCACAATCACATAATGTTTGTTGCTCTCATTAGTTTTTCTTCTCATGACCTGATCACCAATTCACATCACAAGCCTTCTTCCAAGCCGGTCTAGCCGTAATATTAGCCACCCACCGGTGAACGCTAGGCCGAGTTTCGAACAGTATCTTCGAAGGTGTGCCCATAAGGTTTTGTATATTGGGAAGGTGGTAAAGATCAGCTAATGTGAAGCTTTCACCAGCCAAGAAGCTAGAATTTTTGAGTCGTTCTTCATAGACATCTAAAACCTTCTCTAACTTGGGCACGGTCTCATTCACGAGCTTATAGTCCGTCTTTAGACCCATCAAAGGCTTGATGGCTTGCTCATAATTCAGTATCGTTGAGGGTGGATCGAACTTAAAAGATTCAATATAAATCCACATTTTTTGTGTTCCCATTGTCTTGTAGCTTTCGTGATCCAGGAGTTGTGAGCCGCTTGATCTATGAGCAGTCTCGAGGTATTCTGATATAGCTCGGGATTCTGAAGATATATTTCAATTTATCAGAATTCATCCACATTATCTACTATAGTCATTATCTAACTAATGTAGTCTTTATCTCAATAAAATCAAACAAAAATGTTTCGATAAGATCAGTTAGTTGTAAGCGTAGTTAAAAAACTTACCAGCCAACTTAAATTCACCGTCTTTTAAAACTGGGACTTGACCAAATGGCTGCATCGATAAACAATTTACCAAACACAAAACGTTAGACCATGTAACGTAAAACACTAGTTCTAAAGTTGATTAAACAGGTGTAAGAATAAAAGTGGGGGATTGGAGATATCACAACGCTGTCTTTTAAATCGAAGCCACAATTAAGACCTAAACATTACTTGAATCGTAAGTAATCTATGTAGATGTGAAGCTTACATTGATAGAAAGAAAAGGTTGCTTCTTCTGTTCACCGCTTCTCAAGTCGACTTTGATGCGTGTGTAAGGAAGGCCTTTCTCGTTGAGAACGGCAAGAGCACGCCAGGTATTGGTGGAGTAGGGGAAACCATAAATTATGTAATTATTGACCCCTCCTGCATCTTTACCCAAATAATATTTATTCATCAGATTTGATAGTAAAAAGACCAAAAAATTCAAATAGTTTTTTTTCTACAGAAAAACACACAAGACTACAGCTGCTTTTTTTGTTTTGTTTTGTTAAGGTGACAAAAAGCCAACTACCATTTAGTCATTTACACCTATTGTGAAAAAATAAAAGTAAAGGAAAAATAATATATAATTAGGACAAATACAGGTGACATAAAACAGAGTTACAAACTTATCTTCTCAGAATGAGAGGTCTTAAATCCAAACATCAAATAAAAATATAAATCACATTTTGCTATAGATCAGAAATCCTATGATTACCATCTTTGTGACGACTCTCCAACGTCTGGTTACAGTAATGGTCACAAGTCGTAGCTGTAGGTACATCGCTCGCGTTTACGCCCATCCCTACGACTCAATTCTGGATAATCAGAACCATAAATAATATTTGATAGCAAAAATACGGAAAAGAAATAATCAGAGTAATTTACTTGGGGATAGTTCATAAGAAATAGCCATGACAACCACGAGAGCAAAAACCAGTAATTTGGAGGAACCCATTTTTTTTCTTTCTACTCTTTCTATTCACTCAACCCAATCCATTTGTTTATATATATTTTTTCTTTCGATGTATTCGGTGTAAAGCCTTGATTCATAGAGGATTATTATTTCAGTTTTGCTATCGTTAGGCAAGGATTTTGAACATGTACGTTTCTTTCGTTTACATTTTTTTGTCTTATTACGAACTTTTGCATGTTAGCCACATTGACAAAGTTGTGCACCCAAAAATCCAAAATTGACATCGTATATTGTTGTCTGCTAATTTTAAGAGCCAGTCTAGTTGATATATTATGATTTTTTTTTGGTTGTCCTTTATTCACCATATATACAGCAAACATATATAAACCATACACACTCGCAAGGAATCTTGTAAAAGTAACCACACAACAAACAACACAAGCTTACAAACAAAAGCCCAAACGCATATCACACAAGACAAAGTTTTAAGTCGCTTTCATTTCTTTCATTTGCTTACCAAACCATGACTTGTCTTGATCACAAGCCATCTTCCAAGCCTCCCTAGTCGTAATCTCATTCACCCACTGACGCACTTTAGGTCGATTTTCGAACAATCTCTTCGTTGAAGTTCCCAAAAGGTATTGTATATTAGGTAAGTGATGAAGATCAACCAACGTAAAGGTACTACAAGCTAAGAATTTAGATCCTTCAAGCCGTTTCTCGTACACATCTAGAACCTTCTCTAGAATAGCCTCGTTTTCTTTGACGACCGTCCGGTCAGTCTCTAGACCGTAGAGAGGCTTGATGACTTGTTCCCAAGTGAGTTTCGATGCAGGTGGATCGAACTGATGTGCTTCGATTTCCATCCACATTGTTAGCGTTGCCATTGTTTCGTGGCTTTGAAGATTTAGAAGCTGCGTGCCTCTTGACATATGAACATATGCTATGTATTGCGTGATGGCTCGGGATTCTAGAGGGAGAAATTCGAATTGAAAATTAGCCCCGAAATTTTGATTAAATAGGGTTGTTTTTAATTAAGTACTGTGTAAGTTAAAATGAACTCACCACACAGCTTGACATTTCCATCTTCAAAAACGGGGACTTGACCAAATGGCTGCATGAACAATAACACATTGTTAAAACTTGGAATGCTTGGGTTACAAGTATTCTGTCTACAGGCGTTGTTTGGTCTCACACCTGAAATCACTAATCGCATAAAATTACTTACGTTGAGAGAGAGAAAATGTTCCGTTTTGTGTTCTCCGGTCTGCAAGTTGACGGTGATGGGCTCGTAGGAGAGTCCTTTCTCAAGGAGAACAGCGAGGACACGCCTTGTGTTGGTGGAGAAAGGATGGCCATGAACCTTGTAACCTGCAAATTTAACATATTCCATAATCTTCTCAATGTTAGTGTAGAGAAGAAAAACCATAGAAACGAGATTCAGAAATGAGAAAACATAATCTGTTTTATTCACATCAAGTCAAAACTACGAAAATCGAAATCTGTATCTGAAATATTTTGATAAGCCTATTACCTAGCTTTTTTACTTCTGCCTCACGCTTCGATTTGGGCAATAGCTTCAACACCATCCTTACGCAGTCCATTGTGGGGGACTTGTATAGCTCACAGATTACCGGATGATGTAATAATACATGTTAATATATACTAAGTTTAAGTCATATGCGCTTCTTTTGCAATACAAAAGCGACGAACATTTTGCTTTTGCCTGACATACACGTAAAGAGTCCCACCTTTCTTGTGTATCAAGAGATGAAATGTTCCAATGATACCAACACAATATAGGGATCTACAGTCCGGTTTGCTTTTATTAATTTTTGTTACAAATCATAATATCGGAAAATCGTTTATTAAAAAAATTTGATCACTGATAACTTGCAATATTCTGAAATTTTAGTTAAGTTGATTTTTTCTTTCATTTTCTACGATTCCGCTAGCTCGTCGTTATCAATCAGAGCTTTAGCTATCGTTTATATATACTGGTTATGACATTTATGTGAGTTACATTACAAACTTGTGAAATATGAACACAAAATAATCACCTCATTGGTGCTCTTCACTTCCATTTCTTTCCTGTTGAAGGTTAAAAAGCTAATATCAGAAAAGAGTTTCGTGACATATCGAATGAGATAAGAGTGGAATCAAAACTGACCATGGCGAATATATACGGACAAAGCTCCCGATTTCGATATCAACATCTGCGCAAACTTTAGGATTAAAGATGATGGTTGTCTCTGTTTCTTTGGCCGCAAGAGCTTGTGTGTTCCTAAGCAATAGAGAGTCCTACAAAACCGAATGTGTGTACACTCAATGCTTATAATCTGACTAATAGATGTTCGAATGGTCTAATTAGGGAGCAGTTTTCTTAGAGGCATTACCCCGAAAAGGTCGATGACAGAGCATTTGCAGACGACTAGCTTTCCCTCCAAGTGTCTTGACTTGATCTTTATATTAACATAGTTCGACGCATCTGATTTGGGAAATGGGAAATGAGATAAACAAGCAGACAAACGCAAGTATGAAACTAGATTTTTGTTTATATGGGAGTTACGAAGCAGCGTTACCTGCTTGTTCGATTCCACACTGCAATTTCTTCATGATTTCTATTTCCGTCTCTTTTTCTTGTTTCACGATCTGTTGTAGCTTCTCATACAGGCTAGAGCCGCTGCAGATCAATGCATCGAACAAAAACGGGTTTTGATGTTAAGTGGTATGTACGATGTTGAAGAGTGGAGTCTGAAAGGTGTTTGAGAAATTGATTACCCAGATAATTTTGGTGAACCGAACAAGAGCCCTTCCTTGCTCAAAGAGGACGCTTTTACTGCTTCATTAAACCGGTCTCCAACAAATTGTTTCTTCTCGTCCGAATTGTCTGCCACTTGAAACCTAGGCTGTAGCAAGGGAATAATATTGTATTTGGATTGAGAAGAAGGAAACCACCAAAATTAAAGGAAAGGAAGAGAACAAAACCTCATCATCGCTTGATGATCCACTATCCATGGGTCCAGGAAGTTCATCATCAGTATCACTATCTTGGAAGTTACATGAACTTCCCTTATGAGCAAATTTTAGACTTTTGCCTTTGCGCCTACTGTACTGGAGCAGAAAAGAAGCCAATGAATGAAACAGAGAACTGAGCAAAGTAGCAAATCAATAGCTAATCCACTAGATAAGAAAAAATTACCGGTTTGGAGCTCTTCTTTTTATCACTCTTATATTATCTGGAGGAGGGACTAAAAGCTTTGATACCGAATCCTCAGTATACCCGTTTTCTGATATTTCATCAAAACCGTTGGGGCATTCAACGATTGGATCCTCCTCTGTAGCTTCATCAGCAGCAGGCTCGAATATTTCAGCCATGTCACTTATCTTTGATAACGTCTCTCCATGAGTATGCGAGTGAAATGCAAATTTCGGCCTCACATGGTCTTTGCCAACTGCCAAAAGATTATATACACAACTCAGAGATTTGAGAAGCTTATGCACACATGATCTATTTCTTAGAATTGGAAGGTACAAATGTCAGGACAGCTATTGGTCTAAACAGTACCTTTACTACCTCTCTTGGTTCTGAAGCCAGATGATGAGACTGAAGCAATACCATTCAAATGGATTAGTGACTTTGTTTCTTTACTTATAGCGGACCACGTTTCTACTGGTTCATCATGTGGAATCTGATGGCATACAAAGAACACTGGTAAGGAGAGCCTATAGGAGAACACTGGATGTTATGAAAAATAGCCCAAAGAGGTCGAGTATTGGATTGTAACCTCATCATCTGACACACTTTCCTGAGCATGTAATCCAGCTCTTCCAGAAGAAACGAAAAGGCTCTCCTCTGGAGAATCAGGAACTTCAACATCATCCTCAAGAGAGGATGAGATCTTGTGTAGCTGAGAATGAAATCTCCCATCTCCAATGAGATCTTCGAGCTTCGTTTGAAGTAGTAATCCTCCCTATAATATTGAAGCCAACTCTTGTCAAACTACAATACAGATTTCATATAGCTCCTCAAAACTAGTCAAGACACAACTTTCAATTAACAAAACCAGATTTTGATGAAGATAACGTCTCATCATTCAATCGCCATACCCATGGAACTTTTGTCAACAGGCAAACTCACAGGAATTTTACAGATTCCTCTAAGCAGGCTTAAGCCAAGAGTTTGGAGAATCTAAACATTACCTCTTCCTTGGCCTTCTCACTTGGCCACAAATCATTTTCTCTCAAACTAACATTGCCGTGCTCTTCCTCTTCCTCTGAAAGATCAAACAGCAGCTTCAATACAATGAAAAGACAAAAAAAATGAGAACCAGGAGCTTAATTTCAGATGACAAAAGCAATTCTCAGTCCTCACCGGATATGCTCTGATCAGAATCTGGGTTTTCCTGAAAGTCCAACAAAACGGAGAATCAAATGAATGTTCGAGCAGAAGAAATCGCCAAAGTAAACAATTCATGAGGATTTCGGACAGTCACCGGTAAGTTCCTTCGCCGCCACATTCGTCGCCACCGTACTAATCGATCTGGCCGGAGTTCGCCTTTGTACCGGACCGGCGTTGCCGAGGGGTATAAATTATAATTAGATTTGTAGTTGGGCTTCACTAATTTTTTATTGGCCCAAATTCATTAAAAACTCTGCCACATTTTATCTTTTGTATTTATATCCCATATTTTGGGATTAATTAGAAATCGATTTCGGAATTCCTCAATTTAACATTCTAGCCCAGATTAGCCGTGTAAATATTATTTTAGACAGCTTTTTAAAGGGTTTTTAAATGTGCTGACCAAAAGAAATACAACTCTCTAAATTTAATTAAGAGAAAAACATTATATAAGTTTCAATTCCAAATCGTAATTTGGAAATAGTGAAATACGATTAAACATTATCATTATTTTGGAATCATACAATAAAACATTATTTATTTCTAAAAAGGTGAAATATTTAAACGTCGCATCATGCTCAAAGTGCAAGTGCTATTATAGAAAAAAATATTATTGTTATTAAGGACCAAAGGCTTACATGATACGCCATTACGCCTCCACAGATGATTCGCTGCACCTCTACCTAGTCTCTGACAAATGCCACTACCTGAATGATCGGACGGTCAATATCAATCCTAGAGGAAGTGCACCGTAGCCATTGCTACAAGTGATTATTCCCAAATGATGGCTCGAAACGCTAAGAGCCTAGAGCGCGAAAATTTTGAATTATTTATTGATTTCATTTACCTCCACCATAAAAGTAATTTCATCGTCATGTTCGAGAAGAACGGAAGAACACTGTTGGCGAAGAGGAAAACCCTAGGGACTATCCAATCGACAAGAACGAAGAAGAATCGGAAGATGGAAGGCACATTGGAGCGACACCCTCTGATTCAGTTCGGGAAACTGTCGAAGCTTTCGTTTGAAAATCGTCCGCCGTCGAATGCTGCCTCGTCGGCGTTTCAGAGTCTCCTGGATTCGGAGTCGTCGGAGCTCCGGAATCAGCTGGGTCCTGTTGATGCAGATGCCGATTGCGGAGATAAAGACTTTATTCTCAGCCAAGACTTCTTCTGGTAAACTTTCAATAATCGGATTTGGAGAAATTTGGGGCTTTTTTTGATCGGTTCAAAATCTAGAATTGGTTCTGTAGATTTGAGGATTTTTGATGAATGTTGCTTTGGTTTACCAGATAATAAATATCTCAGCTACTGATAAATTCCTTTTTTCCGATTAATCTTTCAGTACACCTGACTATATAACTCCGGACAATCAGAACTTGATGAGCGGTTTAGACATCAGCAAGGTGAATTGAGAGAAAGCTCTTAATTTCATATTTGATTGTTTTCTCCCCCAATATCTCCAATTTATAGTTTCCTTGTTTTGCAGGATCATTCTCCTTGTCCAAGGTCTCCTGTTAAATTAAATACAGTTAAAAGTAAAAGATGCCGGCAGGGTAAGCTTTCGTTTCAAAGTACAAGTATGAATTGGTTTTGAGACTCACTGAAGTATTATATGGGGATTTGATATTTCCTAACTTTTTCAAAATGTATGTGTTTGATGCAGATAGTTTCACATTGAATCCTTTAAATTCTACCTGGTCTACTAAATATAGATTTGATGAACAAGAGAATGAGGATGTTGACACCGATGAGATCATGGTGGATAAACTCCAAGCTAATCAAACAGAGAGAAGCGGATACGTTTCACAGAGTGCAGTTGCTCTGAGGTCTCGGGTTATGCCACCCCCTTGCCTCAAGAATCCTTATGTGATGAATGAGTCCGAGACAGCTACTGATCCTTTCAGATATCAGAGGTCGAAATGTGCTAGTAAGTAGCTTTCCTAAAATTCTTATTCAAGAATTTACTAAACGCCTAGAAAGTGTCTCACGTGTACTGTTATGCAGGTTTTCTCCCTGCAAGTAGAGGTGGGGATGGGTTATCAAGATATCTCACAGATTTTCATGAAATTCAGGTAAGCCAAAGATGTTTTTTTTTTGAAATTCTTAATTTAATCAAATATTGCTGCTTCTAACATTACTTGGTTTGGTGTTTCTCCAGCAAATTGGTGCGGGGAATTTCAGTCGTGTATTTAAAGTCTTGAAGAGAATCGATGGTTGCTTGTATGCTGTGAAACACAGCACAAGGAAGTTGTATCTGGATTCAGAGAGGTAGATAATTGTACTGAAATAAAATAGTTCGACTTGTTTTGATGAATTTATTTAGGTAATCATAACCGAGTTTATTGCAGGCGTAAAGCTATGATGGAAGTTCAAGCTCTTGCTGCTCTAGGTCAGTACAGTCCCTTGTTTCACCTTAAGCTGTTCTGTTATTCTCTGTTTCCAAGCTAGGCTCAGTGTATCCTTAAACTGTTTATGTATTCTTTTGTTTGTAGGATTCCATGAAAATGTTGTAGGATACTACTGCTCGTGGTTTGAAAATGAGCAGTTATACATTCAACTGGAACTGTGCGATCACAGTTTGTCCAAGAAATCTTCTCTTAAGATCTCAGAGAGAGAGATCTTGGTGATTATGCATCAGGTACACACACTTTTATTGAAAGTTCTAGTATAGATAGTTTCTTGACTCCTGAGAATTCTTACATACATAGTAATACCAACCATTGTACCATGCCTGTTACAGGTAGCTAAGGCGTTACAGTTTGTGCATGAGAAAGGAATAGCTCATTTAGATGTAAAGCCGGACAATATATACATCAAGAACGGTGTATGCAAGCTCGGTGACTTCGGTTGTGCAACACGCCTGGACAAGAGCTTACCAGTAGAAGAAGGAGATGCACGTTACATGCCTCAAGAGATACTAAACGAAAACTACGAGCACCTCGATAAAGTCGATATCTTCTCTCTGGGTGTCACGGTTTATGAGCTGATCCGAGGATCTCCTCTGACAGAATCAAGAAACCAATCCCTCAATATCAAAGAAGGCAAACTTCCTCTCCTTCCCGGCCATTCCTTACAGTTGCAGCAACTGCTCAAGGTATGTTATCTCTGTGTTTTCTTTTCTTGGCGGTTCATCATTGGAACACAGCATTTAAAGACAGGTTTTGTAACATGTTTTTTGAAACAGGCAATGATGGATCGTGATCCAAAGCGTCGTCCATCTGCCAGAGATATAATGAACCATCCCATGTTCGATAGGATTCGAGGTTGATTCTTGGAAAACTGTTGGCTTAAAGACGTACCATAATCTAGATTTCGGCACAGAATATCCGGTAACCAAGAACCAGAAAATGTTGTAACTTTATGGCTTTTGTATATTTGTGTAACTGAATCGAAATTTTAATTTTGTTGAAATCTCATAGCCACTAAAACCGGTTGGGTTAAAATAGAATGATCAAAAGCATAACAAAATGTGGAAATCATAGCCATAAAGTGAGGTTTGATCAAAAGTGCAATGATTTTCAACTTTCAACACTCTTTTAGTCTCAAACATCGACTATATGACTATATCAAAGCAGAGTTACAACTGATGCACACTCGGGTCTTAACAGTCTTGTACAGGTTCTATTCAATTAAATGGAAAAAGAAAAGATAAAACAAAAGAATTTTGTGGAACCGGGTGTTAAGCAAGACACGTTCTCATAGCATAAAACCCGCCACGCTTCGCCACAGCATCAATTCGACTTTTGAAAATAAAAACATGATTTTTTTTCTCTCTTCTCTCTCTTTGTTTCCGGCGAATCGAATCGGCTTCCTTCCGTGTTCCGATGGAGATTTGTTCACATTGATACAACATCTCTCCTCAATTTCTCGGAAAGTCTTCAAATTTCTCCTCCCAATTCCCAGTATCAATTTCTCCGGCCAAGCATCATGGGTTTTTACCCGTTTAGACGTTAACTCGATAAAACCTGTGTCGCTGCCTTAGCTAGGGATTAAGAGTGGATTTGTCCTGCATCAACTGTGTGTCGCTTCCTTCACTAGCCATGGCTGCAAAACTTGTGTCTTCTTTAGTGCCATCCTTTTTCTCACCATTCCAACCTCGGAGGTCCTTTCAGGTGCCTTTTGTTTTATCTTTCTTCCTGAATTTCTGCTCAGCCTTTAGATTTTTCATCAATGCTCTGTTGTATTTGTTGTGTATGCTCCCGATATTGCTCCCGATGCTGTGTATTGATTTCATTACCCATTTGTTTGTTTTTGATCATGCGATTTGAAAACCTTGAACCAATTTGATTCTTGGGACTAGTAATATCCAATATACGTGCTAAGTGAGTGTTCGCAATTCCAACTTGAAGTTAATTGGCACAATGCTGAGAAAAAACCTCAACTGTATCTGACCAGTATTTATTAGATTATGGTGAAATGAAATCATCTGCTTCATTATTTGTTGTATTGTTGGTATGGTTATTAGTTATTAGTTGTTACCTGCTGCTTCTCGGTCTTGTGAAGGGCATGTTTCTGGATATTTTGCTGACATTCATCTTTTACATACTCTAGTTTCGTCCTTCAAGGCAGCATCCTACTCATCTCCATTGTTACCCTTCTCTGCAACTTAAAACTGATAAAAGTAAGCCCCTTTTCCTTGCTTTTATCAAATATGACTTGTGAGTAAGTTTTGTGATTGGGTTTTCATTCATTCAGCTCTCCACATTTCCTTCAAAGATCATAAACAAAGAAAAGTCTCCCGGAAGCAAGCTTATTTGCCTCTTCCCACTTCAGAAGAACAGTCCCAATACACTGAAGATACATCAAATGATCCAGAAACAGTAAGCCCCCAAATTGTCCCCGAAGCTACACCTCAAGATGGTAGTTCAACTATCAAATCCAATGGAAATGACGGAAAATCTGGTTTCATTTCGTTTTACAATCCTCGGAACAGAGGATATTTTTGTCCTCCCTCCTGAAGCACAAAGTACATTGGGACGCCTCATATGGCTCATTGGTCCTGCTGTCTTAGTTTCCTCTTTCATTCTTCCTCCGCTTTAGTCTCAGCAGTTTTTGAAGACTCTTTGCTCACAGGTTTCTTCTTGCTTCTCCCATTTTCATTTACTTTTCAAAACTGCCAAGACAATGTCATTGACTCTTTCGACTTCTTGTTTGCAGACTTCCTCATATTGTTTTTCACTGAAGCTCGTGGGAGACTAGTTGATGAACAACTTACGTCTACAATGATAAATTCACACCATTGGCAGGTTCTATCTCTAACTTCTTCTTTCTTTGATCTCATCTTCATGTACATATAGTGACTAGGTTTCTGGATTGGGCCCACGTAATTCTATATCTGGCCCATATTACTTTCCAGTTTGTGCCAAAAGTTTTTATTTTTGTGTGATTACTTAAACAGAGAAAAAAGCTCTAGTTGGATTGTTCTAAAAGTTAATCTCAAATTACCAAAATAGTGAAATATAATGGATCATTTATTTATTTTCCTTAAATTTCGTAGATTCACTGATCTTATAGAGTTAATAATCAACAAATAAAACATTTTAAAACTCTATAAATAGTTAAATACTTATTTAATCATTATCAAAAGAGAAAACTCAACAGAAAGTAAAAATTTGTACATATCTCCAATTCTATACACAACACAAATAGAAAATTTACATAAACATAAACTTCTCTGTATACAATAAATAAAGTTCCCAGATTTTTATTTCCTTATAAGGGCTTTTAATAAGATTTTTAAAAATAAAAAATTGACTTAAATTCTTCACCGCCTTTCTCATTATCGGAAGCCTATAAATACGCTTTATTTTCCTTCGCACTTCTAGGCTCTTATTCTTCACTTGTCGATTCTCATAACTCTCTATATCAAATCCCGGTGAAATCGGAGTCGTTTCTCTCTGGAATCTTCGGTACGTTACATCTTCTTAGGGTTAGGGTTGCTAGAGGTTCTTAGGGTTAGGGTTCTCTGAGGTTTGTTGATTCATCGCAATTCTTGACTAGTTTCAGAGATTGATGTGTATAGTTAATCGAACTTCAAACTTGTTCTTTATCTCTTGTTTGTGGATCTTTGACTATCGATACTAATATTCTCGTGACTAATACTCGATTGTAGAAAAAATCTAATTGAAGAAGGATGGAGCCCGGCAAGGTCATGGGGTTGGACGAAGGATGGGCTCTTATGGAGGTCGGAGTTACAAAGCTCACAAGGATTCTAGAAGGAAAGAAGGAGGCACCTTTTGATTCCGAATCTTATATGCGTCTCTACACGTATGTCATCGTCTTGTCTAACTTTTGTTGTTATTTTACCAAACTTGTGTATGGATTCTTATTCTTAACACTGTGTATTCTCACAGGACTATCTACAACATGTGCACACAGAAACCTCCTAACGATTACTCTCAGGAACTTTATGATAGGTATCAGAAAGTGTTTAAAGATTACCTTACGAAAACGGTGAGTCCAGTGACCTATATATTGACTCCTTGTTTGATTACGATTAAGTTTTCACAAACAGTTTAATCTGACTCCTTTTTTTTTGGTTAGGCGTTGCCCTGCTTAAGAGAGAAGCATGCTGTGTTTCTGCTGAGAGAGCTTGTTGTGAGGTGGTCTAATCACAAAATCATGGTGAGATGGCTATCCAGATTCTTCTACTACCTCGACCGTTACTTCATTGCTCGGAGATCACTTGCACCACTGAGTGACGTTGCCATGACATGCTTCCGCGACCTGGTCTACAAGGAGTTGCATTCCACGGCCAAGGACGTTGTGATTGAGCTGATTCAGGAGGAACGCGAGGGCGGACAGATTGACAGGGCGCTGTTGAAGAACGTGTTGGATATCTACGTTGAGACTGGGACGGACCAATACAAGAACGACTTCGAGACGTTGATGCTTAAAGACTCGACGTCTTACTACTCTCGCAAGGCCGCAAGCTGGATCCAAGAGGACTCTTGCCCTGAATACATGCAAAAGGCCGAGGAGTGTCTGAGAAAGGAGAAGGAGAGAGTCGCTCACTACCTTCATTCAACCACTGAGGCTGGACTAGTTAAGATTGTACAGACAGAGTTGTTGGTTAAGGTTGCGAAACAGCTTCTGGACAAGGAGCACTCTGGTTGCCGTGCGTTGCTAAGAGACGACAAGGTGGAAGATCTCTCCAGGATGTACAGGCTTTATCAGCCAATCGCCAAAGGGTTGGAGCCTGTTGCAGAAGTTTTCAAGCAGCATGTTACTGCGGAGGGGAACGCCCTAATCAAACAAGCCGAGGACGCAGCTACTAGTGGTGGCGTGCAGGATCAGGTTCTTGTCACACAGATAATGGAGCTACACGATAAGTACATGGACTATGTCACGAAATCTTTCCAGAGCCACACCCTCTTCCACAAGGCATTGAAGGAGGCGTTTGAAGTCTTCTGTAACAAGAACGTGGCTGGAAGCTCCAGTGCAGAGTTGCTCGCAACGTTCTGCGATAATCTCCTCAAGAAGGGAGGAATTGAGAAGCTGAGTGAAGAGGCTGTCGAACGCACGCTTGAGAATGTGGTCAAGTTGCTTGCTTATATAAGCGACAAGGATCTGTTTGCCGAGTTTTACAGGAAGAAGCAGGCCCGTAGGCTCTTGTTTGACCGGAGTGGTGGTGAAGAGCATGAGAGTTCTCTACTTACAAAGCTCAAACAGCAACTCGGTGGCCAGTTTACTTCTAAGATGGAGGGCATGGTTACGGATATGACTTTGGCAAAAGATAGCCAGCTCCAATTCGAGACGTATTTAAACGATTCCGTTGCCACAAAACCGGGGATTGATATGACCGTGACTGTTCTCACCACTGGTTTTTGGCCAAGTTACAAAACATCTGACCTCAATCTACCCAGTGAAATGGTAACTCTTTTTTTTTTACGGAAAACATTCTCTCATATCCCCAGGTGATCTAAACTTGGTTTGGTTTTGTCTCAGATCAACTGTATTCAGGTCTTCAAGGCATTTTACGAAGGGAAAACCAAGCACAGGAGACTTATGTGGATTTATTCTCTGGGAACATGTAATGTCCTTGGAAGGTTTAGTGCAAAACCAATCGAGTTAGTCCTTTCCACCTACCAGGTATCTATCTTTGTTTTTGTTTTCTCAAATTGGTACATTGATTTTCGGCACTAAACTGAATATCTTTTTCTTTCATATCAGGCTGCTGTGCTTTTGCTTTTCAACAACACTGAAAGATTAGAGTACAAGGAGATAGTTGAACAACTCAACCTTAGCCACGAAGATGTTGTCAGGGTGCTTCATTCCCTGTCCTGCGCAAAGTACAAGGTTCTGAAAAAGGAACCCATGTCAAAAACCATCTCTCATAACGATGCTTTCGAATTCAACTCCAACTTCACCGATAGAATGAGGAGAATTAAGGTAAAGTAATCATATATATACATTTTTCATCTCGTGGATCAAAAAGATGAAAGACGCTAATGAATATTCTACATGAACAACAACAGGTGCCTCTTCCTCCAATGGATGAGCGGAAGAAGGTGGTTGAAGATGTTGACAAAGATAGACGCTATGCGATTGATGCAGCTCTCGTGCGGATCATGAAGAGCAGGAAAGTGTTGCCCCATCAACAGTTGGTCTCTGAATGTGTTGAGCTTCTTAGCAAAATGTTCAGGCCTGATATAAAGATGATCAAGAAACGGATTGAGGATTTGATCAGCAGAGACTACTTGGAGCGTGATACCGACAATCCCAACACTTTCAAGTACGTGGCTTAGTACAGCATATGGTCTTCTTCTCCGGTTTTTTTGTAAAGGTCTCTTTAGATTTTTTTGGATGAATTTTGGTGTTTGAAAAGAACGAATGTCTTTCTTTACTCTTTTATCTTTTTTTCCCGGAAATACTTTTTAATCTTCATAATTGTGGATGAAAAATCCCAAAATTCGTCAATTCTTGCTTACAAAGCCGGATTGGTCTTCTTAGAAGACTATTGTTAAGCGGCCTCTTCCTCAAGTATTCAATTTATATACACACAAAACAGAGGATGGCAACTTTCAATATTCAATCTTCAGCAAGTCTCACAAATCAGATCCTAACACTATACACTTTAGAAGCCAAGAGAAGAAACAAGTTTCATTATGGCTCTCTCTCTCTATTTTGGCTTCTCTCGTCTCTGAGTGATATCAAACTTACTTTTACAAAGTGAGATCATAATAAATCATAGTCACCGGTTTATGGATTCCATTGCAAGCCTCACCACATGCAACAATTTGTCCATGTCCTGAAAATTGAAATCAAGGGCCTTCTTTATTGATGCTATACCATCACTACTGTATCGGGTTTCACCCGATTTGCCTCCCTTGGCAGCTGCAAATGCTATCTGTGCTTTTCTTGATGCATCCATACCAGAGCTTACGTTTTGTGACTGCAAGGCCAAAATAAACCCATCTAAAAACCACACATCCAATACCGCTATTGAGATTATGATGGCAAGATGACTACAAGAACATCTCATCATGTTATGATGATGATGCAACACTATTTCTTATGATGATGCTAATGTCTAATGATATGATAATATGCTTGAAGATGCTTCCAGTTCGTGTTGCTCAATTATCTCACTTACAAATTCCAAAAGCTGAGAAAGAGAGGAATTGTTTCCTGAAGAGATAACAAGGCTTCCGGTTACACTAGGGGATGACCTCACAGTGTTGGACAATGCCACCTTTTCCGCTGCCAACGTTTGGTTTGAATTCTCACCATCAGAAGCAAAGGAAGGAGATTCACCTGTTTGAAGACCAAACAAAACCATCAGGAACAACATCTTTTATACATTCTTGTATCTGTCTTCATATTTGTAGTAAACACAACCATCCAAGAGTTCTGATAAATTTGCCGAGACCGAAGCATTTTTTTTTGTTTTTTTCTAAATACCTGAAGGAACCACTTGCAGAGCTGCTTGCAACTCATTTCTGCATCTGCTTATGCTTCCATGGGAGGAATAAGTTATCCTTAGAAAAGCTACTTCCATGCATTTATAAGCCAGAGCAGCAGCCCCCATATCTTTATATTTCTCATATTCACGAGCACAGTACCTGTTACATAAACAGTGCGAATTGAGGATACGCTTCAATATAACGTTTGCACATCATGACATGCTAGAAATATCTTTAGTCACACAATGCATAAGCTCAGCGAAGATGAGAGGGGCAACTATAAACATGTTACCATAACAGTGAAATGGAGGACTTAATTGCATGACCAATGACAGTCACAAAGTCAGATCTTGCTGAATGCCAAACACTTACCCGCAAAGTTTTGCTGTGCTGCCATAAATATCAATGGATCCGGCATTGCTCTTATGAGTGGTATACTCAGTGCCAGAGGACTCCAAAATGGAAGCACCATGAAGAAACTTAAGCGCTGCCTGAAAGTAAAAACCAGTCCCCTCGTGATGGGACTCATCATTATTCTGCAAAAGGTTAACGTCTATGTTAAGCCAGGGGAGAGACAGCAGACATAACCACTGCAACATATTGCCATAAACATGCCAAACCTTAAGACGATCAGCAATGTGTTTCAAGGCTGTAGCCTCTTTGAGTGAGTTGGAGAATGCCTGCATCGTCGATTCCTTTCTTAAAGGGCTTGAGCCAACATGATTCTTATGCCTACTTCCATTTTGCTTTTGGTTACGTGAACCTGCATTGTGTGTCACGCTGTGATTATCATTTCTCATCATCTGTCTCTTTGTATCTGATATCTCAGTGCCATGGCTCAAGACTTCAACTTGATCTGGAGCTGATCTACTCTTTAGTTTCTCAGCGGTCACTTCCAAGTGGTTGCTTTTCCCATGGGAAGTTTTTTCTCTATCAGATTTCTGTGGAGCAGGAAAATGACTACCATTTCTCTCTACCTTAGTACTAGGATCTTGATATTCTCTTGAGTCCTCTTTACTACTCTCCATAGGATCTTTTCTAGCAGGTCTTCTCTTGCTTCTACTTTCTTTTGTTTTTACTTCCTTCTCCGTAACCCGGTTATTCTCTTCCCTATTCTTTCGTTGAGATTCACCTTCTGTGCCATTGTCACCAGAATATCTCCCTGACCTCTTTGGTTTATGTATTTCAGTCGAACATTTCTCACCGTATGCTCTTTCTTTATCCCAAGAGTGTGTGGCTTCCCCTGTAATGCGCAAATTATTATCCTTGGAAACTTCTGCAGCCTTGTTAGTGCTATAACCTTCACCATCTCTGCATCTCTTTAACGTATCACCAGCGTTAGAGTCAGTATCACGGTGTTCATCCTTTGCTAAGATTCTCCCTGATTTAAGCTCACGTGATTCAACAAGCGAATCTTTGGCTTCGTGGAAACTGGTTTTGATAGTTTCAGAGCCCAAATCCTTGCATAAACTCGGTGAGGACGCCGAAAAAGGTAGATGTGAAGCATTATCTCTACCATTTTCCTGACTAACTCCTCTGTCCCTATCACAACTTGTACTCCTATAAGGCAACTCCTTTCCATCACAGCTTGAACCCTTAAACCTCTTCTTGTTTCTAACTTTCTCTCCACCTGACTCCATTACTGCAGCTTCCCTAGGTCTCATACAATCTCCACTTTCTTTGTTTTCCTTCTGTTTCCTCTTTCTCTCATCACGTCCATCATGAGAGGAAGTCTTAGCAACATCCTTCTCTTTTTGGGCAGAGGCTTGAGTAATCGTAGTTTTGTTAACAAGGTCCAGAATTTTGTTGGATCCAGGTTGATCCCCAGCAGAAAAACGTGATCTTCCAGTCTTTGGCTTCTTACAAGTCCCAGAAAGTTCTCTTTCAGGTTCCATTCCCAAATCCTCAATTCCTAGTACAAGCATATCAATCAAAGCATCAGATAGTTTGGAAATATAATACGAAAAAGAAAAAAAAAAATCAATATATTTCACAAATAATACCTTCATCAGAATGCTTATTATTCACTTCCAATCTAATATTCTGCTGAGTGTTGTGCCTATCTTCATCGGTAAGATGTTTCGAATCTGGTTCACATAGCGAATGAACATAATTACATGCCTTTTCATCGTTTCTAACACTGCTCAAACTCTCCTTGAAGCCATTTACTTCTGAAAGATTTTCTTTCTTAGCTTTAAGAGCCAAACTGCTTTGTTTTTCTTCTTTTGACTCTCCTGAATCACCAGAGAATACCTTATACATATCTTCGGATCCTCCAGTATCTGATACATTCATATTACTCATATTTACAGCAGCATCCTTTCCTCTCAAACTATTCCTGCTTGAACTTCTTACCGACTTATGTGCTTTAGGCAGCTTCGGCTTAAAACTTTGCTCTTCCTTTCTTGCCTCACTCTCACTAACCTTATCCACAGATGAATAATGTACATGTTCAACACTTGGAACTCTCTCCCGCTTTGATCTACTTGTTTCACCTTCTGTCAGGTACACATCTTTTCTTCGATCTGGAAATGCCACTAGTTTACCTTCCAGTTCAGGCTTTGAATCCATCAAAGCTGCATCTAGGCCACCGTTGTTCTTGCCTCTTAATCTACCCTCAACATCATCTACATGAGAATCTGATACTTTATCAATCTCTTTCGCCGGCGAAAGACAGGACAAAAGCGGAAGCTTCAGAGTCTTGGAAACAAGCTCCTCGCATGACTCGTTATCACCTTCTTTTTCAAAATGATTTCCGTTTGACGGTGGCATATACTTTACTCTCTCCTTCAACTTTTCCTTCTTCGGCTTCGCAGTGGAAAACTTAGCAGCACACTTTTGTGCATCAGAAACACCCAAAATATGGTGTTTACTTTTGGAGTCTGACTTGTTGACAGACGCATCTTTCCTAGTATTGTCTTTCTTCGCCAGCAGGATAAGATCATCAGAGAGAGGTGATAACAGCTGATCTGTATGCAGAGGGAATGACACCATCGCCTACACAAAAGAATGCATCAAGAACATAGACTCATCATATTCATGGAGAAAGAAAGGAACAAGAGAAGATAAATAGTAATCACCATGAGAATTTTAGTCGGCGAATCATGAATCCCATTCAGCAACCCTTCTTCAGCTGAATTCACTCGCGACGTCGACGGTGGCATATTGAGGCCTTGCTTACTAGTACAATTTGAAGCATTTTTCAGGGACGAGAGGTCATTTGAACCAACTTTAATACGGAGTCTGAGAGTCTTATGATTCGACGGAGCAGAAGAAGAAGAAGTGTTCGAGACATGTTTTTGTTTGCTATCAGGTGTACTTGCTTTGACAAAGTTTTTCAATTTGACCAACACGTCGGAAGCAGGAGCTTTTGAAGTGGATCCACACACTGATACTTGAGGTACAGCCGACGAAGCTGAGCAGGTAGAACGAACACCCTATAAAGCAGAATCAGAAATTGTCATTTCGCTTAATGCCTCTCTGAAGAGAGAAACATTTTTTAGTTGTTAAAGTGATGTTACCACTTGGTTTTGAACTTCTGGTGGACTCTTACAAGCAGGAGATCTCTGATACATAGACAAGAAGGAACCATAGCCACCAAACTTTGCACCTATATACATAGGTGGTAAGAGATGCCTCAAATGGTAACAATTCATATAGAAAGCAACAAACTTTTTATTTGCTGCAAACAGACTAACCCAGATTTTCAGCTGAAACTCCACCTTCGAAGTCCTTCTGGAAATGTCCCAAAACGTTCTCGAGCTTCTCATCCTGTTAAAACCGGAAAATTCCAAAAATGGTCTCTAAGTAGTAGAAATCAAGAGTTTTAAAAAGGAAAATATGTTTGAGGTAAGGTAAGAGCAGAGGAAGGTTACAACTTACAATATAGGAGAGAGCAACATCTGGGTCAACGCAAGAAACATAAGAATGTGTGCTTTCTTCCTCCTCAAAGTCGTTGTCTTCCATCATTTCTTCTTCCTCCATTCCAGCAGCAAGCCCTAACTCTAACCCTATCTCGCTTCTCGCCTCGCTGCTGCTCACCGAAATCATCTAAAACCCAACCTATTTCCCACCAATCGAAGCTGCCAATCTTCCAATTTCTTCAGAAACCCAGATCGAGATGGGGAACAAAATTCTTAACTTACGACCGGAAAAAGGAAAAGTAGCCGATAAATCCGGTGAATTCGTTGGAAGTGGTCAGAATCAAACAGCCAAGGCAATAGCGCCCAAATTGGAGCTCAGGTGAAAAAAGAATTTGGAGAAGCTAAAAGCTCCCAAGGTCGAAACGAAATTCAAAATTCCGTTTCCTGATTCCTCATTCTCATGTCGCTATTATTTTCTCGAACAGACAAAAAAATTCATTTCCTTATTACAACAAACAAAAAAAAAAAAAGGAAAACTCAAAACGCTTCGGACAAGGCTCGCACAAACAAGGCAAATCCCACGTGACGTTATGTCAGCGAGCGTTTTAAGTTGGTTAAGTCGGTAATTTCCTCCCAGATAGTGACAAGTGTTTGGATTTGTCTTATTAACGTCCTGCTTCGAATCTAATCCAAAACTCATTATTATCGCTACATGCTTTTAAGTGAAACAATACCCATTTCAGACATATATCAAACAGATATGTAATAACTAACACATACCCAATATAACAAAACATATCATTGGGTTTCATTTTTGTGTTGACATTATAATTCTGACATTTGTATGCTAATAGTATACTTTTGTTGAGATGTCATTCGCTTGTATGCTGTTGTTGTTACAGAGGAGTTTTAGGTGGAACGGCCTTCGAATTGATCTCGAAGCATCTCATACTTTTTAAGCTCTGTTATGGAGAGTGATGGCGAAAGCTGATCCATTGCCTACAAAGACAAGTGTCAATGATTAAGATTACGCAACCCAACAACAATTGAATATTCGACCCCGACACGAACATGTTAAAGCTCACTCATTCTCGAAGGTTGTACCTTTATAAAATCGACATACTCTACAACAACTGAATCAGGATCATCTTCTGGAAGAGAATCCCCTGAATCTGAATCCAAGACCTGAAATTGCCAAGGAAGCACGTGATTTTCATAAAGCTTTTACAGAGAACACCATGAAAGAAAAACAAGAAGAAGACTTGTTTCTCACCTTCCGCTTAGCTGCCTGAAACCAAGCATCAGCACACAATGCATACATGTCTGCACCAGTGAATGTAGAGGGACACTTCTTTGCTACTGAATAAAGCGATACGCCTTCTCTCAGCTTAAATTTCCGAGTAAGTGCTTTAAGGACCCTGTAAAACAAGACAAGGATCAGAGAGTGTTTTGTGTTGCTGCTGGGCAAAGATCAAGGTTTTGAATGTTTAAAAGGTAAAACCTTTCTCTGTAAGAAGCATCAGAGTTGACTCCAACATAGAGAAGTTTGTCGAATCTGCCAGGTCGTAGAAGAGCTGGATCAATCAGGTCAGGTCTATTGCTTGCTCCTATAATAAACAGATCCTGGGAAGAATCGCTCAGTCCATCAATCTCTGCAAGCATCTGAGAGACCACTCGATCCATGACTCCTCCAGAATCACCAGAAGCTCCTCTAGCTGGAGCAAGAGAATCAAGCTCATCAAAGAAGATGACACATGGCCGTGCCGATCTCGCCTGCCAAAAGAAGTTCAATTCAATAGTTTGAGAATCGAGTGTATAGATTAGATAAAGCTTCTTCTAAGGAAAGAAAGATATAATTACCTTTTCGAAAATATCTCGAACATTTTTCTCTGACTCACCAATATACATGTTGATCAACTCTGGACCTTTTACGCTAAGGAAATTTAAGGAACACTCTGTCGCCACAGCTTTTGCCAGTAAAGTCTACAAATTTCAATCAAGAAACCATAAATGTAACTGACAATAAAAAGAGACTATTGAAACACGCTAAAAAGTCATAACACAAAAACGGGCAACTTACTTTCCCTGTTCCTGGGGGGCCATAGAGAAGCACACCAGAACGTTTACGCAATCCGGACGAAAACAAATCTTTGTGCAGGAGAGGTAACTGAACTGTGTCCAATATCGATGTTTTCACATCCTCAAGCCCACCGACATCATCCCATTTCACATTCGGAACCTATGAAGAATGCAAAGCAAAGCTGACTCGTTAATAGGAAACCAAACGAGAAAACACCACAGAAAAAAAGCTGTGGTAATGTTACCTTAGGAGCACCAAGGGCTGATGCATTTCTCTTCTTTGATCTGTCCAAAGCTTTAGTAAAGTCTTCCTTAGCTGTTAATGTCTCACTACTCTTACCTAATTGGCTTTCCTGCTCTACATCAACTCCATGAAGATCATCTGACACAGAGTTGATTTTCTTCGTCTTGGACTCTTGACTAATGAATAAGTTGGCACCCGCATCAGCTACAAGAGCACGCAAGTCCCGAGGGAGGAAACCAGAAGTCTGTCCTACTAATCCCTTCACAAATTCATCTGAGCTGGTCTACAAAATGAATTACAGTACTAGTGCATTAAGCTTGAAGTTGTTTGATAGGTATTTCTTAGAGTTGAATGTGAGCTGTTTAGGTTTAAACTATATCATAACACATTCTTAAACTTTAGAGCATTGTACTCACATACATTAAGGAGTTGAGAAACACCTTGGAGGGATTGTGACAGCATCTCAGATCTCTGTTCGTCATTTAAAGAACCCATTCGTATTTCATGGCTAAAGCAACGCCTGATTGTTGGAGAGAGACCTTCAGTACTTTCAGCAGATGCGATTAGCAGCACCTGGTGTCCCCTAAACTTCCCACCTTCATCTACAGACTGCATTAGCAGATATACAGATAAGGCATCATGAGAGGATGGATTCCAAATGGGGAAGACAGATGTTTTATAGGGTTATATTTCTAAAATTATTATGAGTTGTTTGTGAGCTTAGCTACAATGAACATGTGACAGCAATTTAGTAAACTGAAGAGTGAATTTTGGTGAAACTGTGCAATGGAGAACCAAGGAATGAAATGCAAATCTTACGTTTTCTTCCATGGAACTGTGTTCACCATTAGAAACTGGCTCCGTGAGTTCCCTTATAACCGATGCAATTTCAGAGGCCACGCCAACTCGATCACCCTGTGAGCCATCCTGAGACCCCAGATTTTTAAAAACCTCGAAATGGCGAAGCAGAAGTATCGTTGGTGTATACCTGTGACAGCGAAAGAAAGGCATTCACCAAGCTGGATAAAACTACGTTTCCGGAGAGAATGCATTTCAGATATTCGTTATTACTACTATGTATATCAACATGTTAGATGTTCTGCATTTAGTGAATAGCTCAGTAACTAACAATATATATGAAGATGTAAACTTTACAACATACATACAACCATTCACTAAATGCAGAACATCTAACATGTTGATATACATAGTAGTAATAACGAATATCTGAAATAAAATAAGATACAAAGACTATACCGATTTACCTTCGTGCCATATTAAAAGTCTGGGCCAAAGCAGTAGATGTACTCCTTTCAGATGATGCTAATAAACTGTGACAGCTATATTCAACTACATGCAGCCCCAACCTCCTAGCAACATAGCTAACAACAGTTCTCTTCCCGCACCCTTAAACAAACATTAGATACAAAAAGCTATTAGAACGTTATCCATTTATATGCAAAAAGCATAAAGAGTATGATTATTGGCTTCCCTCAAATCACCATAATTAGGAATACAGAACAAAATTATTGGTAAAACAGAAGCAAATGTACCTGGCTGACCATGTAATAAAACAGCAACCCTGAGTTTTGAGGAGAGTGCTGATGGGCAGAGAGGTGGAGAAAGCACCGATGCCAAAAGATTTACTGTATCCTCCTGCAATGGCATATGAACCTTTGATCTTGATACCAGCAAATCTGGTGGAAGACCAGAAGAGACAGTTCCTCCGAGTACGAGAGCGGTTTGGGAGTGATTGACTCGAAGAAACCTCTCGTTAGAAGGTTCCATCGCAATAACCTGAGCACAAGAACTATATAGTTCAGTAAAATTCAGGCCAAAATTAATTTTTTTTTTTCAGGCTAAAAATAAGAAAGTCAGTATTTACCTTGAAATATATAAAGTCCTCGCTTTTGGAGCATAACCTTTGACTACATGGAATACAAATGCTTGAACCACAGTTCCACTCAATGTAAATGCGAAACACATCACCTCTTGACAGCTGTCTATCAACTCCAAAATACTTATGCAATGCGGAATCGATAAGCCCTTGTCGCTCTTCAGCTTCAAACGAGGAGTTGACTTTCAAGGACTGAATGGTACCACACTCCGGGATTTTAACAAAAGAAACTCTCAGATGCGATGCATACATTGGCACTTCGGAGACAGGTTCCAAATCCAAACCAATCGTTGATGCATCCACACCAGATTTCCCATTCGATTCCTCGTCAAACTTAGCTTCAAAATACTTCTCTAAGACCTCGTTCCCTCGATGGACAAGGGACTTCAGGCAAGATATGTGGAGGCTAAGATTAAAAGCTAGCATTGGGGACAAGTAAGCAACCTCTTGATCTAGTAAGAGAGGGCCTTGTAAGGTCAAATCATAAGTAGGGAAGACAAGCATTGTATGGAGAGACTCCGAAATAGCGATGGAGGCATCTTCTAGCGTCGTCTTGGGAGGATCGAGTACAACAACTTGCGCAACCCGTTGAGTGCCTCTCTCAATGTTCTTGATAACAACCTTCAATTATTAACACTCAGTGAAGTTACAACAAGTTCTACACCAAAAGCTCAGTTTTTCAAAATAAAAAACGTCCCTTAAAAAATTCCAACAGATCAGCAGTGACTGAGCAAGATGAGTACTTACCAAAGAGCCAGAGTTGATGGATAGTCTCTTGAGCAATTGAGTGGAGAGTCCGATCAATGCAGAGTCATCAAAAGAATCCAATTTTGAATCGGAAACATTTTCTCCGTCTCGGTGCCACCGGAGAATGCCCGCCGACAATCTAACATTCCGTTGAATCGAATCGGATCCGCGCGAAGTCCTATCTTTACTCAGAACTCGGTCGCCGCCGGCAGAGACGGGTTGTAACGAATTTAGCACTGAACGGAGTGTACTTCTGGTGGATGATAGAACTAGAGGACTCCGTCTCTCTACCATTTGAACGGAATCAAATCGAATTTCAAATAAGCAAAGAGGGAAAGTTAGAAATGTGAAAACCCCTAATTTCCCATTAGAAGGTTGAAGTTCCGTTGAAGAAATTCAAAGACGCGAACCGAGGAAGAGGATCAGATGATCGACTGAGAGGATGACGACGCGCCGGCGTCAGATTTTTGTTTTTTCCTTATTTTACATTTGTGTTCAAATATTTTCTCAAATTACATTTTCGACCGACTTACTATATTTTTTCTTTCTTTTTGGTCCAAGCTACCCTAAATTGTAAAACGTTATTTAATTTAGGGGTCAACCTTATACACACACACAATCAAAGGCACACAAAGCTTCCCATTGCATCTAATATCCAGAAAAATGTATATCCATCTTAAACACTCAGTTTTCATAATTACCATAAATATAAAATTATAGGTTTTGAGGGGCTCGAGAATTTCGATTCAGTCTAACATCATTACGTAAACAGCCTTAAAGCTAAGTATAAATCTCAATTGGTGTAATCAGTAAGAATCACTATAGCTTTCTAATTCTTTAATTAGTTTTTCTAGCCAAAGCAAGAAAGGTCCTAATTAGTTTGGACCACACGCAAAAACAATACATTTTCAAAATGAAAGCATGTAGTGATCTTAAAGCTTGGTCTGACCAAATTATTCACATGACACAGATAGGTTATAACTTTTTGCATTATAAAATCCATAGAAAATTAGTAGACAAAACAATTCATAGAAAATTAAATTAATGATCATCTTAAGATTTTGCTAACTGAGCGGAATTGGGCAAACAAGAGTGGACATAATCATCAAACTAGAAGTCATCATTACACTTACCATAGGATCAATATGAGAATAATAGAAACCTTAGCCCATAGTAATGAGATGAAAGCAATTAATGTAGAGTATGTACATGCATTGTTTTTCAATATCTACAATAATAATGACCTCAGCTTTACACGTAATAGGAGATTAATTAATTAAGACTTAGATAATCAATACCCTTTTATATATCTACCTTTTGCATCATTAACTACGTACATTACATTCCCTTCAAGTAATCACAACCGCAAGAGCTCTTCTTCTTCTTTGTGGGGAGAGAGAGAGAAGAGATGGGACTTGTTACAGTCGGAGAGCTGAAGCCAACTTTCACAGGAAAGAGAGGGTTTCGTCTGAATTCAAGCATCAGACATGCATCTGAATGGTAATATATACTATACTGTTTAAAAAGCATCTTAGTAATTATTATTACCAGAAAAAACATTTTCACGAAAATAGTTCTTGTTTTGTCTGCACTCGAATCTTTGTTTTTTCACGCAGATTTGATGAACAACTGTCAGAAACGAATGAAAGATTTGTTCGTTCTTATGAAAATTTAGCTAAAGGCTCAAACTTGTATGTGATGTGAATCTGTAACCACAAGTCATTTATTGTTAAAGCCTTACTGTTCATCAAAAACCAATAATTTTTCTCTCTTATTTTGTATCTATCTGGAACACATTCGTACATTAACACTTCATCTGGTTCTGTCTTCATTTGAAAAAGTTTGATGTAGACGTAACCTTTTTAATGTCTCTTGTGAATCTAAAAATGTCATCAAAACCAGGAAAGCAATACACTATTTTCGACGATAGATTCACTGTTTGCTTATCCTAGAATCTTAGCATTGGAGTCATGGAACACATAAGCAGTTCTTATACGATGATCATCAAATTCAAGTCCACACATATCCTTTGATTCATAGTTCAGAAATACTTTTGCTTATTGAAAAATCTCAGAACCTTGATGGGATTTTTTTTTTTTTAATCTATTTCTACAGGCCGATATCTGATGTCTCTAGTGATCTCACAGTCCAAGTTGGATCTTCGAGTTTCTGTCTTCATAAGGTAAAAGCAAATACTGAAATACAAGAACCTTAAAACAGAGCATCCTCTGTTCTTGAATTGTCTTGAAGATTTAAACTTTTACTTTTTGATTTGGTTTTCTCAGTTTCCTCTTGTGTCTCGGAGTGGAAAAATCCGGAAGCTTCTCTCAGATTCTAAAATCTCGAATATTTGTCTGACGAATGTTCCTGGAGGATCAGAGGCTTTTGAGATTGCAGCTAAGTTCTGCTATGGAATCAACATTGAAATCAACCTTCTCAACATAGCTAAGCTCCGCTGTGTATCTCATTACCTAGAGATGACAGAGGATTTCTCAGAGGAGAATCTCGCTGCAAAGACAGAACATTTCTTGAAAGAAACAATTCTCCCAAATATCTCCACTTCCATCATCGTTCTACATCACTGCGAAGCCCTAATCCCAGTCTCTGAAGATCTCAACTTGGTAAATCGGCTAATGGTAGCAATCGCCAACAATGCTTGCAAAGAACAGCTAACCTCGGGTCTTTTGAAGCTTGATTACACGTTTTCTGGTACGAACATCGAACCAGAAACTCCGTTAGACTGGTGGGGAAAATCACTAGCTGTTCTTAATCTCGATTTCTTCCAGAGAGTTGTCTCAGCGGTTAAGTCTAAAGGGTTAAGACAAGACGTGATCAGCAAGATTCTCATAAGTTACACGAATAAGTCGCTTCAAGGGCTAATCGTCCGCGACCCGAAACTGGAGAAGGAAAGGGTTCTTGATTTGGAATCGAAGAAGAAACAGCGGTTGGTCGTGGAAACAATAGTGAAGTTACTTCCCACACAAGGAAGAAGAAGCTCTGTTCCGATGGCGTTCCTGTCAAGTCTTCTCAAAATGGTGATCGCAACATCATCATCTGCTTCTTCAGGATCATGTAGATCAGATTTAGAACGAAGGATTGGTCTTCAACTAGACCAAGCGATCCTTGAAGACGTCTTGATTCCGATAAATCCCATCGGAATCAACAACACCATGTACGACATCGATTCAATCCTGAGGATCTTCTCTATATTCTTGAATCTGGATGAAGACGACGAAGAAGAAGAAGAGCATCATCATCATGGTCACCGGTTCGGAGACGAAACAGAGATGATTTACGATTTCGACAGTCCTGGATCTCCAAAACAGAGTTCGATCTTGAAAGTATCGAAGCTAATGGATAACTATCTAGCAGAGATAGCTTTGGATCCGAATCTGACGACCTCAAAGTTCATAGCTTTAGCAGAACTACTACCAGATCATGCTCGTATCGTCAGTGATGGACTCTACCGAGCAGTGGACATTTACCTCAAAGTAAAAAAAAAAAAAAAATCATCAATCTTTATTTCATTTTCAACCGTCTCAAGTTCTCATTCAAGATTTGATATGATTTGATTTTTATGACAGGTTCATCCGAATATAAAGGATTCAGAGCGGTATCGTCTCTGTAAGACGATAGATTCACAAAAGCTATCACAAGAAGCTTGTAGCCACGCAGCGCAAAACGAGAGATTGCCTGTGCAAATGGCAGTACAAGTGTTGTACTTTGAGCAGATCAGACTCAGAAACGCAATGAGCAGTAGCATTTGTCCTACTCAGTTTCTTTTCAGTAGTAATTGTCAACAGTTTCCTCAACGGGCAGGAAGTGGAGCAGGTAATTTTACTTTACTACTTCTCTTGATTATATATACTGTTTTGGAAACCAAAATATTCCTTTCAAATTCAGATTATCGGCAACTGTAATTTGTTTGTTTGTTTCTTTCTTCTGCTTGGATCACAAGGTAGCGGAGCTATATCTCCAAGAGATAACTATGCGTCGGTGAGGAGAGAAAACAGAGAGCTAAAGCTTGAAGTTGCGAGGATGAGGATGAGATTAACGGATCTAGAGAAAGATCACATCTCGATTAAGCAAGAACTCGTTAAATCCAACCCAGGGACTAAGCTTTTCAAGTCATTTGCTAAAAAGATAACCAAACTCACTTCTCTTTTTAGTTTCAGTAGTCTTAAACCTTCCTTGACAGCCAAGCCAATTTCTGAGGGCCGTTTCTTGTTTCCAAGAAGAAGAAGACACTCAGTTTCTTGATTTAAATTGAAAGGGAAAAAAAAACAAATGTCAATACTTTGATTCACGGTGTATAGTGAACTGAGTATTTATTTATTTGGTTGGTGAGTTTGATCTGTGATTGGGAGTGTATGTATAGCTGTGTTTGTTATATGCGAGCGATGATGTTTTGTCCGGTCAAGAATTAGCCACTTTTGTGGGCACTAATCAAGGTGACTCAGCTCTGTTTATATTGGCTCACAAGCCTAATGCACTCGCCATCCCTTGGTATTAGAGTGTTTCAGAACTTGTGAGTGATACTAGTAAAAATTGCAACTAATTGATTCATATATATATTTTTTTGTGAATTTACAACTAATTACCTGAAATTCTCAATGTAGTTTTGGGTAAAACAATGGAGGCCATATTTCCAAAATGCAAATATGTTAACTATTGCAATCATTCCTTTTCTCTTCATCCATATTTCCTTTGCTCCAAACGAAGTATTATTGGTTTCGCAATAATATTATAGTACAGATATCACATTATTTAGTTATTTTACGTAAATATATCTAAAAATTGGATAGAATACTAAACAAAGCTAAGGGGTTAGTCTAGAGAACCAAACCAGAATGAAATAAATAAAAAAAGTAAAAAATTCAATATTTGAGAGATAATGTTTTGAAGATAATAAGTGAAATCATATGAGAGTGCATGACAACCATAATCGGCCGTGGTTTCTATATATTGCATTCAAACACACTCGAAATTGAATTAAATCGCTTCTTTTTTCCCCTTTTTGTAATTACACCTATACATATATATATATATATATATATATATATATATATATATATGCTTCAAACGCTGATCACATTCACGATCTTATTTCTAAACAATTGCGATTGCATTTCAAAATACAAAAGCGAAGTTGAAATCAAAACGTTTTTCTTTCCCCTTCTTGTGATTACACTTATATATATGCTTCAAATGCTGATCACACTTTATACTAAAAGATATATTTAGTCTTAAACCCATATGGCTCCAGCTCTTCTGAGCAGTGAACCTAGTTGGTTCTTAACTTGAAGAGACATCAGCTGATTTGCACCACCAATGAGCTGTTGCCCTATAAAGACAGCTGGCACGGTCGGTTTGCACCCAAGCTCATCCAGTGCTCCTTCAATCTCCGGTCCATTAGACATCTCGTCCAACTCGTACACCGTTGGATTCGCACCGTAGCCAGATATAAGCGACTTGATCGTGTGGCTCATACAGCACGAGCTCTTACTGAATATCACCACTGGCTTGTCTTCTAACAGATTCGATATCTTCTCCATTTGATATATTTTTGATAACTTTCTGTGTATTGGTGTGAGTAAAGATGAGATTTGGTTTTAGTCTCTGGTCCAAGGAAAGTCATTGGTATTTATAGAGTATTTATGTTTCGGAGAAATTATCGAAAGGCCCCCAGCTCTTATCGTACATGATTTGCTCCATTTATCTTTTCTTTTCAGTTTATGCGTTATACTTTTATTTTGTCCAGATTGATACCTAATGTAACCTAAATTATTTACGTCCAACGACATATCCATACGAGATCAAATGAAAATTACCACTTGTTTATACAGAATATATAATTGTTGTCTTGTTGATTAGTTCGTTCCATATGGGTTTGATTATAGATCTTCTCAAACGTCTTGGAGAGGAAAAATTGACAATAATGAAACACTGGGGTTTATAGGAATTTTATTTTATTTTGGGACTATTTTGCAAATTATATAATTGAAAAGACAGAACGAGCGAATAGTTGAAGAACATTGGAGAGCTATCGGAAAGAGAACCACAATCAACAAATATTCTATCTCGTTTTTGATTTACAAGAAATTCATATTAATTACTGTATTAAAAAGGGAAGATCGATATATATATATATACTAATAATAATGGAATTATAGTGGCACCACGAAAGAGCCATTGTCGTTTAAGCCGTACAAGCTGGATAGAAGATGATGAGGAAGATGCTGTTACCTCTGTACGTTCGGATTATCCGACCGACAAGAAAAGCGAACTAATCAATATACTCTCCCAACAAATTGAAATCAACTCTTCTTCACGGTCGATCGAACTGGAAATGCGAAATCGCTTACATTGGATTTCTTCAACTCAAGATGCATTTCAGCTATAATAACGATCTTATTTTTTTTTGTGTTGCATAATTTTGTGGAATGACGTCTCGCAAAATTGCTATACATTGAATGAACACTAATCAATTCGGTAATGCTTTTTGGTTCATTTCACGTGTTTCATTCAGTTTTGCGTAATCAACTAACTATTAGTTTCATCGTTCCACTATGTTATCAATCACAACTTATATTCTTTTGCGTACTACAAAAGGAAAACGATTCGTACTTGATTCAAGTTGGTGTATTTCGATTATTCTATCTCTCACATTGTGCACATGAACTTTGCCCTAAATATGGTTTGGTTCATAACTTCATATATCTACTTCAACTTATTAGACTTCGTAAGATCATCATCTTATGTACGAGGACGGCTTTGAATCGCCAAACTATACTTTGAGGAATATGAAATAATAGCTTGAATGTACACATATGAAGTTATGAACCAAACCATATTTAGGGCCAGGTTCATATGGAAAATTATATAATCATATGTAATAACTCGGTTGAACACAAAAAAGTAAACTAACTCGGTTCATTTGCGTACGAGCCAATTTATGAGATATAACACATAAATATTGAGTTACTGACCAGCCAAATTAAGTAACCAAACTATATATAAGATATATGGGTTACAAATGTTGATAGTAAACTGTAATGAACATTTAGCTGACCCGAAATCAAACAGAAACGAAATCACAGTTCTTGATATCCATGTATTTTTTTTTTTTTTTTTGAGAATTGATATCCATGTATTTTGTGCATTTTTAAACTAAAAACTGAAACAAAACCAGATTAAATCAAGCAAAGCCAAACCTAAAAAATTAACGTTTATTTATGTTTTCAAAACTTAGTAAAATATTATTAAAAAATTTAAAGATAGTAGCTGATAAAATCAAAATGTTATTTATCAATCTAATAATAACTAGAAGTAATTTTCATTGAAAATCGAGATACATTTTCCTTCTAAATAATCAAACATATTGGTTTTAATACATAATCGATCAGACAACAGCTATACCAATTACCAAACGAGAAAGCAAAAATATTCAGCCCTAACAGATAGACTATCATTGGATGATACAAACTAGACAGTTACCCGGAACATATTCGATATGAAGAAGAGATTAGATATGGCCCCAACTTGCTTTTCTTTTTCTCTTAGATTTTCTGAAACGTATGTATTTCTATTTGTATTTATTCCAATACTAAAAAATGTAACAAATAATATCCAAGGAGATTATGCGTATATGCGGAGAAAATGAAAAAGCATTGGTAAGCTGTTTTATATTCCAAGAAGGTCTCAAAAAAAAGAAAGAACAAGATAGGCCACGTATCTCTCACACATGGAAAGAATTACACGTTTTGAATTTGATGCTTTTTGCATGCATGAAAAATAAACTTTTCATCCTTCTTCATTCGTATATATTTCAAGATCCTTGTGGTATATAAAGTAAATTGGCTCCTTGAAAATTCGAAGAGCCGCTTATTTATATGTGAGGGTCACACATGAATTAATGTTGATCTAGCCATATATTATATATGTTCTGTTGGGGGTAAATGAGTTTTTATGGGTGAAGCTCTATCTTAATCCATAAATTTAATTACTCATATAGACTGTATATATAGTATTATTTTTGAGCCATCCTACAAATCTTTTTGTTTGTGGGATTTAATTTTTATGTTTTTGTTGTAGCAATAAACGTACCCGAAAGGAAACACATTTAAGTTCTATACAAAAGTAGTGAGTATCTGTTTTTACGAGGGCTAGTAATATTCTTTATACTGAGGCATCTAAATGTTGCTTTAAACTACTAAATTCTGAACAGATTTCAAATTGCATAGATGAAATAAATCTGATAAACTACTTGTCGAAAAATGCTTATTCGGTTAGATGGCATATCTCATACAACAACCACAATAATTATGATATGATGACGGAGACCATGCTTTGAAAAATGGATTGCAGAATGTGACTACACATGATTGATATTTTGTAACACGATTTCCATATAAGATCAGTAATTAACTATTAACTAATTTATACGAAGATGACATGAGAATGATTTTGGATTTTCATCACTGTGGGCCTCATAAGCGAAATAATGTAGCCCATTGGGCTGTTGGTAGTTTTTTGACCCAGCAAATAGGAGTCTTTTGGAGCATGCCACGTGGCGTTAAAATTACTCCTCGTCGTCCTCTGGAGAACAGAGCACCGTTTCGTTCGATTTGCAGAGAAAACAAAAGCTATATTGTAATTTTCATTCGAAAGTCGGGGAGTGTTATAATTTAATTCTTTTTCGCAGAGTACCTTTTTCTCCAGCTATAAGCTATATATCACGGATAATTGAAGTTGTTTTGAATCTGTTCACCTATGGAAGTTTCTTCTTTCTCCTCTGTACCCAGAGTCTGTTACTCATGCTCCTCTGTTCCAGGTTTCTTCTCCGTTTCACAAATCTCAATTTTTTTGCTTATCATATTTCGATTATAAGCTTACTCCCGTTATGAATCTCGGGTTTATTTGTTTTGCTCGATTCATATCATATCACAGGATCGTCTCGTTTCAGAGGAGTCAAAGTACACTCACTACGGGACCAGTCTCTTGTTCGTGTTTCATTGAGCATACGAAATATAAGAACCCCTCGTCATTTGGTGGGTTTCGTATGGTTAAGCCAGTTTAGAATTCGAATTGAGTCTCTTGGGTTTTGCTTAATTAACTGGAATTAGCCAATTCTTTCTTTCAGATTTTCTGCAGTCAGAAGAGAGACGTTGATGTTGTCGATGGAAGGTAACACCTTAGATCACCTGAATTTTTAGACTTTCGACTGTGTAAATTGTAATTAAAGGAGTTAGAATTTTGGTCTGTTGCTCCTCAATCTTCCTAGTTAATGTACTAGACTCTAGATCTACAAGTTGCTCTAGATTCTAGACCAGTCTTCTCTACTCATTGCATTTTATACTAAAGTTTTGAGACACACTTTTTTTGAAGTTGTATGGATGAGATATATGATAAGTTGGCGGAACGTATTGTCCCTACATCAGCAGCAATGTTTAGCCCCAATCTAAAGTAAGTCTGCTTTAACATTCAGAAATGTTGTTCTTTTAGCTCCATTCAGATACTTCTTTGATTAACTGTGTGTGTAGACGTCTGGTGGGCTTGGCTGGTCCTCCTGGAGCCGGGAAAAGCACATTAGCAAATGAAGTAGTGCGTCGTGTAAATAGGCTATGGCCTCAGAAAGCTTCTTCTTTTGATGCTGAGGTTACACCGCCTGAGGTCGCTATTGTACTTCCCATGGACGGCTTCCATTTGTATCGTTCCCAACTAGACGCAATGGAGGTTGACCTTAATATTTTGTTATATATATATATATATGTTTATCTCTCTCTTGTCTCTTGCTCTTTGTTTGTTAAACAGACTTTTGTTAATTCTCTCTTTAGGATCCCAAAGAAGCACATGCGAGAAGAGGAGGTGAGATCTGTTTAGAATGATCTTTCAAGTAAGATTTTTGAAAAAAGGCTCAAATTTGGCTTGACCCTTGTATCCATTAACCAGCTCCATGGACTTTTAATCCTGCCCTGTTACTCAACTGTTTAAAGAAGCTGAGAGACGAGGTAAAGAGATTACTTACAAGATTTTAGCTGACCTTAGAGTCTTGTCTTGGAGTTTCAACACTCACATTAGACTCTGATTAGTTTTTGAAGCTGTCCAGGGATCAGTTTATGTGCCATCATTCGATCATGGAGTTGGGGATCCAGTTGAACAAGATATCTTTGTTAGCCTCCAGTAAGTAGTCAAATCCGTATCACAGAAATGGTTGTGTTTGCCCTTATCCCGAGGCAGTTAGTAGTTATCTTCTTGTGTTTCTCTTTTGACAGGCATAAAGTGGTAATTGTAGAAGGAAACTACGTGCTCTTAGAAGACGGATCTTGGAAAGACATTTCAGACATGTTTGATGACAAGTGGTAAACCTAATCAAAAGTGTTTCCTTAGTCGTGGTTTTTGCCTATTAATAATGTCTTCCATCTTCGTTTCAAGGTTTATCGATGTCAATCTTGATACTGCGATGCAACGTGTTGAAAGCCGACATATCTCGACTGGTATGCAAAAATTCTTCTTTTCGATTCTTAAGGAATCCGGATTTTGTTTTTATTCGGTTTTCATTTTGCCATCTGTATAGGTAAACCGCCGGATGTTGCTAAATGGAGGGTAAAAGCTCTGTTTCTTACTCTGCTTAATACTCTGTTTTTATGGTTTTACTTTTAATGGTTTCTTCAAGGTAGCAAATTTGGATGACAGGTTGATTACAACGACCGACCCAACGCTGAGCTGATAATGAAGTCCAAGACAAACGCCAATGTACTGATCAGATCTATCAGTTTTTGAATTCTGCTTTCTTGGCCATTGCACGAAACAGAGTAACAACACTATGGAAGTAATAAATTATCCAATCTTGTTTATCTTTAAGTGATTTTTTTTTTTACCGAAAAACTGTGTGACAGTTTCATGCCAATAATGGGGTCAGGTACTTTTACGTGAAAATGTGTATTGAGAGAAGTATTGATTTTGATTAGTAACACTTATGTTATAATTTGAAAATCAAAATTGTAGTGGAAATTAAATTGAACGGTGGAATTTAGTTGAGCAAAAATCTAGCTCACCTTTCTTTGATTAATTAAATGATCTGTCCAAAAAATTCCAAATTAGTGCAGAATGTTAAACGAGGATCAAGTAGATACTATTTTTGTTTCTTTCCAGTTTTACATGCTTAATGACGGTCCCCACACCTTCCATTACCAAAAACTTACTAGAAGAACCATTCAAAGCCTTTCTTCTTCAATTACCCACTAAAGTCTTTAAACGAAACAAAACAAAAATTACTTTTATCAGAATGTGATTAAGATATTAGCCGAACAAGGGAGACCCTTTTTTCCCATTTTTTACTTGTAGCTCCACAAATCCTACTTTGATTACATCTCCAAAGTCTTTTTTTTTTACCTTTCATCAGTCACAGTTACAAAAGTGGTAGTAGTGGGAAAAAAGAGCAAAAAGCTGCGGACCGTTGGATGCTGTCCATAGATAAGATCTAGGGTGGAGGATTCATCTCCGGTTTGACGATTGAAGAAGAAGAGTCCGGTGGCTGAGAATGGTATATCGCCATTGCCAATGAGACTGGCATTATGCAAAGAGACTTTGATTGCAAAAGCTGCATCGCTGCTCCAACGTTTTCTTCCATCAGCTTAGCCACTTGCCTCTCGGTCCCATCGTTTGACCATTTCTCCCACACTGCTTGCGTCTCATCCTGCACCATGATTTCAAACCATAGTCAATGGAACCAAACCCATTACCAAAGCTCTCTCCTTGAATAAACACAATGCCAAAGTTATGTTATTGTTCTCTCTCTCTCTCTCTCTCTCTCTCTCTCTCTCTCTCTCTCTTTAGTCTAACCTCAATTGATGAAGACAATGGCATTTCAGTGACTAGTGGAGCAACAGCACCGGCTCCACCAAGACGGCTCATGCTCAAGACCTGCCATCAGTTGACCAATGAAGAAAAAGGTGTTCTCAAAGCCCATCATTACATTATATATTCTTCAATGTTCTCATTAGCTTTATTACCATAAGTCCTAAACTGTGATGATACTCCATAGGAGAAAGCAAGCAAAAAGTGAAAGAGACTAATGCCAAATAAAATAAAATAAACACAAAATCATGTGCTCTTTGATTACTCTCTATCTGCTACCAAATTAAACAATTACAGTATAATATTTTATTCAGATTGGAATTTTGGTTGAAGGGTGTTGGTGGGGACCAAGGATTTATACCACCAAATCCTTCTTGGGGATATATTAAATAAAACTCTCTACATTCAGTTTTAACATCTCTTATCTTGTGAATTTAGATTGGAGAGGTATAGAGACATTTAAAGAAGAATAACTGGTTGTATACCTTAACTTGGAGCCTGAGAAACTTTACATAATCGACAATCTCATCGATCATAGCAGCCCTATCAGTCTGCAACAAAGGACACACAAACCTTTAATATACACAATTCCCAAGTTTCTCTATGCCAATTACAAAGCTTTTCTCTCATTGAGCCCTCTTTCAAGCTCAAGACAAAAGATACCGACCTTGTTCACCGTAGGTACGAGTTCCTGCAACGCCCTGATCCGTTCTGCTATTCTTTCCCTACGCAGCTGTTGCAATCCAAATATATCCAGGTAAGCAAAGACAAAACCAAGTCTCTCAACTAAAAGCTACATTAGACATGAAAATCACATAATCAAGTGTGTCAAACAATTTACCCGCTCAGCGATGCTATGTGGATCGGTGGCTTGACCTCGCCTAGCCCTAACTCTAGGTCGAATCGAAGATTGTTGATGCGGCATTGGTGGAGCTGGCTGTGACATTGGCTGCCCATGGAACACCTTTCAACAAATCACACAAAACAGTGAAGCAATTACGTTAAAATAGAGAGAGCTTAAAAATCACTTTCCACTAGAGAGCTTAAAGCAATCTAATTTAAACCTAAAGAACACTTCTTTGTAGTTGTATTAATTGAGAAAAACCAGGACTATCAAGTTGGGTTTCTTCTATAATAAACAAAAATCAGTCAAATTTCACCAACCTAAGCCAAAAACTCGCTGTAACAATCGAATCTAGCTTTTCACAACGTTAACTTTTTGAAACCCTATAGATTTCATTTCACTTTTCCTTTCTCTCTCGAAAACCGCAAAAACTGAAGATTTCAAAGAAACTTACAGGTTTCATGGAGGAGGAACATCGATTATCAACAACATCATCTTGGAAACGTTTCCCACTTCCATCTGGTTTAAGAAAGCCATGTCCTTTCCCTTGGTCGAGGCTTAATCCCAACGGAAACATCTGATTATGAAACCCTAGAGGTCCACCTCCTCCAATGGCTCCCATTTGATTATGATTCACTTCGTCGCCGGAGCCGAGCTGAAGCATCATCGGCGGTGGACCGACGCCGCTCAATCCTCCGGCTAGTCCAGAGAGCCCAGAGCCGGAAGACGCAGAGAAGTTAGAAATCCCGAGGATCTGCTCGAAGAAATCGTCGGAAGGAGCTTGATCGGAGAGGTTATCATGTGGGTTGTTGTTACCAGCCATGGAAACGAGTTAGGTTAAAATTTATGACTCAGTCGAGTTGGGTGAGTTTAAGGATAGCGAGTTAGAGACCTTCAAGAACAATCTTCATGCGAATCTACAGAACCAAAAAAAAAAAAAAAAAAAAAAAACTCTTTTTTGTTTCTTGGGTATGGAGTTGTTTGGTGAATGTCTCTGATGATGCTTAAGCTAATGACGACGAAGAGACAGAGACGAGAAAGGAAATGACAAAAAGAGTGACTTTATGCTCTGTTTTTTTTTATTCAAAAAATATATTATTTTATTTTGATAAAGCGCCTTTCTTTACGGTCTATTTTCGTTTTTGCCCTTGTTCTTCTTTACCTTCCAGAAACTTTAAGTGGGCTTTTTTGTTTGGAAGTGGGCTTTTAGTTTTGACTTTCTTTAGTTTAATCACATAAAATTAAAGCAAAAGGTCTTAAGAAAATATCAAACTCTTTTTAGTAGAGTGTGTTAAGAAATGGGCAATATAATAATTTTATCATAATATTTATTATAATGGTAATGGGAAAATTCCCGAATTGTCGGGGTCGTCATCATCTCGTTAGTGGTAGAAAATTTAGAGAATTTTTAGTTTTTGTCGTTTTTTCCAAAATTTAGCAGGCATCATGGAGTAAAAAGCTTTCTAATATCCACACTAAAAAAACGAGACGTGTTGAATTTGCATGGTGTTTGTTACCTACCACTTGCTTCTTCCTGACTTTTAATAGCGGGCTGGGTTCAATATTGGGCTTCTACATTTTATGGACAAGATTGCGACCGCTAATGATCATCCTTTCTTCTCGTTGTGTTTGTTGCGGTCCGTAACAGTATCTGATCTTACACAATACCCAATCTTAATTGGAACTGACCATCGCAAAAAGAATACTCCTTCATCACCAATCAGTATCGATTCCCTTCGCTTTCTTGCAATACACGAAACCCTTTACTACTATCGTCGAGGATCTCTTCTTCTTCTATTTTTTTCCCGATTGATTCCTATGATTTGAAACAGGTTGCTCGTGAAGTAGTTTATGGACCTTATGGTAGTCCCGTGGCCATGATACATGATGAGCTTAAGGATAGGGTAGTCGGTGAAGCTAGTAGCAACTTTAAATAAAGAAAGTTTGTGGTGGGAAATTGGATAATAATAGTAAGTCTAGTTTCATGAGCATTACATCAAATATAAGCTGAGAGAATTAGTGTTTCTCTACGTGCAACTTATTTCTGTCAAAAATATGGAAAGCAAAACTATGATTTTAGGTGTGTTCATCATAATGACTCTGGTCATGGCGCAAACTCAAATAGAAGCAAACATCCATGTTCTACTTTGTGCACCAAAGCCTCTATATATTACTACACGTGGAACTGCCTAAACCAGCAAGTATATCGACAAAGATATTACATCCAAGTTTCAAAAGTGGTATACTGGTATGTCTTGTGTCTGATCTAAGGATACAATACCCAAGGAAAATGAACTATCTTATCCATATTTTGTTAGCTCGTGCAATCAATACAAGGGGGTCCTTGGCCTTAGTAAGATAGCTATGCCCTGTTTGGTCCCCCGATCCTCCGTTAAGTTAGGGTCTCATTCAAATTGATCATGATTCATGACGACCGTCTGGTGTGAGCTTGAGGGTACAGTATAGTTGGTGGACAACATTAAACTAAAGAAAGTTTGTGGAAGATGAGCATTCCATCTGTATTTGTTAGCTCGTTCAATCAATACAAGGGGGTCCTTGGCCTTAGTAAGATAGCTATGCCCTGTTTGGTCCCCCGATTCATGACGACCAATATGGTGCGAGCTTGAGGGTACGGTAGTTGGTGGACACCATTAAATTAAAGAAAGTTTGAGGAACATGAGCATTCCATCAGTATTTAAGCAAGTTTAGTTTCATGAGCATTCTTCATCAATACAAGCTGATAAGTGTTTCCCTCTCCCAAAACAATGGCAAGCAAAACTGTGATTGTAGGTGTCCTCATAATGAGTATGGTCATGGCCCAAACTCAAGTAGAAGCAAATGACTGCTGCCCGAACGCACAAGCTAGAGCTAATTTTGATGTATTAAAGCTCGCGGGAGTTCCTTCGGTGACTGCTGCAGCAGCCAGTGGATGCAAACTCGTTAGCGGGTATTGCCCTCCGGGATTTCTTTACGGCGATCTCCAAAACTCTGGTATATTAAAATTTTCTATTAAAATAAATTTTATTAGTCACAAGATGGATACTTTTTTTAGTGCCATGTCTTCTTTTGCCCTATACTTAAGGTGATGTTGCTAATGCATACTGCAAGCTTGGGTGTGTATCCTCTGCGTGTGGTGCCATAACCACTCTCCAAAGCTCTGGTAAAACCAACTCTCCCAAGCTCTTTTTTCTTCTTGATGAATATTATCAGACAAGATGTTAATCTATTTATAAATTTTGTTCTGGTGGCTAGACAAAAGTGAGATTGTGATTGGATCGCTTGAACAGTGTGCCAAAGCATGCCTTACTTTGTGCACCAAAGGCTCTATTACTACACGTGGAAGTGGAATTGCCTAAACGATGAAGCACACCGAGAAAGACACTACGTACATCTATGTTTCAAAAAGTGTTGTTTTAATGTTTTAATAAGTTGTTCACGGTTGTTGTGTCATGTGTGTGTGTGTGTCTTGTAGAAGGCTGTCGATCCTAGATTGTATGTGTCTTCTACTTGCTTTTATCTATTTAAAAATAAATAAAGTGTCTCCTTCTTCTCGACTATAATAATTGCTTTGATATCTTCATCAAAAACTATTAAGTTTGTTTACTCGTGTATATATAACTGTTTCATAAATGAAAACCACATCCAACCAAAAATAATGTCGAAAGATCTTTTGGTTGGTATAAACACTAGACAAATAAAAAAGGATCACACAATTAAGTCAACGAGATTGACTCTTTAACCAGTCTCTCCTCCTTCCCATATATGGCAAATACAAACTAAATTTCAGTTTGCCCGTCACGTGGCGTTATTTCTCACCGGCCAAAATCTCCACCAACCTCGGCGACTTGCATGGTAAAAAATCAACGAACACCAAGCAAAGAAACTACATTGACGAAACAAACAAACAAAACACAAACGAAGAAACAAACAAACAACACAACAAAAAATAAAAAAGAAACAGAGGAGAAAAAAGGAAACGACGAGGAAACAAAAACAAGTAAAAAAAATCCCCTCGTTCTTCCCTTTTCTCTCTTCAAATCTTTGTCTTTTAATGTTCTTTCTTTTTCTATTTTTTTTCCTTTTAAATAACATATAACAAAATAAGTAAAATGGGTTCGAGTAAACTTAAACGAGCCATAGGAGCCGTGAAGGACCAGACGAGCGTCGGTCTAGCCAAAGTCAACGGTCGAAGCGCTTCTCTATCGGAACTTGACGTAGCCATCGTCAAAGCGACACGTCACGAAGAGTATCCAGCGGAAGAGAAATACATAAGAGAGATTATTAGCCTAACTTCCTACTCACGCAGTTACATCAACGCCTGCGTCAGTACGCTTTCGAGACGTCTTAACAAAACCAAATGCTGGACCGTCGCTCTCAAGACATTGATCCTGGTCCAACGTCTCTTAGGAGAAGGAGATCAAGCCTATGAGCAAGAGATCTTCTTCGCCACTCGCCGTGGGACCAGGCTTCTCAACATGTCTGATTTTAGGGATGTTTCGCGCTCCAATTCTTGGGACTACTCTGCTTTCGTAAGGACTTACGCCTTGTACCTCGACGAAAGGCTTGATTTTAGGTAAGAGTTTTGCTAAATCCGGATTTATGCTCAAACTTTATTTCCAGCATAAAACTAAATCAAGATTTAACTGGATATTTCAGGATGCAAGCGAGACACGGGAAACGTGGACTTTACTGCGTCGGAGGAGAAGCCGAGGAAGAAGATAAAGAGAAAGCCGCGGCAGATCTCTCCACGGCTATCGTGGTTAGGTCGCAGCCGATCGCTGAGATGAAATCAGAGCAGATTTTCACCAGAGTGCAACATTTGCAGCAACTTCTTGACCGCTTCTTGGCTTGTCGTCCAACAGGTATATTACACTACTTGCATCACACGTTTCCTCTCTCACTCTGTTTTGTTTCTTAGGTCACAAGTTAAAAAAAAAACACCTTTTAACAGGTAACGCAAGGAACAACAGAGTTGTGATTGTGGCTCTGTATCCGATAGTGAAGGAGAGTTTTCAGATATATTACGATGTAACGGAGATAATGGGTATCTTGATCGATCGATTCATGGAGTTAGACATCCCTGATTCGATCAAGGTCTATGACATTTTCTGTCGGGTCTCGAAACAGTTTGAGGAGCTCGATCAGTTCTACTCCTGGTGTAAGAACATGGGGATCGCACGGTCTTCTGAGTATCCAGAGATAGAGAAGATCACACAGAAGAAGCTCGATCTAATGGATGAGTTTATAAGAGACAAATCCGCTTTAGAGCTGACCAAGAAATCAAAATCTGTTAAATCCGATGAAGAAGACGATGATGCGAAAACAGAAGAAGTCAATGAAGAGCCAGAAGATATGAATGCGATCAAGGCCTTACCTGAGCCTCCACCAAAAGAAGAAGAAGAAGAAGAAAAGCCAGAGGAAGGAGCAAAGGAAGAAGTGATTATAGAGAAGAAACAAGAAGAAGTTGGTGATTTGCTGAATCTTGTGGATATACACGGCAATGAAGCTGCAGAAGCTGGAGATAGCTTAGCATTGGCTTTATTCGACGGGCCATACGCGAGCGGTTCGGGTTCGGAGTCAGGTCCGGGATGGGAAGCGTTTAAGGATGATTCTGCGGACTGGGAAACAGCTTTGGTGCAAACAGCTACAAACTTGTCTGGACAAAAGACGGAGCTCGGAGGAGGCTTTGATAGGTTGTTGCTTAACGGAATGTATCAGCACGGCGCTGTGAACGCCGCTGTACAAACCTCCAATGCTTATGGAGCCAGTGGAAGCGCGAGCAGTATGGCATTTGGCTCTGCAGGAAGACCAGCAGGTGAAGTGAAATGTGACTTTGCTCTGTTTTTTTTTTTTTTTTTTTTTAAGTTTGCATTCTGATGATTTGACATGGATTTTCTATGAATTACAGCAACGATGCTGGCACTTCCGGCACCAGCTACGGCTAGTGGAAACAGCAACAGTCCGGTTCCGTTGGATCCATTTGCGGCGTCGTTGGAGGTTGCGCCGCCACCGTATGTTCAGATGAATGATATGGAGAAGAAACAGAGGATGTTGATGGAAGAACAGATGATGTGGGACCAATACTCAAGAGATGGAAGACAAGGACACACGAACATAAGGCAAAACCAAAACCAGTCTAGTTACTCTCAGTATTAATTCTGCGACATGGAAGAAGCTCTTCTTGAATTGTGTCAGCTTGTTTTTTTTGTCTACAAATCATTTTGGTCTTAATTAGAGATCTACAAATGGCTTTATTCTTTTTGCAAATTAGATCAATTTTTTTGTTCTTTGGTCATATTCATCTGGGCATATGTGAGATTTGCTTCTGTAATTGTAATCTCTGATTGTTTTGATATTACAATCATAGCTAATAATAATATATCTTGTACTATACTTAATGCTTCACACCATAGCTTCTGTTTGATTTGCCTGCAAAAACAGAGAATTTTCAATGATAAAGATCCTCAAATTTCTTGCTTGAGAAGTTATCTTGCTGGTAGAGAGGTTTTCATTCTTACAGAACTGAAAGCATGGTTGTTTCATTACAGGATCATCCTTGATCTCCGGAGGGTCCTGACCAAACATCATCTCACAGCTAAGATCGTCAAAATCTGCAAAACTCAAGAAAAGTGTTAATATAACTATATAAGTGTTGTCACATTGGTGTCTGTATGATACCAAAAAGAAATGATTGCTTGTGTCTTAAGTCAAATCATTGACTTCTTAGAAAGAATAATCAGTCATCATTATTCATCTTGGAGATTTAATGGGTCTACTTGTAGTTAATGGTGTCCTTAGTGGTGAACTAACGGGACCCTTAAAGATCCGATTAATTAAGCTTCCTCAAGTTGAGAAGTGCGAGCTACTATTTTCAGCATATATTAAGCTTGACTTCAACTGTTTTATCTAATGTTGCAATTATAAATATAAAGCGAGTGAGATTCGGCGTAGTACCGGGCTTCATGTAGATAGGCATTCCAAGTGACTTCTTGATGAAGATTTGGGATGGAATTTTACAAAGGTGAGTGCACATACCAACACAATTTGTCTGCTCAAGAAACCTGAGATATTAAAAACAACAGTTGGAAGTCATGATTAAGTGAAAGATCTCAACAGTTTAATTAGTGTTGTTACTGGAGGTTGTGTAAGGTAATGATTGTTTATGGAAGAAAGATTTTGATATTTGTCTGAAGTTTAGTGATCAGATGGGACCAAATAGAAAGATTACACTTAACCTGCACTTCTCTATGAAGACAACACTCTTCTCTTTTCTTCCATTAACCTCAGTCTCCCTCACCTTGGCAATAAAGTTCCCGTATCAAAACCAGCTAAAGGCAAAAAACTAGGATCTTATGGCTCGTTAAACAGTTACCTCTGAAGGTCCAACAAGCCAAGCGAAAAATATTGTGGTAAATAGCGCAAAGAGCTCCCTGGAGAGTTTTGAAGGTGGAAGAAGCATTTTTATCTGTTAATTTAGCAATAAATGTTATCGTAATATAATCATATTTTCATGCTACTTGATCTGAAAAGTCCATAAGAGCTTACCAAGGAGAGTATCCCTGACGGAAATGCTCTGTCCAAAGCGATAAGAACAAGCTCATGCTGTTGCTTGGTGTTTAAGTTACTTGCAACCCTAGCTGCCGTATTCACTAAGCTATCATAACCAGTACTCTTGATATTACTGCTACTCATCCCTGTAAAAACATTTCTTAGTTGTCTTCCTCAATAAGTATCTCTTTCTTATAAGCTAAAAGATTTCAAGAAAAAGATGTGGGATACGAACCTGCAGTGTCTTGAAGCGTCTTTGATAGATAATTAATTGCAATTTTCGAGAAGAAGTTGTCAGCATTACTCGCATTCTGCTGATTTGATGGCTCGATTCGTGCTGTCTCTTTTGCAGCCTTGAGTTCTCCTCCAGAGTAGACTGGCTTTGAGCTGAGAGTTGCGGAAATGGTTGAGCGTCCATAGCGAGTGCGTGTATCGTTGAGCCGAGTGTCGAAACTCAGGATTTTAGTCTGCGAAACTGATGGCTTAGTGTTCATCCTTTGGTGTTATAGTAGAAGAAGAGGAAGAAGAAGAACAGAGCAGAAACTTTTGGTTGCAGGTGTTTTTTTTTTTCTTTTTTCTGAGGCCATTAACTAACGGAATCGAAGTATATATAAAGATAGGAAAGTAAAATGACATATTTGCCCCCATACTTGTGGTGCATGAGGAACGAGCGAGCGCTGGGATAGAGAAAGATCTCTCTCACAAAGCTCATAACACAAAAATGAGAGAAGAAAAGAAAATCGTCTCTCTGTAACTATGAATAAACAAAATTATCATTGACAGTGATGGAGAAGATGAAGAATACAAAAGGTCACACAAACTATTAAAACAATACAAGAACTGAATCTGATAAAATACAGATGGGGCTGTAAATACTAACTAATATGCCCAGCTTCTGCTATTTGCAATGAGTTTTCATGAAGAAATCATTTTAAGAAAAAGCCGCAAAAATACAATTACTGTACACAGTACACAACAGTACACACTCCCCTGTAAAGCTTGTAATCTTCCCATGTATTTACACAAATTCTCAAACCAAACCTCTTTTTCTTCTCTTTCTCCCAAACCTGAGCAAACCAAACCTCTTTTCCTCTCCATCTACTCTAGCCTCGCTCTCTTTCTCCTAATCTGCAAGCCAGTGATGTAAGAGATTCAACAGAGCCAACACTTTGTTCAGACCTTTTGTCTGCTTCCTCCTATGTGGTCCTGTCCTTAAACCTCCACCTGGCCAGCTCTTTCGGTTCTAGCCAAAGAAACCAAAAGGAGGATTGACCGGTCTCCGATTTAGATTCTAAACCTATGAAGCCTGTTTCAATGAAGCTTGTTTCAATGAAGCTTGTTTTAATGAAGCCTGTTTCAGCGAGGCTCTTAATGTTTCATCCGGTACTGTCCATGAAAGCAACTGTCCAGCTGAATCACCGCTCAGTAACTGCTTAAGGTCGATCGTGAGATAGAGAGCTGTTACCGGTTGCTTATGGAATTTCAACACTTTGTGTAGAATCAACTTGTACTCTGGCACTTGATCACCCAAATTCAGCCCTCCTGTTCTGTTGCTACTACTTGTTTTGCTCTCGATACTCACAGGATCAGTACAATGTATCATCCGCCATATTTTAACTGCTCCACTCTGATGACCAGTTACATACCAGGCTGTTTCAAGCCAGTCAGAAGATGTCGAGCCTGTTACAGACAATACCGAATCAGATGGTAACTGCGATGTGTTAGCCACAGCAAGGCAATCCCCATTGATGCTCCAAACTGCAAGGACAGTTCCAGCAGCAGTTACAATATCCCCGGTGAGGTCGTTTATGTAGATTGCTGATATGGGAACTGGGAAGTCAGGAAGCTGCCTCACAAAACTCATAGAACTGAGATCCCATATGATAACTGTACAGTCATCTGACCCGCTTGCTATCATCATGTACGGTTGGCTTACACGTAGACATGTGACTTTAGCTGTGTGGGCACATAGGCCTTTCTCTAACCGCAAACGTCGTGAACCACGTGGACCATCCTTGCTTACCCTCCACACGCACACTAGTCCATCCTCTGCTCCAGTGACCACAATGCGCCCATCGTGACTAACACCAGCACACTGGATCTGGTTGCTTTCATGGAGATTTTCATGGGTTGATAGCAGTTTGTCCTGATCATAGCTCATAAATCTCAAGCTCCTGTCTGGGAAACCCCATGTTATGTATTTGGTATACCCTCTGGGTTTCAGGAAACAGTTAGCCCCAGCAACAAGCACCTTGTCGTGGAAAGTAATGATCTGGCTTATAGAAGATGAACATTTACGTGTTTCATGAGGAACTAGATGCATCGAATGTTTCAGAGGGTGGAGAGGAATTTTTCTGTCTGTTCTCCTTTTGACATGAGCTTTCTGGAATAGTTGCTTAGGAGTTTGCCCAAAATGATTAATCTGCGCTAGTATGGACGCTTTCATTGCGGGATCGGTGACTGCATCAATATCAACATTTCCCTCGTATGTGTAATGATAGAAAACATTCACAGCTTCTTCTGCAGCCTGAGAGTAAACACATTCCAGAAACGGAAAAGTAAATAACATAGCAATACTTTGATTTCTGCATTCTACACGACTAGCAGAAAACGGAAAATATTATGTAATGTACCTTTCCTCTCTGTTTGTGCCCAAAGATGAGATCTATCCAATGATGCAGATTCTCTGAGACATAATCCGACTCCAACGCTTCTCGGTGCTTGAGGATGAACTCCCGAACACTACCTCTCGCCCACGGAGGTAAAAAGACATCACCAACCTGACATTATACAAGAAAATAGACTATATCAACACAACATGAAAGGAAAATGGAACATATAGGCTTCATAGAAAGACCTTGAACCGACACAAACCTTCTCTCCTGACTGTTTTTCACCCAAATCCAGGCTGAATCTATTTTCCAAAAACTCGGGCATGTAGAAGAATTCAGGAATTAGTTCTTTTACGTCTGAAGTATTTCCCTTTCCTGCTGCACTTAGCCAAGTATCTTTAATATTATTGAAAAGTCTATCAGCATGATCAAACTGACCGCCCTGCAGCTTCTGATTTTCAGCACTGAATGGTGGGAGACGAATAAGGTAAAACAGAACAATGCCAGCACTTGAATAGTGAGATCCATAATGAAATTTTGGAACCTCGGGATCATCCCAGCTCTCATATCTGAAATCAAAGAGGTAAAAGAGGGAATTCATTATCAGCATTATACCATGTTCAAACCTTATACCATAACCCTATAAAATACCAATTCATAGCTACCTATAGAGAAATAACCCAAGTCTTAACTCTGATCTACTAAAACCCTAACCCTCCCAAACCCCAACCCTGGATAAACCCTAATTAACAAGAATCAATAGATGTATAAGGAAAGAACACAAGGGTAACTGCAGTATACAAAGTTTAAGATGCACAGCACAAACCGTTTTCGAAATTCTTCTTCTCCTTCAGGTGTCTGGCAACCCATTGGTTTGTGAAGCTTGCGGAATGTCTTTGGATCTGACAAATCAAGACTCTCGCTATCATAATCTGCGAGAACCCATGGAAATACTGGATACTGCGTGAGATCACTGTATCCACGTCCTGCTAAGGTATTGAGATGCATTAGGTAATGGAAGTTGCTGATTTCCCCATTTTGCCATCTTTTCGAGAAAGACTTCGCCATTAATTTGAAAAGGCGGCTTCCCTCATTACTTTCCTGTTTTGCTGATCCTGAAATTGTTGTGTCGAGCCTGGGAAAATAAACAGGATAAATAACACTTCGCAGATCAATGTAGACAGAATCAGAAACTAACTAGCCACATGAGTACAAACATATAAAGAATAATACTTAGTCTTCGGGTTAAGAGGAAAACCATCCCATGCCTAACTAACGAGAGCATATTATTGACAGATTTATTCATTTTACTAGAGAAAAATGAACAGCTACAAAATGTTAATAAGAAACAAATGCATTATGCTCAATCTAGCGAGAAACAGAAGAAACGAGATGAAAAAGAAGGATGGTACCGTACATGCTGTTCCTAGGAAGATTCATGGCAACCAGATTTTTAAAAACTTCTTCCCTCTCTTTCTTGTGGAACACGAGGAGATCATTACATCCATCCATACTAAATATCTCAATAGCAACCGGACGCAGCTGGTAATCACGTTTTAAAATTTCATGAACATTATTAAGCTTCCACATACGCCAAGGATGGGGTAAGTTACCACTCATGCACACTTTTTCTTTTCCCCAAGCACCACCACCATATGCCCATGCCCTACCCCCTACAGCTCCCGTTTTCACTGTTGTAGTCCATGATGTGCTAGACTTGGAATGGAAATCCAAGCTTCCAGAGGCATCTTTTAGCACACCCAACGCTTGATCGATAACGGATAACTCATCTTCGCATTCCTTCTCACAAATACACCCATCATCGTCAATGTAAAAGTTTTCTATCACATACAGACAAAATTCTCCTATTAAGAAGATTCCATCATGCTTGTCGAGATCAACAACTCTCTCACAGTTGTATCTGAACCTAATCTTTTCAAGATGCTCCAGATAAGGCCTGATCAAATACTCGCCATCATCGTTTAGTTCCTTCTCTGATTCTTCCTCCACGCCTTTAGTTTCATCCATTTTGGCAAAAGATGAATGTCTTGGAGAGCCGGTCTCAGATTTTGCATGTGTGTTGTCTGTTACTGGCACAGATGCTGTACTAGATTTGCCACCAAAATCAAGAGCAGAGTGAAGACTTGCTTCGTTGGTACTACTAGCTCTATCATCATTCCATCCATTTCTGGCAGAAGCGACATCTTTAAAATCATCAGACTCTTTTAGAAACGACTCATCGTAAAGTTCAGTGAGCAGGAAAGCTGGTTCGGAATCTGTGTCAGAAATAATTGCTCCCTGTTCATTTTTGGCTTTGGGAAGCTCAATTTCTCCAAGTTCCAACTTTCCGTCAAGAACATTTTGAATGCTATCAATTTTTAGCTTACATCGTTCGAGTTTTTTGCGCATTCTGTATGGACCTTCAATCGGACAGAGCTGCCATTCGGGATCTTCAGACCCTTTTGATTTACGCATTGGGAATATTCCACGCTCATGTACAAGCTGCTGGAGATGAGTTTGCCACTCACTCTCAGCGTGAAGTATCCAACCATATTTGTTTTGCCGAACAACTCTAAGCTCAGTAGACATGGCATCACGTAATACTTCTAGCGCATATCTCCTCTCATTCAACTGTTCCCAATGCTTTAGATCTAACTTCGACATATCTCGTGATTTTCTCCCCATCTCTCTCTTCCGACGACCTTCCATGCCTTTTATCCTGACACCAGGAAATTTCGCCGAGCCAGCTATGTACTGTACCCACATTATTGCAGCACACTGCTCCAGTACTTTGTTAATAATCTTATCGGAGCTTTCAAGCCACTTAAAGAATTCTGGTAGATTTCCAGTCAGCAACTTATCAAAACCTCCATGTAGAACATCATAGTTTTGTCCTTGATTTGGTTTAGTGACGAGCAAATCCTCAAGGGCAGATCTTCGGTGTACCAGCAAATATTTCACAATATCAAGTGACATGTTTTGCACACTCTTTCTCTGGTCAAGAAGCAGGGAGACTAAATTCACACACAGACAGCAATTCAAATCAGTATCAAGGTTGCTTGGGCAGAATATGATTCTCCTATTTGCGACCAACAATTGAAGAACTGTTGAGATGTCAATACCAGATTCATCAACAGCTGGTGTCTGAGATGGCCTCTTCTTAGATTCAACAAGCAAACCCAGTTGTGATAGTAGGTCCTCCTCTCCTATACTTATCAAGAACGATGGCAGAAAACAATAAAGTACCATTCTATTTGTGTTTTTCAGGATTGAGTGCACATAGGCATCAAGTTGCCTTGTTGTTCTTCCTAGGGATAACAGACCTTTCCCTGAGGGAGTGACTTCTTCAACCTTACCATCTTTGTTAGCTAATTGCAGCATCGACAACAAGAACTCAAGAACCCTAAGAACACCAGTGGGATGAGGAAAAGCACCCATATAAACACGGTCCACTATCATCCAGCAAAATGGATCCAAGTTTGCAGACCATTTGGCCTTGTCCAGTTTTTTCTCGTCCTCTTCATCATCACGCAACAGACGCCTTTCAAGATAGTTCATGACTCTGCTAAGGCATAAGCCTTGAAAAACCAGCACACTTTCCGGATCAACATAGAAAGGAACCATTTCCAGTATGCTTTCCAGAACCGGTACTGCTTTAATCTGTTCAGACATTAAGTCAGCAAGTACCTCTGCCATAAAATCTAAGACGGCACTCGCTCCAGCAGAACAAGGCCCGCCACCATAGCCTGTTTCATCTATTTCGAGGAGAAGTTTTGGGCTAACTGTGAAGAACGCATTGACAGCAGAAGACCCCTGGGAGCCTGACTTTCGTTCTGAAGATGCATCAACTTCATTAACCGAGACATACGATTCAAGAGAAGGAGAAACGATCGTAGAACTTTTAGATTCGCTATAGTTAGAGCCTAGCCAGGATGCAAGTGCAACAACCGGAGATGGTGAAGGAGTGAATGAGACTTTGAGACTTGATTTTTCAGATAAGTAGGGAGACTCGACCATAGGGAAAGATGCAGAACTCTGAGAGTCTGTTGCCTGAACTTGAAAATCCCTTTCACTTGAAGCTGATACAGGGCCGAGAGGATTATTATCTTGATTCTTTACATCTTCAACACCTTGAAATGATTTACTCGAGTCCTGTGGTGGTGGTGTAAGAATGTTCTCCACCTTATCATTAACCACATAATTTGCAGGTAAAGGCATGTCTTCAGAACTAAGACTGACCTGCCCTTGAGGGAAGCTTCCAGCACTGATGGAGGTTTTAGTGGACCGATCCTGGTCATGAGGCAAGCTAGAGAGAGTTCCTTGTGAGCCGTTATCATCGCCATCATTTATATGCTTCTCCTCTGCCTTCACAGAGAGCTGTTTCGCCATCTTCACAGCATAAGCAGCCCTACAGCACAAAATAGCCTTTAGGCGAAAACTTTGCAAATAAACATCTTGCAAGAGATGATAACTGAAACCAAATACCGTCTACATACTATATAATATATTTATTTTCAAAAACCAAAAAGAAAATCATTATTATTTAGTAGGTGGTGAAAATATATATCAGTAGGTCTGTGATACCAACCTCACGCAGGAAAAGTAGAGGTCAGAACAATTTTCAACAAAGTCTGCTCGTCTGCAAGCAGCAGAGAATTGAGGGCACATCTTTGCAAGGTCAACCATAAAACGGAGAACAGACGTTGCAGCAGCAGGAGCTGATGCTTCGCCACCCATCAAACGTGCCGCATACGTTTTGTGCATCAAAGCTTCCCCTTGAAGCTCCCCAGTCATTTCTGCCCCCTCTACAAGCTCTGCCACAAGACTGGCACTCACCTGAGAAAGATTTCCAGACTGGTGGGCGAGCATTGATTGCATGATTAACCTGTCATAAGTAGATCCAGCCATTGCCACCACTGAATCCAACAGATCTATGAACTTTAACTCCACATGGCTTCCGTCATTCGGCACTATGGCATGAAAGTCTAACATCCGAACCTCCGGTAGTCTTGGATAAACAGGTTTCCCAAAGATCAAGCAGAACAATATGTAATATATGTCTGGGGAATCATAGAAGTTTTGAAGTACCCGCATCAGCCCCTGATAACCTCCACTTGTCCGAAATTTAAGGGAAAAGTTTGGAGAAGAAGCAAGACAAACACCAAGAAGGGTCATGATCCACCTCATACTAGTAGGATGCACAGCTTCATCGAGGAAGTATGTTATTAATTTTGACGAGACTATCTTATGCCACAGCTCCAAAAGTTCCTCTGCCTTTATGGTTACCTGGAGATCAATGAGCATTTCCAAAAGCATGTTTCTCACAATTACATGCTTTCCCATTGACTCGCGCAATAATGAGCTTCGGGACTTCACTTCAGGTGGATTAAATGTCATAATCACAAACCTAACCACGTTTTCAAGCTCAGAAGTCAGGAATCCATCTTCTAAGATGCATCCAAGCAGCACAACTAATTTTTCTAGGACTGGAACTTCCACATCACCTCTCTGAAGTGTCACTAACAAATGTTCCACCAGATTGATTCTCCGCAGGATTGTAAGATTGTGATTCCTGTACCAATGCATTGAAACCAGATTTTCCAGAAAACCAAGTAAAGCAATCTGGATGGAAACAGGGGATGTTACCCAGAGGGTCCAGTCTAAGAGGACATGTTCAACCATATCCGCGTTGGACAAGACAATGCAGTTTGAAGTTTCAACAGTTATATCTGTTTCTAGCTCAGAGAGATGACTGAAAGAATCCTTCGGAACAGAAAAGTCATCCATATCCCCATGAGACCCAACTGAGGAACTTTCGTAGCGGAACCTCGAAAGACCAAGATCCTCATAGCTGTTTTCGAATATTGTCTCCGTAGGTGCCACACTAATAGTACTCTGTCCACTCTCCAACTTCTTTGGCTCTGAAAACAAAGCTTCGCATGCAGCAATTCGGAAAAATATCTCCAAAGACTGCATATCAAAAAGAGTCATTTTGGGACGCAGAAAAAGAGCTAGTAAATGATATCCCCTGATGGTTTGCATATCCTTCACATTCTGAGGGTTTTGATGAAGCGCACAAGCAAGCAATGAAAGAGCCATATGTAGCATATCTCTAGACTCGGCAGCCTCAACAAGCGCGAGTACAACAGTCATTCCTCCCACGGGGCGGATAGTATCCCCAATCACACTTTGTCTACAGATACATACATTTCCTACTAGACGCCCAAAACGTGGTATTCCTAAACATTTGAAAAAGCAGAACAAATTAAATTATGAATTAGATCAAATAAAAAGGTACGAAAGAAATTAGAGGATTAAGACCACCATATACCTCCAATTGGAGAAGCAGCGGCGGACAACGGGTCAACCAGATTGAGGAGGGAAAAACTTCCAGACGCACGGATGAACTCTGAGCATGATCCATCAAATGCAAAAATAAGTTTCTTGCCAGGTAGCTGAAAGGAAAGATTTCCTAGCCTCTCAAGATCCCAGACAATTCCACTACCATCTGCCTTAGAGTCTCCTTGCCTATTGCTTCCATCAAACTTTTGCCCATTTGCCGATGAAGTCATGTCGCTGTCTAGTGAATCCAGGATAGCCATGCTCCCCCCACCACAAGCTTGATTAGGAACAAAACGTAAGAGATCCGCATCCTGAAAAAGACCTTTGTACCCTCTACCAAGAATGTACATGAAACCAATGCAACCTGATGTGAGCACCTCCTCAAACAGATAGCATGAGCGTGTTTTCCATGTTAGATCACTAACTCTGGCACAAGTAGCTGGAGTACCAACTATTACTTGCAAAGATTTTCCAACAGGTGAAGGAGAGTACCCCAATTTACCCGTGTGCCTTAGTTTTCCATCCAGATAGACATTTGCAACACTAGCCTGGAAGAGTCCAGCAAGAGCATTCGGTTTACTATGAACAACAGCAAGGTGATGCCACCTGCCCTCCTCAATCTCCAATCCAGAAAACGACAGAGAATTTGAATTGCTAGTGGCAAGGGTCAGAATACCATCCTCCTGAAAGTAAAGCTCTGCGTAGAATGGACTCTCATTGCTTACAGCACCAACAGAAAACATCCGGAAAATGTTCTGTTCGTGTTGCTGCGCACTCGAGATGCGTGTCTTTGATGAACTGCCAACTTTGGAGGCTTCTGGTTCTTTTCCTTGGGTTGTTAAGAAATTACGACACTGAAACCAACAAACAAATGAATAACCAGCAGCAGGAGGCCAAGATCTTTCTCCCAGGGACACCTGAACAGAAGCATGACCAGTTTTGCTCATGTCCATCTCTACAAAAGGAGCCATGGATAGATGTTCCAAGGCTGTGTCTTCCATGAAAATTAACTTTTCCATCATCCCAACTATTGCATGACCCGAATTCATAATCCTCATTTGCAAAACATATCTAAACAGCATTCGGAGCTCAGACGGGGACAATCTACACAAAGCAAAATATATACTAAGAAAAAAGACAGAAAAACTTATGTGGCAACCTTAGAAATGCATTCTGAAGTGACTAAATATGCAGGACATTCCTACCTATACGCTCCAAGAATTTCCACAATCTTCAAGGCATAAGAAAGAAATGGAGATGAGCCCGGAAGAAAGGGGTAAATTATTTCCAGCAGAAGTTCCACGCAGCCTGTTCAATTGCAATTCATGAAGAGAAAAAGAGGTGAGAGAGAATAAGAAGAAAAAAGCAACAGCGATAGGGATAAACTGACATAAAAAATACACCCCAGAGGAGCGTGTTCTTACCAACTGCGGTGAGGTTTTCCTGATTAAAAGGACTGGCACGTGCAAGAGTTTCCAGAAGGTTCAAAAATTCTAGCTGCATTTTTGGACTAAAGAGCAACAGTGAACGGATCAGAACTCTGACAGCACCTGCATTGTAAATTCTCTCCTTGTCAGGATTGAACTGGCCCGATGAGGTTGTTACAATAAAAGTTGCCTTTTCACTCTCTGTTATAGCAGAAGAGGCTGTAGATTCTGACGTCAAAAATGGTGGAAGCACCACTTCAAGTGCAAGTTCTAACAACAGCTGTATAACCTGCCTTTCCAAATCAACACAGAGCAATCCAGACTCCACCAAAAGCTCATAAAATGTCTGAGACGTTATAACAGCGTGCAGTTTCATCCTATTAACAGCATTCTCACAGACTGCAGCTGTCATAAGGCGAAATAGATATTTAAACAATTTGATGTAAACCATCAGATCAGAGTCATCCATGTGCTCTCTTTTCTCTTGAAAAGTATGAAGGGTCGTCAATAAAAGAGAAAAACCAGTGGCTTCGCCAAAGACTCTTTGGGCAGAGCTATTAACACCAACAATACGCCATAGAGCACCCATGGTATCACATTTGGCATCATCATGAAGCTTGTATTGATGGCCAGAAATACCAGTGACCATTCCACTCTTCAACAAATCAACAACGGCTCCTAACTCTTCATGATGGACCTGGTTGGAGAGTCATTGAAAGAAGGTAAGGATTTTTGCCATTTATGCAAAATAAATACCTATCAAGGTATCCATGTAATCTAACACAACTAATTTGCAATATAATTTGGTCTAATTGTTCCAAGAAAAAGAGGGAAACAAGTTTATGTAAGAATCGTAAAGCTAAGAATTCTTCTGAGGTGAATTTACCTGTTTAGTGTCTTCCGTAATTAGGCATGATAAGACCCGCAAAACGCCAGTTCGATGAGCATCAAATATCAAGAAAGGAAGAATAATCGTCACACCATTGGCCGCACGAAAAGATGCCTGATTAGCCTCAGCTTTCTTTAACAAAGAGATCAAACAATCCCAACCAACAGTTATAGTGTTGTCAACTTCAAAGACAGGCAACTTTCCTGACCCAGATTCCATCAACTTTGGTGATGAAATGATGGCATCTTTAGTATCCATGTGCTTTTTGAAGCTACCTGAGCTCGGCTTCCGATCCGCATGATTAGAGACTCCACTAAAGTGATCTGGACCCATGAGAAGCTTGTGCTGCTTCAAATCATCCTGTAAGACTTCCAAAACACCAACTTCACGTAGGACTTTCTTATATTGTTGATCAAACGATATGAGCTTCACAAAGAAAGAAAGTATTGTGTGCTTCAACTGAGATGTGATTGGCTGTTGCAATAAGCAACAGAGTGACAACAATTCTTGCTCTGGAACACAATTCACAACTGTGACAGCATATTCAAGAATTTTGAGAATTATTTCTTGCAGCGAGGAAGGAAAACCAGCCATGTTGAGGACAAGTAATGGAACAGTCCTTAATTCCTGACACAATCTATAGTTTTCCACGTGGCTCGAGAATATTTTGAACATCCTGTTCAATACTTCTGCCTGAAGATCCTTATTCTCTGCCTTCAGGAAGATATCTTGCAGCATCTGGACAGCTTCCAGGTCTTTAACTTTACTACTTCCGTTCTCCCATATATCATCATATATACTATCAACAGATGGAGTTCGACTTCTGTTATGGCCAGTTGGCTTCGTTTGGGATGATCGTGAGGCTTTACCTACAGATGGCTCAGCTGGACCAGTCTGCGCCAGAGTGACAAGGACATCCAGCAATCTTGACAACGATGGAGAAAAGTTTTGTGATGAAAAATCAGCATTTTCCCTACTGCCCTTATTTTCTTCATCAGGAAACACTTCAGAACCATCTGAACTACTATCTTGATTAATAGATGAACGACTGGACACAAAAGTCTGATTTTTTGGCAAGGAAGATAGAATCAGGGCAAACTGGACAAGAAAGTGGTAACCGTGTGCATTACGTATGTCCTCCCTGAGCCTAACACCACCAGCCTCTACAAAGTCAAATATGAAAACGATTAGTAGCCATAATCAGAACAGCATACATTTCACATGTATAAGTGACTGATGAATGTTCTCCTATCACGCTGAAGCTTTTTATAAGGACAACATATTTTGAGCTCTGATATTGGAATAGACCATAATTACCAGGTCTGTACGATAGTTCCACACATTCAAGTAACAAGTCCACAATGCCCATCGTGTAGGCTGCGTCACCACAACCTGGATCAAAATCTTTGACAGCCATCAAGAGAACCTTTATCTGCAAGAGAACTAAGAAAATTATTTGGTTGAAGATTTTGTAGAGTGTAGACTACTATAAAAGAGCTCATAGAAGAGAATGAAAACATTTTTCAATGGCTTCTTGTATTTTTTCACTTTGTAATACTAAAACATATGCATACAACAGTTAATTATCATTTGCTTTTATCCTGAAATTAACATAAGTTTCCTGAAAATCAAGTGTTCTACCAAAGAAATCTCATATAATTTCAACAATAGCAAGAACCAATTAATCTACACCCGATGTCAAAGCTTATAAGTATGCACAATAATCAATATACTACACTCAGGCAGTCTGCATAGCTCACTGGCGTACCAGATGGTGTTTGCGTATGTATCTTGCTGTGCTCCCATTGTCATTGACTAGAAGAAGTCCAAGGATCTGTAAGAAATACGAAAGGGATTCAAATGAAACTATAAGCATCAGATTATCTAATTCGGCTGCAAACGTCAAGCTAGAAAGCCGTTCACAGAATATTTTTCCATTTTGTAGCACAATGCTCTGAAACAGTTATATGAAAAATACCTGCATTGCATGTCTGTGAAGTTGTATGCTATGGAGTGGAACTAGACCTTCTTTGTATTGAGAGAAAACTGTAACGGAGCCATTGGCAACCATATTGAAAAGCGACTCAAGAGAGTCATCTTCAATCAAACTCTGAGCAGCAGAAGGATTGCTTGCTAATGCTTTCATAATATGGACAACGCTACCCTCCACCTACAAGAATGAGGGGGCACAAAGTACTTATTTAACTGATAAAGCATAGGTGTAGTGTAACTATTGGTTGTTAATATCCACCTTAAAACAATTTCGGAAAATATAGTCTAGTTAAGATTTCGGAATAAAACTATAGAAACAGTACCTCAAGGCGTCTAGTCTGGAGTGCTCTGTATCCAGCATCTTTTTCTGCTGATACCTCTTCCAAGCCAGCAGTTATTTTACTTTTGCTGAGTTCATCATATGCTAGAAGAGCACTGAGAACGTGTATTAGACAACAGAATATCCCAGAATCCAGTAGTGATTGTTTGTCGATAGGCTGAAAATAACATATTGGAGGTTGCGTTTAGGAGTCATAAGGCATAAAACAATCAACGAGTCAGCATCCTCGATAATGTGAAAATAAGCTTTGAAAACTCGTTTTATGGAGTGGGTAAACTGGAAGACAGGAAAAAAGTTAAAAAGGTACCCCAGATACAAGGACTTCAACAGCAGTTAAGAGGTTTGCACCAGGACTAAATCTCTCCTGTATGAAGAAAATCATGGATTAAGAATAGAGAAGAAACGGTGACATGTCAAGATGCACAATATTCAGGAAGAAAAGGCAAACCTTGGTGACATTTGAAAAGAACTTTAATAACATCTCTACATCCAGTGACCTGGTCTTGCTGCCGATCTTCAACTTATCAATATCAGTCACAAATGCTCTCCCAATGACAAAAGAGAAAATATGTGTTTCTACTAACCTGCAGTTGTAATAAATTTATCAATATTGGTGATATTACCATATCTGACCTACCAGCATAGAATATGAGTTACAGAAGAAAACTCACTAGACAGGGGACGAACATACAGGTTGAGAAAGAGAAAAGAAAAAGTTGGGAAGAGCTTACATGGTAACTAACTGGTCTACATTAGCATGTCGCTTCACTAATCTACAAAATGTATCCACGGTAAGATTCAAGGCGGCTTCCTTCTCCTGCATGAAATATGAAGGATTAGCACTCATGATTTGCTAGTCTTTTTATGTATGCCCATCCCATCCGGTATAGGAACACGCAAGAAGAGATATTGTTCCAAGATTAAAGGTGAGACATTCTGGAAAAAAATGACTAATACGTATAAAAGAGTATGGAGTAACCAAGTAAGAACCTTTTCAGAGCTTGATGAACGGAACTCTTCCCATAATCTCTTGAAGTCCAGTTCCAACTCATGGTTTTCTCTGCTTTCGAAAGGTGTAAAAAGAGGATCAACAGTTGTCTTACACAAACAGCGATTGAGAACAAAATTACAGAATCCAATTCAAAAGTATTGCAGCTGAGAGCATGTACGACTGTTATTGTGGCCTTCATAAAACTGACTTACTATTTCAATCAAACATGTACAAAAAAAGATTTCCATGTAAGTAGCAGAGCAGCCTTTGACCCTCAAATTGTCAATCTTCCCTAACATTTGATCACAAAATCTAGCACCACAAATGTTGCAATAAAGCAATCTAAAAGAGACGAAGTTGATGTCGATCACTTATAAAGCAATCCAAACAAAGAAACAGCCAACCAATCTAAAAGCAAAGTCAGCAAACTATATCTAGCAACAATGCACACATCGGAAACCACAACCAGATCAAGCACAACCAGGAAGACTAGCTCTAAGAAACGAAGGAAGAATACCTTGAAGGAGATGAGTTCAAGTCACGGAGAGAAGACGAGGGAGCGTAAGTAGAAGATGGAGAAGAGGAAGAAGACTGGGAAGCAGTTAGGTCAACGGGAAACGCGTCGGCGGTTGCGGCGTCAGAGGATTGAGCTAATCCGACTTTCTCCTTGATGTCCTTAAGCAATGTTGCCCATTTCATCGTTCTCCTTTTCGATCAGAGAAACTTTCATCCGACGACGACCTCACCTGACCAGACCCTGACTCGGTCTCGAACACGACCTCCAGATCCGAGTCGTCGATCAGAAAGAAAATCAACCCTAATGCGATCAACCCAAAACTCTCATCCTTCACCAGAAGAAGACAAAAAGCAGTATATCCTTAAAATGACCCCCAAAGTAATTCGAATTAAAGAAAGAAGAGAAGAAGAACCAACAAAAGAAAAAAACTCTGTTTTAGATCAAATTGAGCTGATACAATGTATCAAATTAGGGCTTCGTAGCGAGAAGAAAGATCTAAGATCCAATATTTTGAATCGTGATATTTAACCCCTACCCTTCCAACACTTCAAAAATCCCTTTTTCTTCCACGAGAATGAGCAAACCGATTTTGACAAAAAAGGAAGAAAACGAGCTTAGCAGAAAGAAAAAACGATTTTTTTGTTTTGTTTTAATTAAATTAACAGATTAATATTAGATTTCACAGATTAATCAATCTCTCTTTTTTCTTTTTTCTTCCTTCTTTCTTCGTTTTTTATTTTGTTCTTCTGCTGTATTTTTTTTTGTGTGTTGACGGCGTCTCTCCGCGCCTTGTTTCTCGCTCAAGTCGTCGTCTCAGTTTCTCTCTCTACACACGATATTGTTTGTTCCTTCCTCATTGTTTTTTCCAGGTTTGTTACTTTATTAGCCCTTGTACTTTTGTTTCCTATTGTTTTATACCCTCTATAATATTTCGTTCCTATTTTGACCCCAATAAGTCTTCCATCCCAACCAATCCATCTGTTACATAGGTTATTCAGATGACGCAGACAATAAGCCAATGTATAGAAAACTATAAACTAAAGACACTTGAAAACCTTTGACATTTCATTCGTGAAAGTAACAAAGGTTGACTTGTTCTTTTTTATCATTTTATATGATTTTCTAAGTATATAAATGGTCAAATAAGGATGTTTGTATTTATATAAAATTACACATTGGGATATTTCTGTTTAACTTTCTATTAAAAATTGTCACTATACTAGAAAAGTAATGTAAAACCAATTACACCTACGGATTTTTCAGCAAAAATCTTAAATCTTAACTAATCTAAAAAGATGAATTAACTTTTACCTTCTTAAGCTAATAGTGTATTTTTAACTTTATGGAAGACATATGTTGGTTAGTAGTTACCGGAAATATCTTTAAGATTAGAACAAATGAAAAGAGACAGACAAAAATCAAAAACATTAAGCATTAAACAAGAGTATAAAATCTACTAGAAAATATATCTGGATGATAGTTTGGAAACAACAAGGCCTAATTTATAATTACGAAGAAAAACAGGGGCCAGCGAAAGGTCAAACACCAAAATACTTTTCTAGGTTCACGTCTACAATCGCAAGTAGAGCCCACGGAAACGAGAATGCCACGTTGCTAGTTATATCATTATTCTGTATTTAAAGTTTTTAAAAGAGTAATTTACGACATTTAAACACTGACTTCGTATTTCAATTCAATTTTTACAGTAGGATAGAAAAGGAACATTATTGTTGTTATGTCTTGAATAGACAACTATCTAATTTGGAAAATTTCAAAATAAAACAGTGAAAAGGTCGACCTTGGTTTGATCTATGTTATGTGCACTTTCAGCTATTGTATTAATTTTTATATAAACGAAACGTAATATCATTTGGTTTTCGTGAAAAATGTATCTAAAAGCAAAATGCAGAGGTCACCTCTATATCAAATAAACAAACAAAATTAGAAGTGGTGGTAAATTGACATCAAACAAAAATATAAAAAGGGAACTTGGTGAAAGAGAGAGCATATACACATTTTCAGAAATAAAAGAGAAAACTTGGCCCTATGCCATAACTTGTTTAAGCCCAATTAAGTATTAATCTCACAATTTAGGCCCACATAAGGCCTATATTCTTACAGCTTCCGCGTAGTAGGATATCAAGAATGTTGTTTGATGTATCACGATCTAATTAATATCATTCATACATACTCAAACATGTGTTCTTCGGCTAATTAATAGGATTCATGGACCACGTCGCATGTCACGCTAATAGAGAATACATTTTGCATATGTGAAGATATTTAATATCAGACCTCAGAAATGGTAATGAGAAAAAATTGTTTTTATGATAGAATCTAAAAAGCAGTGCATTACTTTGGTAATTATAAAGTTGATATACAAGCCCTCTCTCTTTACTTGTCCCAACAAAATTCCAAACACAAGAGAGAGAGACTATGAAAACTTATGATATAGTCGGGCTATCCTGTGTTTGTTCGGTTGCCTTTATAATAATTTGTGCCGCCATATGTCAGAAGAAGAACAAAAAAGTCACTACTGGCAATGACCTAGAGACAAATCGAAACAGGGATGGTGGCTTTGTGACTTTTCCAGCGTCTGTGGCTGCCTCCTCCAACGGCACTCAACCCAGTCATCCCAGTGACCATCACGGCAGTGGTTGTGGTGGACATGGCGGCGGAGGATGTGGAGGCGGAGGATGTGGAAGATAACAATTCTGCTTAGATAATGTTGTTAATTGTTTTGGTGTCTTTTTTTTTTCTGTCTCTTGGATTTTATGTTGTTAGTGTAGATTTTGAAAAAAAAAACAGTTAAAAAAAACCTTTGGAGCCGTCTAGAGATTTTGAGAGCCGTACGTCCTTGTTTACGGTTAAAGGCTTAACAACTTAACGTTTCATTATTAGTAGGGCACGTGGCAATTCCTGGTGATTTCAAGAACATTCTCCTTTACTCTTCCCGCAACTGCTTTTAGTTATAAACTTATAACTTCAAAATCCTAATTTTTCTCAAAAACCTCTCAAATCCCAAATAACTCTATCACGGGAATATCGTAACAATCATCCGCCGGCGAAATCGAAATCCCTAACCGATTTAGAAAGTTTCGACAGTTTACAGGATGCACAAGTGGAATCTTCCGTACCGGAAAGATGACGTAGAGAGCGGCGGTGGCGAGAGATCGCTGTATCCGACGATGCTCGAGAGCCCCGAACTCCGCTGGGGTTTCATCCGTAAAGTCTATTCAATAATCGCTTTTCAGCTTTTAGCAACCATTGCCGTCGCTGCCACGGTGGTTACCGTTCGTCCCATCGCCGTCTTCTTCGCCACCACTACTGCCGGTTTGGCTCTCTGGATTGTCATACTCATCACCCCCCTCATAGGTAACAATTACAGGATCATCAAACTTGTTCATTCGATTTTGATTTTCGGTTGAATTTGTTTCTGAAATCGGTTTACTTTTTGTTTTGGCAGTTATTTGTCCTTTGTACTATTACCATCAGAAACATCCGGTGAATTACTTGCTTCTTGGGATTTTCACGGTGGCTTTGGTTTTTGGCGTCGGATTATCATGTGCATTCACCAGTGGTAATTACTCTATCTCCTTCTTTTTTTTGTTACTTGTGAAACACTCTAGTCTTTGTTCGTTTCTTTGCCTTTCATCGGACTCTGCTTTGATCACACGCTACACTGTGATTGGTCTCCAATACATTTGAGCTGGTTTTCGCTTTTCCAATACTCAACAACTCGCTCATGTGGAGAAATGATATTCACAGCCTCGTATAGGATGCAGAGAAACTGTTTATAGTTCCAAATTATTCTAGCAGAAACTGATTCATGAGATTTGAGATAACTTTGTTGTTGGAACAGGGAAAGTGATTCTTGAGGCAGCGATCTTAACAACGGTAGTGGTGCTTTCCTTAACTCTCTACACATTCTGGGCAGCCAAAAAAGGATATGACTTCAATTTCCTCGGTCCCTTCTTGTTTGGTGCTATCATCGTTCTCATCGTCTTTGGCTTTATTCAGGTAAACACACGTCTTGTTTTCTTTTACCCAACATTCAGAAAAAATACAAAAACTAAATAGTAGCGTTTTGAGCTTGACCTTGGGGTGTGTTTGTTATTTTTTGCAGATTCTGTTCCCTTTGGGTCGGATCTCAGTGATGATCTATGGTTGCTTGGCGTCGATCATATTCTGTGGCTACATAGTTTATGACACAGACAATCTCATCAAACGTTATAGTTACGATGAGTATATTTGGGCAGCAGTTTCGCTCTACTTGGACACCATCAACCTCTTCTTGTCTCTCCTTACCATTTTCAGAGCTGCTGATGTTTAAATGATGAAGCGCTTTAGCTCGGATTTCAAGTCCTGATCACTGTTACTATCTGAATATCTTCAACATTTATTAACATAACTGTTAGGTTTATTTGAAACGCATGTATTCTTAGTGCTCTTGATTTGGATTTGATATATTCTCATGTATCGGCATCGCATGTTAATGTAATTCAATCAAATGGATACTAAAACTCACATTCATATTTAATTTAAATTCGCTTCCATTCACATGAACATTATTAGGCTTACTTGCAACAATTACCAGTTTTCAAAACGATCAAGGAGATGGCGGCGGTTGCACACACCCGCAAAACGCAAGCCGCTTTTTAATCCTCTTCCGTCGCTCACCTCTCACTCCGCCGTAGATATAGTCCCGAAGAAGAATCCTCGTTTTGCTATCCGTTACCTTCGCTTTAGCACGATCCTCTCTTTCTCCTTCCATTTTCAGTAACAGAAACTGTAATCTCTGTATCTCCAACTGTAACCTCCCGATCTTCTCTGATCCTCTTCTCGCTTGCTCTGATATTCTCCTCCTTCTGTTACTCTCACTCTCATCAAGATCCATTGATGACTTGCTTCCTTCTGTTCTCTCAAATCCACTTGCCACTTTTGTCACCAGTTTTCTGTTGATGCTTAGAAGTTTCTCTAGTGCTTCCTCTGCTTCGCTGATCTGTCCCTTGACCGTTTCGTACTCGTCTTCTTTTCCTTTCTCGCCTTTTTCCTCACTCTCCACTTTGCTTTTCAAATCTTCTACGGCTATATGAAGATTTGAGAGCTTCTGCAAATCCGAATGAAGTCTCTCGAGAACTTTCATCTGGTTTACTTCTTTGTTTGGATCCGTGAATCTATCGGAGATCTCTAGTTTGTCAACAACCAAAGACTCTTCAGACAATGATTTGCCTTTCTGAGGTGTTTGTGGCTTTACCTCAAAACCGGGATCATCTTCTATCTTCAGGATGTCTCTCTTACTTATTATCCCATATGAAGAACAATCAGAAACCTGATCGAGTACGATGTCTTTTGTGATCATCTCGCTTTCATCCAAATAGATTTCATGGTTCGGTTTCCGTAGACTTCCACTTCTCCTTCTGCTTCTTCGGGTAGAAGTAGCTTTTTGTTCTTCCATTGCAAGGTTTCTGGTTACTGCCTCCTCAACAGCTTTGATTCTCAATCGCATTTCTTGCAGCTCCAAGAATCCATCGTTTTCATCCACCACCGAAGCAGTGTCCTGAAAAATATATAGCCACAAAACATTGATTACTCTCTGACAAGAATTTTCGAAATTAGCAAAGAAACAGATGTAACATATCATTTGAATAAATATTAAAAGCAGAGTTTGCTAAGATAACTTACAATGGCTGGTTCATTCTCGAATTCGTGAGGCATGGAAATATGTTTTTCCAGAGATTCTATGCTTTCCTTCAGCAAGAAAATAGCTTGGCCGTAATTGCTCATAACATCGTTTTGTCCTTTGTTAGCATCCTCCAAGTTGTTCACTCTTCCTTTGAGCTGGTCAATCTCCACGTCTTTTAATGTGCTTCTTTCCTCAAGGTTCTTGCAGGCTTCGGCTAGCTCATGGGTCAATCCTTGAAGCAATGTTTCCTGAACAGCCGAAATCTGCAAATCTCCAAACAATGTCGCAGCTTGAGACTCCCATTGCTCAATCTCACTCTTTTCTTTCAAAAGCTCCTCGTTTAGCTTTTCCTTCTCCGCTCTGATTCCTTCGAGTTCCATGAGTAAGTTCATCAAGTCAGCTTCCAGTTTCAGATTAGCTTCATTCACGTGACTATTCTTCTTAACCTGCTCATCGTAATCTCCGCTGAGTTTCAAAACCTGCTTGTCTTTATCTTCTTCTATCGCTTTGGCTTCCTTGTATCTACATTCTAAACCCTCCACTGCCTTTGATAATTCAGATTTTTCATTTTGCACGACGGAGATCATCAGCATTGCTTCTAAAAGCTCTTTCTCCTTCTGACCCAACTGATCCTTCACGTTAGCAATTTCATGTTCCAACTGATCATTGGCTGATCTGGCAGAGATCACTTCAGCATCCGATTTCTCTAGCAAACCTTGAAGCTGCAAGTTCTTAGTTTCTGCAGAATCTAACTTATCACCAACCTCCTTTATCTCCTCCTCGAGATTACACTTAACAAAAGTGAGTCTCTCCAAATCCTCGTTTAATTTCACCGCTCCTGAAAGTTTTTCCAAGAGGACATCCTCCAAAAGAAGAATGAGATTGCTTTGGTATAGAGTCTCGGAAAGAAGCAAATAGATGTCCTCTTCTAGCTTACGTTTCTCCTCCTCCAACCGCAGTGTCGACTTTGTCAAGTGCCTTTTCTCGTCTAGAGTTTTGCAATTCTCTCCCTCCAAAATGGTGTAGTCATTTCGAAATTGCAAGACTTGCCTTTGCAAATCCTTAATTTCCACCTTCAAGACTTCTTCTCTGTTGACTCCTTGATTAACTTTTGTGGTCAATTCTCCATTCACGTAGATAAGATTATGAGTCTCCTCCCGTGAAGACGAGAGCTGGCAACGCTGAGAGTCAAGTTCTTCTTCGAGGATTCTCTTCTCTGTTGCAATACCAAAAGCTTCTGACTGAAGTTGCCGAAGAAATTCAACAAGGACGAGGTTCTCAATGGCGAACTGCCTGTGCAAATCCTCAATTTTCACCTTCAAGACCTCTTCTCTGTTGATTCCTTGATAAACTTTAGTGCTCAATTCTCCATTCGTGTTGATAAGTTTCTGAGTCTGGTAACGCTGAGATTCAAGTTCTTTCTCAAGGATGCGCTTCCCTGTGGCAATACCAACAGCTTCTGATTTAAGCTGCCGAAGGAATTCAACAAGGACGAGGTTCTCTATAGCAGACTGCTGGTTTTCATTCTGAATCTTCAATAGCATAGTTTGCATTCCATCAAGTCTACTCAATATGTCATGCATATTTTTCTGGTCTTGCGAGTTCTCATCACCGGAATCTGTACCTGGAGTAATTTCAAGCTTCATCAATACCTGGTGGATCCCCGTTCTCAGTATGCTAATGCAGGTAATCGAGGACTCAATCTGCACTTGTTTCCCAATATTTTCCTGTTCTAGTTCAGAGACTATCTTCTCTAACAGCTGAGACGCCTCTTTCATTTTCTGATTCTCTGCAACCAAAGAGGAACTCTTCTCAAGCCAGTCCTGCAAACATTTCTGCAGAACAATAATCTCAACGTGAGCATCATGAGCTCGATCTTGTTCCACTTGATTTTCATCTTGAAGATGATGGATCTTTGATTCCATGCCATTCATCCGACTCTCAGACAATTTCACAAAGCTAGCATACTCACGGTCCTTGGCATCTAAAGACTTCCCCAACTCTTCAATCTTCTGAAGGGAAGATTCCCTCTCGGTCGCTAATTCCAAAACTTTCACTTTTAACTCTGCATGTTCTTTCTCCAGATCTGCAATGCTTTTTCTCATTATATCCATCTGAGAGAGTAGGCTTTCTCTTTCTCCAGCTAAACTGGACTTGTCATCATTCAGAAGGTGGCAGGAGTCTTCTAGGCTTTTCAATTTTGACTTGAGTTCTTCAAGTTCTGCATTGGCATCAGAAAGAGAATTCTCCAGCAACCTGTTTTCCTCAGAGAGTTTCTTGCTGTTTTCTGTAGCACTCTGCAAACGGGAAATCAGCATGTCCTTCTCAGAATGAAGGTCTGTTTTCTCTTTTCCCAGTGACACACAAGCTTCCTCCAATGTCTTCAGCTTTCCTCTGATTGTATCCAGCTCAGAATTCAAATCTGATATGGACTTCTCAAGGAGAAGGTTTTTCTGAACAAGCTTTTCCATCATATCTAACTTCTCAAGAAGGGACAGCTTTTCGATACTTTCCTTTTCCTTTATTTCCTTTAGCTTTGAGTTCTCCTCCTGCAGCTCCTTGACAGAAGACCCAAATTCTTCAGGATGTAAACCAACCAACTCCACCTGTTGTACCACGGACTGGTGTTTCTTCCCTATCTGACTTAGTTCCTCTTTAAGACAGTATATTTCTTGCTGCAAAGCATTTCTCTGGTCCACTCTCAACCCAACTTCTGCTTCAAGTTTCTCTATTGTCTCCCGTAGTCGTGAGACCTCCCCCTGCAAACTTTTTATTGATGCAGCCGAAGATAGATTGAGATCACTGAGGCTTTTGTTCTCGTCTTTGGCTTCCTGGACTTCCTCCTGTAAACCATTGTTACGGACCTCCATATCTTTCAAGATTTGAGACCTGTTTTGCAGTTCCAATGCTAAAGCGCTTAGCTCCTCCTGAGACTGAGAGTGCAATTGCTGAAGAGTTTGAAAGGGGGTCTCAGCCTCCACGAAACGCAAGTTTTCTTCTTGTACACAAGTCCACAATCTTCCCATCTCTTTCTGTTTCTCCGTGAGCTCATGACTTTGATTCCCCAGTTTCTCCAATAGACCATCCAGCTCAGTGTGCAGATTTTGATTTGATCTCTCAAGCACGTCACATTTTTCCTCTGCAGATTTTAACTTAGCAACCCCATCCTCTATTTCACGGCTAAGTCTCTGAGTTTCCTCTTGAGCGTGAAATAGCTTGAGCTTTAGATCTGCAATTGTATCCAGACACTGTTGGTATTGGACTTCATAGGCTTCATTTTCTTCAACTAATTTAGAGACCTTTAGCTGCAAGCTTTCAACTTCACCCTCAGCATTTTCTGCCCGCTGATTGATTAACCTCACATCTTCCTCAGCCTTGCGCAACCTCTCTTCCAAGTTAGATATGGATTCCAAGCATTGCCGATACTGAACAAGAGCAGCTTCCTTGTCCGTTTCTGATCTAACAAGACTTTGTTTCAAGGCTATAGTCTCAGCTTCAGCTTGGCTGGCCCGCTCATTTACTTCTCCAGCCTCCTTCTGAGCTAGAGAAATGAGATCCTCCATATCAGCTATGTTTTGTAGACATTTCTGATATTGAAGAAGACTGGATCCCTTTTCAACTTCTAGTTTACTGAGCGATTCTCTGAGTGTTTCAACCTCAGCTTCGGCTTTCGTGGCTCGTTCATTAAACCCCCTGGAGTCCTCTTGTGCACGAGACACCTCAGACTCGAGATTAGACAGCCTCTCCAAATTCTGATCAAACTGAGCTAAGTTAGCTTCCTTTTCAGCCTGCACTTTAGAAAGAGCATCTTTTAAAGCCACAATCTCAGCCTCGGCTTTGCTAGCGCGTTCAGATTCCGAAAGAACCTTAGCGTTTCTTCCTTTTCCATCATCATTGAAATTCAGTCCTTTTCTTGCCTTTGCAATTTTCAAACCGTTCCCGTTACTTCCAGAGTGAGGCTCTTCCATAAAGGCTATGTTTCGCTTGACGGTACTCATATGAGAGAAAGAAACCCCCAACGCATCTTTCTGTAACTCACTGGGGTAGACCGGAGCTCGGATAGGAGGATAACTCTCCGGCGTTTGTGGATCAAACTCATCTGCGGAAGCACCACCAAGTGACTCCTCACCAAACATCATGGGGTCTTGATTCGGGAACGCTTCTGCCATAGTCTGCTGAGCATGACGAAGAGCACCGGTCGCATGATCATATCTTTCAGCTAACGCACGATATGCTCTATAAAACTCTTCCACCAGTTTCATAAGTTCAGGCCGCTTTTTGTAATACATTTCTGCTCGCCTGGCAAAGGAATCTGCATCTTCTTCAATAACCTTGATCATCTGCTTGACTTTACTATCCATATCTGCCAACAAATATAGTAACATGTTAAGTAAGAGCAGACAAAGTTCCCCGACATCATAATGAGAATGATCAAGCCTCGACAACAAGTCACAGTTGAAACAAGAAAATCACTTTTAGGACATTTCAATTCAGATAAACTAGCAGTTTGGTCTTAGTCACATACCTGTAAGATTCTCCTGAAGCCATTTAGAGTTCTTGGGGGTATTGTGACTATCCCACCACCAAGAATAGCGTTTAGTGTTACCATTCGCAACAGCAGCCATTTTCCCCAGCTAAATTACACACCAGACTATGACGATAATAAATCACTTCGGAAAAAGAATATGCTAATTCAACGGTTCTCTCAATGCCAAGTAGACCAAATTCCTCTGTAGAAGTTCCTAAACTGTACAAGAGAGAGAAAAAAGCAAGGTTAAGCTTCTATAAGAATGAACAAGCTGATCAAACATATATTAAAAAAAAAAAAGTTATAAAGACAGAAAAATAGAAACGATTACCAAGTCAATGAATGCAAAAATCGAGACAAAAAAAAGTACAGTGGCCAAAGCAATCGGTAGTCACCTGTTCAGAAAACATATAAAGCAAATCGTTACAGATGGAAAATCGAATCAGCATTAAAAAAAAAAAAAAAGAGGAAACATTTCGTCTCGGGAAATTAGAAGATCACAAACCCAAAATTCAAGGGAAGATAGCAAGAGAAACCACATGTATCAAATATCAATGATTTAAAGTAGTGTACTTAGCCAAAACTGAAATTTGCTAGAGCAGTTGATCTACAAAGCGAATCCAACAGTGAGATCGTAAGGCTTACCGGAAATAATAGCTCTTCTAAAAAAATCCTCAGATCAGCTTTCGCGTTTCACTTCTCCTTCATCTTCGCATATCTTCTCAGCTCATCTTCTTCATTTAGATCTCTCTCCTTCTCTCTCTCCAGGCGTTTCCGCTCTGTTCCTACTTTTTACGTTGTGAAGAATTGTTTAGGTACGGTGGACTTGCTGAGAAATTCTGAAATGACGATATGACCCTCTACTGTTGCCAGAAATGTTTGATTTTGAATATTTTAATTCGCAGTTGCGTGACTTTGCGTCCTCCCCTCGGGATCGCCTTCCTTGCCAATAGTTCTACAAAAAATGATTCGATCTAATACTTTCCATTTCTCCTTGGAAATAATCTTTTTATTAGTTGATTTTTTTCTTCTGTATATTAATTTCTTTAATAATGCATTTTTTTGTTTAGAATCTGCATGATGTAAATGGTTTTAGACTTTTAGTCATGATTTATTGATAATCTCTATAAATAAATAAAAAAACATAGAGAGGCTGACAAGTGAGATAAGTGAGAAAGACAGGATGTGTCTTGGACCGTGTGCTTTTGGTCCACTTCCGTCACCCTTTGTCATTTCTCCACGTTGGATATTAGATTCGATTCGACCTATTGCGATCTTTGCGTGTCTAATTTTTCCAATCATTTAAGGCTCTTCAAGTTGAGTTGGAAGTTGTTCATGTCATGCCTTCTTTTCAAGTAACAACTGCTATAAATATCTTGTGGTCACTTATGTATTATTACTCGTATCTCATCCAATCAAACCATTTTTTGATCATCTACTTCCCCTTTCTAATATTTTTTTTCACATTTTTGGGTCAATAACATGTATTAATGTAACCGTGTAATATTTTTTCAATCATTTATCAAATTTAAAAACGAAAAAGTCAAACTAAAGTTACAAGAATAAAAAAATTATGACAGGATATACTTGTGTGCTAAGTATGGATTACTTCTTTGTAACAAACTCAATGAAGACTGGCTGTTTATTACTCGAGAAACGAACAACTAAAATGATTCATCTATTGCAGACAATTTGACTTCTAAGCATCATAAAAGGTTACATATATGTATATGGCGTTTCAAGTTGGTCAAGACTCCTTTATTGCGGATTAAATTAAAATCGTGACTTTGAATCAACTCTTCTCTTAGAAGTTTATAAAATATACACCATATTCTTGTTCAGTTCGTTGCCAATATTGAATAAATTACAAGAGTTTTCTTGTTTCTTAATTTTATTTTTTTGTCGGTTCTACGGATATCAAAAACGTGGCTGTTTAGTGTTTATTATCGATATGACAAAACAAATGAATAGAGGAAGTCAGCACTCAACAGCCACTACCTAACTAACTCTTTAATACATTAGTTCCAGCTAGGTTTCATGCCCCAAAGCTTATACTATTATTTTTTCAGAAGTCGTTTATAAGTATCTCTAGTGCATTAATTAATAGTAAGAGCTGATCTTGCATTACACTCTAGAGTAATCTATAGTTAAAAAGATGAAGTATTTTTAAAAAATATAAACATCACTGCGATTGTGATTGTGATTGAGAAAGAACCAAAACATTTAAGGCCTTTATAGTCTCTAAGCTTCGTGATGAATGGCCCAGTATGAAATATTTAAGCCCATACTGATAAGTTAGGTTCTAGAGGGTAAAGACGCAACGCAAGCGACACATCAGACGCCTATCCAGTTCGAGGACCAACCAAGGAAAAGCGTGCCACGTCATTATTAAACGCTGATTAGTCTTAGCGAAAATGACCAAAAAGCCCTCAACTTTTCGTTTTATCTACACCTACACTAACAACAGTACAACACAGTTGCTGAGTCACACTTGTTTTCAATCGGAAAATTCGAAGTCGAGATCAATAATGTCGATGACGGTGTGGGCATTTCGGCGGAATGTTCGCCGGAAAAGTTACTCGATGCTCGTTAGATATATTTCCAGCTCTGACTCTTCTTCCGGAGCCACGATTAAGCCCAGGGAGCGGTGCATTGAGAAGATTTTAGTGGCGAACAGAGGCGAGATTGCTTGCCGGATCATGAGAACGGCGAAGCGTCTGGGGATTCAGACAGTTTCAGTTTACAGTGACGCTGATAGAGATTCTCTCCATGTGAAATCTGCCGATGAGGCGGTTCGAATTGGTCCTCCTCCGGCTCGGCTCAGTTACCTCAGCGGTGCGACTATCATGGAGGCAGCAGCTCGGACTGGTGCACAGGTATGAATTTTGATTATTCTATCGGTGAGCTAAATTTCTGGGATTGGAACTTGAACATATTACTTTCATGCAAACTCAATGAAGACTGGCTTTTGTTAAAGGATGATCTTTTTCATGTAGCTGATGTGTTATTTGAATGATAACTAGGCAATACACCCTGGCTATGGGTTCTTGTCAGAAAGTTCCGACTTTGCCCAACTCTGTGAAGATTCAGGTCTGACATTCATTGGACCTCCAGCATCTGCAATTAGAGACATGGGTGATAAAAGGTATACCATAACATAACAGGCTTCCTTCCTGTTGCTTCTTTGCAAAAGCTGTAAATTATCCTCACTTGGAAAACTTATGACGACGTGTTGTTCCTCATGTGTATTTATTCAGTGCATCTAAGAGAATAATGGGAGCTGCTGGAGTTCCTCTGGTGCCTGGATATCATGGCCATGATCAAGATATTGATCATATGAAGTCTGAAGCGGAAAAGATTGGATACCCTATTATAATCAAGCCAACACATGGAGGTGGGGGAAAGGTATGTTATGATTTACGATATTGATCTGTCCATAGCTTGTTGTATTAGTCAAGTTACTCATGTCACCTTGAAAGTAGTATGTGTTTCCATTTACTTTGGTTTTGACGTGTATTGTTTTTAGGGAATGAGGATAGTACAAAGTGGGAAGGATTTTGCTGACTCGTTTTTGGGGGCTCAACGTGAGGCTGCTGCTTCTTTTGGCGTTAACACAATTCTTCTTGAGAAATATATCACTCAACCAAGGCATATAGAAGTCCAGGTAATGGGTCGTGACATTCCATTTTTCTGTTTCTTTTATGAATCTCTGGTTATGGCGTCTTGAAACTCAACTAGTATGTAGAAGGACAAAAGATATTTTCTTTTTTGTCTAAATCGTTAACTTTTATATCTACTGCCATGTTCTGTTTAAGCTGTACATGGATTAATTGATACTTATTTGGAATATTATATAGATAAACTGTTTCTGCATCTTAACTAAGTTTCCGTCTGTATTTTCACTGTTTTTAGATATTTGGTGACAAACATGGAAATGTTCTTCACCTGTATGAAAGGGATTGCAGTGTGCAAAGAAGACACCAAAAGATTATCGAAGAAGCTCCTGCGGTAATGACTGTGTTTCTTTCTGTTCTTGTCGTATCTTTTCTAGCACAAATGGAGGTGGGTCTGATGTAAAATTTGCTGGTGCAGCCTAATATATCTGAAAAGTTCCGCGCCAACTTAGGCCAAGCGGCTGTCTCTGCGGCACAGGTATCCCTTTAAATCATGATTTCAACTTCTACAATTTTAATGATTTACAGTGATATATCTCAGTCGAAATGTTTTCACTTCCATGTTCTGTATATTGCATTCATTTATACAGTAGATTTTATGTCCCATGAGTCTCTTGATGACTAATATTTGATCATGAGTTATTTGATCGAAGTTTATCATTGTTAATTTGAGTTCCATTGATGTGTAGTCTTTTGAAACCTCTGCTTCCTAGGCTATCTTTCACTTCAACTTCCACAAGAAGCGCTTATATTCTGTTACCTTCTGATATTTAAAGGCAGTTGGATATTACAATGCTGGGACAGTGGAGTTTATAGTTGACACTGAGTCTGATCAATTTTACTTTATGGAAATGAACACCCGTCTTCAGGTGCTTCCTTGATCTATATGTTTAAAAAATTTACCTCGATAAACATTTGGCTTTAAACGAATACTGATAATCCTTCTTAGGTCGAACATCCCGTAACTGAGATGATTGTTGGTCAAGATCTTGTAGAATGGCAAATTCGGGTTGCCAATGGGGAACTTCTTCCCATAAGCCAATCAGAGGTGCCAATGTCAGGTATCACCCTTCCTCCTCGACATAAATGGAAAATAGTTTCTTGATTTTTTTCTACTGAATCAAATATGTATCCTTTTTGCAGGTCATGCCTTTGAGGCCAGGATATACGCTGAAAATGTTCCAAAAGGATTTCTCCCTGCAACTGGGGTCCTTAATCATTATCGCCCTGTTGCAGTCTCATCATCAGGTGCGGTTCAAGATTGTGTATACAACTCTTTTCTTTTCTCCCATCTTATGGAAAGTTTTTTTTGTCTGTCAGACATCAGACCAACGTTTTTTTCCCTGTTGTGAGCTTCTTTCATGTTGGAATATTATTGTTGCAGTTCGGGTTGAAACGGGAGTTGAGCAAGGAGACACTGTTAGCATGCACTATGATCCTATGATCGCAAAGCTTGTTGTCTGGGGAGGTAATCGCGGCGAAGCTTTAGTGAAACTGAAGGATTGCCTGTCTAACTTTCAGGTACACTCCCTTAGAGCCCTTACCAACGTTTTGGTGATCTCTGCAGTGGCAATTATACCTCAGCATACTTAGAAATTGTCAAGGCATTATGGTTCCATTTGTGAATTTCTTAAGAAACTTTCTCTAGTTTATCGCACATGGCTTCTTAGTTACCACAATAGTTCAGTAATTACATGGTCTTTGTTGGCAGGTAGCAGGTGTACCCACGAACATAAATTTCCTTCAAAAACTTGCTAGTCATAAGGAGTTTGCAGCGGGGAATGTAGAAACTCATTTTATTGAGCACCATAAAAGTGATCTATTTGCTGATGAAAGCAATCCAGCTGCAGCAGAAGTGGCATACAAGGCAGTTAAGCATAGTGCCGCACTGGTGGCTGCTTGTGTATCCTCAATCGAGCATTCTGATTGGAATGAAAACAATCATGGTTAGTTCACATGAGTCTAGTCTCTTCTTCACAAGCTACATGGTTCACGCGCATGTCTTAATTTTCTTATGTGTAAACTTATCCAGGGAAACTTGCATCGATATGGTATTCTCATCCTCCTTTTAGGGTCCATCATGAAGCCAAACAAACAATTGAGCTAGAGTGGGAAAATGAAAGCGACCGAAATGAGTTGAACCTTATATCGCTCGGCTTGATATATCAACCAGATGGAAGCTATCTCATTCAGGTACTAACTCACTTCAAGATTCATTGAAAAAAGATGACGCTGAAAGCCATTGCTGTATCATATTCATACTTCATTTATGATTCCTATAATTGTGATTCTGATGCTTTGTTAACACTCCCTGAGACAGGAAGGCAATGATTCTCCTAGTTTAGAAGTCAGAGTGACTCGCACAGGTAAGTGCGATTTTAGAGTTGAAGCAGCCGGGTTGAGCATGAATGTCACTGTAGCCACATACTTGAAGGTAACCAACCAATTATCACTTTGCAATGCCAATTGTTCAAGCTTTACCAGAAATTACATCTCTCTTTAACCTTTTGTTTTTGATGTCTTTTCTGGTGTTAGGATGGTTATAAGCACATCCATATTTGGCATGGTTCAGAACACAATCAGTTCATGCAGAAGGTAGGAATGGAATTCACTGAAGATGAAGAAGGTGTCCAACACCGAACCAGCTCTGAATCATCATCACATCCTCCAGGAACCATTGTGGCTCCTATGGCTGGTTTGGTAGTCAAGGTCCTTGTAGAAAACGAAGCCAAGGTAGAACAAGGTCAACCTGTTTTAGTCCTAGAGGCAATGAAGATGGAGGTTATTTTACAAACCTTTTCCCTTTTACCCAAATTCCCTTACACATATACCAGTTCAATATAACAAATCGTAAACTAATATCTTCTGATTCTCCTCCCCATGGTTAATCAGCACGTTATGAAAGCCCCGTCTTCTGGAACTATCGAGGGTCTTAAAGTTGAAGCAGGCCAGCAAGTTTCAGATGGTAGTGCTCTATTCAGGATCAAAGGTTCGTAGTTTACAAGTAACCTTTTTTCTCTTTTATACATCCTGTAAGAATTTCAACTAACTCCAACCGTTTCACAATCGTTGCAGGATAAATAACACTGATTCGTGACTGATCGAAACCCATTCTCTTTTGCTTACTCGAAACCTAAACTAATAAGCATTCTGGGTGTGTATATAAACTGATATCCTACATAAATAAATAAATTTGAATCTTTAAACAATGTTTATGCTGCCTCTATTCAGATCTGTGCGAATTGAGATTGAAGGTAAAACTTAGTAGTATACAATGATTGATTACATTAACAATCAAGATAAACCGAGCCATTTCTTAAATATCAAACCAGCTTCCCTCTTCCTGAGCTGAGATTCGCTTTGAACTTTTGGAGCTTTGCCTTTATAAGCAGTCTTGTGATACTTCAAGAAGAGCATCCGATACTTGTACTTATCAACAAACATATTCCCTTTCTCCATCATCTCCACAACTTCATTAGCCCGCGAGAAAAACCCGCCTCTAACAAACGTATAGAGAACCGCATCGAGCAACTCTTGATCAAACCTCATCGATGAAGTAGCTGCGGCTATGGATTTCATTTCTCCCCACAGCTCAGTGACCTCTGTGTATTTACTCCCAATGGCTGCATACCCTGTCACCATAGAATGAAAAGTTTGAGCATTCGGTGAATGCCCTAGACTTCTCATCCTCTTCAATGCCTTCTCTGCATCTTGCATCAAACCTTTCTTGCTAAAGAAATGGATCACGTTGTTCCAATCATGAACACCTGCATCCAAACTCTGCCCTTCTCTGATTTCTCTCAAGAGTTTCGACATTAGTCCCGCCTCTGCATTTCCTTCACAACCCTTTAACAGCTTCTCGAACTGCTGATTTCCACCTCTCGGTATCTTCGCCTCTTTCATTTCCTTGAACACGTTGAGAGCTCCATGAGTATCGTTCTGAATCACTTGAGACTGGATTAAAGCTTCATAGCAGCTCGAGTCGAATTGAATCCCTGCCTTCTGAGCATCTCTAAGGAGTGATGTCACTTCCCTAGTTCGGTTTGTTTTGCAGTAAGCCTTCAGGAGCGACGAGTATACCGAAGCACCGGTTCTTACCCCAGCCATTCGCATCTCATCGAGTAGATCATGCGCTTGATCCAACATTCCAAGAGAAATACATGCATTGATAACATTCACCAGCATTGACTCATCACTAGAAACAGGCGAATCTTCATGTTCTGCCTTCAACAGAAACTCTGCTAACTCCTTCATCTTCCCACTTTCCAGGAATGCCTTTGCTAACTTCACATAAATCTCCTCTGTCGGTTGCAGAACACCACGTTCTGTGGTAATCAATTCGACTTGTACATGCAACTTAGCCAACAATGCACCAAGAACATCCTTTGCCTCAGCTTCCAGTTTCAAAAACTTCCTGTCTCTAAAGAACTCTTCATATGGAATCATACTGTGAGTAGAAAACGTCCGAGTCTCCTTATTATCGCTTTCTTCAACCTCTGATCCTTTTCTGAGATTTAACCTATCATCATCTGCAGTATCAAATCCAAGAATGGCGGCTCCAAGTGAGTTCCTTGCTACCTTTCCTCTTCTTAGCATTTCAAGAACCATCTTCGAGGCAGATTCTAGATCCCCAAATTTAAGGTGACACATAAGCAAGCAGTTATAGAATTGCCAAAACTGAGAATCATTCAAGTTACAAGCTTCATCTATATGCCTTTGGAGCTTCCTCAGTTCCTCTCTCCGCCCATTTCTTTCATATATATGAGCCATTATCACCAGCAAGTTAGCATCAGCTTTAACACCGATCTTCGGTATCATATCAAGAAGCTCTTCAGCTTTCCGTGTTGTCCCAAACAACAAACAACCCGCCAAAGCAATGTTCAACGCCAGAGTATTAGGCTTCATCGCAAGCAGAGGCGCATTGCTCTTCTTCCGTGGATCGACTCTGTTGTTATGAAACAGATAACCAATCTCAAGAACCAACTCAGCAGAGAGATAACTTCCAGATCCCGCAAGAGACATATGCGCCAAAACAGCAGACCAAGCACTCACATGAGGATACTCTTCAGTCTCAACTAGCTTCCTCAAGATCGTTGACGCAGGAACAGCCATGCCCGACTTGGCGAGAGCCAAAGAGAGATATAAAAGAGGTTCCTTCTCCAGCAAATTCTGTTTACTCTCTTCAAACGCTTGTTCCACTAAAGTGTAACCCTTTTGTAGCCAACTGGAATCAAGACTCTCAGCAAAACAAACCAAAACATTGTTAACAACAGATTTCCGCGGGAAGCCTTCCATCTGCATATGTTGCTCAAACAATCTCCAAGCTTCATCACATCTGTGTTGATCAACTGCGATTTGGATTTCTTCATTGAGCTTAGCAGGATCCCTGGCTTGGAGCAATATAGATCCAGAAATTGTCGAGAATGCTTCTGCTCTATCTATAGACCATACGTCGAACCTGGCACTAGTACGAAGCTTAAATAACAACACACTGTGGTTTCTTGCAATAGGCAGAACAGTTTTACTCGCCAAACCATGTTGTGAAGAAGCTTGAGACTGAGTACCTGAAACTCCAATGGCGTCGACGAGGACTCCACGAAACAGAGAACTCAAACGACACTGGTGAATTGAAACAGCCTGAAGCTTCGTTTTCCTCCATGAAAACATCTTTTTATTCTTCGATTCGTCAGGCTATGTAGAGAAATGAAGAAAACTGTTTACTAAATTCTCTCAGTCATTTCGTCGAACAAGTGGTGTGCGAAATGAATCGGCAATACAAACCACGCGACGAAGCAAAACGCAGACACTAATGGAAGATTAGGACAAAAGACAAAGGCTTTCCTTAGCAGAAGGTTAACAAAAGCTTAAACTTCACCATTGATGATGACAGATGGCGATGGTGAGTTTTTAAACACAAATTAAGGATATAATAAAACTCTAAACACACAAATTTGCTTATTTATTGCGTAAAGCAATGTTCTACGATTTACCGGTTATATAAACGAAAGCTGTAACATTATTAACAGAATCTGCTTTTTTATTTCGTTATTAACAACAAGTTTCAATACTTTCAACTGTAACATGTAATTACCAAGTTTAAATTTTGCTATTCTTGGCCTAGTTTCATTTTTGGTTTAACAAACACAAAGAGTTAATCCAGAAAGCAATGCATACATTCAGGTTGATCCAAGTCTTTACAAAGCCGATTTAATTAAACAAAATCGCCTATAAGTATCACCCTAATTGCCTTCTCCCATATAGCTTCCAAACATAAATATCAAACCCACAAAGTTTCAAAGTGTGTCCAAAACCCTCTTAAGCAAAATGACTCCTATGTTCCTAGTCCTTATAGTAGCCACCGTTCTGTTCGGTGGCGCCACCACAGATCAGTCTGGATGCAGCGACACTCTCACCAGCCTTTCCCCTTGTCTTGCTTACCTCAACGGTGGCTCATCATCACCTACTTCATATTGCTGCAGTCGATTTTCCACGGTGGTTCAATCTTCACCCGAGTGTTTGTGCTCCGTGGTTAATAGCAACGTAAGCTCCTTTTCAGGGTTCAGCTTCAACCGGACCTTGGCTTTCAATCTCCCCACCGCTTGTAATGTTCAAACTCCATCGCCCACTCAGTGTAACGGTAATAAACAGAAATGAATTCTAAGAATACCACTCTTTCCAAAAAGTCTTGGCGAAAACAAAAAAAAACTTTGATTCCACTAATTTTCATAATTTATTTGTTTGGAGTTATGTTGTAGTAGTCGGAAGTAATGGACCAACCACGTCTCCCGCAAATTCTCCATTAGGTTCACCTCAGAGTGCTCTTTCACCATCAGGTATACATATTATGTATCTCATTCATTTCAAAATCCTTTCTTTTTAAAAAAATCACAATTCTGGGAGTCTAAAAATAAACTCTAATCGGTGACATTTGGAAATACTAGGTTTGAAGATGTTTCCATGGAATAATACAAGCTCGTCCAACAGAAATGTGATCGTCATGTCTTTAGTATCCGTTGCTCTGGTCCTCGCTACAATATGAGCTTCACACTTTCACTCGTCTTTTATTTTCACGTGTAACCAATTTTATTTCTCCATTCCATGTATGTTACTTATAACTTATAAATCTATGAACTTATCAGTAGACTTTGAAGTCTTGCCTACCTACTTCGAGATCAAACTCCAAGAAAACAAAACAAGTAAAAATAATAATAATTTTATTTTGGAAATAAATTAAAATTTAAAAGTAAGGGATAATCTAATGGGCCGTAAATAGCTTTTATATCCGGCCCAAATTAGTGGACGCATATGTTTGGAACTTGAATCAGTCTGAAGCGGGTGGGTACGATTTTTTAACTCCAACGAGAAAACGATTAGACTTGCATCCGAACAGGCCAATCCCAAAATCAAAATCAAAATCAAAATCGATGGTTTTGTAGTGGCGGCTTTTATTTTTCCCCAACTGCTTAAACCCTACAAACCTCTTCTCTTTCGTTTCGATTGTGTACTAACAATGGAAGAATCTCACATCGAGAAAGGAGAATGCCAAAACAAACTGGAGGTTGCTCCTGCGTTGATATCCGTTCATCCATCTCAGAAATCTGTCGCTGTCACTGTCGGGTCGGATCTTCGTGTATTCGATCTCATGTAAGCTCATTGGCTCCTTCAAATTCACTCCTTGTCAAATTCAAAGATGATTTTTTTTTCAAATTTGGTTTATCGTTTTGTGTTTGACTTCTGAAACTTTGATTGAATTAATCGATTGCTTCAATTTGTTTTCATCGACAGAGAGAACTGTCCAATTACTCTGGTGGATGAATCCGAAGGGCCTGCTCATAAAGATTCCATAAGAGCTATTCGTCATGGTGCAAGTGGAAAGCTTTTTGTGTCTGCAGGCGATGACAAGCTCGTTAAGATCTGGTCTGCAGACTCCTGGCGCTGCCTTAACACCGTGTAAGTTATCATAATGATTTTAATTGGTATTAAGGATTCAAGCATTTTCACTTCCACATTGTGTTTGTTAGAAGCTCCAATGCATTTTCACTTGTCTGTTTCCTCCAAAACCGACCTTTATGCTTATCTCAAGTTGCATAATCTTATATTTGTAACCACAATGATGGCAGATGCTCTGAGAAGAGAGTTACCGCAGTTGCTATAAGCAGCGATGATTCGTATGTTTGCTATGCGGATAAGTTTGGTGTTGTATGGGTGGTCGAGCTTGATGGCATCAATGAGGGTAAAGTTTTGCCTGCTAAGAAGGGTGCGTCGCTGCTCTCCCATTACTGTAGTATTATTACTCGCCTGGTAAGATAAAAAGGCCTTTCTTTTATGGTGTTTTCTTCTTGTTAGATTAGGAGAAAAAAAACACAAGTTTTAACTCACTAAGTCCTGATCTATTCATCTTCACAGGATTTTTCTCCAGATGGTCGCTATATTGTTAGTGCAGATCGGGACTTTAAGATAAGGGTAAGCTAGTCTAATCCACTACTGTACAATGATGTCATGCCTTTTCTTGTTCGGGGTTGCTCTTACAGTGAGTGATTACGTTTGCCATCACAGGTGACTGTTTTCCCCAAGAAGCCTCTAGAAGGGGCTCATGAAATACAGAGCTTTTGTCTTGGACATACAGAGTAAGTGAGAGAGTTTATAAGGCAAATATTCCTGTTTATCGATTATTGTTTAATGTTTACAAATGAAAATGAGTGTAAACAGGAATAGCTCATTCAACGTCTTGTTTTATAACCGTCGACAGGTTCCTCACCTGCATAGCATTTGTCTGGAATCCAGAGCTTACTCAAGGATACCTCATGTCTGGAAGTGGAGATTCAACTGTAAGTCTCTCTATTCATGTATATTACGACCAGTGAGTTATGCTTTGACTCCTTGCTAATCATGTTAAAAAATCTTTAGGTTCGTCTGTGGGATATTACATGTGGGTCTCTTCTCGACACATGTGACGTTAGTACAATGGTAGGAGATTTAGAGTCTAGTGAAAGCGAGCCGCCTTCCCAAGTCACAGTTACCGATATTTGCACTATCCCAAATTCATCTCTTGCAGCAGCAGCTATCCAAAGGTAACACACTATTTTTTTATAGCTTATACTTAAGATCAGATATTAGATTATTACTTATATTTATGGTTTATGGAAATGCAGCTTCCAAGGAATAGTATTGTTAAGCTGTGATTTATCAGCTCATACTCTCTCTATCACAAAGGTACGATTACTTATTTGCAAATCATGTAAAACCAGCAAGACCATGATTTGACCCCGGGTGGATTATCTTGTAGGTGATCAAAATCCCTGGAGAAAGTTTCATTCCCACAAGCATCTCTGTAAGCAAGTTTCTATGGATGGTATCAGGAGCCTCGAACCTACCCGGTTCAAACCATCCTGGTGTTTCAAGGGTTCGGGTCATCTCGACCGAAACATGTTCAGTCCTTGAGGATGAGCAGATACCTGGAGGGACAAAATTGTTGAAGCACTTGCAAGGGAAAGTTAGAGTTGAGGAGAGTGTGATGAGTGCAGCAGCAGAAGCTGTGAGAGAAGCAATGTCTAGCCTTTTGATGAAGAAGCAGTACTCGGACGAGAAGAGAGAGTTCAGAAAAAGAACCAGAAATGATAAGAAAACCACACTCTGATTGTATTTTGGCTTATCATGAAAAGAGAGTTTCTCTAATATATATTTTGTTAGTTTCACAAATTGGCTTTACAGTTTTCAGTATGTCTTTTACATTGGACAACTCGTGTTCGAAATTTTGGTGTTTTATTTCAATATGAAAATTTGATCTCGTCAGTCTAAGATAACATAAAGCATTACAACACGGGATCCAGTGGTATTGAAGCATAAATGGTAGTCCATCACATCAACATGCGACATGACAAGTGTTAATGAAGGCGTCACGTGTCAAACAGCCAGACGTCTGACTAATAATAGGTAGTTAGGTACCTTACTTTCAAGATCCAAAATCCGAAGAGAAGAACAAAAACACAAAGCAATGGCGCAGCAACAGATTTGCACACAAAGACCAGGAGAGCAAGGCATGATGACGATGGGATCCGTAGATATGGTTACGATTGGGGAGGCTTTGGAGGCTACGGCATTGTCGCTTGGAGATAAGCCTGTGGACCGTAAAGACGCAGCCGCGATTCAAGCGGCTGAAACGAGAGCCACCGGTGAGTTTACCACTCTACCAGGTGGTCTTGCGGCAGCGGCTCAGGAGGCTGCTGCGACTAACGAACGGACGGTGTTGGAGGCAGGCAAAGTCACTATTGCAGACATTCTCACTGTACGTAATGACCTTTTTTGTAACTATTACATCATTTTCTCATTTGCTTTATATTTTGATAGTATACCAGAAACTAGTGTACCAATAACCATTAGGCTAGAGATTAGTCTATGGAATTTTGGAATTTCTAGGTAAGAACAAGATTGTTAGAAATGAAATGTGATCATTCTATTGCTAAATATGGAAATGGATTCAGTGAGGTTGGTAATACCAGTACAATATGTGACGATTTCTTGTCTTTTGGTGGTGGTTATACAATTTTCTTTGCTAGAAAAATCACTTTATATGATTAAGAAACATGATTCAAAACGATTTGTTTTGTTGTTCTATCAGTAAGATTCTGGATGTGTAAATGGGTGGATATGGATTTGTGTATATAGGATGCGGCAGAGAAGCTTGGAGGAGACAGGACGGTGACAAGTGAAGATGCGGAGGCGGTGGTTGGAGCAGAACTGAAAAACTGTCCGGAGATGAAGACAACTCCTGGTGGTGTCGCAGATTCCATTTGTGCAGGGGCAAGGCTCAACCATCAACTCTAGCGAATCTTGACTTTTTGTATACAAAGGAATAAGAGAAATGCTTTCTCTGTTTGTGAACTCTATTAACGTGACTTCCAAGTAGTGATCAACTTATGATTATCTGAATTGATGTTTACAATCGATTGGTATCAACCTTAATTCGAATCAAAATCTTACAAGTCATATTGTCATAAGATTGTTTCCCAGTGCCTGATCATCCTAGAGTTCATCATGATATTGGGCCTTAACAAAAATGGGCTTTGCAATTCTAACTGGCCCATTTAAATAAATAGATTCATCTGTAATTGTATTCTGCTTCGTCTTTCAGAAATCCGACGAAGCTCAAAGGAAGATGACGACGATTCGTAGATTCAGCTGCAACGATCTTCTCCGGTTCACCTCCGTCAATCTAGACCACCTCACTGAAACTGTAATTCTTCGTTATAGTGCTCTTCTTCTTCGTTATCTCTGGTTATTGTTTTGTTTTCTCTGCTATGGCGATTTTGTTGATTTGTTAAAAGTTTCACAGTTCAACATGTCCTTCTACATGACCTACTTAGCGAGATGGCCCGACTATTTCCATGTTTCTGAAGCTCCCGGAAACCGCGTCATGGGTTACAGTAAGGATTTCTTCACCTTTTTCCTTCGTCTCCCCCACTTTTGTCTTGGTGTGTTTGAGAATGTAGATTCGTGGATATTGCATTGTCTATTAGGCTTTAACTTGAATGATAAAGAATTAGTTGAAAAGCCACTGTTAGTTTTCTGGTTATCAAATGGAAGTGATTGGGATGTTGTGAAACCATGAGGAGTGACTGTGTTTTGAAACTGATTTATCTGCATTCGAAAATAGGGTGGATCTTAATCAAATTTCTCAGATATCTCTGTGGTTATGTCACATTCGGCTAATTTCGTAAAGCTGATTCGTTAATATGCCTCTGTTAGCTTTAGCCTCTGTAGTTAGTGGCTTTTCTGTAGGAATCTAGATGTTGTTGAATGAGTTATGTGTTATATGAAGGTTTGCTCGAGATGTGAATTGTTTAAGGCTTCATCTGATTTTTCTACTTCTTAAAATACAAAATTTGCGGCAATATAGATCTAAATCTTAGCGATGTTCTGTTCTTGTGGTGCCCTGTTACTTGACTGGATCAAACCGTTTGGATTTTTTTGGGAGATCTAAAATTTGAATCTGGAGTAGGGGTTTGGAAAAGAATCTAGGATGTGTAGTGAATCCATTGAAAGAACTGAGAGTAAAACCAAACTTTTAGATATTGATGCCTGTGAAAGTTGAGCATTATCACTGAAAATGTATTTTCGTATTGTTGAAATGGTATGGTTAATCTTCTTGAGAATCCATGTAAGTTGCTACATTGGTTGTTCCTGAATGATCGATCTCTCTTTATACAAAAATCTAGGAACTAGAGCTGCATGAAATATTTTACATATGTAAAACTTCTTATGTTATGTTCACTTGTAGCCTGAACTCATCATTTTAAATGCATGTGTCTGATAACATTCAATATGGTTTCAGTTATGGGTAAAGTCGAAGGGCAGGGTGAATCCTGGCATGGTCATGTGACAGCCGTCACTGTTTCTCCAGAATATCGCAGGCAGCAGCTCGCAAAGAAACTGATGAACCTTCTGGAAGATATCAGTGATAAGATGTAAGTAAAGACTTAACAAATTAAAGCTGAATTATTCTAAAGTTGTCTTCCATATTCTCGTCTTCTTAACAATAATCTTACTGCTGGATATTGATCTCAGTGATAAGGGCTACTTTGTGGATCTTTTCGTTAGAGCTTCTAACACACCAGCCATCAAGATGTATGAAAAGGTAAAGTATTATGATTATGGAATGTTGAGAAGCTTAGAAATCTCATAATCTTGACGACATTGATAAAAAAAAAGCTTGGAAATGTTCGTAGCTTCGTCAGCATCATCGATTTATATCATATATTCATATTGATGAAACAAACTGTTTCTCTTTTTCTTTTTTTCGCAGCTTGGTTATATAATCTATAGGCGGGTTTTACGCTATTATTCAGGAGAGGAAGACGGGTTAGGTAAGGCTTGATTTGATCTTTCTTTATCCATAGTCACCTTTACTTTGATTCTCTCTGTCTTTTAGATTTAACTTGAAATGGGTTTGATCTCATTAATCAGATATGAGGAAGGCGTTATCAAGAGATGTCGAGAAGAAATCTGTGATTCCTCTCAAGAGACCTATCACACCTGATGAATTAGAGTATGATTAAGACCCTTACTTTGCAACTTCATCAATGTTGAAGACGATCTTCTTTTTGTTCCTGTCATATTTTTCTACTTGAAGAAAATACCTTAGACGATGTTTATGTTACTGTTGTTTCGTATCTGATTTTTTTTTCCCACACAAATTTACAATCAAATTGATCTAAATTTAATTAGCTCAAATAGATAAACAAATATATGTTTTGAAAAAAATTAATGGCGCCGGTATAGTTTCGGATGGGCCAAGCAGCAGATATTTAAGAGATAAGAAAACTAATCAGAAACACAGAAGAATCTCTCACTCTCTCTCTCCATGAGAACTCTACTACCCCACCGGTATAGTTGCGTGACGTCACCGTTTGTCATCTCCACCGCTTCTCCGCCGTTTCCTCGCCGGTGCTGTAGATTATCTTCGTCATCGCACTTTTCTCCTCCACAGCATAGGGGTATCTCTTCTCTCTCGATCAGAAACGTTTCGCATGAATCCGCCGATCAGACTTCTCCTTCTTCTAGGCCGAGAACACTTTTTCCTGGTGGTTACAAGCGTCCCGAACTCGCTGTTCCCGGTCTTCTTCTCCGGCTAGATGCGGATGAGGTTATGAGTGGGAATCGTGACGCGACTCTTGATTTGATCGACCGTGCGTTAGCCAATTCATCGGTACAAATCGTTGTGCTCGATGGCGGAGTTACCGCCGGTAAGCTATACGAGGCCGCATGCTTGCTGAAATCACTTGTCAAAGGCCGTGCTTATCTCCTGATTGCTGAACGCGTTGATATCGCCACCGCTGTTGGTGCCACTGGTGTTGCTCTCTCCGATGAAGGTAAAAAAACTAACTAACTGCTGCAGTTTCATTCAATTTTAGCTTTCTGCTCCTCTGTGTGAGATGTTTGCAAATGCTATGCACAGGTCTTCCGGCGATAGTGGCAAGAAACACCTTGATGGGTTCCAATTCCGATACGGTAGTTCTGCCTTTGGTAGCTAGGATTGTGAAGGATGTTGATTCTGCTCTAAGTGCCTCTAGCTCAGAGGGTGCCGATTTCCTTATACTTGAATCTGGTGAAGATAAACAAGTGGGTTTATTGGCAGATTCTTTGTTGAAGAGCGTGAAAATACCGATTTTTGTGGCTTGCAGAAACAAAGGAGAAGCTAAAGAAGAAGAATTTCAGTCGCTGAAATCAGGCGCTTCTGGTTTTGTGATTTCGTTGAGAGATCTGCGTTCTTCTAGGGATGTTGCTCTTCGCCAGTGTCTTGATGGAGCTTATGGCCTGAGTCACGAAAAACCATTGGTTGAGGCTAGTGACCTGCTGGAGAGAAAGAACTCTGCTGGTTTCACAAAATTAGAGGATAGACAGAAACAGATAATAGAAATGGAGAAATCAGTGCTGAAGGAGACGATTGAAATTATCCAGAAGGCGGCTCCACTGGTGATTTTCGTTTAACACATTTGGTAGTTCAAGTCATTTTTTTCTGAAATGGTTCCTAAAACTATATCTTCTGCGGTTATAATCTGGTTTAATTTCCTTCTTGGACTGTTTTTTCAATAACAGATGGAGGAAGTCTCCCTTCTGATTGATGCAGTTTCCCGGATTGATGAGCCCTTTTTAATGGTTATAGTGGTAATTCCGCACTCAACTCCGTCAAATTGTGGTTCCAGGAACATGCATTGGTATTAGCTCTATATTCATGAAAAAAGAACACTTTTGCCAGCACTACTAGATAGCTTGAGATAGATCTTTGCTAGGCAATGCGCATGCTGCTTAGTCACTTCCTCTTTTGTGCCTCTCAATATTGTGCAGTGTATTTCTAATGTTTCGGCCCTTCTTTCTCTCTGTCTATGCTTCTGAATGGAATCCATAATTTGGTGGCATTAGGGGGAATTTAACTCTGGGAAATCAACGGTTATCAATGCACTTCTTGGGAAGAGATATCTCAAAGAGGGGGTAGTCCCCACTACCAATGAAATCACTTTCCTGTGCTACTCTGACTTGGAATCTGAAGAGCAACAACGTTGCCAAAGGCATCCTGACGGCCAGTTCGTCTGCTATCTTCCTGCACCGATACTCAAGGAAGTGAGTCATTCGAAATTCTGCCATGGCAAGTCCTGAACTTTCTAATTATCTGGAGGAATTGATTTGAGTTGCTCTCCTTTTGAGCAGATTAATATCGTTGACACACCTGGGACGAATGTGATTCTTCAAAGGCAACAACGTCTTACAGAAGAGTTTGTTCCACGTGCAGATCTGCTTGTTTTCGTCCTTTCCGCTGACCGTCCTTTAACAGAAAGTGAGGTACAGATTACTGTTTTGCCTTGGCATGTTCATTACTTTTGGTTTTCGTCAATCTAAGTAGCTGGCTAATTGTGTTTGTCAGGTTGCTTTTCTCCGGTATACCCAGCAGTGGAAAAAGAAATTCGTGTTTATTCTTAACAAATCTGATATCTACCGTGATGCTCGTGAGGTTTATCAGAAACAAGTTCTATGTCCTTTTCTTGATAGTTTCTGTTGTCTTGGATTTTTTGTTGACTCGGTTTTGGTTTTTCTGAATGCAGCTTGAGGAAGCTATCTCATTTGTTAAGGAGAATACGCAAAAGTTGCTTAATACAGAAAATGTGATCTTGTATCCGGTGTCTGCACGGTCTGCTCTTGAGGCGAAGCTTTCGACAGCATCTTTGATAGGCAGAGATGATCTAAGGGTCTCTCCTGATTCTAATTGGAGAATCCAGAGCTTCAATGAACTTGAGAAATTTCTTTACAGCTTCTTAGATAGCTCAACTGCTACCGGGATGGAGAGAATAAGGCTTAAGTTGGAGACACCGATTGCAATTGCAGAGCGTCTCCTTTCTTCTGTGGAATCTCTTGTGAGACAAGATTGCATAGCTGCTAGGGAAGATTTGGCTTCAGCAGACAAGATTATTAATCGTACTAAAGAATACGCGCTTAAGATGGAATATGAGAGCATTTCTTGGAGAAGGCAGGCACTTTCGTTGGTATGAATTCTGTTAGATACATCTTGTTGAATCACGTAGGAGGAAGTTGGATTGTTCTACCTTGGCTTTTTTTGTGTTTAATCCTCTGACTATAATTGCAGATTGATAATGCCAGATTACAAGTCGTTGATCTCATAGGAACTACCCTGCGACTATCAAGTCCCGATCTTGCGATCTCTTACGTGTTTAAAGGGGGAAACTCGGCCTCAGTAGCAGCTACATCCAAAGTTCGTGGTGAAATACTCGCTCCAGCACTATCAAATGCGCAAGTAAGTCTGATGCTTTACTCTTGGAGTACTGTCCTAAATGTGAACAAATTGATCATCTATTTGAGGTCTGAGATATAGTTTCTGGTTGCTAACCTTAGGGAATTAACTTTACTTCTGCTACTGACTTCGCCTGGTGTTTGTAACCATGACCTATTGCCTGTGAAGAACTATTTGTTTATTTTTACATTTCACTGGTGCGCAGGAATTGCTTGGTAAATATGCTGAGTGGCTACAATCGAATACTGCCCGTGAAGGGAGTCTGTCCCTGAAATCATTTGAAAGCAAATGGCCAAAATATGTCAATTCAAAAACTCAGTTGGGCATAGACACATATGACTTGCTTCGGAAAACTGATAAACTGAGCTTGAAAACGATACAGAACTTGAGTCCCGGAACCACATCAGAACGATTGGAACAAGATATTCGAGAAGTGGTGAGTCTCAAGTATTAAATGCTTACCGATAAAATAGTTGATTCAAGCATCTAGGTCTCTTATGATTGTGTCCTCTGTTAAATCTGAACTTAAGAAATCAATTTAACCATTTCTTTTTTGACATGATTGAGTTTTGTTGGCCTTTTGTAGTTCTTTGTGACAGTTGGTGGGCTTGGAGCTGCAGGACTATCTGCATCACTTCTAACCTCAGTGCTACCCACCACATTGGAAGATCTTCTTGCCCTTGGCCTTTGCTCTGCTGGAGGGTAATAACACTTATCTGAATTTCCCATTTCTTTCTTGCAACCACAGGCATATTATGATGTGTTAGAAGAAATTACTAGTTGTATATACAATGTAACATAATCTACGTGGCAGGTATGTGGCTGTAGCAAACTTCCCATACCGTAGGCAAGCTATAATTGGTAAGGTGAATAAAGTGGCTGATGCGTTGGCTCAACAGCTCGAAGATGCTATGCAAAAGGATCTCTCAGATGCGACAAATAATTTAGCAAACTTTGTGAATATTGTTGCCAAACCTTACCGAGAAGAAGCTCAGCTAAGACTCGATCGTCTTTTAGGCATCGAGAAAGAAGTATCAGACATTAGAAGTAGATTACATTTGCTGGAAGTTGAAATTGATAACATTCATGTATCACGAGACCAGATGAAACTTTAGTTGTTCCAACACAATGCAAGGTTTTCACATCTTGGCATTGTTCAGAGCGAAAAAAAGTGTATGTATTTTGTCATAATGAATAAGACCTGCCAGTTTCGACCGGCAATGGACTCATTGATGGTTTGTCGAATGCGAATTCAATAAGAGTGGAGCGGTTCATGAAAGAACCAAACAATAGCATTCTGGTATAATGTGTTTCTTTGTTCTTCAGATTGTTTGTGATACAAATGGAAGGAGGAATTGGAAGCTCAGGAGTCTCGTGGAGAAAATAATCTTCTATTCTTTGACCAGCACATGTTGTACCTCACGTCACAGGTTAGTGTATCAGTTGACTCATTTTTTCTATCGTTAGGACTTTAATACATTCATATGTAATCGATTTTCCGCATAGAGCATCTAATAACTTTGTTGTTAATGTACTAATCTTTTGACTTAAGTGACCTGAATATGGGGGGACAAAAACTCGTAGTATAGGTATAGGTTTCCATGGGGAGTAATTCTCAGCATATGCTAGCGTTGATTTCTAAAGGTAAAAGCAGATTAACTTCTTTTATAGGTAAGGATTGGGCCAAAAAGTTTTTAAAACAAGAATTGGTAGAATAAACCTTAGTTAGTGCTTGACACTGGAAATTTATCTAGAACTAACATTAGACTGAGATTAAACAAAAGCTTGTTCATAGGTTCCTTGTAAGTTTTGTAATCAAAGTCGTAGCTTTACGTTTAACTAATGACATGTATGCTTGATAACCAAAGCTTTATATATCATTAAAAACAGAGGGAGAATATTAAGTATGGTCAAAAGTTAGGGAGAGGCCCCACAGTTGACATGTTTTTTGTGTAAGCATGAAAGAGATTCCACCTTCCTTTGTTGCTAAAAAATATCATAAAGTTAAAATAGACTAACAAAATGAAGAGAAGCAAATTACAGAAATTTCGAAAAAAAAAAAACATTTTAGAAAAATTGAAAGGATCTAGCTATGGATTGTCCTTTTCATTTGGGGACCAGAAGTGGGATGATGATGCAGAGAAAGCCAACTTTTTTGTGGTTCTTGTTTCAAAGTTTCTCTTCTTCTTATTGGTTTAGAGTTTAGACAAACCGAAAATAAATAAAAAGAGAGGAAAAACATAGAAAAACAGCGATTGGCGAATGAGAAATTCGGATGGCCAAGGTACAGATTCTGGCTTATAACTTTAACGACCACTAAGTTACTCCTCACGTTTTCTATCTCAAGCTTTTTGGACATTTCATTACCAAAAACCTTTTGTTTTCCCAACACATGAAGATTTCAAAAGTTTTCATCACTTGAAATGGAAACTTCGTTTGCTGCCCGTAGCTTTTTTAAAGTACTGTTCCATTAGCTAATCGATTCATTGTAAGAAACTTAATATCTCAATTAGTGTGAGACATGCTTATTGTCTATGTTCCTCAACTGTCCCTACATTTGTTACTTCTTTGAGAACCTACTGAGCTATAGAGAGAAACCACTCTCTAACCCGAACATTGATTCGTGCTCTGAAACACGTAAAGACATGAACATACACATCCCCATAAGTATTCTATTACAGGGCATACATGTTTTTGAAATCATTCATTCCATTTGAGGTTACATTACGCGTTTTCTACTTCCCTTTTTTTTGTTTGAATCTGGTTACAATGTACCAACAAGTATTAGGAAAGTGTCAATATGATGATCATCTTGTGATGCTGCAAAATCAGAAACACAATCTCAAGGATTTGGACTTGAAACTGACTTCGGATCGTCTATGTAGGAGACTACATACACCTAAAAACCGTTTTCTCCATAGACTATAGTGTTACCGCCTACCGCTTAAAAGGACGAATAAATGTGTTTATGGGCTATTGAATTGTTTATTATGTTTCATTCTTCTGTGGAGTATATTTCATTTTTCTAACTTTACCGGTTCACAGAATACAAAATTATACTAACTTGTGGATATACGATAATATCCGCAAACCAAAACAGTAAACATTACTCAACAATCCACATGGGGATTGATATATAACTATAAGATAAGTTTGGGTTAGGCGTGTGCACCACACGATCCTCACATTTTTTCTTGCAGAAAATGGAAGCTGTTTTACTTTATTTTTGTCGAATACTTTTTAACAAGCGTTGATTTCATATTTGAATTCGAGTTATATAATACATCAACCATATTAGTAGAAATCAATAGTAGATCACAAACTTGGGCTACTTTTATTTAGATAACAGTAAGTTTTCAGTTTTCAGTTTATAATCTCTTAGGGGCATTTATAGGTTTATCAATTCGGACTCAATGTTTTACTGCGGAAAAGAGTTCCATTCACCGTGTGAACGAACTACCCAGCAAAGGGATGTTATGTTACAACTTAACTGATCTTATACTGTACGGTTAATATTTTATAACATCTAAGTATATAGTTCAAAGTTTCAGACAATAAAAGCTTGAGAATAATAAAAGCCTAAAGAATCCAATGCCAAGTGGACTTGCCACTATAAATACTCCTTCACCCCTTACTCTTCCCTTTCACAACCATTCATCCTTTCTTAATTACCTCTTAACTCCACAAAATCATTCCATCAACCTTCTCTACCTCTCCCTCTTTCTCTCTCTCTCTCTCTCTCTATCTCCAAATCATATTTCCAAGTATCATAAAATCTCATCTTGGATCCCCTGTTTTCCCTCTGTTTTTCTTGATAACACAAAAGATGTCAATTGTTGTATGTCAAGCTCAAGAAAAAATGGTCACCAAAAATCTAAGAAACGAGAGTTTCTGTAAAAAAGGGGACATAGGTGGCTTGAGTTTCCTGCAATCTATGTCCGATATCACTGCCGTTGTTCAAAACAAAGAGGACAAAGCTTATGTTCACCCGATCGAGAAACGCTATGTTTCTAAGCTGAACGAGAAAAGCTTAGATATGTGCACTGAGAGCCTCGGTACTGAAACTGGAAGCGAGAGTGGTGACGAGTTGTCGTTGCTTGTGTTTGAAGCAACCATTACTCCTAGGGCTCCTTCTCCTCAGCCGAAACTTCAAGAAGACGAAAAGTACGCTAACTTGCTAGCCAAGAAATCAACGATGAGTCGCAGCAAAAGTTTCCCTCCGCCGTTAAAGTTCATTGAAGGATCAAACTATAATCGTATGGTGAGATCGATCGGAGAAGATGGTCGTCTTGTTGTTCAAGCAATTAGGATTTCGTCTCCGCCTCGTTGTTTCGTTGCAGAACGTGGTGAAGGAAGGCTTCGTCTCATTTTATCGTCCGAAAGTTCTTTACGTGGGCAAAATCATGATGAAGAGGAAGAGGAAGAGGAAGAGAAGGAGGTCCAAGAGGAAGAAGACGAAGATGAAACAGAGGAGAGCATGGAGGAGGAATATAGTGAGAACTTGGAGGGTAAGAAAGGAAATAAGAAGTTTAGCAGGTTAAGCAGCCGATGCAATGAGAGTGGTCGCGAGCCTAAACCGACAATGCTTACATGGAAGCAGCAGCAGTTTTGGGTCGCCACTTAAGACTTCATTCGACTCCACTTAGACTAAATTTCTCAATAACTAAAATTGAGAAATTACTTGATATATATATATAACATAAGTTTTCTGTTTTGTATGATTTCTCGAGGGTGTGAGCGTTTTATAATTCTAGTTAATGTAATGTTAAATGGGTATTTTTAATTTTATCTTCATAACTGAAAATGTACTATTTATCTTCATTTTGTACGTGAAGAAACAAAAAACACTCCGTAAATGTCCTTTAGGAAGCTTCCTAGAATGATTTTGCCAAACACACAACTTTTTCCACTCATGTTCTCTTTCGTAGATCTCCCCGACAATCATTTTAAATTGTAGGCAACACTTTTTTTTTGTAGTTGAAAATTTCTGAGCGGTTCGTTTCTTTCCAAAACCAGAACTAGTTAGATATTAATTTGACGATATAAAACTAGAAAAGAGAATAAAATCATAAGATAATCTCTTTTCTAAATCAATCTCAATCTCTTGTTTGTTTTTAGCTTATTTTTGCAATGATAAACATCTCTCTTTTTTAATCTTAAGAAAAAACAGCTTTGGTAAAGTTGTCTGTTTTGTAAATCCAAACCCTTTCACTAGTTATTATATTTATATACATAAGAAATAGCTAGTCTCACTAACCGCAACACTATAATTACAATTTCGTATGTACGAAGTAAGAAATAGGCCCAAAGGTGAAAAACCAATATAAACGAGTCAAACTGAACTGATCAATATCGATTTTTGTTTTCTATGAACAAATATCTTTAGGATGGTTATTTGCTTATTTATTTTTTTTGACCAAAAGGCTATGGTTATTTGCTTATTGTTTTTGATAACTTTATTTGTTTATTGTTGATAGAGCTTCTCTTTAATATGTTAACTCATCTTTGTGAAAACAAAACCAATTTTTATATCGAACAACCCAATAAGATTGTTGATGAAATGAACCAACCGAAATCGAACATCTTTACTATACATAATTTTTTTTTTTGGTTTTAATGTTACACCTTTACTGTTTTTGTTTCCTTGAGGTGTAACTAGAACTACTTTACTTATGTTTAAATTTTGTCACAGGAGTTTTCAATAGTTCAAACGACTATGCAACAACTGCTTTTTTATGCATCATTTTTAAAAAATCACATATACTTTTCAAAAGGTTTTTAAAAAAATATATACAGTACGTTGGAAAAAACATATGTGGTACGTACGTACAACGCCCACATGAAAATATGAGAGATTGTTCCCACACGCCCACATGACCATCACATGCAAAATCTTACCTCTCTCCTTTAAATTCCCAACACATTTATTTTCTTTTGCGCTCATTTTGATTCTGTTTCTGGATTATCCTTGTACGGACTGCGAAGACGCTCCTTTACTTTATTTCTCCCAACTTTCTTTTTGCGTAATCATATCCTACTAAAGTGCATGACGTCGTTCTATTGCGTATTAAATTTCATAATAAGAACGAAAAGAAAACTCAACATACAAACTCAAACGGTATTAAATTTTTGACAGCATACATGTACAGACATACTTGTTTTGTTTTGGTTTTCAGATCTCATTAGTTGAATCATAGAACCGCGGTTAAGTATCATGTCACTGTCAAATTTGAAAGACTTTAATACGTCAGCGTATCAATTGAAAATGATCAATGTGTTGTTTCACCAACAAAACTACTACACTTTTCAACCGTCCTTTTGCTTTATAGCTTTCGTTTAAATAATTTTTGGTAAACGAAACATTCATTTCATTTTCGTTCTACTAATCATACATGATATGCTGAAAGCGAAAATATATCTTCCGAAAACCAGGATGCATTTCTATTGGAACTTTTCTGGTTAGACAAATATTCACAAACTCAATTTCCAACACATGTAAGAATAATGACGGAAATATAAATGTTTTCATCTACTTCGTTTTGTGTGTATGGAGAGGCTATGGGGTCAAGATTCCAAGTTTTCAAGTTAATATATGTGTGTAAGAATATATTCTTCTTATAAACAAACATTTCGTTTATATACAGAGATGTTTACATACGGTTATAAATACACATAAACTGTTTTGAGGTGTATATAGTCTCCGACATAGACGATGGTTTGTGACAGAGTATCCGTAAATATATATTTGACATGCCTATAAATATAAATGTTAGCCAATGAGAAGTAGACAAGTGATGAATGCAATGTCCAATCTAAGGTCCTCAAAAGTATGTAAATGTATTAAAGAGTCCTTTGTTTCTCTGAAAACGAATATCGAGAGAGAGAGAGAGATGACTCTGTTTCTGTGGTTCTATGCGCCACTTGATGCTTATTATTGACCACTATCTCGTGCGGCACCCATTTCTGTGATATCTCAATCATTCTTTTTCTATATCAAACATTATCTTGCGCACTTTCCTTTGATCACTTTCTATTTGGTAACTTAATCTCTTAAACCAAAACAATCACTGATTTTCTGTTCGTAATCACTATATTAATTTCGGCAAAAGAACAAGAAAAAACACTGCAATAATTTTGTATTGGTTAAATATGGGCACTCATTAGAAATGTTACCACGTAATAATGTTTCGACTAATCTATTGATGAAACTGTTCATCGCACACAACAAGATGCTTTAACAATTTTAGTTATGTTTCCTTCATGGAATGAAACTAATTTCAGTGGAACCCAAAACTCTGAAACGGATTAACAAATATGAAATAACGCAACGTATCCTAAAACATGATTAAACACGCATGTGGTGGTGGTTTAGGTCTCAAAACGTACATCACAGAGGTTATTATACAAAAGTATAAAACTAAATTGTTGGGCCGACTTTGGGCTCAGTTGTGATTTGAGACATATACTAGTCCCCTCTGTTCGGCCCAACCCACGCCACCGTAAATAAATCAACAAGGTTACAATTGAAGTTTAACAAAGTTTAGGAGTTGATTTGTTAATTCTGATTCTATACAGGGTTTGGTTTGTCATTTGCATCTTCTTTTTTTTTTTTTTTTTTTTTTTTTGGGGATTTCTCTATTTTCTCCATGAAAATAAAATGCTTTGAATTTCTCGAGAGATCTGTATCTTCTTCTCTCCCCGCCTACTGACTTTTTTTCAAATTTACTCAGCAACGGAAACACGCAGGCTTTCATCTTCTCATACTCTCATAGCTTTTCGATCACGATGGAAATGGCGGAAGGAGAAGGAAGTACAGAGGAGACGTACGACGTAGACATCGCGACCACCGCTTCTTCACTCGGCGGCTCCGTCGTCTTCCATATCATCAATGATATCGTCGGTTTCGTCCTTTATATGCACCAGCAGATCCCTTCGTGCGTTATCTTCCCCTATTCGTATCCATTTGCTTCGATTTAGTCTGATTTGGTGTCCGATCTGGTGCGATGTATCTGTTTGTTTGTTCTTCCATCTCTCGGTTGATTTCCCGGATTAGACTGTTCACTGCGTTCGATTTCCAGGGGTTTATTGGCTTAATTACATCAATATAATGTTGCTGGTTATGGATTTGATTGATTCCGTATGGATTAGTGCTAGTTTAGTTGGTAGGTGAGATATGCTCAATTCTAAGAGAGATTTGAAAAGCTTATGAATTATAATAGATGCTCTGTGAATATCTGTTGGTATTACTCCACCAGGTCTTGTTTCAACGCTCATATTGATTAATTGTGCACACTTCTTCCACTTGATGGTTTTGGTTCACTCAAAGCTCTTTCACCAATTTGATTGTTGGTTATATATCTGAGCAGGGTATTGCAAGATATGAGTCTTGAATTTGAAGGATTGCAAACAGAATTTGTGGATTTGGTATGTTAGTTCTGAAGACGCCATTTTCACTTTTACCATTTGCGTCTTTTTTTCACACTCTAAGAAACTTAGGCTGTAGGAGGCGAATCTTGCACAAGCGGAGGTGAAGCCGCTGGTCAGAAGAAAGATCGTGAGTAGAAAAAGAGAGGTGAAGCAAGGAATTAAGAAACTGCAGAAACTGATGAACACAATCTCCAGTCTCCGGAGTGCACTGCAGTTAATGATCCGTGAAGCTCCTGGCATTCAGAGAGTTGTGTTGATTCTTGGTGGGAGTCCATTGCGGCCTCAAAAAGCTTATGAATTGTTATTCACTCACAGTGATAATGTTCTGTGCTACGAAGGTGACTTTGCTAAATCCAAAGCTGCAGATGCACTTTCAAAGAAGGTTTACTTCTTAACCTCTGTGTTAATATTGTTACTTGGATTTGTTCCTTCTCACTTTATCTGCTATAATAACAAATGCTTTGGCTTAATAGACTATCAGAGCACTGATCTCGACAGGTGCTGGATCAATTTCCTGCCCAGGTAACTTTTGTTGTTAAACATGTTCAGGTGAATTATGGTGTAAAGTGTAAACACTAAAACTGAATTCTTTATTACAAATTGCAGGTCCAATGAGGCTATTCATATTGGTTCATGCTCCACCTTCTTTAAACCTTCCCCAACATTTCCTTCCTAAACGTGACTTCAGATATAACAGAAAGGTATATAGACTTGTGTTGATTCTATTTTAACAGAATGGTAAAACCATTTCGATCTCGATCTCGATCTCCATCACACAGTGAAAAACAATGTCCATTGGTTATTGCAGTTTGTGCCTCTAAAGCTGCGAATCAAGTGCAGAACTCAAGACAACGAGACAAGCTCTCCTCTCAACTCTGAAACAACTGATCTAATATGGTATTATGCTCTTTCACCTTCTTAAGTTACAGACTAAAGTAAAAAAGTTTTTAACCGTAACTTTGATGATGCTTGCAGGTTTCAGTGTAGACATGTAATAAAGGGATTAGCTTTCCAGCAACCAGTTGAAGAATAACAAGACTTTTAAGTTTTTGTAACTAAACACTCTTGCAGATTTCTTGATAAAATGAGCTTTGTTGTATCACAAATCGTCTTTTTGTTTGTTAGTAATACCTTAGTCCTTACTAAACTTTGCCTGCCACACTTTGAAGAAGAAATAACTCAATTGTATAATCCTGCTTACTCTGTCTCTTACATCTAGAAAGAAAGATATTCCAAATTACAAATTTCTCTAAAACTGTGATTTTGTCGAGATACTCAAATGGTCTGCTCAATGTATACAATTTATAAAGTTAGGGGTCAGAATGTAAAAACAAAAAGAAGGAAACTTGGGTCAAAACTCAAAAGTTTTATATTTACTCTTCTGCTTCCTTCACCTATGTGCTTATAACTCCGGCGAACACACTCACCGATTTCTCTCTCGCTCGTTAACAAAAGCGGATCTTCCATTCTCGCCGGTAAGCTTTAGCATTTATCCCGTGTTCTTATTCGACTGATTTCACAAGCTTTTTATATAATCCAACTCGAATCCCTTGTTTGCCAATTACGAATTTTAGGTATTTCAGGGGAGGAGGAAGATGATCTTCAAGATAGAAGACGTAACTGTCTACTTCCCTTATGACAACATATATCCAGAACAATACGAATACATGGTGGAATTGAAGCGAGCCCTAGACGCCAAGGGACATTGTCTTCTCGAGATGCCCACCGGAACTGGCAAAACCATTGCTCTTCTCTCCCTCATCACTAGCTATCGTCTCTCTCGTCCCGATTCTCCGATCAAGCTTGTCTACTGCACTCGTACCGTCCACGAGATGGAGAAAACGCTGGCTGAGCTCAAGCTACTCCATGACTACCAAGTACGCCATCTCGGCGCACAGGCGAAGATCCTCGCGATCGGTCTTTCCTCCCGGAAGAATCTCTGCGTCAATCCTAAGGTTGTAGCGGCGGAGAATCGTGATTCCGTCGATGCAGCGTGTAGGAAACGGACGGCTAGCTGGGTTAGAGCTTTGTCGGCGGAGAATCCAAACATAGAGCTCTGTAACTTCTTTGAGAACTACGAGAAGGCTGCTGAGAATGCGTTATTGCCTCCTGGTGTTTATACTTTAGAGGTAAGCTTTCAATGGTGAATTGGTGATTGAATTCAGAATCCACTTTGAGGTTTTTTGCTTGCATAATTTTGGCTGATTGTGAATGTATGCTTTGATGTTAGGATTTAAGGGGGTTTGGCAAGAATCGAGGATGGTGTCCATACTTTCTTGCGAGGCATATGGTTCAGTTCGCCAATGTGATAGTTTATAGCTACCAGTATTTGCTGGATCCTAAGGTTGCTGGAATCATATCGAAGGAGTTACAAAAGGAGTCGGTTATAGTGTTTGACGAGGCGCATAACATAGATAATGTGTGTATTGAAGCACTCAGCGTCAGCGTGAGGAGGGTTACACTTGAAGGAGCTAATCGAAATCTTAATAAGATTAGGCAAGAGATTGATAGGTACGCTATTCTTTTCCTACATAGCTGATACTCTGAACTTCTCTTGTTTAGTGATCATGTGGTGCATAATTGTCTTAGTTCAAAACATGGAGTGACCTCACTGTTTGCTGATACTTAGTTTAGATTCTTATCAGACTATTAAAATTGACTAACTGGTAGGAAGGTTCAAGGCTACGGATGCAGGGAGATTGCGAGCTGAATACAACCGGCTGGTTGAGGGTTTGGCATTAAGAGGGGACATATCTGGTAAGTGTATTGTTAGCAAGATGATGTGTGGTTTGGTTGAATCTATATACCTGACGTTGACGCAACAAATATGCTTTCATGCAGGAGGTGATCAGTGGCTTGCAAACCCTGCACTGCCCCATGATATTCTAAAGGAGGCTGTCCCAGGAAATATTAGACGGGCTGAGCATTTTGTGCATGTGCTACGGCGACTACTTCAGTACTTGGGGGGACGGCTGGATACTGAGAACGTCGAGAAAGAAAGCCCTGTTAGCTTTGTATCGTCGCTTAATTCTCAGGCTGGAATTGAGCAGAAAACACTAAAGTTCTGCTATGACCGGCTTCACTCTCTCATGTTAACCCTTGAAATCACAGATACAGATGAGTTTTTGCCTATCCAGACAGTATGCGACTTTGCAACTCTAGTTGGGACTTATGCACGGGGCTTTTCAATCATCATTGAGCCCTATGACGAGAGAATGCCTCATATTCCAGATCCTATATTGCATGTGAGTGTGTCTTGATCTCCTTTCATTTGAGTATTGTATTGTTGCTCTGGTTTCAGAGATAAATTATCTATAGAGAAATGTATCTGAAACATATCTCTTTTTGTATCTTAGTTGAGCTGTCATGATGCATCTCTGGCTATAAAACCGGTGTTTGATCGTTTCCAGTCAGTAGTGATTACGTCAGGCACCCTGAGCCCAATTGATCTTTATCCCCGTCTTCTTAGTTTCAATCCTGTTGTTAGTCGAAGCTTTAAGATGTCGATGACACGAGACTGCATCTGCCCCATGGTTTTAACTCGAGGAAGGTATAATAAAAGAGGCTCCTAAACACTAACCTTGTTGTTTGCATCTTATTATATTTACGTTGGTGGTTGTTTTCATTGCTCTTGCAGTGATCAGCTTCCTGTTAGCACCAAATTTGACATGAGAAGTGATCCTGGTGTTGTGAGGAATTATGGAAAGCTTTTGGTGGAGATGGTATCTATTGTTCCTGATGGAGTTGTCTGCTTCTTTGTTAGTTACTCATACATGGATAGCATTATTGCTACATGGAAAGAAACAGGAATTTTAGACGTAAGATTCTCTTCTACGCTTTTACCATGTCAGGATTATTTTCACAGTTTTGCATGAAGTGGAAAATCTTGTATGATACCTTAGTGTATTTGCAGTTGCTACAGGCATTAATGCATACTTGTTTCCTGAGATGACATTGACCACTGTTCTTACTTTTATGTAGGAGATAACGCACCAGAAACTTGTTTTCTTCGAAACGCAAGATGTTGTAGAAACAACATTGGCACTGGACAACTATCGCAGGGCTTGTGATTGTGGAAGAGGTGCAGTTTTCTTCTCTGTAGCCAGGTAAAATTTATCTGTCAGTTTGGGAATTCATAACACAGGATCCATCTTCTTGTGAATTCGAAATAGAGTAATCAAACTTTGCATTTGAATGGCAGGGGAAAAGTTGCGGAAGGTATCGACTTTGATCGTCATTATGGAAGACTGGTTATAATGTATGGAGTACCTTTTCAATATACACTAAGCAAGTAAGTTTACCCAAAAATAGCAATCTTATTATTTTTTCCGGTTTGAAGAGACGGATATGTTTCATCATAGTGGGAGATGCTAAGATGGAAAGGGTTAATTTTTCAGGATATTACTTGCAAGATTGGAGTATTTGCGTGATACATTTCAAATAAAGGAAGGCGATTTCCTAAACTTTGATGCCTTGGTATGATTCAAAGATTATGATCTCATGGATATTTGGTGCAAATGTACTATCTATTAAACTTTTTGGTATAAAAACCAGAGGCAAGCAGCTCAATGTGTTGGGCGAGTAATCCGGTCAAAGGCTGATTATGGGATGATGATATTTGCAGACAAGAGGTATTTACAAGATCAGTCCACACTGTTAGCTTACGATCTCATATCTCTTTGCTGTAATTGAAGATTTGCCATTGATTTCTAAACTTGCAGATATAGCCGTCACGACAAGCGGTCCAAATTACCCGGTTGGATACTTTCGCATCTTCGTGATGCAAACTTGAATCTAAGCACTGACATGGCTATTCATATTGCCCGAGAGGTTAACCTCAAAATTCACTGCATTTTATTTTATTTTGTACACACGTTAGCGTCAAGAATTACAAAAGTTTGGGTGTTTTCTGCAGTTTCTGAGGAAAATGGCTCAACCGTACGATAAGACGGGTGGTTCTGTGGGAAAGAAAACTCTGTTAACACAAGAGGATCTGGAGAAGATGGCTGAGAGTGGAGTGCAAGACATGGTTTATTAGTAATCCGTTTTGGTTGTTTCGCCTATCAAATATTCTTCCATAACAAAACTGCAGCTACTATTATTTTTTTTTCTCAATGGATGTGCCATATTCTTTTGTTCGGTTTTGCTTTCCGTGATCGAATAAACGAGAAGGAATTTAAAAGCCTCCTTTATTAGTTATAGTCCCACGATAACAGACACTGAAACATTGCTTTATTTTAAGGGAATGATGATCAATCAAAATAAAATAATCAAGCAGTGGAAGTGAAATTGAAGTTGGAACAAGTAGTGCGACGGCCCAACAACGTGGAACTAAACCCAAATCTGTTAGTCGCCAAATCGAATTCGATTAAATTATTTTCCAGCTGGTACCCTCCGATGACGACCGAGGTTCTCGCGTTGACTCCTCCGTCAACGAATCCCAAACAGATGACGTCATCACTGACGCTCACCATCGAGTTAGCTCCGAAGATCCTCCAAACGACGTCATTGCTCTGAAGCACGAGCTGGATCTCCGGCACGGCGTATCCCAGGCGCGTGGCTGCGACGTTCTTCGTGCTGAAACACGCGCCGAACGGAGCCACCGTCGACACTCGAGTGATGTTCCTCGCGGCGGCTTCTCTGACGAACGCCGATGTGAATGCGTTGAAGATCGATGTCTGCATCACCGTGTACGGGTTCACGGTGCTGATTTTGGTTCCTCCGAATCCGGTGTCACCGTTGATTTTCAAGAGCGCTGCGTTGATCGGAACCGCTTTCTCGGTGATTTTGATCGCCGTTACGCCGATAAAATACTCGGACGATTTCTCGCCTGGCGTGTACGCAGTGTCGATGCTCACCGGATTGATAAGCAACGGCGTGGTTGTGAGTCCGGAGATCTCGATTCCGGGGAGGAACACGTAGGGTCCGTTGCCGAAGAAGGCGACGCCTCTTCCTCCTCCAGAAGGGAGACACACGGCGAACTTACGATTGAAACTAAACGCGGCGGCGAATTGCGACGGCAGTCCGATGTTGTGGCGTCCCATTCCAGCCATGCCGACGGTTCCACGAGCAAGGCCTTGAAGCAGAAATGTTCTGCCGCAAAAGAAGATTAAATTGGGGATTTGAACGACCCGACCCGGATTCGACCCGTTAGTTGACTGAATCGACACAACGTCTAAAGCAATCTCGCCGGAGGTCGCGATATCGGTGACGGTGTTTTCTGGAAGTGAGCCGCAAGTGTTGTTGTTACAGCCAGGTCCTCGAGGAGAGTAGCATACGTCGCAGCCGGAGGGGCCGGCGCGTGAGCAAACGGCGGAATTGCAGCGAGGGGGTTGGTAAGAGGTGGAGACGTAGCCTTTGTCGCAGTCGACCCAGAGTTGTCGACCACCGAGATCGAAGACGACGGAGGCGGGGACGAGAGGCGTGCGTTGGTTGATGACGGTTGTGTATTGGAGGGTAGACTGGTCTTTTGTGACTGGGAGTAGGAGAGCTTTTGGTCGGAAAGATTGCTGAGCAGATGAGGTTGATGAGAGTGAGATGATGAAGAGAAGAAGAGCTGAAAAGATGATCGGAGAAGACGCCATTGTTAGAGATGGTGATGATGATGATGAAATGAAGAAGTGGACTGGTGTGTGTTATATAGGTGTGTCTACTCTTATACAAGGACGATTTTTTTGTGTCGACTAATTTTGAATGATAATAGGATAATGGTGTGACGTTATTGACTTTTCATACTATGTGATTATATCTGTTTACGTGATTTTGCTTCTCTTCAAATGAAAACGACAGAAACTAAATCTAGTTTGTTTGGGTCAAGACTAACAAACAAAAATGTTTTGTGTACTTTGTTTGAAATGAATTTAGTTTTTAGCTCGAAATCTTCTCATCTTACTTAACATTTTCTCATCTTTACCAAGTATTGGTTGATTAAGAATAGTAATGTAGTGTTCCTTACTGATTAATGGTTCGTACGTGATGAATAATAAATATTCGAGGAGATAGAGGAAACACCGTGGATGGTCAGAAACAACGTGAAAGCCAGTTTGGTGGGTGCCTTTCTTGACTTTTCTATTCATTATTATATGTCATCTTCTACTGTTATAGATTTAGTCCCGAGACGTCGTCCTTTAATAATAGGATAATCGTTGATAATAATATCATCTTATCGGTCTCGAAATTCCACGGTTTGAAATTCAAATTCTACATAAACACTTCTTCTGATTAAACAACGACCGCATGATAGCATACTTACATCATACATAAATATTATGACAAGGCTTAAATTAGTATTATCTATTATCTTGCACCACCAGTCATTCATATTTTCCTCTTGAAATGAGTACTGAGTAGATCCATATAGGAAAAAAAAGAACACGAAAGACGAAACTGTTTTTTTTTTTTTGTGTGCACGAACACGAATCTGCTAATGATCCAAATTTATGATGCATTATATTATGTCGACAAATTGAAAGACAGGGAAAAAACATAGATACTTAAGCTTTGTTGTATTCACTGCTAAGTCAGCAATCTAGGGTCCGTTGATAGATTCGGTCGTAATAGTTAATGAACATAATTAACGTTAATTAAGAATAGTTCAAGTTAATGAACATAGATTAGGCTACTATTATTAAAGCTTTTAACAGGATATGAGTATAATAAATTAGTAAAAACCGACACATAATCGGATCATTGATTTGGATGACATCGATTGGATGACATCAGTGAATGGATGGATATGCTGAAGAATATAAAACACGTTACCGTTACCGTTTCTAGACTGGAGCTGGATGATATGATGATGTGTAGTAAGAAAATAATAATGTCTTTCTTATATTGAAGGGTCCCTTTATTTAACAGTCTGTCCGTTTTTGTTACTATTTAATCTAGCCCCTGTGAACATCTTTATTCATTTCATCGTTAACCAGAGCCTTAGTTGTACATCCAAATCAAACTAAGACACGACCTTCCATTACAGTGATTGCTTTGCCTCTAAGCAGCACCCTCTGCTTCTCTTTGTCAAGATGGACCTTGAGCGTCCCGCCTCTGCTTGAAGCCTAAACACATTTCAAATCGACCACATCTTTCTTCAGGAACAAGTTAATACTCATCACTTTCAAGTGTCTGTATAAAGAGAGAGAGAGAAAGAGAACCTGGTAGGCTAAGAAATCAGACTTGTTCATCTTGATGCTCCAGTAATGTGCTAAGGCACAATGCGCACTTCCAGTAACAGGGTCCTGAAGAACACACAGTAAAAAACAAAAGAGGCAATGTTTTCATTTTGCTGTTTTGATCACTCGTTTTTGATCTAAGAGCAAAGACTATATATGATAGCTAAAGATTTGTTTGTGTCCATGGAGACACTATTCAGACTCACTACATACCTCATCGATTCCTACTTTAGGTGCGAAGTAGCGACTGCAGAAATCATATGGAGATCCTGCAGATGCAGCGGCGGTCACAATCATTCCCTCGCAAGGGCATTTCGATATCTCATTTATTCTTGGCTGCAACTCTGTAACAGATTCCCATGATGAAAGCACAACCTGCAATCAATCAATCCAAAAGAGTCTAGATTTGGTTTCAGTGACGCAATAGCCAAAACAACAAAGAGAAAAAAAATGGAGACAGTTGGTGAAATATATACGAGAAGGTCCCTCTTTGTGGCTTTAATATCAACAATGGTTGCTCCATTCAATGCTTTGGAGATCACAGAGAGATCATCAATGGAGTTGGTTTCACAAGTTGGAACAACGGGGAAATTCAGTTCGATCAAGAAGGTTGTTGACTCTCCTTCACCATCTTTGAGCTCTGAAGTAACTGGAACACGTTTCGCTGTTAAAATCCCTGATATTGTGGCGAATTCCACTATTTCTGAATCAACCAAACCGTTTGAGAAGAGAATGTGAGCAGATGCTAATGTTGCATGACCACACAGATCCACCTGCAAAAAAAAAAAAATATTCACATTCACAGTTATAACGAGAGACTGAAATGAAAACAAGCTCTATAATTTTCATGAATTCGTATTCTTAGAGTCAATAACAAGTCAACCGAACAATCCGAAATCGAGAAATTAAGGAAAATCGGGAAACTAAAACAGAGACTAGCGAACCTCGGCGGCAGGAGTGAACCACCGGAGACGGAAGCGAGGGAAATCGCGACCATCGGTGATCGGAGTAAGGAAGCAAGTCTCGGAAATGTTGAATTCGGCGGCGAGAGACTGAAGCCACGCGTCGTCTCTCTGATTGTCCTCGTCCAGAAAGCAAACAGCAGCTGGATTCCCTTTGAAGGCGGAATCAGCGAAAGCATCAGCCACGAAGTACTTGACTCGCTTTTTGTCCGCCATTTTTGTTTGACCCAAAGCTTGGTTAGTGCATTTGCTTTGTTGCTTCTCATAGTCGCTCGGTCACTCTCACTCAGTAGAAATAAAATAAAATAAGCAACATGACATAAATTAAGGATATTAAAAATGGGATACAAGAAATTAAAACCATGATCATCATAATGAAATAGATGACATCGTTCTAAGAAAATTCACACTTATAACTTGAATTTTTAAAGTTATCTTCCAATCATTTAAGCGTACAAACTGAGAATACAATACAAAGCTTACAAGACCACATTGAGGAAGTAGCAAAGAGGAAGACAGAGATGAGTCTTGTGATCCTTCGGGTAATGCAGTTTTTATTACCAAGCTCCTTCCTTTGACATCCTAAGGAAATGTGCGAGTGTGATGCCAGGTTTCTCGCCACTCATCTTCCATTTGATCATCGTTGTCTTGGTTGCTTTCTTTCCTACTTGTTCTGTTGCAGTTGTAGACACCAAATTGTGGTACTGCTCCAAGGAAACAGAGTTTCTTTTTAGGTTGTTTTACTCTTTATATTCAACATCTAAAGCAGAACATAGGTCAGGAGATGTCGTGGCTCATACCTCACAAACACCGTGCAAAAGCAATCTGTGAAATGGGTCTTGAACCTTGAGCTCCAGAACATCTCCTTCACCACCTTCGTCAATGAAATGACTTATACAGTTCTACAAAAAAAATAAACCATTCTTGAGACCACAAGCAAGGGGTCTAATGGATTAAATTGTCATTTATGAAGAATCTATATACCTCATATCCCTCGATCAGTTCTGGTAAAAAGCTACGCCGAAGAGCCTCTCTTGTTCCACACTCTATTCTTCGCCAAGCATTTAAGACAGCGGTTTTATCAGCATCCACACGGCCTTTCTGCCTCACGGATGACCGATCCAAGGAGTCCATGATACTGGCCTGGCAAAACAAACTATGGTTAAGACCAGCTATGTCGCAAGAAAGCCGCACCATTGATTCAACAAACAGCATATTTTTTCAGATCATTACCTCCTTGTCCATGTCTATGCTTCTGAATTTGTCCCATTCTCCAACATTAGTCAAAGAAAAGGCTGAGGGTGGGACATCATCACCTGTACAACATTTGTAGGAGTCAGTGAGACGATGAATAAGCCTAAGACAAAAAGACGACAAACATGGCAGTACATACGAGATTCACGAGAGAAGAGGATACTTAGAAATTGAAAGAAATATTACCCCATGGTGGTGGGGCAAACAAGCCCCTGATTTCTTCCGCATCTAAACGAGGAACAAGTTCCATTAGAATACGATCATTTAGCCATCTCCGAGATCGCCGGTTACTAACCTGCATCAAACAAACAATATTAAGAAGAAAAACTCATTAGCTACGAGAGTATCAACGTGAAAAGATTTATCTTTGATCCCCTACCATATAAATCCAACTGTTGTTAGTTGAAAGAAGACAGAAAAATCACATCTTTAAGTATCAACAAGAGAATCACAAAATGGATACAGAATCGGCATTAAAACAACACATTGTTCCAATAAATGTTCAAGAATTCCTACGAGAAAAAAACTCACTTGTCCTGTGAGGCCCTCGAGGGCCTCAATTTTCTTCTCAAGCGAGAGGCCACGAGAAGCAAAAGTATCCCCTGCACATGTAACTCTAAGATGATTCATTCCCAGAAAACATAATTCCCATAATGAGAAACCCTACAATCCCCAGAACACAAATTTTCTCGAATTAAGGGAATGAAACCAAACAAGGGTCTTGTCTATCACTTGTCAATTTGGGAAAATTTCAAGAATTTTACATCGAATTACCTCTATGGGTATCAAGAGGGGACATCACATTGGTTGCCGCCATGATTCAACAAAAACAAATAAGAGGAAATGGGCTGATTTGAACAGAAATTCGAGCCACCAGACTGCTCGCTTTGAAAAGGAAGACTCTTTCGGGAGTTGTAATTGCGTCCGGTGAAAGAGAAGCCAAGCACCACGAGAATGAACGGAGACGAAGGAGGCAGCGATTTGGGATTTGGGATTCGGAAGCAAAAAATGGTAGACGCAAACGTATCAAGAGGAATATGCCGGATTCTGATTTTTTAACCCGACCCGACTCAACGGGTATGTTCGCTCATGGATGGTAGAAACCTGTCCTGTCTGAATGAATATCCTCGTCTCGGCTCGATTAAGATTAATGTCGGTTTAAAGTACCGGTTAAGCCTTCACGAACCTCTTTTTTTTACATGATTCTGAAACTCATGTAATAAAATAATCAAGTGAAAAGAAAAAAAAGAACAAATTGAACGGTGAACTATGATGGTATTTATTTGTTACGCTATACAAAACGTATCTAATATGATCTCTCCCACGGTAAAAAATTTAGTGTTTCCTGAAAAATTTACAAACTCAAGCGGAGGCTTGGTTACTTCAAGTATTGGATGGGTCGATTCTGATAATGAGAGACTCGTGTAAGTGATCCGGCGGTGGTGGTTCTACGATGGGAAGCATGGAAGTGTCGTCATTCTTCTTGCCATCTAATTCAGTTGCATTCTCAGCCAATGCTTTGTCCAATGATGATTTCGCCACTCTCGTTACGCATATTATCAGAATTACTGCACCCAAGAATGAGAAATCAGACCGCTTACGAAATGAACCTATATATTTGGAAATGGAAATGATCACTCAAGAGACTCACCAGCTAGAGCAACGCCAAACATCATAACTACCTGCATCCACACGTGACAATGCACAAGAATGATAAGTCAGACTTGCTTTGCAAGGGGAGAGAGATACTTTAAAGCTTATGCATTCCAGCAGAAAAAAAACACAACTATATTCAGCCAAGCTGATCTACGGCTATAACCATTCTAAGTAGCCAAGTGGAAGTAAATGAACGGAAACTTACCCAACGAAATACAGACATCTCATGCCATCCGTGTGTGATATCAGAAAGATCTTTCAGAGTAGTTCCAACATAAACTAGCGCAAATGTAATGGGCTGTTGCATCAAAACATTTTCAATAAGATTAGTATTACTGTTATGGATGATACTACCAATAAGCAATTTCACATGCATGCTAACTTTAAACAACTTCTTTTGTTTTCTCGGTTTCTCCCCTTTGGACTCGATTCATGAATTGGGACCATAGATCAAAACACTAGGCTCTTCTTCCACTACTATCAAAGTACAAATGGCCAACATGCAAGTGAATACTAAAGAGAATGTCAGTACCATCATTCCCAACCATGTGGCAAGCATGTATTCCCCCAAGCGAACGGGGGTTACAGATAGGAGGTAATTCAACATATTGAAGGGCAATATGGGGACAATGCGTAGCAGCAAAACTATCTGTAAAGGAAGAAAATACCAACATGTTGTTAGCAGTCAATCAATTAATGAAGCCAGAAAATCGAGGTACTTTGCCATATTGTTGGTCCCAGATATAGCTTATATGAACTGAACTGGCAATTAAATAAGAGAGTGCTACTTTCATGCCTTGAAGCCAGATCTTTGTATTGCTACGGAAACAGCTTGAAACTTTGGGTAATGCTTTATTTTTGAGGTGACATAAGATCTACCAATCTGCATGATATCAGAAAGACAAATGATAATCATTAGCGACAACTAGATAGCAAAGATAAGGAAAGATGCCGCACTTAGTTTGATTGCCTAGTTGTTAAGATGCAAAGAACACAGGAATTAGTCACTTCTCTGATTATAGCAAGCAGCGTGCAAGGGAAATTTATAAGAACAGATACTACCATATCGTTATTGAAGAGACATACCGTTCTACCCAGCAGAAATGCTGCTGTTGCACCTAAAGTAGCTCCAAGAGAGTCGGCTACAAATCCTACTGGCAGTCCAAAAAGATAACCACCGCCTAGCTGCAGAGACCAAGTTACGACTATAAAAACAGGGTAAAAAGTCCTATTTCCCACTTTGTAATGAAAATGTATGTACAAACATCACAGAAAACACCCTCGATTTCACTACATACATAGTTATGAATCCACACCTACCGTGAGCACAGAAGCAGGAACCGCCACAATTGTGAGAGGAATATAAGCCAAAGCCCTACAAATATGAGTGAGATAAATAAACAAAATGATTTAAGGTTGCCAGAAAACAATGCCAGCAGATTAGTGGTTTAAACTAAAGTTACGAAAGAGAGAAGAAAAAGTAAGAAGAACGAAAAAACTTACAATGCGAGTGGACCAAAAGGTCCAAGATCTTCCTTAATCCATAACAAGAAGTCTTTCAATTTCTGCAGAAAGAAAACACAACAATGATTCTTAATTTAAAATTTTCACATATATATTAACGATCTATGACAAGTGCTCTACAACCAATTCTAGCAAAGTTGTAGATTAACTTCATAAGCAAATCACAACATCTCGCTTCCTTCAATCTAGCGACCCAGTAACACTTTTCCAAACAGAGACATAGTGATCTAGAGAGTTCCAGTAATACTCCGTTCTATCCATTTCTAACAAAGGAAGCTACAGAGATAATCGCTCTACATTATCACTAAAGCTACATTTACAGGCGAAATGCGAATCAGGAGAGCAGGGGGGAGAGAGAAATTGCCTGTTCGACGGGGAGAAAAGTGAAGGCGGTGACGATAGCAACAAGGAGGAGCAGCGAGATTGCGATTCGGAAAGTGGACGGAGAAAAGGACATGGCCGCCATATACAAGGATCTGAGGCGACGGCGCCACCAAGGCCTGGAATGGTCATCCTCATCGCCGTCGTAATAATATTGACCTCCATTTAAACAAGCTCCTGGCTTCAGCCACGGCCTCGCCCTTAAGCCCTCCACTTTCGCCAGATTTGTCTTCCCTCCCAAAATGAATCCTGCCTTGTCTCGCCGCTTCTTTCTTCACCCCGATTCCGGAGATATGATTCAGACGCGTCGTCTCTTTCTCCTCCGAATGGGAAAGAGGAGCATCAGAGGTAGGATTGCAGAGATGGAGAGAAAGAGAAGCTTGTGCTTCAATTCTTCGATTTCACTGTTCTTCGATCTTGAGATTCTGTTGCGTCTCTCTCTCTCTCGTTCACTGTCAAAAACTTTTTCCGCGAGATTTTGCTGTTGTCGTTAATGGCCCAATAATTGGGCTCATAAATGATGACCCCAAAAGCCCAAACAAAGCAAATAACCATTTTTGTTATTAACCATTTTTTTCCTACTTTTCTTGCCAACAACAACACTACAACAGTATTGTACTAGAATATTTGTTGCATTTAATAATGTAATGGTTTTAATTATTTTGGAAGATCTCAATTCTCAAGAGTTGTGTAATTACTGATGGGGCAAGAGGCAGGTGAATCCTTCTCGGGGCATTAAAACCGGTGAAGATTTGATACACATGTACTGTACTACTATATGATAGCTCAGTAATTAATAGTTATCACGTTGCCACAAAAACTATACACATTTTGTGTATATAAAATTATTATAGTTAGTCAACAAAACAAAGCAATTAAAGGGAGAAAAACGCATGAGTAAAACAAATAACAACGGCAAAAAGAGAAAAAGAAGGGAAAAACGCATGTTGAATGCTGACGTGTCACGTGGTCCATGTAGCCCCGTATCAAGCCATTTCATCGTCTTCCTCTTAAACTAAACAATTTCATATTACAACAAACGGGCACACACGAGAGTCTCTCTCTCTCTCTCTCTCTCTCTCTCTAGCTCCGTCGCTGTTTGTGTCTCTCTGCAAGCGACCAAATCGAAGCTGAGAAGGAGAAGGCAACGAAAATGGTTGTTCTGAGCACGGTGGCGTTGGTAAAAGCCGCTTATTCGCTCAACAGTTTCGTCTTTGAAGCCGAAGACATCCGATTCGGCTCGCCGTGGTGGTTCGTCGTGGTCGGTGTGGCGTGTATCCTCGTTCTATTCGCCGGGATAATGTCGGGACTCACTCTTGGACTAATGTCCCTTGGCCTCGTGGAGCTAGAAATCCTCCAGCAGAGTGGCTCCTCCGCCGAGAAGAAACAGGCTAGTAAGTTGTCTAACTCCGATGGGTTCTTCGTTATATGACTAGATTCGACTTTCGTTGGCTATGTTCTCGATATTTATTGGAATTTTTCTTTGATCGCGCTAAAAATCGGTGCTCAGATTGAAATGACAAGCTTGATTCGTAATGGCTATTGAATTTCTAAAAAATTGGTTTTCTCAAAAAAAAAAAAAAAAATCTTATATTGTAATTTTCTGAGTGACGGAGTCTTTCTTCTTACTCTTTACGGGTAACTTTGGAGTTGCTTGAATTGTTTTTGGGTGTGGATAATGCAGCTGCTATCTTACCTGTGGTCAAGAAGCAGCATCAACTTCTTGTGACTCTGCTTCTATGCAATGCAGCTGCCATGGAGGTTTAAACCTGATTTGTTACCTCATTGTTCTGGATTTTACAACAGGAAGTTACCCTTTTTTGGTGCACTTGGTAATTAATCAATGATGTTTGTGCTTTCGTTTTTCCTTTTGCAGGCCCTTCCTATATGCCTGGATAAGATCTTTCACCCCTTTGTAGCCGTTTTACTCTCTGTTACTTTTGTTCTTGCTTTTGGAGAGGTAACTTTCTCTACTATTTCTTCTTCCTGTTAGTTGTGATTTGTTCAGCACTTTCCATCTATAACTAATACATTCAATCAGATAATTCCACAAGCTATATGCTCGAGATATGGACTTGCTGTTGGTGCAAATTTTCTGTGGCTTGTTCGCTTTTTGATGATAATCTGCTATCCGATTGCTTACCCTATTGGAAAGGTGATGTTGTTGTACACTTTTCTTTCTCAGAGCACTAAATGCAATAAACCTTATTAGCTAGAGATTGCACAAAGTCGGTTTTGTTTGAGTGGCTACAATTGTCAATAAATGATGTTTCTTACAAGTATGGAAGAACGGGGATTTTGCTGGAACTTGCATTTAATCTGGTAATGTCACTAAGAAGTGTAACCTCTTTTGGCCAATTGCATTCATTATATCACCTAAACAAGTGGATGCATTTATAGAGAGTCAGAGTATTATGTAGCTGTGGAATGTGGATGTTTACTTGTATCAACCGTTTTTACATGCCTCAGGTTCTTGATGCCGTAATTGGGCATAATGACACACTGTTTAGGCGAGCTCAACTGAAAGCCCTTGTTTCAATTCACAGCCAGGAGGTAGTTTCTCTTTATGATCTAATCATACAAATCCAGGATAGGAAAAAAAAAAAAAAGACAGATTATGACTGTAATTAATTAAGTTACTTGATTATCAAAGGTATCTTTGTTTCCAGCTTCCATTTACATGCTGTTTCTCTCCCAAAATAGGCTGGTAAGGGAGGTGAACTGACACATGAGGAAACGATGATTATAAGCGGAGCCCTGGATTTGAGCGAGAAGGTAAGGATTCAATTGACTCAACATCTTCAAGACTACTTTCCACTGACCTACTTCATGCATTTTCATTTCTTGGAAGTTTAGACTGCTGAGGAGGCTATGACGCCAATTGAATCAACTTTTTCCCTGGACGTAAATACCAAGTTAGACTGGTGAGTAAAGGTTAGAGTTGATCTGTACTTAACAATTTGCTTTCTCTTTATGTCTAATCTTTCAGAGGAAAATAGATTTGAGAGTAAGCTCTTTGCCTTAATCTAACTAGACCTAGTAGAGTTGCACTTGGCAACAAAAAGCTCCTCAGTTGAAATAATGAACTGCCACCTTGTAAATGCAGGGAAACAATTGGAAAGATACTCTCCCGAGGTCATAGCCGAATCCCTGTCTACTTAGGGAATGCGAAAAATATCATTGGACTTCTCTTGGTACTCCTGTCAAACTTTTGCATTGCTTCATTTCACTGAATCTTATTGGATTACTTAATTTATGTTACCTGCTGCTATAATCTAGGTTAAGAGTCTTCTAACGGTACGAGCGGAGACAGAGACACCCGTCAGTGCTGTAACCATCAGGAAGATCCCAAGGTATATCCTGCTTCCTTAAGCTTTACCTACCCTTAATATGTCTCCACTTTTGAAATAAGAAAAATGAAGTTCCCACACATTGCCTTTCCAGGGTTCCATCAGACATGCCACTGTACGATATCCTGAACGAATTTCAAAAGGGAAGCAGTCACATGGCTGCTGTTGTCGAAGTTAAAGACAAAGATAAAAAGAAGAATATGCAGTTGCTGAGTAATGGCGAAACAACTAAAGAAAATATGAGCTTATACTCGAGTCCTCAATTAACGGCTCCTTTGCTTAAGCACGTTGATGAGAAGACGCATGATGTTGTTGTTGATATTGATAGAGGACCAACACATGTGAAAAACAGGGGAAGAAATTTCGAGGAGAAGGGTATTTTGACAAGAGACTTGCCGCGTTTGTTGGAAGATTACGAGGATGCAGAAGTGATTGGCATTATCACGTTAGAAGATGTCTTTGAAGAGCTTCTGCAAGTAAGCTCTAATGCTGTTCTTCTATTTTCTGGTTCGATGATCCCTGCCGTTTATGTTGCTATATACAATTCAGTTAAGAAGTTTTCCTCTGTTGATTTAATGGAAATGCAGGCAGAAATCGTGGATGAAACTGACGTTTACATTGATGTACATAAAAGGTATTGTAATGGTATTTAATTACCCTGAGCCACTTCTTTATTGCTTATGGAAGATTCACTAAAATGTAAGTAACTGAATCCGTATCTCGACATCATTTTAGGGTACGTGTGGCTGCAGCAGCAGTTGCTGCGGTATCATCCATAACACGAGCTTCACCAGCGGTAAGAAAGAAACGGATCAAGTATATACTGAATCAAAGTTTTAAAACTAGTTTAACTCAAATTAATGCGTGTATTTGTGTGTGACACTCTCAGGAGTATCAAAGCAAGGTAGGACTAACGGTGAAGAAGCTTGTGGGGAAGGAGGCACGAGGTACAAAGAGTCACACTACAAAAATCACGGAGCCTCTTTTAGCAGCAGAGTCAGATAGATAGGTTTAATGGCAGGCTCGTCGCACATACTTTGTTGTATGTTTTGTCTATAGAAAAGTTGAAATAATGGAAAAAGAGAAGAAAAAATGACTGAAAATAGTTTTGTTTTTTGTGGAGAGGAAATGAATATACAATAGAAGCCAATCATAAATTAAGGTACATAGATCTTTCTCATCTTTCTTTGCTTGTTCGCCAAAGTCCAGTATTATCCATTTCCTATTGGTTTGTTTGCATGGACCTTTATCTTCGCCGAGAAAGCCACGTCAGTCAAAGTCAATCTCTTGACCAAAATACCCTCGGATACGCTTCAAAATTACGCATTAACCCAAAGCACCGACCTAGTCGTCTGCATCTTTTATTCTTTTGTTCATCTCATAAGAGAAGCCAAACATTTCACAATTACGAAGCAAACAACACATAGCTCCTTCTTCTTCTTCCTCACAGTTCTCGCTGCCCAGCTCATATTCCTCAAAACGGAAATTTCGAGACAGGTTTGTGATTTTTTTGCTTCGTTTGTCTCTGGAAATGTTAAAAAAGTGATCTAGGATATTTAATCATCGGGCTCAGAAATTTGCTCCCCTGTGTGTGTATTTTGATGTTTCGCGATGTCGTTATCAAAGTGCTGGTTGATCGTTTCATGATCGGCTCGATTCTGACGACTAGATTCATCTCTCTTTTTTCATGAATAGGTTTTGTGATCTCCGTTTTTCAATCCTAGAAAGCTTAGATGATATGCTGAATTGTACAAGTTTAAGTTTTGTTTCCTCCTCTCTCTCTTTCATCTGCATATCGCGGAAACAATTAGGGTTTTAGTGTACGCCGGAGATGCTAAACATTGATAAAGTTGATTCCTTATCCGTCATATCATGTCTTATAGTGTTATCCTTGTTACTGATTCCATTTCAATTTGGGTTTATTTTTTTCTTGTTTCCTGCAGAGTAAAACTTTGACTGATGGGTTTCAGCTCTGTCTATCGATCCCTAACGGAGATATTTCCTCAGGTAAACACTGATCTTATATCTCATGTCTCTTTCAATTTGACATGTAGCTCCCGGACTTAAAAGAAAATGGAATTAGGTTGTGAAGCTGATTTTCAAATTATGTCTCTTCATAATTATTACTACATACCTTTTGCAGTGGAATCGGGAAAGGACATGTACATTCAATTGCTTAGTTTGATCAAATGTTTTCACTTCCTATATTTGATACCATTTTCGAATTTGGCTTAATCATCTTTCATATTGTGTTTTTCAAATAGATTTCATGTTCCACTGCAGATTGATGCACGAATTTTGAGGGCTGTCGCAAGAGAACACCCGAAGGATGCTGATGAGGCTGCTGCTGTAGTTCTCTCTGAGATTGTTCCTTCGTTACCCCCAACTTTGTCCCATAATCTTGATCA